GAGAGGCGGGTAAGAGAATGCTTAACATCATAGACACAGCTGAAGTATATTATTATTTTTAACGGTCTATGTTTAAAAGTGTTATTTACTATAGTATATATAGTGTTCTTTTTATTTTACAGTTAGGTAAGAAAACTATTAGTATTAAATACTTTAGTAAACTATAGTAAGCTGTCCTTAATTACTAAAGTTAGCTAACTTTATAATTTATAATAAGTTATAAATAAATAAATATATATCTCTTTTATAAAAGGCATTAAGTAGAGTATACTTTATATTCTTAACCTAGTTTAATATATTAGCTATAGGTTTTTTAAATTTATTAATAAGTTTTTAATAAATTATATTAACTATTACTATTTATAAAAGGGCTTTATTTATATTAAATAGGTATTATATATATTAAATAAGTGCACTGCTATAAAAATATATAGTTTATATTTTATAAACTATTACTTTACCTTATATAAATATAAGGTATTTAAGCCTATTAGTAAAGGAGTATATATATATATAAACTATATCTTTATTAAAGATAATTTTAATACTAGTTAAGTTAATTATATTTAGGTTAAAGTACTTAATATTTTATAAGTAAAAAGGCTAAGAGGTTATTATAAGCAGTATTACTAATTATTAATATTAAAGGCTTTATATTATATAAGCTTAAAGTATAGTAATATTTACTATTATTATAAATGCATTTAAGTTAATTCCTAGTAGGTTTTAGTTATTAAAGTTTTATTTCTTTTAGCCTAGTTTATTAACTATATTATTATTATTAATACTATTTATAAACTTAAGTTTATATAGCTAATTATTAAGGATATATATTAAGGTATTAAGGATAAAAGGGGAGCTGCTTTATAAAGGGGATAGTTAAAGAAGGGTAAAGTTTAATATTAAGGGGATAGTTAGGTTTTATATAGTATTTAAGATTAGTATTATATTAATTATAACTGCCTTTTTATTTTATTAAAAAACTTTTATAAATATTAAAGTATTATTTAAGGTAGGAGTGTTTTATAAATTAGTATTTTTAATAAAAGGGTTAGCTATATTAGCATTTTTAATAAAAGGGTTAGCTATATTAAATATATTTAGTAAGCATATAAGTATATTAATAATATATATATTAAAAAAATAAAGAATTAATAATATAAAGTTATTATTTATAGTATTTATTTTTATATTAAATATATATTTAGTATTTTTTATATATTTTAATAAAATAAAGTTAGGTATTAATTAAAAAATGCAGATATACTATTAATATATAAAGGTATTAAAGCTATAAGTGTTTTTTAGCTATATAAAAGGGTAGTTATAAATATTTATTATATTAAAGTAAAATTAGTAATAAAATTTATTAAGCATAAGCCTATTAGCTTAAAAGAGGATAGTGTTATTTAAATAGCTAGTAGTAATAAAGTTTTATAGTTAATTTATTAAGATTTAAAGCCTATTTAAGGTAATAAAGGCTATAGTATTATTATATTACTATTAGCTATTATTTATTATATAAGATTAATTTTAAAATAATTATTATCCTAGTGCCTGTTATATATATACTAATACTAGTAATTAAAAATTTATTTTATAGCTATTTAATTAGATATCTAATTGCTACTAGTTATAGCATTAGTCTAGTAATAAAGCTTGCTTCTATTACTATCTGCTGTCCCCTGTAGGACTCTATATATAGATGTGTCATGTGACACATGCTATAAGAACCGCCTAAGTCGCGATTCACGCTCGCTTAATCGTTGTTCTGCTTTGCCTTATCAACCAATGCCAATCAACAAGTCCATTTCTGTCCAGTCACTAGGCTGTCTGCTAAGAAACAGGTGACTATGACTGAGACGAATTCGCAAGCCTCGACCCTTTTCGAGCTTGTTTCTCGGGCAGATCTGGTCAGTCTTGAAGAGGTTCTAAGCCGAAAGCAAGTCGAGGTCGATGCTCGAGACACTGCTGGTCGAACGGCCCTCCATCTAGCCGTGCTTGCAGGAACAGCAGATATATGTCAGCTCCTGATCGAGCATAACGCGAGTTTGGACGCATGGACTGGGCAAGGCGAAGCGGTAGTCCATCTGGCTGCCAAGAGGGGCGATATTGATGTTTTGCGTGCAGTTATGGATGCTGTCGAGTTGAACCAACGAGCAAGCGAGGACAAAGGCAAAGCCGTTGAAAGGACGGCAGCTAGCGATAATGCCGATTCGACCATTCATGTGGATTCTCTGACTCACAAGTTTAAGCTGTCACCACTCTATATTGCAGTTGCTTTGGGTAAGATTACCTTGGAATGCTCAGGTGTGCAGGAGTTTCGCTGATGAGTACATTTAGCACATGTTGAAGTGGCAGAGATGCTATTGACGAGGTATCACGCAAACCCCAACATTGTTGTCGGCCGTGCGGACATTCACAAAGGAACACGGACTGTCCATGTGCTTGAGGCGGCGCTTCAGCATCCGCGGGTCGTCTGTCGTTCTCTTCTGAAGCTGCTGCTCGGACACGGCGCAAGTGTACTTGACACCTCATCACACACAGTAACAGAGTCTCTGTTTTTCATGATCATGAAGCGGGATGAGGACGCACTGGATATCTTCGCGGAGCTCGACGCTGAGAACTTCAAAAGTGCAATTACTAAAGGTCTTTGGATTGATTCCATGAGATGTCAGTGTGCGTTGACAGGCGTGATCAATCTCGGACTGGAAGACACTGCCTTTAAGCTGCTATTATATGGAGCACCGCCACATCTGGATTTTAAGTCTCCTCTTGAGATTCAGGCAGATTCCAGCCCATTTAGAAAGAAAAGCCTTGAGATAGCCCAGGCTGACTATTGGCAGCCAATCCTGAGCGCCGCTCTGTTCGAGATGCCACGGCTGGTGATGGAACTGCTTGATCGTGGGGTCGATCCAAATACTCAGCTGACGGAACACCAAGCTCGCTACATGTTGCATCAACGTGAATGCCGCACAGTCTTGGATATTGTCAAGTCAAAACTCATCGAGCTTCGTAGCTGGAATATCGATGATGAGAGCGTCTACTACGAGATAAGAGGGACACCAGAAGAGGCTGAGCAGCGCGTTGGGAAGCAGAATGCAGTAGCAGAGCTTATAAAGGCGTACCAAGAAGCTGAGGCGAACCTGATATCCTTGGGGGCTCAAACATCTGCTGGACTAAACTTGCAAGAACCTCTAGGACCGATCTCTCAAAAATTCCCCGAGAGAATCCAATTACATCCGCCACCTATTGAGACGAACACTCAGCCGCTACTTTCTTCGCAGGATATCGACCCAACGAAAATCCGTTCGGTGGAAAGTGGTCGCCAAGCACTGTAAGTTGTATCTCTACAGTCCGTTCGTATCGGAACGCCTGAGTTGACATGGCGCTCTTCAGGTTGGCAGCTTGCCGTGATGGCAACATTGCGTTGGTAAAAGACCTGACCTTAAGCTCATGGGGTTTTGACCAAGAGTTGTCTCCTATTGCGATATCGGACGTATCTGGGTATTCACAGGGCCCCTTTCTCCTTGCAGTCGAGAACAAACACTACGATCTAGCCCGCACTATCGTTCAAATTGCCACAATTCAGCACATCGACTTTCCGAATAATCAGCCATCTGATCTCTTCAATGAACTGGCCGACGATAACCATTCTGCGGACAGCATCAAGAAGGCCTCGTCTCAAGTCAATTCCACGGTGACCGCGAAAAGAATTGTTGCGGACAGTCACAGCTGTTTTGCTGGGGAGAAACGTAAAGACATGGATATGCTGAGGTTTTCCATCGAAATGGAATCTTCATTTCCCCGTGAGCAAAGCGACATTGAACGCCAGACACGGCATGCGTGGGCCCTTGTTGAACATGGCGACTGGCCTGAAGCCTTTGAAGAATACATCAAGGCAACTGGTGCACCGTTTCGCCATGTGGTGAGTCAAGGTAGGCTGAAGGGGAAAAGCCACCTGGACAGACTCCACCAGCTATCGCCTCTGCTTCAGTCAGCGTGGTCCGGGAACATGGACATGGTGCGCTTCTTTTTAAATCCAGATAGAGCAATGGCGGCATACAAGCGCTTTGCAGAGACAGCCGATTTCTCGAGCCGTAAAGCCGGCCCTGACGCTTCCCGAGCAGAGTTTTTGGATGCGGTAGAGAAGTGGATGGACAAGCGAAGTAAGTCCTGCTCAGGCTCTATCTCCAATGATGTATTCATCAGTGACCATTCTGTGTTAGAGAACCTTGTTCTGCATTGCGCAATACTTTCGCGAAACATTAATCTCGTCAACTTCCTAGTATCGACTCATCCGGATCTCCTCGAAGTCCAGTCGATCGATGGGTGGACGCCCCTGTTAACGGCAGCTCTACACCAAAGAATTGATGTTCTTCATCTTCTTCTAGAAGCGGGAGTTAGCCCATTTGCCACCGACTCATTCGGGCGCAATATGCTTCATCTTCTATTGCTTAGCCCAGGCCAAGGCTATATTCAGGAGCCCGAAAAGCTCTCGTCTTTCCTCCAGTCCGTGGATAGATCTGTGCTGCACCAGCTTCTGGAGCAGCGCTGTGACGAGAGCCCCGGGGGCCTGACGCCTCTCGCACGTTGGATTCATACTAGACCTGCAGCGAACGGGCTGTTCACAACTCTGCTGAATGTTTCTAATTTAGCGGTGTTGGAACGGTTAGACGGTAGAGGTCATACGCTTCTTCACGTTGTACGTCTTTTTCTCCTTGTCCACGCCACTCTTATCGTCATCTTTGCGCAGCTGGCTCATGAGGCACTCTCACCCAGGTATCATCTTCATCGATGGATCAGCTCATTCGTCCCGTTATCGAAAGGGCCCCTCATGTTATGTTCTACGAAGACATCCATGGGAAAACGCCCTTTGACCATCTAGTCGAGAAGCAGCTTCACGGATTTATAGAGCATCTGATGCCGAGCTACACCCGGAATCGCAAATGGCAAGCATCTTCCCCACTTGTTCACTGGCCTTTATTTGCCTTTGCTCCGGATTATGCTGGGCCAACGTACCCGAGAGACCCATATCAAGCATGGGAAATAAGCCGAGAGCTGGCCGAGTCCTGGGAGCCTCACCGATTCACAAGAAAGCTCGTGACAAACCAGCAGCGTGACGAAATCGCAGTGATGTATGTACAAGAGCAAGCAATATCCACGGAAACGTTGTTACTGACTCTAGAGCAGGTTGAAGAATAAAAAGATACAGAAGAATCCTAAAGGCGACCAGCATGATGTTATATCTTTGTCCGTGTATAAGCCCGGAAACTTGTGTTGGTAAGACACAAGAGTTGCTTATGGAGATTGACATATCTTGGTTATGACTTCTTTGTCTCAAAGTTCTATCATGAAGACTACCACTGTTACTCTATATGAGAATAATGGCAAGCCGAGACGTAACATGACGCCAACGCCTGCCAGTAAGTGACGCCATTGAGCTTCATACTGCAATGGAGTCAAGTCAAAGCAAAGGCACTTCCAAGCAGCCAGAGGAGACTCTGTCCATTGGCTGCCTTACAGATGAGGCTAATATACTCCAACATCATACGTGACTCAGTTGAGCATAACTAGGCTCAGCAGTCATCAAAGTCTAAAACTGGCTTCATAAGATATGCCGTGAACGACTGGGAACAATGTACTGGTGCCTTTGCTCTCACATTGTGTGAACACATTCGGAAATTGCCGTGCGCCACCCTAGATTGTGTGCTTGTTTCTATCATGTATATATAAAATGTCGCACCACTTATCTCGAAATCGTGAGGTTGTCTTGTAGCAATCACTTGGGAATGCGCAAAGTAATGATCGCCTTTTCCTCATATCAAGGTTCGTAATCTCGACCTAGCATCTCCGTTGATTGGCAGGTGATGAAGCAGTTCGCCAAAAAGGTGGTTTCACGTATCTCCAGCTCATGGCATCCGGAAGAGCTGCCCAGCCTTTGGCTGCGGAAGAGGACGGGTTCATGATCAATGACCCCAGCGCCATTCCCTTTGAGGGAGGCGCAACCCCGGAGGAGATGACGGCGGAGGACATCAAGAGCACGATCGAAGATTACGTTCGGGCTGCTCAGAATGCCATGCGAGCTGATTTCGATGGCATTGAGCTCTACGCTGCCAATGGCTACCTTCTCGACCAATTCATTTAGGATGTGAGTAACAAGCGAACCGATGAGTATGGCGGAAGTATCGAGAACAGACATCGCCTTGTCGTAGAGATTGCACAGGCCGTCTCCGATGCCGTTTGCGCAGAATGTGTTGGTATAAAGCCCAGCCCCTGGTCCGATTTTCAGGGCATGCGGATGGAAATCCCATTCCCCAGTTTACCGACCTCATCAAGCGTGTCAACGACATTGGCATCGGGCATCTGAACCTCATTGGGTCTCGCGTTTCAGGCGTTGATTACACGGATGGCACCGAGACACTGGACTGGGCGTGGGCTGTCTGGGAAAAGGCCGTTATCGCGACAGGAGGCTACCTGCCGGCGACGGCGCTTGAGCTGGTTGAAAGAAACTCGGCCAGAGATATTGTAGTCGCCTTTGGTAGGCGATATGTCCCGAACCCCGACCTGCCGTTTCGCATTACGAGAGGCCTTAAGTTGAACCCCTACGATCGGAGCACATTTTGTAAGGTGGGTGCTCCTGAGGGACTGATCGACTACCCGTTCAGCAAAGAGTATCTGGCTTTGGGCAACTGATGGAGATGAAGGGCCTCTATGAGGTAGGTAGTACCTGGATACTGGTAGCCATTGCACCTCATAAACGAGTATATAAAAGAGCCATTATCTGGTGAGATTGCCCGTGAAGAATGGCCGCTAAAAAGGGTTCGCAAGGCGAGCCAGCTGGATATACAGGTGTATAGAAACGAGCAAGTGGTATCATATGGTAGAATCAGCAAACAACAACAGTATGCAGGACATCTCGAGCCCATCAACATGCGGGCTAATCATCAAATGCGCCGAGGTATCATCCCACCTAAGCCAGAAAAAATAACAAAACGCCGTGCTCCATGCAATGCTCATATCGATCGACATGAGAATCCAACCTCACAAGCCATCCGAGACTTCGTCGCTGCACCCGGCCCTGCCAGGATAACGACCATGTCTCTGGAACTAGCTGCATCAGGAGAACCTCGACCGCAACCAAACATGACTTCGCCGCTGCCTCTGACCCTGTCAGATTAACGACCATGCCAAAGGATGATGCTGCCGCCGTCCATCAAGATGCGCTACCAGTTTGTCACACTGGTGGACTGCCCGCTGCCCCCAGCCCTGCCGGGTTAACGGGTATGTCCTCCAGCCAACTGGTGCTTGGACATTGAGTTCCCTCTGCACTTATCACCGTCTGCTGCTCTGAATATCGCATGCCCTGCCCTTTTCGTCTAGGCACCACAGCTGGCCTGCGGGGGCTCGTCGGGAGGACCGTTTGGACTGTAGAAACTTCTCCATAGCCGGTGAAGGTGTCTCCTTTTGTCGCTGGCGCCGGTTGTTTTTCTTGTCCTTGCGCCCTTGCTGCTGAGGCTCTTCCTCGCAAGATGGAAGTGAGCTGCACTTTTCGGTTCGCCGATAGGGGGTTACGCTTCTCCTTCGGCGCGGAGACGCTTTAGGAAGTGTAGGAGACGGCGTTGCGCGTGGTTTTAGTGTAGAACGTCGGGCCGGAGGGATGATCTCGTCGGCGATCGTGTGTCTAAACGCTTCGCGTTCGCCCGCATCGCCATCTGACGGCTCTGGACTGGGCATTGTGCCTTGGAGAAGCATGTCGATATACTCGTACTCGCATACGTATCCCGCCATGGCCGATTCACCCGCTATCTGGAAGGCCAGGACCTCCTGATCCATTTCCTCCGATGGCTTTGGCTCGTACGGGATGCTTGGCCATCGATCGAAAGATGACTCGCGGGAAGCTGCTGTTTCTTCGCTTGTAAAGGTCGGGACCTCTTCTTCCTCTGACACGTCTTCGATGCTCGGCCATGGCTCTGTGGATATATCAAGTGATATTGTTGTGGCATCGCTTGAACCTGCGCTCGTCCTAGGTCGTTTTGATTTCGGCCCTTCGTGGGGATTCGTCGACAGAGGTTCGCTCCTCTTGCGTTTCTCTCGTCGTGCATCTTTCGTCAGCGAGGGCTTGGAGTCGAGCATATCGTGAGGCTGGGTTAATCTGGCCCTTTTGGGCGGTGGGAGCGGGTCGCTCAATTTCCTCTTGGACATGGTGGCGCTGAGGTGATGGGCGCTGCAGTATATCTAGGTATGTGAAAAAGACAACGACAACGTGGCCGATGAGGTTTCGCGTTTGCTGGCGCCTTGAAGACGACAATTTGGAAGGCAGATGCAAGCTCTTTGTTGTGTTTTGGCGGAGGGTGGCACGGCACACCGCAGCCAATCTGGCGATCGTGCCACGTGACCTCGTGAGAGGCATCGAACATCCCTGTGCTGTCGCGCCGGAGTTGAGCACAGCATACAATCGTGGTGCAAAGCGCAATCATCCGGGCTTGCTCTGGGATCCTCGCCTCGTCGCCTCATCGAATTTCTATGAAGCAGACACTTCGCTGCCCCCCCTTTCCATCTCTCAAGCTCGACTGCCGCCCGCCTCTTGAAGCCTCTGGACGTGTCTCTAAGTGACGAATTACCGCCATCTCTACGCCAGCCTCTCCACCAGCCTCTCTCGGCTTCGTTACGAGTCAAAGACCGTGGCCGTTCTCTTCGTCCTTGTCGCGCAGACCTGCTCATGACGGATTCCACGGCCGCTTCCGATAGTGCGCCGGCCAATGCCGCCAGCAGTGTTGAGTTCGCCGTGTTTTCTGCTGTCAACGAGGCCGCCGTTCACCTGCTCGAGACCATCCAGTGCAGATCATCCCCCCCAACCCTCAAGAGCGACGAGAACGAGATTGGGTATCGGTTATCGATCAAACTTCCATGCGATGAGGCCAGACCCGAGGAGTTCAGATGGAGCATTGGAGCCGGTCCATCTCCGGCCATGATCGAAAAGCGCTTGTGCCGCCACCGTCAACCAGATATTCTACTGTGTCCGCCGGGGAGGACGCCCAGCTCTGCAGCAGTCCGCAGGTTCATCAAGGACATGCACGCCATGGTCCATTTCCATCCTCAATCCGGCGTCTTGCTGCTCAGGTCGATTTCTGGTCGACCCATCATCTACGAACAGGGTGACGTTGGTGACGAGGATCTGATACTGGATGTGATGGCGCATCAAAGCACGTGCGTCCTTAGAAGGAAGCGAAATCTTCTTCGTTTCGGCGAATACCGCTTTGCTTTGGAATTTGTCACCACAGAAGAAGACCGCGATCAAATTATAGCGCAGCTGGACAAGAATCTCTATTGCTGCTATAATGGTTCCCCACCCTCTCAACTGCTCAACTTCATGCCCACATCCCACCCTGAGACCTCCTGGAACGTTTGGCTACACCAAAGGATTCCAAATACGTCGGTAATGGCAGGCGTCCATATCATCACGGGGCAGCCAGTTGCAGTGAAGGAGCTACAAGTGAACTCTCGGACAAGAGAGCATATCCTTGATCGCCTCCAGGTCGTCTCTCAGTATTCCGGCAAATCGGAGCAGGGCGTCCTCGGCATCATCGACACTTGGTGCGGCCATGATACATCGCCCCCATGTCATTTCAGCGAAAACGAGACATCCGATCACTGCCATCAACTATTTTATTCCATGCCCCTAGCCAAATACACCTTTCTTAATATGCCTTGGGCTGAAGTTCAACCCAAAACTCGTCTCCTTTTCTTCTACCAGACTCTTGTTGGGCTCGCCGAGCTTCATCGACAGGGTATTATACATGGAAACATTCGACCGGACTCGCTGTTTGTACTGCCGAGTATCCAACCCTCACCGACGGCAGATCGCTCCGTGCCTAAAAAGGCGGTTATTTCACTTTGCATGAAACAGACGGCTACGCCAAATCCGAGCATATGTGTTGCCCCGGAGATCTGGTGCCAAGTGTCTGAGGACAGAGCAAAAGCTGACATCTGGGCGCTTGCTGCCTCTTGGCTTTCCGCTTACTTTCAGCTCCCCAGTGGCGTCAAGGTGACCAGGGAGTCTTACCATAGCCTACAAAAGAACATTGATGCTCAGACCAAGAAGCGCAATTTCAAGGGGCCATTCGCCACATTACTGCGGAAAATGCTCGCCTGGGAGCCTGCTGACCGACCAGGCGCCGAAGCATTGCTTGCAGATGTGATCTGGCAACCTGTGCTTGCGCGAGCTCAAGCAATCGAGTCGAGTAGGAAGCGAAAGCGAATGGAGAGGATACATCAGTCCTTCACGCGGCCTAGGAGAGTAAGGCTGCTATCTCCCGATCATACCTAATCACCTCTCAAACGAACCGCACCAAACTTTGCGAGACTGTACATGGCACTTTGCAACCGATATCAGCCATGCTCGACCCTTCTCACGACTGCCTTCTAGCAATTAAGCCCTCAAGGTGTCTGTAGTCCGAGTTTACTTGTCTTATGGGTTAGCGTTGCTTCTCCATTGCTTTTGGAAATAAGTTATAGCGGTCTGTAGATAAACTGTCGTTTTGCTGTTCAGCCCATACTCCCCGTCCGAGAATCGGTAGTGGCACAATGCAGCTCTGAGTTCACGCCACTGCAAGCAGGCCTTGCCCAGATTGCAGCCACGCAGATATTGCTTCTCGTGATGGCGCTGCCCGCCTGTTCAAGCCGCTCATCGGGGAGATCCCACCGGGCAGTCATTTATCGCCGGGACCACCTGTGCCATTTCTGCGTACAACATCTTTGAACAAAAGGCTTGCCTGAACTGGGCCTCACGGCTTTATCCGAAGCTGGTCCAGATGACAATTGTGGCTAGTCTGAAGGACAGCGGCACCCTCCCACCGGAATTTGAGGCGACAGTTACGCTGGTAACAGGGGCACAGGATTCGATGGCAGGTCAATAGAACGGTGTTTCCGGGAGACTATGAAACTACTTACTGAGATATATGAATCATAACATAAGAGAAACAGAGGGAAGCATCACCTCTGAGTAGGTAGATTAAGAGTACAGATTAATACCCCATCTCTCATGTGGTGTTCTTGCTACGCTCAGCCCCTGTCAATGATGATTGGAGCGACGGTCTGGCGGGGAGCCTACGCGAGCAACCTCTGGTCGTTGGTCGGGTGTGGTCTGGGCATTGTTCGATTAGGCTGGCCTCATCGTAGGTGATGGGTCTATCCATTTGGGACGGTAACTTTGATCATCAGCAAGGGGACTCGTTCTCCTTTTCCACAAGGAGCAAGCTTGTCAGATCCTGCATGCCAGGAGCCTCTCGCCGAAAACGGTCACATTATTAGATTCAAGAGATTTCAAGGACAGGTACAAGTCAGAACTTCATAATTAAGACACCTCTGCGCTACCTAATTAATATACTGTGTTGGAGAGTTCAACTCACACCAAGAGCCTCAATGTTGATGAAACGATGGGAACCCGCCAGCAGACAGCAAATTGCAATCAGCTACTTTGCAGCCAAGGTGTCGCAAGTGCCCAGAAGATGATATCAACATGCAGCTCATTAACCGCAAAATCCACAAACTCGTCCTTCGTGAAAGGCTGCCCAGTCTCTTGGTTGATCTCCTCCAAGTCCTTCTCTTGAACCGCTACAACCGCTATGGGGACTGTGCCGTGAAACTTTGGAATATAGACATACGAGTTCGCCTCCTGTCCTGGCTTGTTTGGGATCAAGTCAGGCCCACCGACTCCGACTCCGTGCTTCGCGTAATAGTTGAACGAGTCCTCGAAGCGGTTGTTGGTATTGTTCCAGCCATCAGGCCAGAAGTTGACGTACTGCACGGCATAGCTCCTTTTGAAGACCCTGGCCGCGTGCCCAGCGTTTTCCAGCTCTCCCAAAAAGTAGCCCTCGTTGGTGTAATTGTTCGCGTCTTCATCCACCGCAATCGACGTCTCTGCCAGATTGAGACCAGTAATTTTGCCATCAAAGTCCTTGGCCAATGCACTCAGAAGAGCTTGATAGCGCTGGCGGACTCTCAGGTTCCATTGCTGCGCTACCCATCCAGTAACCTCGAAGTCGGTGTCACAAGAGTCACCGTCGCAGGAAGGTGCACTTCCGTTGTTGTAGTAAGGAGTGTGCATATACTTTGGGACAGGATCGTTACCCGCGCTGAAGGTTCTATCTTGGAGCTGTATCCAAAATTTCTTGCCTTTGGCCATTACTTTGTCGTAATCATTTTTGATGACGGTAAAGTTGTAGTGACTCTCAGCTGGCTCAAGAGACCTCCAGCTATATAGGGCTTGGATTCCAACAATGTCAGGTCGATCCAGTAGGTCTAGGGACTGTTCGTCGACTTGACTACTGTATAGCCAATGTTGCAGAGTTGGAGTGTTCCATTTGGGTGGCGCAGCCAGGGCTCGGGACACAAGGGCTGTCGTAGCGAGGTAGGAAAAGTGCATCCTGACAACCTTCAGTATGTGAGGTAGCGACGGAATAAGAGGTTTTCAGTCGAGAGTGATGGCCTGGGACAGACTATTGCAGTCACAAGAGATGCTGAGGAGGTGCAATTTATAGACACGGGAATGTCGCTCCACTATCCTAATTCCTCCGCGTTCAGCTACTCATCTTCTGTAATACGAAGTTGCCGTTCGGTGAGTCCTTTAGCGCTTACCAGAGAAGGATTTTTTTCCTCTTTCCTACAGCTTCAGACCGAGGCCAAAGAGGGCTCAGCTGGCCGGTCTCGGTCCATGCTTGAATGAACATACCACATTGGGGGAAACTGTGGGGTTTCTGCAGAGGATACGAGCATCGATTTGTATCTTTAGCTCTTTATGAACTAATATTGGGGAACTTGTATCCTAAAAGGAGTGAAGAAGAGGACATGAGCACCCGAGTACGACAATCTCTGTGGTGACCAGCCATCTGAGCACAGATTTGCTGAGGGGGTTCTCGGAGACGGCACGACCTCTCGCTTTGGTGGAGTTTACCATTGGAAGTATCGGCTGATTCTTACAGCACCATTCAGTTTCCATGATGAAGCCGAGCCAATGTCACCAGTAGGTTACTAAAGGAATGAAATCAAGAAAAGAGAAGAGCGGTGGTAGTACAGTTGGTATTCTTGACCAGCATGGCGAAAAGACCAACTCGTGTTGCTGGTGGCATCCTGGTCTAGTTCCATGTCCATTGAAACTTATGCCGCCAAGGGTGGTAAGAAGACTTCTGGTTCCGAACGCCCAGGAGACGTGACGGGTCTCATGGCAGGACCTTCGAAGCTTGGCATAATAAAAACACTCCGTAGCGGCAGCTACGCATCATATTGGCTACACTACTACCAGTCTAAAACGAACGTCGATATCGATGCTGGACATATACCCATAGAGTGGAAAATTCGGCCAGCAATGGTAAAACAACAATCTCAGGACGGATAAGAATCCATCTCCCAATTGACATCTGAACACATAGCCGTTCAGGTGCGGTTGTGGGTGTCAGGACAGCATAGCTTACCGAGATAATGATTAAACAGCATTTCAGACCTTTCACTACAAATGGGCGTGGAACGTGTCATGTCCATGTCAAGCAAAAGGATTGACTATACGGCTTTTGACATATACATCAACCACTCAATCACTAACCTATCTAATACAACCACTCAACTATAGGCTAGAGTAATACACCAAGTGTGCCAGCAAGCCTGTATTGCCGTTATACTCTGTCAAACGCATCCTTGCCATGGTTGTTGCTCGACAAAGACGGTTTGTATCAACTCGAAAACCCTCAGGTGCATAACAAGGAAAGCGACTCGCAACACGGCTGGATGACCAGCAAGGCTAAGTACCTAGGTAGAGAAGGTGGTTAACATCGTCCTGAAGTAGGTACCGAGCAACAGCCAGAAAGCGCAGGGGAGACGAATCGCCCAAATCGCGTTGAAAGGCTCGAATCGAATGTCGTATTGGCTCCTAGATATAACATAATATGATTTCAGACGTCTCCTAGTTTAATCGGCACGAACGAGTCCTCCCCCCATCTACCCAAATTTCCACAACGCGAGTGTGTGTAAGTAGGTACCTAGAATTGCGATGCCATAGAGGTATCCGAGAAAGCACTAGGTCTCTAGACATCTCGAAGTCTACGATGCCGCCCCATACACGCATTTCACTACCTGCACCAGTTCGTGGGTACGAAGTGCATGCCACCACTACCTTAGGTACCCCAATGCTACCTGACCTTACTTGATATATCCTTATTGCTACTGATAAGATAGGTAGGTACGCTGTGAATCTCATACCTACTAGTTAGTACTGCCCAAATATGACTTACCTAGGTAGGTAGGTATGCTGCCTATCGGCGACTTCGTCTCCTCCAACGCGTATTCACCGTTGCCCAGCCAACACTGGGTTCCTTTCAGGAGAGTTACGCTTGCGCCTTTCCTGGGATTGCGGGGTGCTTCCTTTCAATACATCTTGACCTGAACGACCGCTTTGCGACGACCTGCCTAAGGTGTCTATTGTCAAGCGCATCGCCATGGGCTACTTCTCCGCTGTTCGCATAGCTGCCAAGGCCCAGCTTCGGAGGCAACTGGTGGTCGGACGCCATTTGTACTCCACGTCATCAGCGCCCAGGCCATCACCATCGCAATCGGGCACAAGGGTGGTCTGGGGAGTGGGCACCGTAATTGCAGCTGGAGGGGGGGTCTACTGGCTCAGCAGCAAGTTGGCCGGCGACACAAGGCTTCAAGTTCCCATCGTCAAAGCAGTTGCTTCAGAGGAAGATATCTCCGTAACGTCTCCAGTCAAAGCGCTAGATCTGGACTCTGCAAACGCAAAATTGCGGGAGCAGGCTCAGTCGTTTGTCTTTGACAGTGCAGATGGGAAGCAAGGCCGTCTTGACATCGTCCGAGTTGCCAGTAACGACCCCGTGGAAGATGAATGGTCCATGGCTGTTGGGGGCGGAATTCAAGGCGAGAGGACCTTGTATGCTGGTATCATGGATGGCCATGCGTAGGCAAGTCCCCGGGCCCGGTGAGGGATTCGATGCTGACACACGTTTGCAGTGGCTGGGCAACATCAAAGGTCCTAAAAGAAGCGCTGATTCCGTACGTGTCCACTTCGCTCGGAAAGGTATCGTCCACGAGCTCGGAGGATGTGGTCAACGCCGCGATCAAGAGGGCTTTTACAAGTCTTGATGATCGCATCATGGCAAACGCTCGAAACGCAGCAGAAGCAAGCCATGAACCGGGCTCTGCTGAGGCTATTGCTGCTTTAGCTCCGGCCTTCGCAGGTTCCTGCGCGTTGCTTACGATATACGAGCCGAAGTCATCTGTCTTGAGGACAGCTGTTACAGGCGATTCGCGAGCTGTCTTGGGATCTTGGTCTGCGGCTACTGAAGCATTCACGGCGGAAGCACTCAGCAAAGATCAGACCGGGTTTAATGAAGATGAGGTGAAGAGACTGATTGCTGAGCACCCGGGGGAGAGCAATGATATCCTCGATGCCAAGACCGGGAGACTCATGGGAATTGCTGTGACACGAGGATTTGGAGATCATCGATGGAAGTGGACCAATGAGTTCATCAAGTATCTGCAGTCCAATTTCTACGGGAGCGCCCCTCGTCCAAAGTCCAAGACACCTCCTTATATGACTGCTTCACCAGAGACAACAGTCCGGAGGGTCGAGTCTTCAGACTTTGTTATTCTCGCCTCCGATGGCTTATGGGACGTCATGTCTAACGAAGATGCGGTAACTTGCGTCTCACGCTGGCTTGCAGCTCGCCGGAAAGGAAGGCCAGAAGAGGTGGATAACACCAGACTGACTGGGCATACGCTGGATGATGAAGGATTCCTGAGCTACAAGGCTACTCCTGAGTATTTTGCTATTGAAGATCTCGACAATGCGGCTGTGTGCTTGGTCAAGAACGCTCTTGGGGGGAGGAGGAGAGGGCTCTTTTGCGGCGCAATGACCGTGACTACGCCAATGAGCCGTTATATGAGAGACGATATCACAGTGCAAGTGATATTTTTCGAAGATCCCTGAAAGTACTGTTCAGGTCGTCGCCTCAAAGATTTGATTTTACCGAGAGACACGGCAGAAAGAGCTCGTGAGCCGCAGTGACTACGAGAACAGGTCCAGGTACAGAATACGAAGCGCGTATTGATGCTGCAAAGGCTGTTGGGCGGTGTGCAACCGAGTCTTTGCTGTGTCCATGAGACTAAGCTGTGTTTATGGGGCACTACTATTTGACCATGCCCTGTCCTGAGGTAGTCTTTGTGTCTATTGCGAGAGAGTTCTATACTGTATCTGAGTGTTCGCGAGCCTCGTGCTCCATCTGATGGCTCAAGTATTCGTACTCAATAACGGCTCTTTATATAAAAGCTTGATCACAGCCGAGACGAAGTAAGGCGGTTAAATGTCTTCAATAACCAGGGAAACACGTTGGATAAGCAATAGACTGAAATAAAGGAACAATGAGTTCAGCAATTGCTCATGAACTTGAATCTAGAACAGTCAGTCTCGGCACATATCGCCTACTAAACCTTGGTCCAGACTTTGCCTTTCGCTATGTACAGTTTGGAGGCACCATAAAAGGCACTTCCAATGGCAACCATGATTCCAGTAAAGACCTGCAGTTTCCAATATCCTCCTCCGGCGGCAGTGATAAGAGCACCTCCGATCGGGCTCCCCGCCAGAGCGGCTACAGACATAGTTCCGTACATGGCACCCGATCTGAGGCCAATCTCCCGTATATCCGATATTTGTGCCACGAGTGCCGGGCTTATAGCCGTATAGGTCCCCGTGCTGAGGCCAAACATGGCCGCAAAGACCATGGCCGTCTCATGGGAATGTCCAGGTAGCCATACGCCAAAGACCAAGATGGTTGACAACAAAGACGCACAGAAAGACACGTTGTAATTTCCCACTTTGTCCGCTATATATCCCGGCAGGATGCGGCCGATGCCGCTGAAAATGAGTTAGGATCTGTTAGCTTCAACCAAAGGACACTTTATCGATCGTCCACTGTTCAATACTGGACGTTATGGTAAAAAGGTACATACCTTGCGGCATTAAACATGGCAACTAAATACCGAGACAGCTCCGTTGACATGCCTCTACTTCTCCCATATGTCACCATAAAGGTTATTGGTATGAACATCCCCATGAAGTAGAAGAATGCAGCTAGAGCCAGCAGGAGAAAGGGAGGATCTCTGAAGGTTGTGAAGAAGGCGGCGATTCCAAAGTTTTTAGGCTGCGGCCGAAGGCGTGATCGAACGGTCAAGTTAGTTATGATGAGAAGGCCGAGCATCAGAAATGCACATGCTCGCATTGTCCAGCCAAAGCCAATGGTAGGTATCAGTTGGTTCACCATAATGGGCATTACGACTCCGCCCAGGCTAGATCCACTGGCGGCGATGCCCATTGCGAGGGCACGTTTCCTTTGGAACCATGTCGTGATACAGCCGAACGAAGGATATAGGACCATAGCCGCGCCGATTGGGCTGCAAATAGATTGAGAGAGCAGAAAGTGGTAGTACTTGGATGAGATGGACGCCATCATGAGGCCAAGAACATGCACGATGCTGCCGAGTAGCAGGAGAGTTCGAGGACCATCATGATCAAATAACTGGCCAACAAAGGGTCCCTATGGCCAGGTGAGAGAGACGTAGACTTAGCAGACTGCTTCTCAAGGTCAATCTTTGCGTCCCGACATACCGCAAGGAAAATGGTGAACATGGAGACCGCTGGAATCCAAGATACCGTACTTGGTGAGAATGAGGCGAGCTGGTGTGTTTCGTAATATTCTTGGAACACGCCGACACCTTTGAGAGGTTTCTCATGTCATCATTAGCTGCAACTTGCATTGCTCGTCTAAACCTGGTGAATGACGGGGAGGCGACGTACAATTTGTCCACCCAAAGCTGACGAAGAGTCCGAAAAAGGCGCCTAAAACGACGGACCACGCCCGCAAGCCTCCGTCTGGGAACGGCTGAGAGTCACCGGGTTTCTCATCAGGATTGGGCGGCTCTGGGCGCACCTCCGTAGTAGACTCTGACATTTGATGCTTGCCATCCATTCCGCTGCTTTACCTGCTCACTTTTGGGATGTTCAAGAATGAAGGGAATATACATGGTGCAGCACGATCGGTCGCTGAGCGTTGAGTCACCTTCGACAAATGGGGGTGCTGCCTGACATTCGCGCCCTTTGAGAATACGGGAGGTCCAAATTGGTCGACCACGGCTCGTTCGTCTCCGCGGAGTTGTGCCCTGCATAAATGCGAGGGTTGCCCGGTAAATAGCTGCTCAGCTTTCTCATCCTCTCGGCGACAATTACAGGCTTTGGACCGCCCACACACCGCAGAGGATCTCCCTGCGTAGAGAGCCTCGCTATGAGCCACGCTTAATAAGTCAAGTTCATTGATCTGCTCCTCGACAAGACTCGACCGAGTAGCGGCGCACAGATACGTCTGTTTCTTTGTCTCTTACTCTTTCTTCCCTTTTTAGGGCCGAAAAGCTATTTCGAACTAGAGACGCTCTGGCGCATCGTGCAAGATGAGTGATATTCCTGAGAGGGGACGCATCATTCTATTCGCCACAATAACCGTGTTCGTCACTGCCAACCAAGCGGCCAGCCGCATTTCTGTTTCGTGACAACATCTTTCCGTCCGTTTCGGATAAGTCAAAACAAGGATTGAGATACCATGGCTATCCTCGTCTACTGAGCTCTCATGACATGCTGCAAAGATGCCTTGCCTAGTGTCGATCAGAAAGCATCATCGCAGTCTGAGTAGGAGTGGCATCTCATCGCAGCTGATCGTTTAAGCGATATATGGCTATGGAGCTGTATAGCCGCCATCTACGATGAAGTCAGCCCCAGTCGCGTAGGAAGAAGCATCGGAGGCCAAGTAGAGGTAGATGCCCTGCATCTCGACCGTCTCCGCAAAGCGCCTAACACAGTTGGATCAGCTTCTCATCTTGACAAAGGTACATACTTCGTCCCAGTTACTTACCCCATTGGAATCTTATCTTTGATCGAATTCATCGTCTCTTCAGCTACCGCCCCCGACAGGCCGGTGTTGACAAAGAGTAATCCTATTTGAACCGTAGCATATTCCTATTTGAACCGTAGTGGTCTGTGCAACAGCTAGAGAGACACCCCCAAGTGATAAGGTCCACGCCCGCACAGCAAAATACAGTATAGCACACTGGCGGTCATTACCGTTAAGGAGATATCACCAGAAGGGACAGCAGCGGCATTAGCTTTTAACTATCGCCGGCTTGCTCCTGATCTCTGCGTAGGTAGGTAGCTGGCTGCAACTTGGAACCTACAGATAACTGTAAGGAGGCCCTGCTGCTGCTACCTCTGCTGCTATTGCCTCTGCTGCTGCCTCTGCTGGTGCTGCTGGTGCTGCTGGTGCTGCTGGTGCTGCTGGTGCTGCTGGTGCTGCTGGTGCTGCTGGTGCTGCTGGTGCTGCTGGTGCTGCTGGTGCTGGTGCTGCTGCTGCTGGTGCTGCTGCTGGTGCTGCTGCTGGTGCTGGTGCTGCTGCTGCTGGTGCTGCTGCTGCTGCAGTTATTGCTTTAGCCCTAGGGTGATGACGGTTATGATAATAAAGGCAAAGGGTCTACGTATTAGAGATCGCGATACTGTCGTTTATGGTGTTGTTATGCGGGCTACAGGATATACCAGCAGCTTACACTATAAGTGGGTGTGCAGCTCTAGGACTGGTGGTGTAAGCGTAATGATTTTAGTATGGACACGGACCACTACGGTTCAAATAGGAATATGCTACGGTTCAAATAGGATTACTTTTGACAAATCCAGGGGAGACGCTGTTCACACGGGCAAACCCGAGCCATTCAATAGCAAGGGATTTGCCTGAGTTGGGTGCCAGGTTAGCACAAGAACAAACATGACTTGGACGGGAACAAGCACACTTACACAGCTGGATAACATGCGCCTTGGAGGCATTGTACGCCGCCTGGCGCCGGGGAATATTCACGATATGTCCAGACATACTTGCGGTTGCAATAAAGCTGCCGCTTGTGAAATTGGTCAACTTCGCTCCGTCGGACGTTGTGCCTTGCAGCTTCTGTCGGCGAAAGTGTCTTCCAGCGGCGCGCGCGCAGTAAACGACACCATCGGTGTTGATCTTCATTAGATTATGATATCTGCCGATATCTGCATCGATGAAAGCCTCATCTCCCCAGGAGGTGCCCGAATTGGCGACGAAGATGTCAAGGCGACCATTGAATTCGCCAATGACTTTGTCTACCGCTGCGTCGACTTCCTCATGAGATGTGACATCGACTTTGTACGCTCTACCTGTTCCATTCCGCATTAGTTCACGAAGTCTATAGCTATCATTTCTTCGATAAAGGACCACGCAAAGACTTGAGGCCGCATCACATTACATTTGACGTTGTATAGTCTCTCAATAGTTGCCGCCTTCTCGATAGCCTCGCTGTTTCTGTTGTACCAAATGGCGACATTGGCCCCGGCTTCAGCAAAGGCTCTTGCCGCCGCCAGGCCAATGCCTCCCCCCGCACCTGAGATGATTGCCGTCTTGCCGATCAGGGAGAAGAGAGACATGACTCCATTGTTCGCTGGGGGCAGTGTGTTGTTGCGTCGGAACACGCCGTGCTCAATGCCTTCGGCCATATCGAGTAGCTCCTCAATAGGTGTTGAAGTTGATTCCCTCTTGGTGGCAATGCGTCAAAGTCAACAAAGCCCGGGTGAGCTATGTCATGTTCAGCCCTTGATATAGTGTGGAGAACCACCTCATGAGCCTACTGCTCCGCTGATGATGCCGACTTCGCCTTGATGCGCGCGGTTGTCGCAGCTGCTAGCACTGAATGGTGAAGAAGCTGCCTGTTCTTCCGAGTAGCCCCCAATTAGTCCGCGCCACCCCCAAATGTTCGGCAACGTTACATAATGCTGTGCTTCAGGCAATACAATATCATTTTAACGAGAATCGGCAGGATAAAAAGAGACGTCTGAAAGAGGCCACTGTTGGCATCGAAAGGAATGTGTTAGCTCAAGTGGATGAATGAGAGATATTTCCTCGATGCGGGTATTTCATTCTGGTATAAGAATATTTAGCAAGCAATTGTCACAGTTGCGTACCTTACCTAGGCAAATATGATTCTATTCAGGGTCAAGAATTACTTGCACCTGAGATTTTGCGTCACAACTGGCAAGTTAATTCTACAAATGCTTCGACTTCGTCAAATAAAGTAACACACACAAGACAAAGCTGCCCCATCAGACCATATCAGCGTGACAAGGAATTTGCACCAAGTCCTCCATCAATATGCTACCGTAGGTATTAATATATCGGTACTCGCACGGTCATTGGGATCGTGGTCAGCCAAACCTATTACCTATATAAAGTCAAAATGATCCATAACCTCCTTCCTCCGCCATTGTCAAGGCGTATTCCTCCAATATCTCTTCCGAGCAGTAGCTGGCGGAGTGCTGCGATGCGCCGTTGTTTGAAACTATGTAAATAAATCCATCCATTGATCTACGGTTCTGGCGATAATCTCCTGTATATCCACTTCTTCGTGCGGCTCCTCAGATTGACATCCAGTGTCGTTGACCCATGATAGCTCCCAAATCAATAGTTGCTGTTCGAATTCCGTTTGGTTGTACTTGTCCGGCTCTGTCACAGTGAGATATTCGACAAACATCTGCCACCGTTTTAGATGGTATGTCTTCATCAGCCCAGACCATGCTTTCGAAGCGTAATCAATGAGTTGGCCTGAAGGCCCCCATAGAGTAATCTGATTGCGTGCTTCATACTCAAAGGAGTCCACATATGCTGGACTGGGAGCAGAAGAACGCGCTGCCGACAACCAAGTGGAAAGGCGAAAGTTTCTGTTCGAGGAGAGAACAAGGTCGAGCGAGAGGAGTAGTTTGGTCACTTGCTGGCCTTGAGCCTTCAATCGCTGGATCCGGCTTCCGGCCGTTTGATTCGAATTGTAATAGATATCGACAATGTTCTTGTAGATGGGGATAAATGCATTAGCCAGTACCTGACGCGTCCAATCAACAAGATCGTACTGGTATGCCGAGTTGTTGAAGAGCGACGTGTCTTGCAACCCAGCATGATAGAGCTGTTTCCACGCGCTTACCATAACAGCTGGATCATACGGAAGCTTAGTACCCAGAATTCCAGTAATGTCAGCCATATTGCTCGTCCTTGGGACAAGCTCAATGATGGACTTTGGCACTGATGGCATCAGAGTAAGATTGGTATTGTCGTATACGGTAGTACGAACAGTCTCCCATGCATCATGGATGAACCCCGGTCGCTGATCGCTCGAATATCGCGCAGAAGCCCAGTTGTGGAAATAGGCCTCCGTGTCGAGAGGCTCACTGCTCCAGGCCTGAGCGAGGAGAAGATCATAAACGATCTCGTTGTTCTGTTGACCCTCCATGGAGAGGCCAAATCCAGAAAGAGATGTTGACTCTTGCAGAGCCAAAATAGGGCTGTTGGTCACGTTCTGTATCTGGCCATATAAATTGATCGTGGCCCCGTAGTTCTGCAACTCGCACCATATCCAAGGTTTGCCATAATACGATTGCGCGCGCTGCCACTGTGGCATTGATTCTGACCAAATGTCCAAGATGAGCATATCGCTATCGGCGGTGACGCCGCCGAGATAGGCTTCAATACGCTCGTTCGTCCAGAAAGTTGTGTTTTGCGCAAATAGCCAAGCTTGGAAAACCCATATAGCATTGGGGTCTGCCGACTTGAGTGCTTTCCATGTGTTTGAGCTCACATTCCGGAGGTAAGCCACATCGCCTGACGGGGGTATCATCTCGTTGAACTGGTCAAGTGTGTAAAAGTTGGTAACATTCCCATATGCCTGTTTCTGCTTGGTGATGAAGCTCCGCTGCATTTGTGCAAAAAGAGGATCGACAGGGTCAAGGAAAGTGTCTTCAGTGAAGATTTCTGGAAAGCCAGCCCATTGGATACTGTGAAGTAGCCGAGCATCAGGCAGCACGCGAGGTGCTGCTCGAGGAACGAAGCCTGGAAATGCTGGCAGGATAGGTGTTATACCTAGCTCAACCATGCGTTTGACAATCTTTTTCTGCAGAGCAAATTGGTCATCAACCCATTCGAACGGCAGACTGCTGGACCACGACCCTTGTAGATTTCCAAAGTGGTTCCAAGCAAGAAAAGCAGGGCCAGTGAAAAAGTCAGCAATGTCGTCATCTGAGAAACCGGCCTCTTGAAAGACCTCGATGAGGATCTTCTCAATCCCAATCCAAGCTGGTGCCATATTGATTCCACGCAGAGCCATCCAATCCAGTTGTAGTTCCCAATCTTTCCAGGTCCAGAACGCGGCTGTATAAGAGGTAGTGACTAGAACAACCAGGAGTTATAAAAGGGCCCAACTTGATACCATTTGTGGCCCGTTCCTACCTGTGTTGAAGTCGTAACGATAAGGTACGACGCTTGATCCATTCAAGGGTAAGAACAGCTTTGGCAGAACCAGGGGTGCATCTTCGAGCTGGCTGCCGGCGTACCACCAGATGTCGACATGAACAACGTCGAAGAGGTAGGAATGAAGGCTTGTCGTGGCACACGTCAACAGTCGGCCAATTGAACACAGCGGCTTTGACAGGACAAAAGTGGTCTCACCCGTATAAAATGGAACTCAGCGATGTACCCTCTACTCGGAATTTGCCATCATGTGTAGTAGTGACAGCGTAGCTCTCCAAACCCGACTCTTTGTTTGCAGATAAGGAGAAAGTAAATGAATGTTCGTGCTGCGGTAGTCGTCTCCTTACAAGAGCTTCTATGCCGGCAGTTGAACATGTTGCAGAGGCTATAGACGCAGAAGTCGTTATAGCTGCTGCCGAGATAGTCACCAGGCCGGCAAAGGCGTTGGTGTTGAATAGCCTCATGGCTCCTAAGAGTGAACTAATGATGCTCCTAACAACGGGCTGCCATGGTAAGTTTGGTATGGGGGCTCGTTGGGTTATATGGCAGTCGTTCGTCTGGGGGTCGATGTCTTTTAAGAAAGCGAGAGTCAATCTTGAAGGAATGCAATCGTTGAGGGGTATGGTTGCATTAACGAATCCCATCTCCATACTTTCTCGCCCCCGCCGATCATCGATCTCCATGTGGTGATAAGTCATCAGAAAGCAGAATGTGCTTCGTTTCAAAATCTCCGCATAGAAAGCCCATCACCCATTGCTCGTATTTCTTAAAACTTGAATTTAACACAAGATAGCCGTGCGGGAGATTGTTTGTTAGACCCCTTGCGCACGACCTAGTCTTTGTTCAAAGTCTTTTCAAGAATATGGCACGCGATAACGCTTCAAAATGTCCTCCACTTTGCATAATCGATATATCAACTTTCCGTGGACGACGGCGCAAACAGGTTCCGAACACACCGCTGACACTGACATTGAGCGGAACTCGGTCTCGCTTCGCGCCGAGTGTTGCAGTGCCTCTCAGAACCGATCGCCTACCTACCTAAGGTACCTAGGTATTCCGCAAAGGTAAGGTACCTTACTTCCATGTGGAAGCTCCTAAAATACCCTAGAGGTATTGAGCTCCGCAATTGTTCTATGCGAAGCTTCAATCGGGCAAGAGAATCAAAGCTTGGCCGGAACGGAATACGTTTTCTGGTCAGACAGAGTTACTCACGTTGCTGGGAGACATGCCCGCCGTTAGGAATCTACAGTGGACGAACATGGACGCCGGAACCGCTATGTTTAGAGGCCCACTCACATGTACTCACGCACAATGAGCTTAACAAGGCTTCAAGTGCATACGATACAGATGCAGAACGACATATATAGCCTTCAAGGCAAAGAGATTGAAACACATCGATGAAGCGTTACTAAGCTAGTTCGACTATCCAGCTCTGTAGAAGTTCCCGAATCATGATGCTGTAAACGTGGACAAAAAATCGTGAACAGAGGAGGAGCTCAACTACCTTAGGCAGAACTGGCTAGTCCGTGTCCTTTGGCGCGTTTTGCCGTTTTGCGGAGCGGATCTCTTCTCCAGGCAGCACGAATATCACATTCTAACTCCTCCCAAACTCATCAAGACCGGCCATAACCATGGACACTATTCCATTCGTGCCAACAGACCAACAGGTCGAGGCATTTAAGGACTGGGTACAGTCGCAAGACAGAAAACCCCGTGTCTGGGATGCTCAGCGATGGTTCCAGAGCTCACAGGAAGTCGAGGGCGTCTCAGAAGCTTCCCTGAACGCAGCCCTTGAACCGCTCATTGATGAAGCAATCGAAGATGCTACCAGGGCCGTCGAAGAACGGAGCAAGGTACTCCCCATCTTTCCATACTAGCATTATTTGTATCGTTCACAGGCGAAACTTCCACATAGACCCTTGTTGTTGCTAATTGGGACATCAAATCGATCCCTACCTTATAGACACTGTCAAGCCTTCGAGTTCCTGGCTTTGGTCTCCCACTGGGCTATATGCCCCCTGAAGAAGAGCGATTCCCCGTGCTGATCGGCGTTCATGGATATGACTGGAAAGCTGCAACGCTTCTTATACGGGAAGTATGCATGCTAAAATTCATGGAGGAGCTGACCAACAAGCCACTCTGGTGGGAGAAAGTCTGGATGCCCGACACTGCCGAAAAATGGAAGCAAGAGGCTCTCCAGATGAATTGGGAAGAGTATCGCACGTTTGCGGACTTCACACCTGCCATGGCAGATGCAGTAAGTCCGATTTGCTTTTGAATAGAAGCTGCTTCACTGACAGATCAAATAATTAGTGCATACATGAGCTGCGTAAGAAGGCAGACCTCGTGAAGAAAACCGGTCTTGTCCCAATTTTTGACTATTCTTCTTGTGTCATCAAATCCGACAGTCTGATTTCGGAGAGTTTACGAGACTCGCTTCGCTCAGCAGCTGCGGTATTGGAAAACGTTCCAGATGAAGAAAAGGATTGGCATCCCGGTAGTACGCACAAAGTGCTCGATCTCGTCCACCCGTCGCTATGGCCCTTTATCTACGGTCGCACCCCCGTTCTTCTCGATACGAGAATCAATCTTGCGAATGCGCTGAGCCACTGCGGTGTCGGCACGATTCTCCCAGCACCAAAGCCCATTGAGATTGCTGGCCCCGGGAGCCACTGGTCAAGGCCGTTGGAGGACCCGGTCCCTTCTCTCTCATACAAGTTCCAGTGGTTGCCATGCGAGGTCGTTTTGGATGGTAAATCTGCCAAGATCGACAGCTACATAAACAACCTACATCCAGTTGATCACGCGAATCTATACCCGATCATTGAACAATTCATCGAGAAGTCACTGCCTGCTTGGGACCTGATCTACCGATGGCCGAAGGAGTTTGAGATCCAGCGTCTTAAAACCCGAGAAGCGCGAGCGAAATGCACAACAGAGGAGATGTGCCGACTAGCCTATGGGTGCAAGCCATGGAACCGTCCGATTGACGAAGGGGAGCCAATACGCGATGAGAATGAACCTTACACGGTGGAATATCGTAGCTCTGATCGATACAAGCGTGATATGGCGTGGCTGGTTAAGACTCACAAGCTGAACCTACCGGAGCCTGCGTTCGAAGAGGATGGCTATTATCGACTCAAATCATCGGATGTCAAATCGAGCGGCTTCTTCAATGGCGCGCCTCGTATTCAAGTCATTGTCAAGCTTGCCAACGTCCATCTGACCCCCGAAGATCCTGACTTTAAATTTGAAGCCTCGCAGGAGCTTGCTGAATGGTATACCGCTGCCGACCACAATGCCATGGGGCCCGATCCTGACCTGGATGGGTCTTCTTACCAACCAGGTACATCAGAGGCCTCTTCTTCGGAATCCGAAACCTCATCAAGCGCGGGCCGAGCCTTATCTCTGGATCTTTCCGACTATCACAGTATATATGTCGATAACGATACCACCGAATTCGAAGGCGGATCGTGGCATACGGAGGGAATGCTCAATGAGCGTATATGTGCCACGGCGCTCTTCTACTATGACTCGGAAAATATTACAGACTGCCATCTGGATTTCCGCACGCCGGCTGACCGTGAAGAGCTGGTCGTCAACCTCAACTACGAGCAGAGCGAGCATGTCTCGATCGAACGCACATTTGCTATTCCCAACGCTAATCGCGACACTCTTCAATACCTTGGAGGCGTTCTCACTACCAACAGCCCCTCCACGGGAGACGCTGATACCCGCGCCGTGTTCTTCCCAAACCTCCTTCAGCATCGGGTCTCACCCTTTCGCCTCAAGGACCCGACAAAGCCAGGCCACCGCAAAATTCTCGCCCTTTTCCTGGTCGATCCCGCGATTCCCGTCCTCTCTACAGCTAATGTAGCACCGCAGCAGCATCATTGGTGGGATCGGGAAACAGGTATTAAGCAGACCCTTGCTGCTCGTCTGCCTAATGAGCTGACGCAGCTCGTTTTGGACCATGCAAGAAACGGCCTCCCCATTGACTTGGAGGAAGCCAAGAAGATTCGGCTTGAACTCATGGATGAAAGATCCGTGAAGCAGGATAGTACGGAAGAGGAGCTATACAGGACAGACTGGAATTTCTGCGAGCACTGAGATATAACAAGCGGCTTTTACGCCCACAATTTTGTGCTGGGTCGATGCAGTTAAAAGCAATGGTAGATGCTGGCCGTCAGTTTGTATCTTCGAAGTTTTCGTCCTGGCGATTTTCCACTTCATACGAACCTTTCGGTGGCAGAAGGTATGCGATTCGGCATGAACATCTCTGTTCAGGACCATGTAGTCTTCTTTGTTAGAGCAAGGTAACTTTCATTGGCCAAGACAACATTATAACGTCTTTGGGAGCGTTTAAATTCACAAACAGGCATTGGGTCGCATTCTCTATCCATCCTATGGGCTCTTCATTGCATTTGATTATCTCAGGGATCTGCCTCACCAGGAACCCATTAAGTCACGTATCTCCCTGGTATTCGGATATGAGCAGTAGCTGAGAATGGCATGGGAAGTATCTCGGGTATATTTTGAGTACTCTAGTCATAAAGCGTCAATTAATGTAGTTCCCAGTATTCGGGCACATAGCTAGGGCATCTTTGGAAGCACCATGCGAATCCACATCAAGTGTTATTGTCTTGTTCTTTGGCCACATCCTTTACAGCAAGTGCTCGAGAAATAGCTCAAAACATGTGAACAATGTCGCTAACACTGATAACAGATAGTTTGCACTGCTTGCTCCGTGCAAAAACCGACGGCTGGCCTCGTCTACTCAGCCACAGGGCAAAAGTCGTAGTAACCGTCAACATGGTTACCCCACCACGAGGGGAAGGGAGTGGCAGGGCCACCAGCTCCAAAGACTGCAAAAGAAAGAATAAAGAGCACCGTTAGACTGGCTCCATCAAAAGCGCCGGTGACTAGGTACGAATAGTCCTTGAAGATGCGAGGGCGGTAGTTTCGGAGGTAGTACTGGGTGAAGAAACCAGAAGCAAGCTGGCTCCAGATGACGCAGGTCTGGGACTGGTTATATGGGATGTAGCCGGCGTACTGGATGAACTGGGGCAGGTTGATGTCGCGAAGGTCAAAACTTCGAATTTTGGGGACAAACTAAACGAATTGTCAGTAGGCTTGAGTAACAAGGCCATTTGGTGAACACTCACGTAAACCAAGGCGCGGTGAAGAACAACAAGTCCAGCACCAATAGCCAGTCCAATAGGCACCATTTCGTAATCAGCGCCAGACTTGTAAAGATACTTTGCCAGGGCCCAAGAAGCGGCGTTGGTGTTGTACGACTGGATCGTTGCGCCACTCCATGAAGCGTTGCCGTTGCTGTTGACAAGGAGATCACGGTTGCCATTGACGATGGAAATCATGACACCATAGTTGACAAATCCGCCGAGAACTGTGCCATAGATCTGAGTGAGGAACATGACACGGGGAGGAATCTTGACTGTGGCAATGTGTCAGTAATAAGGCTCTCTATCAGTAATCACGGACGCTGAAACACACGGTATTCTCCCATCTTGAGGTCATTGCACAAGCTGACGCAGTTGGAAATAACGTTGTGAGACCAGGCGGCAAAGTACATGTTGCCAACAGGGCGGCCAGGAAGCATCAACCCCGCCAACATCTTGGACAGATTGTTGGTGGCAATGCCGTTGCCATATCGAGAGTAGAGAATGGTACTCTATAATTCATGTCAGACCACGGGGTCGGGGCAAACATTTTCACTGAGTGGCATATTTACCAGAGGAGCAATGAAAATTCCGACAAGTAGAGCGACGACGTAAGCCCATGCGGGGAGGGTAATGTTCTCCTTGATGACAACAACGAGGCCGAGAACAAAGCTGAAGACAAGAACCGCAATGTACCACCACCAGGGGGCCTCTTTGTAGTGCTTGGCCATATGCTCATGATGGCGGTCGTCGTATCGCCCGTTCCTCGCACTCTTGTAAGACTCCTTGACATCGCCGCCCCAGAAGAGGAAACAGTGAGCAACCAGGGCACCGATCTAAGCATGTGTTAGCCGTCATTACTCATGGGAAGTGTAGGAATACGTACAGCAGCGTTGGCCATGAACATGGCATACGCGAAGCTTCCAGTCAGCTTAGGAACACCGTACTTCTGCAGAGCATTCTCGTCGAGAACGCCACCGACAAATACTTCCGACACGGGATACTTTGTACCATTTTCGGCACGGAGCTGTGTCGACATGAATGGCTGGGACTTGGAGTTCCATGAATTCGTGTAGTAGATGGCCAGCATGATAACATAGCAGGCGAGAAAGCCGGCAGCAGCATGGGCTTGCAAAGTGAGAGGGAGAGATGTATTGAAGGAGGTGATGTATTGCCAGTCAAAGGAGAAGTTGAAGAGCCCCAGCCCTTCGTTGTTGGTAGCACCGCCGAAGAGGTTGGTGAGAATGGCAGCCTTTGACCCCGTCGCATGCATGGCGGCCAAGCACGGGATGGAGATGGAGTTCAGAAAAGGGAAGATGTAGGCAGGGAAGAACTCGTAGAAGAACATGCCGACAAAGCTGTACCAGAAGAAGCGGAGGGGTTTGGAGCCCTTGATGTTCTGCCAGTGAAGCCCCTGGAGAGTTTTGACAGTGGGCAGAGTGCTCCAGTAGACCGCCTCAACGTGCCAAACGCAGATGGGGCGCAGGACACCACAAATACCGTACCCAAAGAGACCAATGGAGATGACGCTTAAGACAACGGTTGACGCACTTAAGGGCAAGTTGTAGAAGAGGTCCTGGGCAGTGAAGACTGTGATACTGGCCGTGGCGTTTGAGGCAGAGGTGGCTGTGATGGCACAGACGGCGTGCTCCTTGAGGTTCCAGGGTCCAGGGTTGATGAATGTGGCGATGGTAATCCACAGAGGTGGCTTTCCTTGGCCTCCCCTGGCTTGCCATCGAGCCTTCAGCTTGTCACCGCGAGGGAGGAATGCCGCCCAGGCGTTGCCGATGAAGTAGGCGATGAGGACGATGAAGGTTCCAGATATCGTAGCAGCAGTTGGTTTGAACTAAGAAGGCAAATACTGGTCAGCCTATGGGTTGCTTGATATACGCGTACAATGCCTCTTTGTTGAGACAGACCTGGTAGATCTGGCTCATGACGGCCTGGAAGGCAGATAGACATGTAGCCAGAAACATGCTTCGGAACGTCAAGGAAGGCTCGCCGTCATCCCGCAGCGGCAGCAAGTGTGCTGCGGCATCGGCACCCGTGATGATAATCACATCGTCGCTACCATTGTCCTTCTCATCGTAGTCGTCGTGGTCAAGGGGAGGGGCAATGCTGATCTCAGTGTCCAAGCCGCCCTTCTTCTCGGGGTCGACAGCGCTGTCAACTTGGACTTTCTCATCCGAGATCTCATGATTAGGGGTCGAGCCCTCGACTACAACCACGTCGTCCGCTGGTGAGGCCGTCATGTTGACCAAGAGCTACCTTGAGCTGATAGCAATCCACTCGGTGGGTGGTGATGAGATGCCGCGTCGAGACACACGAACACGCGCCCTCTCCCCCAGGCATCTGGCAGCGTCCGCCTCCATACTTGTATGACTTTCCATGTCCTCGCCTTGTCCTTCACCAGAGGCGATATCAAGGGTCCGTGAAGCAAGCAATGATACCGTTTTCCCGGAGTGCGATGGGGTCCTGGCCGGTGGTGTAATCCGGGTAACAGTTTATGCAATCAACAGGCTAAGTGATCTAGAATGGCACCCAAGCACCAGCCATCCATGTTTGGCCGGTACTTTTGAAGTCCACCACGAAAAGAGTACGGACTTTCCGCATGAGGCTAGTAACCATGCCAGATGCTGGAAAAGGTCCCGAGGCTAGCTCGTAGATAAGGTTGTTGCACGTTCTGTTGGACCACCAAGATCACGTTCGAGGACGCTTAGATAACGCAGTGTGACCACCGGAGTGGTGCTTTCGCCCCCAGGAAGGCGTTGTTCGAGTATCTCTAGGAATGTCCAAGAACACCACTTGCGGATATTTGCCCGCATCATCTGATTCAAACGTGCCGCTGGTCAGAAAGTAGGGCGGGAGGGCCATTCTGGGGATGCTTCCCAAAGACCTGTCGTTGGACAAACAGGTGAGCGAGCCGCTAAATCGGCATTCATGGCTTGGATACTTATTGATATTATCCTGTACGACGTATGACATCCTTTACTTTGCCAAGATCATCAATAATGTCTCGCGTGTCAGATTGGACCGGGTTCTACATGCTATCATCATTCACAATTTCACTCCAGAGAACATGCCAGTGCTCATGATGTGCCCTTGACCATTAGAACAGTGAAGTAGCTGCGTTACACTGGATATTCGTCCTCCCATTTCAGGTTCCACGGTGATACTCTGGATCGTGTCTTTGCACATGAGGACGCCAAGCTAACAGCGCAGCATTCCCGCCATTGGGTTGCATCTCTCCGCAATTGCCACACGGGCCTGGGTCTGACCCTTGCCACCTTGCCACGCCCTGCAAGAAGAGAGTCAGGCTTGTCAGGATACGATCTGACCAGCATGGCCAAGCAGTGATCTTGTCCGTGGAACTCTTGCTTCCATCTGGTATCACGACATTGGTGGGCGCTAGGGATAGTTGTCATCCCGTTCGTTGGTGCTATCGGGCCGCGGAGGACTTTTGATATCTGTTCATTCGCTCATCAAAAGATCCCGACCTTCGGGTTACTGTTGAGACGAGGCAAATCATGTGTTGAGGACCCAGGTTGATTCCAGAGGCGTTGGTTCGGATCATGGCTGCATATTTATAGAATTCGATAAGCTGCATGAAAGGTTGAGCTAGGCATGATGCTTATTGGAGTGAATGAAACACCTTATCGGACTTTGTGGACTGTTTGCAGGAAACCGCGGAAGATCTGGAAGTAGCGCCAACATAAGCATCGTCAACACATTCAGACCACATCGGGGTGGGGAGGCCGGCTCGGAAGACATACTACTTTTGGTAGGGCAGTACTCCGTCCATGTATGTACAAAGTGAAAGAAAGCTTCAGAAGGGTAATGTTCGGTTTGTAACTACTTCACGATGTCACAAGCCCCTGGGAGTTGCAACTAGTAACGGCTGTCAGCCACATCATGTGTTGGTTGAGGCACGGTCTGATGTTGACATGTGAGGACAATCTTGTTGGTTTCAAGCAAGGGGCCCAACTTCGAATTCTACCTTCTCTACATACAATAATTTCCTCTTCCAAGCAACAAGTCCAAGATCAATCGACTGTTCACGTCGCTATCGCAGCGTTGGTCTACAGTTCTTCACCAGCTTGGTAGGAGGACAGCTGACGACCTTATGGAATATACTTGCCAATTTTTGCCTACACCCTTGCAACCCGAAGGCTCACTGCTAACGTCGAATGCTGCTGTCCAGGGGTGGCAGATCCTACACTAATCCAGGTGATCCTATGGTGATTTCATTCATTTCGATTGGCTGCGGTGTCTTCATACCGCAATCGCTTGGCCTTATCGTGTAATTCCTTGGCGTACAATACTCAGATATCTGAGCTATAGGAACGGTCATAGTCTGAGACGGCCTTTGTGATGGTGTTGCCATGTCGCCTCCCCACACACAACGAGCAGGAGTTACATGTACGCCGTTCGCTAACAATAGTCATATCCAACAGTATTTCATCCTGGTTTCCTTCGATACCAGAGCAAATCGGCTACTTATGGGAGATAAGCATGATAATGAGAGGTGAGGGTCGTGCTCTGTGGCTTCATGGGCAGCAGAAGATCCCGCATACATCACGAACACTGAGCATGGGAAGCTGAACATGACCTGTATCAATCTCTACTTACCTATACTATGATGCAAATGGGGAAAGGGAAAATGGTATGCATAATGAGATTGTGAAGTAAGGATAAACATGCAAACAGAAGCGTACAGCCATTTGCTTTTTATTGAAGGGACTAATGAACTGTCGTGAGGGTTTGTATGTAATTACAAGCTAGCCTTTGATGTCAAGAGTATGGCACAAGTTCGTAGAGATCGGTTCCTGTCTCAATAGACATTTTCTGACGTGAGCAATGTCTGGTGTCAAGTTTCGCTTGGACGGGGAAATCTCCAATGGAGATATGCGTCGATAGCAAAGCGAATACCGACTTCATTGCCTTGGACTGCTTTGAGTGGCCGCGTACATGTTTCTGCATTTTGCCTTCAACACCTGGCATGTTCCTTCAACGTGGCCAATATCATCCCATGGCCAAATATCTGACCATCGTCTTTCGATTGATGCCCTAGTGATTATTTGCAACTTTGGAAGCTATCTCATGGGCATGGGCATTTGAGGGGCGAAAGTGGGAGGACGACGCCTCAACTTAGCTCTTTACAGTAACGAGCCCATGAAGGGCATGCTTGAAGCACGGTCTCAAACCTGGGGTTGCTTCGAGGTATAAATGGTACCATACAAAAAGGGGTGGCTGCATGGCGTAGATTCTGGCATTGCGTCCTTAACCAATTCTTGGCAGATCTCCTGTGTCGATGAAGGCCATAGGAGCATGAAAAGCACACATCTCTATTGTAATCTTAGATATAGATACAGAAGCTGTATATGACGCATATGTTGCTAATTGTGTTACCGGCCCAGTACCAGAATCTCTCCAGCCGGTCATGCTCAGTTCGGAGTGTTCGGCCGAACCGTCTGGTCAAGACGATCAGCGACTAGAGCCTTGAGCCTCTCTTCGGTGATGACCTCGACGCCAAGCAGTGAGTTGTCGTTGGTGTCATATGCGCTGCTGTATGCTTCACCGAAAACAGTGGCCAACAGTATGTTTCCATAAGCCTGCAAGCCGTCGCCACCAGAGGCTATTGCATCAAGCCCAGCTTTCAAGATGTCGGCTGACTTGATGTCTCTGATTGTCCACTGAATCTCGGGGTTGACATTTCTCGCAAGCTCTAGTAGCTGTCTCTGACTTAGGATTGCCTCAGAAACATAGACCACACGATTCTCAGTTTCATCTGAGTGGTCAAAGACTGCAGCAACCGCTCGAGCGAAAGTTGCTAACGATGTGACGCTGACCCTGGTATTGCCCCCATCGATGAAGGCGACGGAGTGGTTCTTGAAGTCAATGGCGGCGGGGAATGCCAAGAGGTACTCCATGAAGCAGCCTGGTGCGACAATAGAATAGGTCAAAGCGCTCGAAGCTGCCTTCTCAATGAGATAATTGCGAACGGTGGCCAAGGTAGAGTAGAATGGAAGATCCGCAACCTTTGGACTGGTAGTGCATGAACCAAACTCCGAAGGAACGAATCGATAGACCCCGGCAGTTACGGCTGCATCAATGAGAAGCCTCTGCTTTTCCGATCCTGATTTCCCAATAGTCGAAATCACCGCATCCTGGTTTTCCAGAGCTGCGGTCAGAGAATTGACCGAGTTGAAGTCAGCCTCAACAACCTTCACTTTAGCCCCATAGTCCTTGGACGCCTGAGAGCGAGTAAGAACGGTAACGTTGAAGTTGGCTTCAAGAAGCGCCTTCAGGACATGCGGTCCAATGTTACCAGAAGCCTATACAATGGGTGTGAGTGTACGCGATCGGCGGAGGGGGCTTAGATCCTGAGTTCTCACACCAGCGATAGCGACGTTCTTGATGACAGCCATGGGAATAACTGATGTTCTTGTTGAGTCCAGCTTGTATGATGTGATGAGGCAGTGATGGTTGGAAAGAGTCTGGTAGAACTCGCGACATAGGGTGACCTTTAAAATAATTCTCTTCATCCCGCTCGACCCCTATATGGGCGTTCATTCTCTTTTACAGCCTTATCCATCGTTAAGCGTGTTGATGCGCCGTAGAGCCCATCCCGCTCATCGCGCAGCCTTTTTCGATACAGGTCCGACAATAAATGGGGGAAATGTCCGCATGTGTCGGCATTTGCCCGCAGCCGTTCATTACTAATGCCTACGCATCCAAGGCAATATATTTCTTCGCGTTCGCATCTTCCGCTCAAGGTATCGTACTGTTCACTCTTGACTCGCGACACATTTGCGCACTCAGTATTACAAAATTGACTATCTCTCGCCTCATTACTGCGAATTCTTCGATGCGGTTGGGAGACACGCGGCAGAAGCCCGCATATTCCAGGAAGGCTTGTCTTCGGTGCCGTCGGTCAAAAAGGAAATGTGACAGAGTGCTTCCAAAGTGTCTCCTTTGCACCCGGTTAGTTTCCTTTCTGGAAAATGCTTCTCTAATGATAGGTAGTCATACGTTTGCGTATCCTAAGTATTGACATAATTTGACCACTCTAGCCGAAAGGATGAATGCCAGTACGAGACTATCACCCTTACGTCTTCGTCTGCCGGCCCATCAGTAGGCATCAAGCCAATCTCCCCCCTGAACGATGGTCTATCTTGTGATCATATCAGAGCCGCAGTGGTGGAACGGCTGTCGGGACTCAAGCCCAGCGATGTTGAGACGGCCTATTCCCGCAACATCCGACCGTGGTTCCCCATCATTGCAGAATCAAAACTGGTTACCCAATTGCCTAACAGCTGGGATGACAAGGCTCTCGACTTTACCTTGCTGTCTCTAAGCATTGTGCTCTTCTCTACTGCTCCAAATCCCAAAGGTTGTGGTGACGCCAACAAGTTTGGAATCATGGATCTTTACCTCTCAGTTAAGAGCTGGATTGCGTTGGTCGAGGGCCTCGGGATGAATTCCATGGAACTTGTACAAGCCAGGCTAGTCATCGTAGCCTTCGAAGTCTTTCATGGCTTCTACCCAGCAGCTTATATATCAATAGGTGCAGTTGTCAGAGCGGCAGAGACATTGAAGACAGGCAGGGACCTGGAAGCCCCCTCATACAAGCCACGCACAGAGCAAGAACGAGTAGAGGAATTGACTACGTGGGCAGCAATCAAGATTCTAGACAGGTGTGTGGCCATCAAGATATCACAGCCATCCGTGACAATTGAGGAGAAAACCATGGGCAGTTGGCTACTTCATCTAACATTGGTTTAGGTACATTGCTGCTGAGTGCGGCGAAACTCCTCCGGTCACAAGGCGCATTTACAACAAGGACCCTGATCTACCATACTCCGAACTACCATTCGCCGTCTGCCCAGTTCTTTTGTCTGCCCCCCTCTCTCCTCAACGGCAGTTCCTCAGGCTCTACGAGGCGACAAACCTGCTGGATAAAGTTCACTTGGCTTTCTATGAACCGACCCCCCGAATGTCCTTCAATCTCGAAGAGGGGGCTCTTCTGGTGAGAACCCTGTCATCACTGAAAACCGTCATACTGGAAGAAGCACAGGATGGTTCCAGGATATATTCCAGTGGCCTCCATGTCTGCAATATGTGAGTAGGATTCGGACTTGGAGACCGTGGTAGGGGTTGACGTTTCGGCAGTGGTCTTCTTCTCATCCATGGCACATGCGATAAAGCAAAGGCTTTAAATTATAACATCAAGGAGGAATGGATGACAGCAGCTCTCCCAATGACGACCGTGATTGAAGATATATACGACATGGTACATTCATTCGTTGTTGATGAGGACGACCTGGACAGGATCCCGCCGTTCGTCAATTTCTTGCTGTACAAGGCCGCAAGTATTGTGACGGTTCGACTGAGGGACCAGCTCAATTTCGAAAAGAATACTCAGATGCTGAAGTCCCTCCGGGTGTTCTTAGATCGGTTGAACACGAGATGGTTGACTGCAGGTAAGCAAATAACAGGGGCCTTCCGGTAAATTGCGCATAATTGAAAGTACTGTCTAGGTCGTTTTATAGCCCTCCTTGACGAAGATACAACTCCCCGAATTTTCAAGGCATTGGAGAGGGTATGAGTGGGAAATGTCGAAAAACGACGTTGAGAACATAGCACTTTGGTCGCATACCTCCAATGAGTCCAAGCGTCAGGGGATACTTAGATATTAGGCAAATTGGTGTGGCTGGCGAGACATTGATTCACTTCGTGAGCGGACAGCTGAGCAGCCAGTTAATGGGTGTCGTTTTGGGATCATAAGTCACGCCTTTCTGCACAGTGACCTCACATCAATGTTGCTTCATGAGTAAAAGACATTCATATCGCCGAATTCTAGGCCAAGTATCTCTGGTCTGCATTCCAAAACCATTGCAACACGTGCATTCATTTCCCAGAACGAAACATGGCGGGAAGGCATCCTTTGTTTCCATAAGCTTCTGAATAATCTTGGGGGTTCCTTAATGACCGAAACTGCGAGTTACCTATCCAGATGCCGGGCCCTCGGTTTAAAGTCCTTCTTTTAGGCAGCCGAATCGGTGTAATGATCAAGCGACACCGCCGCTTCCTTGGCATGATCGAGAAGATCATCCAAGAACTTGACGTCTTTAAAATGACTGTCAGAGTCCGTTCTCTTCACGCCGTCGGCTAATCCGTTGTTCGCCGAAAACGGGAACGTCATCGTGAGGGGCGTCATAGAAAAGCAGCTCCTGGCCGACTCAGTTGCCTTTTCTACATCGAGCTGCGACTTCAAAATTTGCTGTTCACATGCGAAATGGACGGCAACATTCGCAAGCCCGGTGCTGACCATGGAAGATGTCACCTCGAAATACCTCGATGCAATGATTGCAACGAAGAATTCCAAGAACGTGGCACTAAAAGCAGACAGACTGTGACGGTGTTGCCTCAGACCCGAGCCAACGATTACATCCAAGAACTACAAGGCGCTCTAGGTTGGCATAGGACAAGGACATTTGAAGGGATTTGAGTCTTCAATTCAGCCGCCAAGGAGCCTCGCCATTGTGTTTTCTGCACGAAGCCACCACTTGCAGGCCTCGTAAAACTGGAGATTACTTATAATAAACTTCACAGATTTGTCGTCTAGCCTATAAGTTGTCATATTACGCAGACATCGGCAATAACGAGGTGTTGTCTCATCAGTGACCGTACAATAAAACGAAGCAAGGCTAATACATGTACTTGGCAGACACGAGCTTCAGCTGTTGACTCAATGGGGGCTAGTAACCCGGAGCGATGACCAAACGGTAGCAGTGCAGTACCTAGCATCTGCTTTTCTAGTCGTTCGACCATGGTCGAAGGATGTGACGACTTGATGTTTACTCGTCTGAAACAATGTGGATCTAACAATTGCCGCCGAGCCTTGCCATGCACTGCTCCCCAACCTGTCGTTTCAGGTATAGAGGAAAGATGACAAAGATTGCTACATGATTGAAAGAAGCTTGTATTGGTGCCGTCAATGGCGATAGAGTATAAGGAAGGTGGCACTTTGGCTTGATGCTTGCTTACAGGGTGAGGCAGGATTGGGCGTCTCGAGATCCTGTCAGTTTTGCCCTACGGCTTGGACTCACAGATTGACCCACAACCTCATACCGTCCGGCTACCTGTATTTTATCTGATCAAAGTTTCCTGATTACTTGTGTCAAATAGTGACTGGTTCTCTGAGAGCACAAAAGACGCAAAGCTTGGAAATGCTCACCGCTGAACGAGTCCTGCGTGAATTGCCAATTGGAGCGGGGTGACAACCACAGAATAAGACGAAGTGTGACAAATTTGACGTGTCGGTGGGTACATCTGCAGCAAGATAAACCGATCGATTGGCCATGAAGTGCTGCGAGAGACTGGGGGGGCGAGCTTATGAGGCTGAGCTTATGCCCCCTGTCAAGCATACAGGAGGAACTGGTATTCGCAGTCTTCGTTTTGTTTGACAAGTCTTTCATCTTGACTCCTCCCTTCCACCTCGGGTCGAGGCGAGGAGCCGATGAGCGAAGGAAGAGTGAAAGATCTGCCCGCAAAACTCTCCCGTTGAACCATGGCTGACACGGATTACACCGAGCTAATTCTTGCTATTGTAGCATTGATCATTTCAATTCTAGCCTTTGTTATAGCCATCCTCCAAGCCCTCCAACAGTATTTCGCGTCAGCTACAGGATACTCTTCTTGCAGGGAGGCTGTCATAGGAAAGTGGGCGCAGTTCTCTCACAGGCGACTTCTCTGGAAAGAGTTCCGCATCGAGGTACAATTCGAAACACCCGTGTTATTCGTGGCAAAGCCAGAAAACACCAGAGGACCCCTAGGAAACGATGAAGACTTTCCCGATGAAGACAGGAAGATTATCCGCCTAGACGGCAGCCCTGCGAACCTCAAGTATACCTCGAGTACCGAAGAGTTTGACGAGCAGCAGAAGAAGAACAAGCAGCAGGCAGTGCATACGGCAGACAATGAAAACGCGTCGTGGTGCCATCTCTTGATGACCATCTATCAGATGGAGAAAGACTCGCGCGCATGGCAGAAAGAATCGCTGGGCTATCATCCTCCCTTTGACCCATCCCCCCCTCACTCCTTGGTTGTCTGCATGCAGAGGAAGAAACGCGTCTGGGACAGCATGCCTCAGGGCTTGACCAAGCCGTATGCCACAACGACTATCTCGCATCTGGTCGAAATTGCTGCCATGCTTGGAATTCACTGGAAGAATTTTGATTTGAACAACGACCGCTATCGAGCTCAGGGCAATGGCTACGTCCTATATGGCTCGTATGTCGACAACCTAGGCATCGGCTTTACCTTCCAAAAACAAGGACCCACGGTATTCCGCCAAGACCGTGTGATTCCAACCCACGATATCAAGAAGTTGTGCTTCGGACTGGTACCAACGATACTCTACCGGGAGAAACTTGTCGACGTTGATGACCACAAAGATTATGCGACTTTGCAACTCGGCGGCTACGCAGAGATTGCAGATACACTGGCGGAGTTTGGCTGCGATAACAACACGATCAACCACTTTCGGAAGACCCCCGACAGTTCCCGACATAGTCATCTATTCCCAGGTGTGTATATCCTAATAGTACAATCTTCTTTGTACAATATTGACCAGACAGCAGTTGCTTTCGAAATTCTGGGAATGGTTGGTGAGATCTTCCACATCAAAGACACGGGTTTTCGAATGCTTCCAAATCCCACCCCGTATTACTGGGAATCCAATACCTTCTCTCTTTCTACCCTGACCAGCAACATTGCCTCTCGACTGAAGGAGGCTGAAGAGGCACATAGTCTCACCAGCGAGGGCGATCATGTCTCACATCTGCTGAACTTTTACGACCAAAGTACGGAAAAGACCGAAAGGCCGCCCAACGGGTCCATCAATACTCAGACCAGCGCTACAACTCCCGCACACAGAATCGCGCACTTGCGTGCTGGTGTCGAGCTTTGTGACCGCTACTTGGATGACGTTGATATAGGAATGGTCTTTCAAGTCATCCGAGTGCATATCCAAGAAGTACTGGCAATGCTCAACGAGAAAACAAGCTCAGACGACCTTGCTGGTCCTGGACTTGCCAATGAGGGTCGGAGGTGCACCATCAGCATAAGCGATGTTGATTCGGCATCTGTTGACGAGAAGCACCGTCTTCTGACACAAATTTACTGCGAATCGATACGGAACAACGTGATACAGACTGTTTACAAGCAGCGGTCCCAATACAGTCAGAAAACAAGTGCGGAAATGGCAGACTCCGAACCCAACGTGAAGCGAGACATCAACATGATATGGTGTACCCTCATTTTTCGAATGCTGTACTGGCTACAGCTGCACAACTTTCACAAGAAGGACATTCAGATTGACAAGGGTGATGCCTACGACAGCCGAATACCTGTGTACATTCTCTGAAAACATTGCCAAAGGTTGATGGATGATGAGGATTAGGGAAGCTGTGCCGTCTAATAGGGTATACTCTGACAGACGAGGAAAGCAGCTAGTTTAGCTATAATACGCCAATTGGATTCCTTCACTTTATTCGAAAGCCATCCTCGTGTAAAATCTGGTCAAAGATGAGCACAGGTGCATGATACCGCGAGTTGGGAAGCCACTCGGCGTACCTATACAACTCAGTAATTGTACTCGTTTGGCTCCACGGTCCGCTTAATGATGATGCCCCATTGAGCAATCAACAACAAAGAGACAAAGCCGACTATTGCCAACAATAGGAGGATAATCTTGATGGAAAGAAGAAGCAGATTCTTCCAGCTTGCCCAGGTGAAAGTAAAGAACGCGTCAGACATCGTGGAATAACCTCGGCCGCCCACGGTGTAGGGCACTACTTTGCCATTAAAGGATCTGTCGAAGGGGATAATGGTGCGATCTTCAACCGGAAGAAGGGACGCTTGAATGCGCATCAGAACGACTTGGCTGGGTACAACGAGGCAGATGGAGCCGATGACGGTAACCAAGATAACGAGAGCGTATTTCGAGTACAGTGAGATGTCTCCAGTTGCTGTTTGGATATTGAAAGCGTAAATGTTGTCGGGCATGAGGAGATTGAATCGCGGCCAGTCAATGCCCAGATAAGTAGCCAGCCAATAGGGCAGCCATCGAGTCACTTCCACAGAAGCCCAGTGAACGACGACGGCTCTCCATGTTGCCTCGTAGGTGCGTCTAAACGGGGGCAAGCGTCTCCAGAATGATCGCTTACTGGGTTGAGCGATGATGAGATGCAGCCATAAAGTACTGAACTGAACCATTGCCAGCGCAGGAGGGAGTCGCACAAAGAAGCTGCCTCCCCAGCGCCAATAACGGTTGACTATGGCGACCGGAAACGCAGTCACGACTCCTTGAAGGATAGCGCAGGTGAGGCCACGGAAATTGGCCAGAAAGCCATCGGTATCGACCAACAGTCGATAGATGGCGGCTGGAGACGACGAATCGATTCGACTGGGGTTGGCAACGGAAGTGTGACGCGACTCTCGCCCATTGGTTACATGATGATCAATAATGGCATCGTGTTCCCCTCGTTTCTCGTCTTGTATGATGGCAAAGACTGGATAGACGCGAGGCAAGGTGTAGTTGAACTGTCGCACCAACTCGTTAGCTGCACGGTTTGGAAGTCATGAGTGGCGTGATGGAACAGTCAGTTACACACAATGAGGAATAGGGGAAGAAGTATGGCAAAGTCGACGAGCAGCACCACACGTGACCACCAAGGTGCCTCATAAACAAAGTGAACCTCGTCGTCGTGGTAGAGAGGCCATTGTAAAGGACTCGTATGTGCCGAGGAAGCCATGATAGTAGCTTCCTTGAATTGGCCAAGAATTAGAGAGTTTGAACAGACTACAAACGATTAATGCCTTGTCAAATCCAACGGAAAACGATTGTGGAAGAGGGACGATGGTTTTGTGGACAATGGCCTTTAAGTCGGAAACTTTGGGAGCCTTTGGGTGGGGACTTGCCGGCCATTTCCGCTTTCGAAGAGTCGATTTAGAGCCTAAATTCCACATTTGGAGAGGCGCAGCCTGTATCAAGTAAGAAACGAGTTGACGGAATACGAAGAGTCAAGGCAAGGTCATGCCATTACGTGGCCTCCACGTTCCGTGCGTCTGTCGAACGGTTGTGAACACTTGTTCTAACTGTAATGACAGCATGCAAGTGTAGCAAATGAAAGAATTAAAGGGTTTTGTCAGCATCCAAGGTACTGTCAACAAGCAAAGAGCGTCTCCTTATCGCTTGGTTCTAACTTGGTACGAAATTCCAGGGATGACCAGCTACTTTTACCTACCCACACAGAGGACAGTGATGTGATATATGTTGGCCTAGATGAGGGTACCCCCCCGTGGCCTTGACGCGCGTCTTCATGGAAGTTGATATCACATAGTGGTTCACTCGTATCCATGCATAAGCAGGCCACGTTCAGCCCCTTGAACATTTTTCAGAGAAGCACGTAGCAGCTGATACGGAGGGCTAGATATAGATTGATCTCCAAATTCGGAGTGTTAAGCTTAAATTTTGGGTTTGTGATTTCGCAATTGTGCTTGCCTTGTCGCTGTTCACAGATACTCTTCATCGCCTCCTTCGGGCATCTTTTGACATTTTCTAGGCATGATTTCATTCGACTTCGCGAGACCCAGGAATTGCAGCCATGCGTTGCGGAGGATTGGTCACAAGAAACTGAAGCAGCGGCAAGGTCGGGTACCTGATCCGTTGATGTGAGTGTACAGTACTACTACTCGTATATGTAAGCGATCAGGGGATGATAACCTTGCTGGTCGCTATGATTGGTGCAGCACATGCCAATGTTTTGCGATTGTTATCTCAAGAACATCAGCCTTGTAGTACCATGGCCAAATGCACCTCTACAGTTGTCAGCCAAGCAGGCTTGTTGGCTCCTGTTGCTGCTCCTGGAACAGAATAAATTCTTGTTCTTACGGTTCTCACATCAAGTTTGAGCACCTTGCGTCCAACCAATTACCTAGGTAGCTTGGCATAGCTTTTACTGTGTTGAGGTATTAGGAACCCGTTAGATGTAGGCTACTGATTTGCGACGTGTGAGCAAGATCAAGTACCTAGATCAAGAGTAATTACTGACGAAAGCAGATGATTGGGGAGGACACTGCGGCGGCAAATCCAATCGTTGATGCAAGTAATGTTTTTGTGCTAACTGATTCTGGATGTACGGTAGCCCTAGGTAGGCATTAGCCGCCCCGGCAATGGTTTGGCTCATATTCGTATTCCCGCAAACAGTGCCGTGTTAACATTAGGTAGTGATGAGAACACCACCATCGACTTGTGTCGCCGAAGGTACATCGGACTCAGTTCGCAGACAACACCCCGCGGGACACCATCGGTCTCAGCTCCCTGCTTGCCTCTTTGCACTATGAACGTTCCACGATATCTATGTAATGCGTTGAGTCATGGTTGATCAAAAGGCCGAACATCCACAGAGCCGCTCTTCCTCGGAGCGACAGTGCCGATGTCGCCGTTTTGCCGCTTGGAGAACATCATGATTGAACGTAATTCGCAGGGATCGGCAACCACATTCCGGACTTAGGAGTGTCCATACCACAAGGGAGAGGTGACCAAACGCTCGACGAGCTCCCTGGTCCATGTCTTAGACCCAACCCCGCAAAACCCCAAATCTCATAAAATCCGGGGTTTCGTGGAGACTTCGCGACACAATATCCTACTCTAAACACTGTTGGACGCGATGAGGCTCTTCAAGTCGAACACAGAGGCTACGCAAGAACCAGACTTAGATCTGGCTGCGGAAACAGGCCATGTCGAGAAGAATCCGCTGCCCGTTCACAATGAGGGCACTGCTCAGCCGCTCTCCATCGATCATCATCTGGAGCGGCAAGTCGTCCGTAAACTGGACATTAATCTCGTTCCGCTGGTGATGGCCCTATGTGTGTTATTCCATTTGCTACCTTACCTAGGTATTGCCACTTGCAGCTAGGTACTGACACGTTAGGCAGACCTTTTGGCCTTCCTTGATCGGTCAAATATTGGGTATGGAACACATCTAGTCATCAGGATTGCGAACACAATTTAAATTGTATAGGAACGCTCGTATTGCTGGAATGAGCGACGATCTCAACCTCATTGGAGACCGCTACGACTGGCTACTCACGATATTTTACATCCCGTACATCGTGTTCGAGTTTCTCGGCATAATGTGGAAGGTCGTGCCGCCTCACATCTGGGCTACCTTTGTCGTCTTCCTTTGGTATGAACATTACTCTTACGAAGCTGCCGTGGTCAAGATGCTGAAAGTCATGGCCTTAGGGGGCTCGTGTCCTCTCTACAGGCAGTAGTTCAATCCTGGGGAGGCGAAATGGCCCTCAGATTTATCATGGGAGCCGCCGAAGCAGCGTACGGGCCAGGAATCCCATATCTTCTCTCGTTCTTCTATCTCCGCCACGAATTGGGATTTCGATGCGGGGTCTTTCTCTCTGCTGCTCCCCTGGCAAACACCTTTGCAGGAGCTCTTGCATACGGCATAACTTCAGGACATCCCTCAATCGCAAAATGGAGAGTCTTGTTTCTCGTGGAAGGACTGCCGACCATCATCATGGCAGCCGTTGCCTTCTTCTACCTCCCGGATTCTCCAGAAAAGGCCAAGTTCTTGGATGAGGATGAGAAGAGGGGAGCAATGGCGCGAAGCGTTCGACAAGCCGGCACTTCAAGGAGGATAGGCGGAGTCGACTGGAAGGACTTCGGCAGAGGACTGATTGATATCAAGGCCTGGTTCACGGGTGTATGACGGCGACCTTCTCATCCCACCACAACGATTTCCGATATTGACTTATCGCTCTTTCGCAGCTCATGTATTTCAGCTGTAACGTCAGCTTCGCTTCTCTTCCAGTTTTTCTGCCGACGATTCTCTCAGAGATGGGCTTCTCTGATGTGGCTGCCCAGGGTTTGACAGCCCCTCCATTCTTTCTCTCTTTCCTCGTTACTCTCGTCACGCCGTACATTGCCGATCGGACTCAGCAACGCGGGCTGATGCTCATCGTGTTGACGATAATTGGTGGCGTTGGCTATGTCATCTTGGCAACGGCCGAGTCCGTCGGAGCTCGCTATTTCGGCGTCTTCATGGCAGCGGGCGGTATTTTCCCTTCCATTGCCAACATTCTTCCCTGGGTGCTGAGTAAGTTTCACACGAGGCCTCGCGTTCTCAAAAGCTTGCCGTTGCTCACCATGTTCTCTGCAGATAACCAAGGAAGCGACACTCGCCGAGGGGCGGGGATCGTTCTTCTGAATGTCATCGGGCAGTGCGGTCCTTTGCTGGGCACCCGGCTATATCCGGCGCGCGAGGGACCATTCTATGTGAAAGGTCAGTCGATCTGCGCTGCTTTCATGTTCTTCACAACTCTGCTGGTAATCGGTCTGCGAACCTTGTTGGTTTGGGAGAACAAGCAGCTGGATAAAAAGTACGGAACCATCGAGGAGCAGAAGGCGAGGCTTTCAGAGGCGGAAAGGAGAGGCGAAGAAGCCGATCCAGTTCTGGCTGTCGAGAATTACGGGCCAATGTTCAGATATGTGCTATAGATGGTATCTTCCCTGGTCACATGGGAAGAGGAGTCACACTCTACTGTGTAGCCGTATCGCTCGTGGCGGAGCCATCTCTGTGTGCTGCTCTATGGTTTGCTACATAATAGGGATTATAAAGTGTATTGCTTCGCTAAACTCTAGAAACCTCTATACGTCTTCGTGTTCACTAGTGAGTCCTTTTCAGGCGCAGAAGCTGGGACTCGCCCTCGGTGAGCCAGGCAGAGTAGGACCCAGTCACTCTGCTGGACTTGCCGGACCATATGTCGGTAAAAGTCCAGGCGGAGCCAGAGATACCAAGATCCTTCAACGACACTGTCACTTTCTGCTTTCCATACAGCTTGGTTGAAAAGCCACCATTCCCCAAGTCTGGCCCGTAGTTGACAATGAGCACATAAGCCTCGTGGTCATCCGAAGGGCCACCGATCCAGGCCTGGAGCTGCTTGGCGGCGTTGCTTCCGGTTCCGGGGTTACGAGGCTGCATGGGATACTTTGCAAAAAAGTCTGCCGCATCAATCGATTGCTTGCTGGTAGTCAGCTTGAGCCCCAGAGCATCGACCTGCTCCATATCGCCACCAATGATGAGGTTGGCGCCAGCTCCAAGCCAGTGGTTCTGAACCGTATAGCGAATAGTGTCGTTTACACCGGCGAGATGCTCGGGGTTGACCGTGAAAAGAGCATCCATATCAGGATAGATCGTGAGGGGGACATTTCTCTGCGCTTGCAAACCGATGTACTGCCTGTAGTTCTCAATCGCGCGCTGGCCGACCTGCCATGCCATCAAAGTGTTGGTGCCGTAGTTGTCGAGATCCTGATCAGTGCGCATTGACTCAGCAAGGTCGCTCCAGATAGGTAGCCAGGTTTCGTTGCGGCAAAGCTTCCACGAGATGTCGAGGCGAATTTTTCGTCCTGACTTCTTGATTGCCTTCTGGTATGCTCGAACAGCATCTGAACTGTCACACGCGAGGTTTGCGCCATTGGAAGGGGAGCCAGGCGTCAGAAAGTCCAGTTTGAGCATGTCCACGCCCCAGGAAGCCCATTGTGCGACGACGGAATCGTGCCACTGCTGGACACCATCTTTGCGGAAGTCAAAGTCACAGTTGATCTGATCGTTGTTCCCATTCAAGACATCCTTGATCTTGATGTTGGTGCCGAGGATGGTTTGGTTGTGAGCCAGACATGGCACGCCAGGGGTAATGTATACGCCGAGCTTCAAATCCCTCTTGTGTAGCCATGAAGCAAGCTCGGGGAGGTTGAATCGCGTGGTGTTGTAGATGATTCGACCATGCTGATCAACGGCGGTAGTAGCCTGCCAACCCGAATCAAGGCTGCAGAGATCGTACCCAGCCTTCTTGAACTCGGGTCGGGCAAGAACTCCACACTGAGTCTCGACGAACTTCTGGGTGTAGAACAGACCCGACTGTCCAGCAAAGGACGGCACGACCTGGGAACCGTTGACCAGAGCTTGGACGCCGTAGGTATTCCAGCCTCGGGCTGAGGACTTGAACCCGTTTCGCGTCTTGGCCGTCTTGATGACCTTGAGTGGGCCGCCGGGAGGGGTGGCATCCGGCTGTGGGTAGCACTCAGGCAGTGAAGAGTCGCGGTTCTGGATGCAAAACGGCGCCGGGTGAGTCTTGACAACGTCGGTCCTCGTGGGATCGTTTGTGTAGCAGGCATCTTCGGCAGCCGCCCAATACCACTGGTTGTCGCTATATCCCCACGTTGCAGTTGTTGAACCGCTGAGCAGACAGAGATCGCGAATGTCCTGAAAGGCAATGATGGCGTCGTTGTTCTGGCTTCCTGGCGAGGCCCCCAAGTTGGCCTGTTGTTGCATGAACAGGTTTCCCTTGCCGTCGTTGCAGTCGACTTGGCTTGCGTTGGCCTCAAACTGAGCGACGCAGTCCTGAAACGCATTGTAGCACTCCAGAGTGAAGTTGAGCGTCCCCGGAGTGTACAGATTGCCGCCGCATTGCGTTTGACCGACCACAGGACGAAGCAGAACTGCCGCTGCGAGGGGAATGAGAACTGCAGCACTGGGCGACATTGTGCTGCGATGTAACTGAACGCTTTGCGCCTTTGGCTTGTCTGCTGCTCGAATGAAGGTTCACTGCCAGTCTCACGGCACCAAAGGCCGCCTTCTTATACGCAGCCATCTGCACAGTCGAAGCCCGCCTCAGCTGATGCTCAACGTTCGACGTCAATCGGCACCTCGGCAGAGCTCAACGCTGTCGCGGCGAATTTCCCGGGGCCGGGGATCCCAACCTTGAAGCGATACACCACATGTAATATTGTACAGTCGAGGGACGGAAATTGGATATTACCCGAGGGCTATTTCGCGTCATAGTCGATTTCCTCATCCGATGGATACATCCATTATGCCGTTCTGGCCTTTTCTAACGTGGGACTGCCGTCGTTTCGAGGATCGAGCATTGCGTGTGGAGTAAGTTTCTCCGCACAAGTCATCGACATGCCTGGTCCGAAAATCTGGGGAAATCATGAGGCTGTGAACAGGTGCCGCGGACGATTGCTCGGCATGTATTTCGGTGCGCCCGTGTTGCCCATTGACTGTACCTCCCCGCATTATCTCAATAGCCCGAACCAACTCGAGGTATTGGCATGGAACGGAAAGCACCATAGTAGTCTGGCAGAAGATACCTTAGCTGTTTATATCATTGCATTGAGATGACCCTCTCGAAGAATGAAACGCAATCGGCTGTGGATGACAAGCTTGCTTACACAGTCCGATCGTTGTTTGGAGGTGCAAACGAACACATACAGCCCCTACTAGCTATGTAGGGTGTAAATAACTAGTCAAGCTCGCGCTGCAGAAGACCAGTTTCAACCCTTTGTCTGGCGACACATTTTGCGGCCCCTCATCGTGCATCAACTGATAACATTGTGATTGTTTCCCTACTGAAGCCCAGAATGGGTTACCGCTTCTTGTCAACTCCAGAAGATATTGAACGCGATTTTCATCCGTCGTGTTCCGACTCAACAGGCTGCAATTGCCGTTATACCTAATTGTGTCTCAACTAGATAGTACCTTAGGCTCGTGGTAGGACTGGTCACAAGCAGAAAATGTTCTTACGTGCACTGCATTCTGCTGGAGAAGACAGACGATTCGATACCCTACATTACTCCAAAGACAACGACAGCCTGGGTGATCACGTTGGGACCTTGAGGTGAGGTGAATGTCTCAGTTCGTCAAATTGTTCTAGCTAGCTCAGGGAGGAGGTTAATGTGCATACAGTGGGAAACATGCTGAGCTGGTAACTTCTTGAACCGCGTATACCATATGATCCTTGGCTGTTATATATGCTACCTAGAGGTGGGAAACCCAGAAGACTTTGAAATGTGTCATCCCGAGATCAACAGTATCATTGATCTAGAGGGAGATTGTTCCTCAATTGACACGGTGGGGAAAAAGTCTGGCTTCTTTCTGGTGTCATTTGATGCGCTTGCACTAAAGTTCTTTCATAAGTGCGCCGTTTCGATATGGCGCGATTCTTCCAGGAGAGCATTGTTGAATCGACTTGCGACACTCTTGCAACTGTCTTTAAAGGTGGCAGTTCAGAAGGCAGCACAACACTCTACAGATCTGGAACAATCTCGGAATCTTTCAATATTCTTTTCCGAAAAAAGCCTGAAGGACTTGATGCAGCTCTCGGAATGCAAAGCCACGCAATGAAAAAAGCTGAGGGGATTTGCTTTGACCATGTGGTTGACAATACCATCAATTCCAAGACTCTAGTGATAACAAAATGCGAAGATGTCAAGATAAAGTTGTGACGCGTATGGAAGAGACTGCATTCATGAACACTTTGACGGGCTAGGCGAGTCTTTATACTACCTTAGGCACGCGTACGCGGCGATTGGCGCGATGGTGTCATGGCGAGCACTGGCTGGGATCAGAGCCTCGCTGTATCGTGACCAAGAGACTCCAGTTGCCCCCTTTTCAAGCGATGATATTAATGAGGAAACTTCTCCAAAGAGACGATTCGGGAAAAGTAGGCATCGCAATCGGCTTAATGTCGTTGTCAAGAGACTGTCTTGGAATGTGATGAAATATTCTCGCTAGGCAGCTGACTTGCATGACTCACGACGCTACGGCCTAGCTAGAAGGTCCGAAGTGCGAAATGGAAAACTCGCAATACGATAAACGACACACTAGGAATAAAGCAGATAGCCTCGCACCGGATTTTCTCAGAAATGCCGACTGACCTTGTAGCAAGGCTGTCTATTCCGGGACCTGCCTTTACCGAAACGTCTCACCCACGTCGCTTGGATCTTGTGGCTTTGTGGCATTTGCTGTCGGTGAAGTGAAGCTGGATGATTACCCTGACACAGTCATCTACCCAGTGAATTGTTGAAGATGATGTGTTAGCCTCATGCTGCCGCATGCTGTTCCTCGTAGAAACCGGATGTGTAATGTCTAATTGCTGTGTGATATATGAAGCTTTATAGCACTAAGTGTTTGCGTGGTGCGTAGTCATATGAAGTCAGACTTTAACCATCGAGCATAGAATTGACCTTGACGTCAGTGCGGAATCAATGTAAACCTGGACGATAGGAAATGTAGTGAGGTGTTTGCTCATGAAACCGACTGGATCCAAAATAGGAGGTGGTTTGGTAGATGAGATATCACGGTACGAAAAAGTCTCGGGTCCAAAATTAGACGAGTTCTTCTCGGCACTCGATCGAACCCATATAAAAAGGAGCTCACAATTCCTTCTTAGAAACACAAACCAATCCATTCATCAACCAGCTCTTTCCAAAACCACTTATCAATCGTACAGCAACCTCATTCTTTCCATCTACCATGTCTTCTTCCAAGCCCACCCTCGTCTTTGTCCCTGGCGCTTGGCACAGTGCTGATACATGGAACAAAGTCACTGCTGAGTTGGAGCCTCGGGGCTACAAAACAGTCTGTATCACACTTCCCTCGACTCAAAATGACCCGACCAAGGGTCTGTTTGAGGATATCGATGCAGTCAGAAAGTCCATCCTCGCCGAGACCACCCAAGGCCGAGATGTCGTCGTCGTAGTCCACTCGTACGGCGGTATGCTTGGTCCCAGTGCTATCAAGGGACTGACTGAAGCGACGAGTGAGCGACCTGGACGCGTCATTGGCATTGCATTAATGGCGACTGGCTACTGTTTTACGGATCTTGGCTTCCTCGAGGGACTTGGTGCCCCGCCTCCTTTTTGGAAGGCTGACACAGAGACAGGATTTGCCACGCTTCTAGTGGATACGAGGGAGCTCTTCTACCACGATCTCCCAGAAGAAGAAGGCAAATACTGGCAGAGTCGACTGTTGCCACAGGCCTTGAAGCCACTCACAGACAAAGGAAAAGATCTAGTCTACGCCGGCTGGAAAGATGTCCCAACCAGGTACTTGATCACGACGGACGATAGGACTTTCCCCATCGAGGTGCAACTGGCCATTGCCCAGGGTGCCAAAGACCAAGGAGCGGATATTGTTGTCGAGGAGATTAAGTCGAGTCATTCTCCAATGCTCAGCAAGCCGAAGGAGACTGCCGACTTTATCGAGAGAGCTGCGGAATCTTTTGTGGGCAAGATGAAGGGGGCCTAGAGGAGGAAATCTGAGCACCGATGGATCACTGTTACTCCTTCAGAGAATACTGTATATGGACACTCTCCGCTCTTTCTGAAGCTCGAACTGAATACAAGATGGATGAGCAAGTATTCCCTCGTGCATGGAAAAAAAATCTTCGAGACCGGCCTTTGGACAGCTATGTTGAATGTAACAGCTCCTGGGGACTGAACCATTCTAATTCCGGTCTTCAATGTTCTCACATCTGTATCCCTTCTTTATCATCGCCGCTTCGCAGGCTTTATGCTCAACGTTGGCCGGCATGTCTTCTGTTGGCTGTGTAATCTATTGTTTTCTATTCAAAACATTGGATTGACGACAGTAGCTGTTCGACGGCAGTCACACTAGCGTTTACCGACTGAGGACCATGAAGGAGTCAAGTACATCTAGATATGCCTAATGAATCAACAGACGGAATCATATCCCCGGTAGCATACCTAGCTGCAATGAGAACTTGAGTACATTTGCGTAGCTACAAAACGTATCGGCTGGGAAAGTCAGTGACCAGATCCAATCTTTAGAGAGCCCGATATAGACTCACAACTTCAGATTCTCTCTGTCTGTTAGATCAAGTTGGTTATTATCAACCATACGAGTCATTGTTGTTCCGTCCCCATTTGTGGTTTCGACAATGCCGTTGTCGGCCACGAGGCTTTCAGCTTCAAGTTTGTCGCGCCGCTTATTCTCACGATGAAGGTATAGGCGAAGGGTGATTATGATAATAGATGGCAGGATAGCAGCGACCTGGAGATGATTAGCTGACATAGAACACCGGTAAATAGCGCACATACAATGAGGAGAATTATCCAGGTCGGCTTGTATCGAGGTTTCCAGCGCGGCTGAAACAGCTGAGGAGATATAATATTTCCCAGTCCGTATCCGATATGGTAGAGGGCGATGACTGCAGTCTTCTTAGTGTGTCCGGCGGAGGCATTTGCTGCCCAAACCATGACAACGGCGTATGGGACGCCAGTTGTGTACCTGAGCCATACGCCAACAATTAGACCCCAACGGTTCGACCACGGGAGCGCTATATCAAGCCTGTTAGTACTAGGTGCTTGAAAAGGAATAGGTGGTGCATAAGAGCATCGCGTAGCGGGCATCTCAAGACTGATGGGACGCATTTTGGTGATAAACTCACTTAAAAGTAGTATGCTGGATATGACAGCTGGTATATAGGCAACTAAAGATATCCACGCTCGAGACTTCTGGGGGCTTGATGAGCATCTCTTTTTTTTTCTTCCACCAACACCTGCTTGATGGGTATTGGAGACCTACCTTAGTCCAGTGTAAAGCGATGGCCGCTGCAGAGAGTGTGAAAAATGCTATGACTCCGCTTACAGTACTGAGCAATGTGGTCTGAAACACCGTGAAGCCAAATGAGTTGATAATTAGCGACGTCTGGTTGTTGATGCCATTGCCCATTTCTTGAGACCAAGCATGTAAGGCAAAAAGCCATGTTTTGGGGTCTTTGATGGCTTCAGTGAACCTGTACTGGCGTGTTAGATGACCGGAAATGGGCACAAAATGACCTTCTTACTGGTGCTTTTTGAACTGCTTCTGTTCGATGCCGGAATTATTGCCCTTGATTCGCAGAACGGCTTGCGCTCGTTCCTCAGGAGTCAAGAACTTGGCATGAAGGGGGCTGTCAGGATAGAAGAAGAATACTAAAAGGCCAAAGATGATCGTGATGACGCCGGTAATGACTGTGAACTGTGTCAGCGGCTAAGGTATATAACACAACCTGAAAGCGAGTGTATTACCCATAAGCCACTTCCACGGGTGAAATGGCCCCGTCTCGATCCATAGGACACCGTATGACAAGAAGCCAGATGTAATGGGGCTTGAGTTGCCGATAGACCACATAACAGACATCATAACGGCTTGTTCTTGATAGGTGAAAAACATGGACATGGACAGCAGAAATGCCGGTACTATGCAGGCTTCACTGAGTCCAAGAAGAAACCGAACAACGAACAAAGACGCAAAATTATTGCACGGTATGTGCAGCAGCGTAATACCACCCCTGCCAATATTGCTGAAGATTAGCCAATCGGGTCATTCATTACCACTGGAGCTGAGCCCTTGATATGGTCAATCTAGCTCTACACACCAGACGATGAGATTTCCAGCCAGCCATTTGCCAACAGGAAATCTTTGAAGAGCCCAGTTCTGCGGCAATTCTGCCACCATATAACCGAAGTAGAATATGGATGACAGCCAATTGTATTGGTTGGCGTCCAAATGTGCATCTTCCAATATTCCAAGGATTGCTGAACTACCGAGCTAGATAACAAGCATCTCGCCCGTTAAACGCTGTAGTTATATTTGGAGAGATCGTGAAAAGCTCAACGTACAGTTTGTTTATCGACATACATCAGATGGTATCCGACGCAAAGGAAAGGTAAAACCCTCCAAAGCAGCTTGTTGCGGATTCGACGAGCTTCTTCTGGCGTCGGATCGGCTACCTGGACCTTGGAGAACAGCTTGTAGCTCTCGTCGGCCGAGCGATCTGACAGCCTGGGAACATTCCATGGAGGAATATCCTCCTCCTGGGACTCGGGTCGCGAGATTGATCTTGCATTGTAGATGACTTTGGTTGCCATGGCTGCCACCTGGAAGTGATATTTTGGCGATGGTTAACCCACCATGCTTCACTTGGCACTTGCTCCTCTTCAAATTTTATTCCAGAACTGGGCGTTCCAACAAAGACATCCGATATGGCGCCATTGGCCAGACATCAATCGCCATCCCTGATAATCATGCTTCTACATTCCCCCACAAAGCAAAGATAGGCAACAGCTCGTGTCATTCGTCCGGAGTCGGTTTACTATTGGGTATTTCGTAGATGGGAAATCGTTGTTCGCAGGTTTGAGATTGATAGGAGGGATGAAGAAAGTATTTCCGGGTTGTGATATCCGGCGGAGGGGTTTTGCGTCATGGCCTTGGAGTTGACGTGCTTTGATGTGGCCTATCACAACTCTTGATATCCATTGCCATATAATCACCTAAGCCAGTTAAAGTCACACATGTTTCTGCCACTGCATTGGTAGATTAAGCCGGAAGTCAATCTCTCTCAGGCTGTCTTCATTCGCAATCATCAATGCCTAGCTAGTTACCTAGAGCATCGTGAGGTGAATCAGCCAAGCACTCATATCGGATACAGAATAACACCACAGTGGCTCTTGCACCGTCAATGAGCTATTCGACCTTTTGGGGAGGGGGGCAAGGCAACCAGGAAGCTTCAGAGATGGCTAGCAGCAAAAGGCCACTTCGAGTCTTAATTGCCGGCGCGGGCATTGCAGGCTTGGCGACGGCGATTTCACTTACACGGATCTCTGGCATACCAGACCTTGATATCCAGCTTTTTGAGCAAAGCCCCGAGCTGCGGGAAATTGGAGCCAGTATTGCGCTGAGCCCCAACGTAAGCTCTGTGAAACAGAATAAAGTCGCTTGAGGAGGGCCTCCTACCTTCATTTGCTGATGCGGGCTACAGGGTTTACGAACGCTTGAGAGGCTTGGAGTCGACTCTGCCCTAAGCGACGAGGTCGGGTTCAGAGGACCAAGCGGCATACCACACATCTACAGGTAGGGTGGGCATGATGAGATTGGAAATTATATGAACACAGTATTATATAACTAATTGATGCAACAAGACACTGGAAGACAAACCAGGTAGTCTCGGTTGACACCTTCTCTCACGTCTCCGATCGTCGCCATCAAACGACGAGATTCCATCGAGGTCACCTTCATGCTGCGTTATTAGAGCACGTCCCAAAGACTTGGATACATCTGAACAAGAAGATATCCCGCGCTGAAGCCAATGATGATGGCGTTGCTCTCTATTTTGAAGATGGGACCAGCGCTGATGGTGATGTCTTGTTTGGAGCAGATGGAATTCGATCAGTGAGCTACAGCCTTCACATAAACCCGTTTCCATTGTGCTGAGCTGACATGGTCTGCAGCAAGTCAGAGGCTCTTTCTACCCCGATTATAAGTTAAGATTCAGCGGGAAGGTGTTCGTGCGATCTACGTTTGACGCCTCTCTGGTTGAGGGCAAAGTTCCCGACTTGCCCGCCGACGCTGCTCACTGGGTAATATGCAACTTACTTCCTCACACGTGAGCTTTACTGACCATCTTCCAGTGGGGAACTAAAGATACGTTTTTCGCGTCAAGGCTTGGTAATGCTCTCTGTTCATCGTGTCACAATAGATGGCTGACTCTTGTCAGGCAAGGGTCTATACACTGTCGTCGGTGCCTACGATGATGGCCGTAGTGTCGAAGAATTGGAAAAGTCTATAACATGGGACCAAGCAGGCAATGTCCAATTCTTGAAAGAGAAATATAAGGTATGATCTTCCATGGAGCAGCGATTTCTATAGCACGTGAGAACTTATTGATTCAACAGGATTGGCATCCCGTTATTAAGAGGCTGACCGAACTGACGCCACACGCCCGCCTTTATCCCAATTACGCCGGAGATGCTCTTCCTTCGTGGGTTCCAGCTCCCCGCGTGACTCTTGTAGGTGATGCCGCGCACACACACGGAGGCAGTTTCGCCGCAGGTGGGTCGCTGGCCCTCGACGACTCTCTCGCCCTTGGACTGGCTTTTAGGCACATCTTTTCATCTGGTGCGGCCCCTGTACCATTTTCTCAGGAAAACATCAAAGCCGCATTGGGCCTGTACGATGAAACCAGAAGGCCGCATACCGCTCGCTTGTTGAGCATCGTCCATGGCCTGATCAACCGCAAATTGCCGACATTTGCCACTCCTAAAGAAGAAGATGAAGCTCTTAGGGCTAGAATGAGAAACCGACCAGATCTCCAGTGGCTATCTGAGCACGATGTGGAGGAAGCCTTTGCGCAGGTGACTGCGAAATACGAGCAGCAGAGGTCGAGCTCGTCAGAAGCGCCGAAGACACCGAGATCAGGTCATCTACCCGAAACCGCCTTGCGAGCAGCTGAAAGCAAGCTATAGAGACAACCTTGGTGAGCTCTTATTGGATCGTTATAAGTGAGAGAGTCATGACTAGGATTTATGTATCATTCATGTAAAAACTACCAGGTTGATGATAGCGCGTGGGGTAGACTACTGTCCGGTAGAGTCCTATGCAGACAATGATATGCTACATGTATGTTTTCGCTCTGCCTCTCATGCACTACGCGCTTTGATCTCCCTCCAGGCTTGCAAATTCCAACATACTGCTTCCGACCATAGGAAACAGTGCGCCACTATCGTACGCATCGAACCACAGTGTCCTCGGGGACAAGAAGCTTCCGATATCGCCGAGATCCTGAAGCGACGGGTTGCCACCATCATCTTGCTGCATCATCGTGCCTCTGTTCTGCTCTTCGTGATAATGTGCTTCATCAATCCCCCCAAAGTTCGTCTTGTTATGGACCATACCGCCGCTTGCTGTCGGCAATGGTGTTGGTTGGTTGGCAGCTGCAGACTCAGAAGCCCAGAATCCCTGCCACTGTGCCATGTGATTTCGAGAGGAGTCGTGGGTTGGATCGGCATCTCTCGCTGGCGGCTCTGCATCAACCCGACCAAAGAGCCTCGAGATCAAGTCGTTATTGTACTCCATCCTCTTCCGCTGTTGCAGCTCCAGGAACGTGTCGCATGCGCCGATCATCTTCTCCACGATACCTAAGTAACGCTTCGTGACCAGGTCGTGCACACTGAACTTTTCCAATATCTTGCACGCTTCTCCAAGTCGCTTCCTCCTGACGGGCATAGACCCTTCCAAATCACTAAAGAGACAAAGTCCAAGTATAAGCGAAGCCGCGAATGCTGAATTCACGATGAAGGGCAGCCTTTTTGGTGTCAGGTTGCTCGTTAGAAGCGGCTCTATAAGCTCAATTGTTCGTACCGCAGAGTCAACACATGCTTGAGCGAGTATATTTCGTGATGGTGACGGTGTGGACGCATGACGGGATGAAGTGGGAGGTGCGTCCATCTCTGGTGGCGATACTGAAGAAACGTAGTCGATGAGAAATGGCCGAGATAGCAGCATGATCGTCCAATAGTATGCCTCTTTGAGGTGGATTTGTCCAATATTTGGTGCCATCTCTTGATTTCTCGGTGTCCCTTTATGAGCATGTATGTCAATGCCCTCCACGCTCTGGCCACTACTGAATCTGGCGGCCCAGCTGCGATGAAGCTCGCTGATCTTCGTCAAACACTCTGTTGTGATCTTCCGTTTGGCATACACCTCGGTCAAGATGTTCTCAAATATGAAGGACAAGTCGTTCATAGCTGAATAGTGCTCTTTCGATGAAGTGTCCCGAGTCTCCAGGGTCGCCGGAGGCCTACCGAGTGAAGCACTCATAAAGAGATCCAGAGTCCTGATACCTTTCCACAAACGTTCTCGGGTCGTGTATTCGGCCGTATCATACAGCGCAGAAACATCTTCTCTGTGTAGACCCAGTGCATAAGCGCCACGCACGGCTATCCCTAAGTACATGAAGGCAGCGTTTCTGCGTGACTGGGCCAGGAGATACATGGCTATGAGAACATGGCATTGAGTGGTGGCAATGCTGGGGTCGTCCATGAGAGTAGCCAGCGTCACATATCGGCCGTAGTTGAAGTGCTTCTCCGCTGTTTCGTCGTAGTCTTCAGGACACGCCTGAGCACCAATGGCGAGTATCAAGGAATATGTGGCACTCAGCGCGTCAACAGGCTGCTGAGGAAGACGCAACCAGTTGAGGATGTTGTCGCATATAGTGGCATCGTCAAACAGCTCGAGGATGGAATGCGTAGCTTGTCGATACCACAGAACCAAAGTCCTTGCTTCATCCTCGGTTGGTTTTGGTGGCGGTGCCGTACCATTGTCGAGTATCATATTGTGGCCTTTGCTTGGACATGCCTCAACCATGTGATGGCGTAGCGGATCATTGACGAAGATGCAATCACCCACGTGCCTGCGAACAATCCGGCGGACGTTCTGAAGGAAGCTGTGGTTGGCAGAGTCGCCAATGAACATGAAGGTGCCTCTGTCATCCTTTATCAGCCTCGAGAAATGAGGGAACCGCAGTGCCATCTCATGCTGAAGGCCATGAGCTGGTCCATCGGCATCGTTTGACAGCGAACCATTCGTAGACTCGATGGTTGTAGATCGAGGGTCTGAACACTCGGACAACGGACTTGGTGGCAGAGCGGAAGCCACAGAGAAAGAGCGCCGAGGGGGCCTCAGACTGCATTCTGAGACGGCCCCCCTCTCTATGCAGCGCCGACAAGGTTGTCTTCCGTCGCAGCGCTCCTTGCGTCGTTTGCAGTTTGTGCACGCCCTGGCGCATCGCCGCCGCTCACTGTCCTTCACCTTTTTCGTAGGCATGCTGTCTCACGTGTAATGGGGTGCTGTCGGATATGGACTGGTATGAAGCCGACGCTTGGAGGTTGTCAATGGACAATTCCCGATGTCAATTTTTACAGGCGGGAACCGGGAGAGATATCCGCATAACATCAGGGTGCAGTTGTGCCCCGACGCAGATTCACCTTGATCAAGTCTCTTTTGTTTAGCGAAGTGAGCGTGACCTTGGTCTCTTGGCTGCCTTGAGACTCACCTCTAGACCTCATAGGATCATTCGGGAGTCCGCTGGGATACCGCGCGGATATCACGACAATGTCGATTACGAAGTGTCCAGTGCTAGGATGCCCTCGATGCTTACACTAAGCTGACGATGGCATTGCCACGCCAACTTGCCGATTTCCAGAAGAGACGCAGTTGTTCCAGCCATCGGGTACCGGGTCACAGTAAACAGCCCGTTACCCGATACCACGATCCTGCGACAGCTTCTCATTCGCTGCGCTAGACGAATAGAGAGAAGACTAGCGGAGCCGTTGCGGGGAATAACGCGGGGGCGCTTTACGGCAGTCTATGCGGCTATCGAAGTTGATACTGCGACAAGGGGCAAACAGCTAGGTATGTAGAGTCCTAGCGTGGGAGAGATGGTGGCGAGGATGAGAGTTTGGGGAAATTGGCCGAAGACGTTGCCTGGACGAGCCATGTGAGTTGGTAGACTATGGGAACTGGTAGATTCGTGGGAGTTGATTCGACGGATGCCCCCGAGACGTAGCCGTTACGTCGTCAATGATACACGTTTGGGGTTATCATGGGAAGTCTGTCATTACAGGTTTTTGGGGCTGTTGACTGTGCCAGACGTGCTGAGGGAGCTATTGAACACTGGTGAAGTGCATAATTCGAGAGGGGCATTACATGTCTGATCATGATCCAGATAAAATTCGGTGTACTGTAAGGAAAGTGTAAAGCCTATTCTGATGGATGTCGAATCCTTGCACTTCCTCCAAGCAAGTACATGACAATAGCAGTAGCCAGAATCGAGGTCATATGCTTTTGGTTGCCAAGCTTGCGTCGTCTCATGATAATGTGATTGCAGAGATCGCCCTACTTCTTCGTCTGGGATTGATTGCCAGAGTTGTCGCCATAGCCACCTCCAGATGCACTGCCTCGAGAGGCATTCTCATTATGAGCTGCCGCCGACTGTGCACGAGCAGAGAACCCGCTGGATGACATGTCTTTGCCTCCCTTGGCCTAACGGACGTAAATCAGTACAGGAGATAGGGAGTACGGGGGTCTCTTGCGTCGTTCATACCTGCGTGCTCTGAATGTGCGAGGCAGCACTCTTGGTCATTTCGTTCTTCGTCATCTTGGCGTTTTGGGCTACGTATGTGTTGAAACAATATGTATCTTGAAACAATATGTATCTGTGTGAGATGTGAGACTGAACGCAATCTGAGGGTATGTCTCGAGACTGACAAAGAAGGAAACAAATCAAGGGGGATCTGGACGAACTTATAGCAACTAAACAAATACATGAACGGACATTTACAGTACATTGTGCAAAAGGGTGCTACGCCATGAATCAGGGTTGGGTACACGATTTATATCAAGTTAATAAAAAAAAGAGCGGGCACCAATCGCCCAGTCCTGTGGCGGCTCACTCTCTCCTTTGTGAAACGTACGGATACGATGTTTTTTTGAGTCGTTGACAAGTAGCGAGGAGTTTGTCACCCCGAATCAGTGATACAGTCGCAAACCGAACTCCTCCTCAAGAACGATGATGAACATCATTGGGCGTTTTTAAGCTTTAAACCTGTCTGTACCCGGGATGGTTGCTGTTGAAGCGTCATAAAACCTCCGAAGAAGCGGCTTACTGCAGCAGTATCGTCCATTGGACCAACATAAGACACGTACTGATCTGGTCGAACAATAACAATGCATCCGCTATGCGGAATGCCCAAGGCCCCGTAAATATTTCCGAAGCCTTCGTGGTACGAAACGTCGTCCACAAATATCTTGTTGTAGTCCCAGCCATCAATCTCGTCAAAGTGGCGGAATACCTCTGGGAAGTCGAAGATGGTAACACTGGTTCGAGGAGCATTGTGAATGAGAAGAAGCTCAAATACTTCGTCATGCTTAGCACTCGCGGGGGTAGAGGCGCGTAAGAATGCATTCTGGTTGCCGAAATCTTGGGCCAGCCCTTCCAGCTTGCCTCGTTGCTCACTGTTGTTGACGTTTCCAGCAAAAACAATAACACGCCAACGGCCGTTGCTGGGAAGGAGTTCTTGAAGGTGCCAGGGTCGAGCATCGGCTTGGTTGAGGACTTTGTGACTTTGAATTCTCATGCCAACAGTTATGTCACCGCATAGGGACTCATCAGAGGTGACCTTGTCTGGAGAGTTCGCGACGGATACCTGTCTGCCATCCCCCTGCGCCTCGTTGCTGCCTTTCTTTGCAACAAGCAGACTGGCTCCGTAGTTTACAGCTGCGAGATATGTCAAGTCAGTACTACGGCACCTTGAGGATGGGGGGGGGGGGTCTTTCCTACCAATGCCACTGGCGAACATATGACCCTTCAAGAATGCTGCTTTGAACTCCTCCATGCTTATACCCTCTGCATCCATGACGTCTTTGGCGGGCCGGCCCGAAAAGAGCCTGGAGAATTTGTGGTCAAACGCAATGAGCTCCTGCGCAATGCCACGCCTCTCTGACTGGTATGTCTTGAGAATAGATCGCTTGGCATGGCCCTTGACAACACTGGCAACCTTCCAGCCAAGATTGAATGCTGATGTGTGTGTTAGCACCCCATGCCCTGTTCGCGGATACATAGTCTTTCAATCACTTACTATCCTGCATGCTCACATTCATTCCCTGGCCTGCTTTGGGACTGCAAACGAGTTATCAGCTCTATTCTCGTCTTCATGTTTGCAGGTACCTTACCTATGAGTGTGCACTGCATCGCCTGCGAGAAACACACGCTCATGCACTGAAAAGGACGTACCGACACGCTGGCCTATCTGGTACGCCGTCCACCAGTCCAGCTTCCGGTAGGTGATGTTGTACGGCGCCATTATCCTCTGCGCAGACTCTAGAATGACTTGGGGATTGATCTTAGATCTGTCCGCTCTCGACGAACCGTCTCCCGTCTTTTCCGTTGTCGTCAGCTGGATGTAAAGTCGAACGAGCTTATTCTCCCTCGGTATAACCATGACGCTTCCGTTGTTAGCAGAGTGAATAGCGCATCTCATTCTGATGTCTGGAAAGTCGGTAATTGGTACAATATCCAGCACGCCCCAGATATAGTCAGTCGAATCCCCCTCGAGCTTTAGGCCAAGCTGATTGCGCGTCCACGAGTGTGCTCCATCTGCACCGATGAGATACTTTGCGTGAACAACTTCCTCGCTATTCGCCTTGTCATGAAGCTTTGACAACTCAAGCAGATCTTGTGTGTCGTTGGCAAGGTTGCTGCGAAAGAGCCCATCCTGGACCATTTGGCCGTTTACAGACGTCGAAGTCTGCCTTGGAGTGGCTTCTTCTTCAGTGAGGTGTCTTAGAGTAACAGTGATTGGATATGAATCGTCATCTTCAACAAGAGATTCGTCTATCTCGAGCTTCGACGGCATCACTCCCCTCTCAACGCGAATTCCACTCGCCTCTGTGATCGCGTCGAGGAAGAATCTCTCGATTCGACCCTGGTGCAAGACAACCTGCTGGAAGCGGCTGATGCCCGGTATAGTGTCAGGGATTCGGTCGCTTCGTCTGATGACTCCATTTACGTCGGGGTTCCAAAGGCAAATCTCCAGCATGTGGTTTGCTTCGCGCCATGCTCTATGTCCAATGCCGAAGGAGTCGAGGATCTCCAGGGTACGGCATTGGAGGCCATCCGCCTGTCCGTTGAATATCTTCGTTCCTCGCTTGTCAATTATTCGGGCGTGGATGCCACATTTGGCCATCCAGGTTGCCATCATCAGCCCAGCTGGCCCACTTCCAACGATGAGAACGTCCACATTGCTTTCTGGAATGGTTGCCATTGCATTCAGGGCGTTGCTCGGTGGCTACGCAGAAAGGAGAAATGAGAATGTTGATGATGATCAGTCAATTGGAAGGGCTATGCCTTGTGTTTACAGTGATCAACCCCAGATCCTGCGCCTCCCTCCCAACCCCTCCATAATCTGTCCTTCAGCCCAACTCTCAGCCATAGCCCAGTGTTGCAGTCCACCCGATGTTCTGACATATGCTTTCAAATACTGTTGTAAGCAATATCAAGGGTTGGACAACCCAGCTTTAGACAAGAAGGCCGACATAGACCATCATTGACATCCAAACTCGTCGGACCTTGCAATAGCCATGGGAATCAGATCTGGGATTCTACCCCGCATTACCCCGCATCCGACGGTACAGATGTTTTGCCTTCGTCTTCATGGATCGTGATGATCTGGCTATGAAGTCTTGGAATCTCTTATGCTTAAAAACCATGAAATCTCTAGACATCTAGACTCTTCTCTCTAGACTCCTAAAGTGGCGAGGCAACATGGTTTGGGGGGACCCGTGGATCGTCAAATCCTTTAGCTGCAATGGCAACCCGGTTGCCGACCCCCTAGGAACGAGATTTAGCTACCCCAGGGAGACAAGGAGACAAAGAGTCACCGGGTCAAGACTTACTGTGTAATTCTGGCGCTTAAACGTACAGGGATAATTACTGCATACGACACTTACGCATAGAGCGAGCCTCAATAACGGCAAAACTATTCCGAGCGCACAGCCAAATTCACCATTCAAGCTCTGTTAGTAACATTTGACGAAGCGGTCACTTACCTGTTAGTCCGTAATCATTATCTAACCGTTGACATTAGGAAGCTTCTTGAGTCACTGCTGACGAAGTCCCTGAGAGATTCACTCACCGAAGCCAACCTCTTGATACAAATCTTCACCCAGCTAAAATGGCGGTAGAAAAGTCGGGACTTGTTCCATTACATTTCGGGGGAACAAACCCCAGAACAGGACCCTATCCAACATGAAGCATGAACCTTAGAGAAAACGAAGCGGTAAGATTCTGCGCTAACGACGACAGAACCTGGGGGCGGATCAACATGATGCTTGGAGGACTTGGAAAGACGCGTAACCGTTGGCTCATGGGACTATCTGCGGAGTAGGGGCGAAACAAGGGACGGAGAACTCCAAATGGAGCTTAGATGCCCTGTTGCCGATTGGCGACATGGCAAATATGATGCAAATGTCGAAAAATATGGCAGTGGTGTGGAAGACGGGCTCTTGGGACTTCGCGTGTTAGCTTCGAGGATAGCAAGCACACAATTGGATAAGTCAAGACTTGCATGACACGGTTGATAATCATGTTTCGGCGCCATGCTCATTGGCTGGTTCTCGACGGAAGGGTGGTATTTCTGGAAGGGATGTGACCTTGCTCTTCCTTGATGCTATAAAGAACTCCTCAGATCCGAACTATCTGCCATCCATGTCGAATCCCTCTACTCTCCTTCACACCTGATTCGCATGGTCTTCTGAGCTTGCCCATCATGGTTGAGATAACACGGGAGCGCACTCTCCAGGACATCGAAAATGAGCTCGACATCACCATTTACCCGGGCACAGAGGTGATGGTAGACGTCGGAACGCATCACTTCATCAAGTCCGGCAGTGGCGATGGAGAGGCGCGCGTTCTTGTCCCTCAACCTTCTGATGATCCTTTAGATCCCCTAAACTGGACGTACTTCTGGAAGCTCACTACTATCATTTGCGCCAGCTTTGTCTCAATTAGTCAAAACCTCGGCCCTCTCGCTAACGCTCCTCTATTCGGTTCGTCTCTCGGACGCCAATAACACCTGTCGTTTCCTTTCAAGCTAATGTCTTCAGGGCTGTACGTGGAGGAATGGAACATAAGTCTCGCAGACGCTGTGCAAACGACAGGTGAGCCTCCGACCACGATGAACGATTGGGTCAACATACGCGATCCTAATGATGAACCTCAGCCGTCACGATCCTGATCCTCGGCTTCAGTAATTTAGTTTGGATCCCAATCTCGACGTGCTTCGGTCGGAGACCCGCTCTCATCTTCAGCACACTGGTGTGCACAATCTCTTCCATCTGGAGAGTACGCGCAACAAGCTATAAGTCCTTTCTTGGGGCAGCAGCGTAAGACTTGACCACTCACGGTCCAACGTAACAATGAGCTCAACCTAACTGGACATACCTAGTCTGAATGGATTCGGTGCGGGCCCTTGCGAAAGTCTCATGCCTCAGATAATAGCCGATGTTATCTTCCTTCACGATCGCGGAAAATACCAGACATTATACTTTGCCATCTATTTTGGGTCCCTCTCGGTCAGTGATCCACGCGAACCTTGATTCAAGACACTTGCTGACAGAAACGTCAAGATTGGTCCTGTAATAGCGGGCAGCATGGCAGAGCGATTCGGATGGAGATCCTTCTGGTGGTTCAACACTGGACTACTCATCCTCACCCTCGTCCTCAACATCGCGCTACTACCGGAGACACGATTTGCCCGAAAAACACAGCCCAGGCCAACGTCTGCATCTTCTCCTTCCGTCGAGGAACCCGAGACCAAGAGCAGCTCTGTTGTCGATCACTCCGAGAATGCGTCTCAGCAGCCACAGGACCCATGGCTGTCGCGTGGACACCCTTCCGTAAAGCAATTCCGTCCATGGGGGTCATACCAGGGGAGTCTCTTGCAAGAATTATGGCTTCCGTGGTATCTTCATGCCTTTCCCATTGTCGAGTTTGCTGCCTTCGTTGTCTCCTTCTCGGCTTCTGGCTTCCTAGTAGCCAACTTGACTCAGCAGCAATACTTTGGCGCACCTCCTTACAACTTTACGACCCAAGAAGTAGGATTTACTAATTTCGCCATTTTTGCGGGCAGCATGATTGGACTGTTGACATCCGGACCATTGTCTGACTGGATTGCGAATTACTTCACCAAGCGAAACAGGGGCATTCGGGAGCCAGAGATGAGGCTAATCACCATGCTCCCTTATACCTTGGCCATGATCATTGGGCTTGTTGTGGTTGCCGTGGGCTATACCCGGCTGTGGCCTTGGAAAGTTATTGTCATCATTGGTTACACCTTGCTGGGCATGCAAGTGACGAGCCTGCCGAGTATTGCGTCGACATACGCGGTTGACAGCTACAAACCAGCCACGGGGGCCATTTTTATTGCAATCACAATGTGAGTAGACCCTCTTTTCGCTCCGAATACATTACTTTTGTGTGGCTGACCGGCAACAAAGCAACAAGAACCTATGGGGCTATGGCGTTGGCAAGTTCATCACGCCGTGGACGTTGGAGGCAGGGTATCTCGTGCCGATCATGACACTCATGGCACTGATCACATTCTTTTGCAGTTTTGGTATTCTGTTCTGGTACTGTGGAAAGTACTTTAGGGGCCTTACGAGGAATTCATTCCTGCATCAACTGGATAGCTGAGAGATACGGATAGGTCGCATGGCGAATATCAGAGCCGCAAAGAATTAATTTCATTTATGAGAACTGGCAAGCTTTGCACCCATAATTATAAACTCGCTAGGACGTTGTTTGATCTAAACATTCTCTACGAATTCTCAATGATTTGAGAAACCATTGTGAGTATCCTACCATCAACGCATCCCCTGCCGCTGAGCGCGTAGACGGTTAGAGTAAAATTGCCCCCCTGGTGCAAAGAAACTCAAAGTCAAACCTCGCAGTACCAGTGACAATTCCCATGGTGTTCTTCATCTTCGGATTATGATATGTCTCCAGAGTCTGCATGTCCTCCCGATTACAGAGCTTCAGCTGCGCTAATATTTCAGCAACCGCGGCATACAGTATACCTAGATTGCCGTCTTCAATCTTGACGGCGATCCCAACTGCGCCCTCTGCTCCAATTCCCTTCGTCTGTTCAGACTCGCGCATTCCAACGGCGTAGCAGCCATCTGCACCGACCTTGCCGATGGTAGAGCCACCAAGAGCACTCATTAAGATAGTACAGAAGCGACCCTCGCCGCCAACCATCTCGGGCATTTGAGCCATGGCATTGAAGATCTTTCCCATCAGCTGCACCCTGGGCGTGACTGGACTGCCACTGGCTACTGCGTCTGATGCCTGGGCAAATGAAGCATATACCTTGGCCAAGTGAGAAAGGGGAAATGCAGGCGCCGGCATATTGCAGCCGTCAAGCCCCCACTGAACCTCTTCCTCGCTTAACCCAGCTACTTCTTCCACGACTCTCTTGACGCTGGCCTGGATTGGATGCGTCAGGAGATGGTAATTGTCTGCGGAGGCACCAATAGCTTTGGCCCCAGCCAGCATACCCGCATGTTTGCCGGAACAATTGTTATAGACTGCCGTCGGTTCGAAGTCCCGCTTGATCCATTCGTTGTTGATCGCCGGATTTATTGAAGGATGGCCACCACACCGCAATTGGTCCTCCGTATGCTGCGACTTAGCGAGCATTCGTCGAGCCCGCTCGATATGCCGGTCCTCGCTACTATGCGAGGCACACATAAGAGCCAGATCACCATCGTCAAAAGCAAAATGCTCGAGGGCGCCAGTCTCCGCAACCGCTAGTGCTTGAACTGGTTTGGCTGCAGATCGGAGGAGTGTCACTCGCGATGGATCGCCGAGAGAGAAGAGAACCTTTCCGGCTGAGTCGACTATCGCGGCGTGGACCAGGTGTCTATTTTCGATGATGCCGTTTCTGTCAATGATAACATGGCTCTTATTCTGGGCGGGTACAGTCATATTGAGTCTCTATGCAATCAAAGTGAAGCTGTCATGACTTTTTAGACGGAGGTATGTAAGAGACATGGGCAATTTTGTAGGGAGAGTCAGGCAGCAAGTTTGGGTGAGGGACCCCACATGTTGAAAGGCGTGGCACTGACATCCAAGGGAGTGATTGACGCAATGCGTTAGATTTTTTCAGATCCCAGTCCACGCGACCTACCAACTGATTTCGAGCGGATGTAGCCTTGGCTGGGTGTGATACAGCACAATAATTGACCGCGTCCCATGTTCTCCCCAGTCTCCAACATCCTCCCTGTTTCAGGCAAAACAGCAAACGACCAGTTGGCCTTTATTCAGTGAAAGAACAATGCGAAACCACGGTAAACATTCTTTTGTCGCTAAATTGGGCCTGATACAGTTGGCGTTCGACGCAGGACTCGAGGTTCTGGTTGGCCGCCTTCCCACTTCGGTATCTAATTCCCGTCGCCTCCAGTACCATATACGCAGGCCTCACTCAGACTTGGAGAAAAGAGGGCATCAGGTCACAAAAAGGGTGTCAAATCGAACGAATCTTTTGCTCTACTTATGATGAGAGCGCAAGCTCGCAGAAGCGAGCGCTTCATTACACCACGGTTAGTTTTGCGCGGTATTGGGAAGGCGTCGAAAAGGCCCTGCATATTTGCTCTGGAAGGCCAACCCCGTTCATACATGGTGGCCATAGTTGAGGCTCTCCGTGTAGGCACACATATGCAGAGACTGTACCAGCGCGGTTGCTCGTCAGTAATATAGCTCGCATAGGTGAATTGCGCGGTTGAAACGTGATGTATCACGGCGAGCATGCGATGCCACGCCCTTTAGAGAACCAGTCTGCTTTATAGCTCTACGCTCATCCCTGATATTGTCTTCTACGCAGATCAAGTATGTTCCTCCCTCTCAACAGTACAGCACAAAATCTGAGTCAACGAGCGGCAAGTCACAGCATTCCAAGTAGCAATGACAATAGAATCGTGTCTGACAATTTTCACCACTGGGTACAGCATTGTTAGAATGAAATCATTCATTGTTACGACGCGACATTGCGCCTACAATTTTCTATACTAGGTAAATTCCCTTTGATAAACACATCGCTAAAATCCATTGTAAGTACATAGCAACCATGACATGTTAGGTATGCAGGATATCGATCATTTTAAAAGCACAATTCTATAAGGCTCCACCTTTCCGTCTGTGAACCCTTTGATCCCCCAGTATCTATCTTGAAAATTTTGGGGGGTTAAGATTCTTAAGCAGAACCGGTAGTGGAAGCAAAATGGGGAGCGTTAAGGAAGAGACCCATGAGGACACCGCCGAGGGTGCCAGCTATAGGGATGGTCATGATCCAGGAGAAGAGCAAGAGTCCGACTCGCTGGAAGTTGACTGCCTTGAGGGTGCCATTGCAGAGGCCGACGCCGACGGTGGCACCAGTGATGCACATAGAGGTAGAAACGGGCAGGGAGTACTGGGAGAAGACGAGGACAGTGATGGCGGCACCCATCTCCATAGAGCAACCACGGGAAGGAGAGTGGTAGGTAATCTTGTTACCCATGACTATAAATGGAATCAGTAATCCGAACAGATCATAGAGCTTGAGAATGTTCTTACCCTTCATGATGTTGTATCCATAGGTGCAAAGGCCGATGGAGATCATACCGGAGAGAACAGCCAGCTGCCAGACGGGCACAGGAGCCTTGGCGGCCGCAGCATTGCCAGTCTTCCAGGCAGAGTAGATAACGGCCCAGGGGCCGACAGAGTTGCCGATATCGTTGGCACCATGAGCGAATGAGGCAGTGCAGGCAGTCAGAACCTGGATAAAGGAGTAGGTGTGCTCGACCTCGTTGGGGAACTTCTCCGCGTGGGCGTAGACCCGCTTCATGCGGTCACCGTCGGGAGTGCCCTCCGTACCGGTCTGTGCAGCGTGAATGTCGTAATAGAGGCCGTAGAGGAGGCCAGCGACGATCATGGCGGGAATACGGATAGCAAGGATCTTGATGTTCTTCCACTCATAGATCTCACCAGGGCCCATGGGGTTGTCACGGAGTGTGCGCATGGCCCAGCCAATAGGGCCCCGTCTGGCGTACAGCCTGGCGTTGAACCTGTTCTGCGTCTCGGCCATGAGCTCGGAGTAGGTGGGCTTGTTGGCTTCAACAGCGGCCAGGCTCTTCTCAGCAGGAGTAGTGGTGATATCGGCATCGCCCTTCTTGAGGCCCTCGCCACTCTCGAGAGACCCATCGACTGAGTGACCGGAGGAGTGTTCGTCCCTGTGCTCTTGGACGACAGCGTAGTCGGGCACAGCGGCAGACTCAGCATCGGCGGGCGCAGGGCGATTCCACAGAAGAGGCCCGAGGAGGAACATCCACCACTTAACGGTGTAGTCCTTCTTCAGGATTTTGGCACGGGCAAATGGGACAAAGAAGATGGCGGACAGCAGGCAAACACCACCGCCAGTGCCCATTGTGACGGCTGCAATGTACCAACCGGGCTTCTTGGCCAGGCCAAGAGAAGGAGAGCCCTTGTAGACAATGGACAGCGTGCAGATGGTGCCGGCGATGAGGAAGAAGAAGGGCGAGGTGTAGACGGCCCAAGGCGCAGGGTTCTTCCGGACGTGGACGACGAAGCGGATGAGCAGGAAGATGCTGGCCGCGAACCCAGCAGCAATGGCGGGCGCCATACCCAGACCAGCGAAGATGGCGCCAAGACCCTTGCCATTGTTCCATCCCCATTGAACCTGCGAGGCTCCCACAGTAGCAACACCGACACCAGCGACAGCTGAGATGAGGGAGTATGTCGATGAAACGTGAGCGGAGTGACGGGTGCACCACATGACCCAAGAGGAAGCGGCGGCGAGGGCGCAGGTGAAGGCGAGCATCTGGACGCCGGCGTTGCCATTGAAGGCAGAGTTGGGGATGATGCCGTTCTTGATTGTTTCAGCAGTTCGTGCACCGACCGTAATGGCGCCCAGCATCTCGAATATGGTGCCGAAGATCATGGCTTGTCGGTAGGAGATGGATCTGGAGGAGACACTGGTGGCCCAGGAGTTGGCAACATCGTCTAGACGAGTCTCAGTCAGCTGTCTGATATGCAGAAGCTGGAATGCATCAAAGACTTACTGGCTCCGTTGTTGTAGGCATCCAGCATGGCAAACAGAGTGCCAATGGCAAAGATGTAGTCATATTCGTGCAGCACCATGTTGACGGATGTGCTTGCAGCAACCCCAAGCTGTAGGAAAAAGGAGATCCTGCAGATAGGGAGAAGGGAGCGGTTGAGAGAACAGCCTGGGAAGAAAGTCGACAGGTGAGTTGCACGGGGTCCTTCTTAAATACCGTTCCAGGTATGTTGGTTTTATTCCTACACCTCACAGTCCAGGTGTACAAGTATCTCACATACACGTGCGTGTGAATGGACCCTCAGGTCAAGGCCGCAAGATTCAGAGAGAACGCCAACACAGAAGCCCACTGTGCCAGAAAGTGTCCTCTTCCCAAGCCCCATCCTTATCCGCCATGGCGTGGTCGTTCCCCCGTCGTATGGTGCAGACGAAGCTGGGATATCGAGAGGCAACTAGTATGGAGCAAAAGTAATATCGTCCTTTCCCCCTTGGGACACCGACGTCGTTAATACACACCATTGGGCAATGAAAGGATCAGCCTGTGGCAACAAGTATCAACCAAAACTGAAGCAATTGTCGTCTGATGGAGAGCCGGGCAGCCAAGAAGTCGTGGGACCTTGAATAGTTCCAGGCTCGAACGCGGCCAACCCCAGGCACACCCAAGAGCATGGTAAGCCTCGCATGGCCTTGCTCCTATCACGTCGCTCAGAAAATACACGTGGGTTGGATGACGGCTCTCAGCGGTAGATCGATGCGGCCCCCAGACTTTGGCTGAAGATGGGATCCACCAGCCGAAGAGGGTCTGCTGCGGCCAAGACATGCCTGAACCGGCCATGGCGCCCGCTTGTCTTTATGTTTATTTTTAAGTGTCTCGAAGCTGGACCGACAGTGTCGCGTGAACGGCCTGAGTGATGTGATCTCTACAGATAAACTGCTTTCATTAGTGACTGTAAATAACGAAGGATGAGAAGAGAACTTGAAGATCTCTCAGTCACTTCTGATTCTCATTAACCCTCCCTTCTTTGTCTGTCATCAACAATCGAGAACCAATACTTTCAAGGGCCAGAGAGAGAACAACATAGTATGGCTATCCGCAAAGCAGCGCGTCCCTCAATCACGACAGAGCACGTGCCTGGGACCTGGATGAAGAAGCCTTCGATCGCAGGTCTTGCCAAGCCTGGCAAGACACCGAGTTAAACCGCAATAAGGTTGACGCACTCACAGACTCGGTGGATAGAGTTATCACTTAAGCTTGGCATCGGATCCAGCGCTAGCCGGCTTAGGGGAACCCTTCACTGTCCAGGGGGGAGGGTTAAGGTAGGGTGGACAGTGTCCCGTCTGTGGTAAAAGGTATCCCGTCTGTAGCAACCAAGAGTTCAAAGGTTGCAAAATAATACAATGACCACAACTGTGAGGCCTTCATACGAGTCCTCAGTAATACGACGGCCACTCTAACTATTTTTCACTGAACATTTTCAAGAGCGGACTCAAGAATCCTTGATGAAGCCTCATCCTTGGTGCCTAGTCGTCACAAACATTAGTTAACTTCGGAGGCATGAAGCCTTCTTCCTTGCAAGAATATCTGATTTCCTCGATATAACGCCGCCTTGCCATAGAACCGCTTACCCACCACTACAAGTCACTGCGTCTCCCGCCCAGTAACATAAGGTACTGAACCAGCCACTGTGCAACATTCGACACGCCACCCATGCACACGTGCGGCGCCTCGGTGTCCAAAAAATGATCAAACGTGCGATTTGCTGCTCCATCTTGCCGCATCAGGCCAGCTCTTGAATGTCGACTCGGCCGCACAGCCTCGGTGTCACTGACCTGCGTCCGGTTCCATCTCCCTGTCTTGGCGGATTAGCAGCTGAAAGTATATGGAGGAGAGGCAAACAGAAAAGCAGACCCCTTCTAGAACCTCGGGGAAAAGTGAAGGCCAAAAATTGAGGCATCCAGTTCAAACTAGTCCTTCAGATTGGCGTTATGCGTAACAAGGTATCGATCCACTCCAAGCCTCTTCAGCCACTCGTGCTAGTCAAGCCTGCACTTGTTCATGTAAGCTTATCGCAGTCGCCGGTTCATGCACGTGTCCCCCTCGTTGCAAGCTCGATGGCCATTTCCTGTGGAGAAGAGGCGTTCCCGATGAGACTCCTTTTGTTTGCTCGATGGCCGCGAGCGCCAGTGTTCAACGCCAGATTATCGCTCGATTCTCCTCCTCATGTCCGCATCTGATTCGCGTTTGCCACAGTCAGTTGGGGTTTTCACCACTCAACCGCAGCTAGAGCTATACCCTTTAACCTTTTTTTTTCTGCTTTGCTCTTTTTCCTCCCCGTAGTTATTTGGCGTTTAGGCAGATCTACGATGCAATCGACTTGCTATACATGACTTGTAACAGCTTTTTCCAAGCGAATCCTTCGGTAGAGCGCCTCGTATTGTTCCTTACTCTCTATAGGCTTGCTGTTGAGAACCGCGCGATCTTTTTGACTAAGTTTGGAGAGAAAGGACAGGATGTAAAGCACGGTAATGCTCACAATCAAGCTCAGGAGTGTTCGCAATACGACAGGAATAAGGAACGTGATATGATTCATCCCAAACGCCATCTCGGATCAGTAAGCTTCCACATATGACAAGACCGGCACACCATACGACCTTGAGACCTACCCTAGAGAAATAGATAAGTTTCTACAATTCCATGGAGGCCAACAGAGGAAAGATATGCTGTTCGAGTGTCCAAAGGCCAACATCTGGAAAGACAAAACAACCATTTGAAGTGGTTTCTCATATGTGTCTATTCTTCCGTGGTGGCGATTCCATGTCATGGAAAGCCGTCCCGTGACACAACAAGAGACATCTTCACGAGAAGAGAAGGAAATTCCCCCTCCGCTTGACTTACACCAACGCTCATGGGCATGTAACAAATATGATTACCACCGGCCACTTCTTTGAATGCTCTGCGGCTTCTATCATCAGACCGAGGCAGGAACATCGTTCCTCAGTCTTTACCTATTACTTTACCTTGGAGCTAGAGACTCCACATGAATATATGCTACGTCCGCAGCATCTTATGTCTACTTCGAGGCAAAATAATGGTATCAGTGATGCGAGAGTTCAGTCATCATTGAGTCAAAGACGTTGTGATGAGCAATATGTACTCCAATATGGTTGGTGTCAGCCAAGAAGAGGCCTAACGATCATGACGAAACGGCGCGAGTTTGCATAGAACAAGAAATCTGCTTCGCTAAGCCGACGATACGTGCCCATTGCCGAGGTAATATAACAGCTGGATAGAACGCTCGGTCACATTTCGCATGGACTTGCTGATGTGTGATTTTATGGAAATTCTGGACAGTATGATCCAGTCCAAGCGAATATAAGTGATCGCTACCAATTGCCCGCACGCTTCAAGAGACCATTAATCAGTAGACTGGAAACAGCGCCATTCAAGTCCTTATAGAACATGACATCGATTGCCTTATGGTTCTCGATGGCTATGATCCATAATTCTCCAGCGATCTCGTACCTTGATCACGACTATGTAACTACGTGCCACGCTCCTTTCTCGAGAGGCTCATTGCCCTGGGCATACCTGGGAATGATCAATTGGCAGAAAGCTTGTAACAAAGGGATAGACCTCGTCGCCATCTCATCCAAGTCAACGTAGGCTCAGTACTCCACCAGCCCGTTGTGAACGGGGCATTGCCTCCGTCTCCTGGGTTGCCAGGATCAGTAGTCTCTGGCATCGGCAAACGTGTCGGGGCATGGCAGCCTTTCGGGAAGATGTGGCGATTGCATTCAGGGCTACCTACCTAAGAATCACATGACGTAATAGGCGGCTAGAATCTTGAGCTTTTTGGAGTTTGCCTCAGTTGCTGAAGCCAGCAAACATTGATCTGTGAGTTAAAGCCTGACTTCAGGTCTTTTCTTGTGTCCATGCTGTCTACATATCCGGGCTTCCAACACCTTTTACCTAAATCGGGATGAAGTACCCTGGTCCGTGATAAGCCTTTTCTAATCAAATGCAGCTACCTATAATTAGCTGTCGACCACTGTATATGTAATCAAGGAAACGCTACTTGACCTTGGTAATGGAAGCCATATGCATAATGGCATGCGGCCATCGCGGAAAAAGTTTCCGAATAACCTAGAGCCCGATTCAGCTCAGGCTGAAATTTGGTTATTGAAGAAGTGGCATCTCACAGAGATGAAAGTGGCTGGGCGTCACAGTACGTCACAGTATACGCGAGCTACCTACCTATGCAACACAAGCGTATCAATATACTGAGCCATCAATGGCCCCAGTATCTTCAACACTGTTTCCCTCGGCCAGGCGAACAATTGCGTAGTTGAAATACTGCCTGTGGCCTGGACCTTACAAATCTACCAGCAGTTTCCTGTCTGGAAGTGTGATCAATAATCATCCACAGAACAAGTGTTGAGTAGTCGGATACATGACATATGATGAATCGACAGAGACAGGATCTTGATTCATGGATTATCATAAGGTTTGGGTATAAAGAGAAGAAACAATGCAGTCACAAACGAAACATGCCAACAAAGAATATCTTCAACTCAACCATCTTTTCAAGACCTCGACATCTTCAACTAGTTTGAACTACCGTCGAGCATCAAATTACTTCTCAAATCACTTCGCCATGTCCAAGGTTATTCTCATATTGGGCGGAGCCGGAGCCCAAAACTCCGCCGTGGCCCGAGAGCTAGCCAAGAACGAATCCTTCCAAATCAAGCTCCTTTCCCGACTTGCCAAGTCAGAGGACAATGTCGCTCTCGCAAGCAATCCTCGCATTACAGTGATCGAAGGAAATTGCTATGATGAGGACACTCTCGTCTCGGCCTTTGAAGGCGTCAACGCCGTGTTCGTAAACACCAATGGGTTTGCCATCGGCGAAAAGGCAGAGGTCTTCTGGGGTATTCGCATGTATGAGATTGCCTACTGGGCTGGCGTCGAACACTTTGTCTACAGCTCTCTGCCGTATGTGTCGAAGAAGTCTGGCTTTAACCCCAAGTACCGCGTCCCATTTGTGGACGGCAAGGCCAAGGTTGTTGGTATGTAACACAGAGACACAGTGTCTATCTTGCCCTTCTTGATACATGCTGATCAAAGACGTGGTCTAGACTATCTGAAGGCTCAGCCCACTGACAAGATGAATTGGAGTGCAATCGAAAGCGGCCCCTATCCCGAGTCTCACCTTGCCACATGGTTTCCTACGAAAGATGACAATGGTGTCTACATCTTCCGCATGCCAATCGAGGCTGAGGGCGCCATGGCAATGGTGGGACTGGCCGACTTTGCGTGGTTCACCCGCTACATGTTTGAACACCCCAAGGAGTTTGAAGCTGACCTGCTCAGCGTTGGTATCGACCACGTAAGTGGCAATGCCATTGCCTCAGCATTCACCGCCGTGACGGGAAAGGCCGCTAGATTTGAGCCGCTCCCACTCTCGGAGGTGGCCAAGACGTGGCCTGATACCAAGATTGGTCTGGCTGGATCCCCGGGCTACGATGACCCGACTCTGAAGACAATGGCTGGCCACTTTGTGCCGTGGTTCACCATTTGGCAGGAGAGCGGTGGCAACAAGGGTCTTTGGGCTAAGGACTATGAGCGATTGGATAAGATCCATCCTGGCCGCATTAGGACCATTGAGGAGTGGATGAGGTCGGTTGGCTACTCTGCTGAAGGCTACCCCAGTGCCCTTAAGACCGGCCTTTTCGGCTAAGCGGTGAGAGTAACGGCGGAAGAATACGGCTTATATAGAATATATTGCTTCTGCTTCCTGCATGACTCTTTTCAGTATTAGTGATACGATCAGTTTGATCCTGTTCCACGTCCTTTATTCTGCGATTTTGTGCCTCTTTCTCGAATATTGTTCAAACACAGCATCTCGATATTGCTTTGTTGCATTGGCAATAGTTGTTGTCCTTACTACATGACTTACATGTATCCAATTATTCTTTAGAAGGCTTGATCACTTGCCTGGAGCGCTGGAGCAGGTTGATTTCGATATCTAGACAATAACCTCTTGATTTCTAGGGTACTATTTTGAGTTATCTGTTGGGATAAGAAAAAGGGTAACATAACAGATGCATGCCCTGAGCCTCAGTCTCCCTTACTCTCATGCTTTGAAGAATGCAACCTGCTGATCAAGAAAAGCCTCGATAGAATCCTCCATAGCAGTCCATTCCATTGCGAGAAACTTGTCTGTCGCACCCATGTCAATAGTCCACGTTGGCTCTTCCTCAGCATCGAACTTGACGTTTAAAGAAGGATAATTTGCCTTGGCAAAGCTTGCAAACTGCTTCCATGTATGAAAGGGACCAGTAAGGGGCAGTTCGGTTCCAGAAGGAACAACAGCATCAATGATCCGTGCCAGAGCTCGGGATACGTCACGAACATCCACCATCAAGAACGGCGTCATAGGAGGCCCATTCGAATGGAGCGTTACCCACATAAGGTAGTTCACCCCGCTCAGTTCGTCAGCCGACTTTTGGACCAGGCTGGGCCCAAAGACTTGCGATGGATGAACGGTCACAACGTCGAACTTGGGGTTTGCTTTCTTCACCCAGTCGCGATATGCTTGGTGGGCCACGATTTTGCCAGTTTGGTACTTGAGAAGCTGCCCCGGCAAGCCCTCTGGAAAGTCCATGTTGAGATTGACGACAAATCTTTCGCCGGTGTTCGCTGCCAAAGTGTCAGATCATTGGATGCCCGAGCAATCAAGTGTTTTGGAAGGCCAACAAGCATACCCTTGATATGGAAAGGGCTACGCACGATACCGTCCAAGGGCATTAGTGACACGAACGACGAGACAATGACGACTTTTCGGATGCTGTTCTCTTGTGCGGATAACTCCAGGATTGATAAAGTCCCCCTGACTACGGGATCGACAAAGTCCCTTGTCAGGTCCGTGCCTTTGTCAACCATTGGTCCAGCTAGATGAAAAACGTAGTCGACCCCCTTCAAGGCCCCTTGAAACGTCAACAGCTGTGATATGTCTGACACAATGACCGATTCGATCCTGTCCAAGGCAGAAGGGTATAATTCTTTGATGAGCTGGGCTTTCTCTTCGCTTCTCACGGCGACACGTACGCGGTGGCCGGCTTTGAGGACATCTCCAATGAGGTATGTCCCAATGAAGCCAGAGGCACCAGTGATGAAGACAAGGTGTCCTGACATTGTGAACTGGTGTTGAAGTTGTTGACTGATGTTTACTCCGAGGAGCGTGATGAAAATGCAATCGAAGAGGGAGTTTAGCACTAAGGGCAAGCAATGCCTTTATATCCATGAGGAAGCTTCCTCTGAATCTACAGAAAGGCATAAACGTATCAATACCTCTCAGATGCGGCCCACATTGTCTATCTTCGCTTGCTTCCCCGGCATCACCGTAGAGTCGCCTCGAAACTGGGCAAGAGATTCCGTGATTCGCGTCGACGGCGGTATCTGCGTAATCTGTTACCGCACACAGCAAACAATAATTACAATGTGCAGCCCCTGACTTTAGAGTGCTATCGTAGCTGTGACAGGTTCTAGTGCACAAGGCCGGATTAGTGAACAAGTTGGGAACGTCGGAGATATTACTGCAGCAGACCCCATGTAGAGGCAAGTCTTTCCGGAGGCGCTGATCGCAGAAATATTGGAGCGCGCGATTGGTTGTTTGATTAGAAACAGGGAGAGCGGGTTTTGCGCTACAGCTGGTGAGCATTTTTGGCCAGGAACTTCGTCCGGAGTGTGAATCACCCTTGGTGACACAATTATTATCCTGGCTTACCAAACTGTCTTACTTCTGATCTTGGCGTTATTGACTGTATTGAAGGTGACGCTCAATGCGAGAGACCACCCAATGCAACTCAGATACTCAACTCTGTCCTACAGATGAGAAAAGCGCAGCATATTGTCTTTAGTTTCACGCCTCGAATGAGATGTTTTGCCGTGACTCCGAATTGCCATGAGTCATTCTATTCTAATTATTATAAGGCAGTTAATCAATCACCATGTGAAGCTCTCTTCGAAATAATCTATGTGATGATTGCCTTCTCTTAGTGCATCAACCACGGCCAGCCGCGCATCATCGGCCATCCTGGCAGGTCCGCATGCAACAACGGCCAAGTTGCCACCCTGAGCTCCGACTGCCGCCGACATGACGATGGAGTGAATGTTTGGTCGACCAATGTGTTGCTCGACCTGACTTGATACCTCACCCATGTCAAATGCATCCATTTGTGAGGATACATACAGGTGCACTGACAATCTGCCAGCAGTAAGGGCTTCCCTGGCATCCTTAGCTAGGACATGTCTTGCGAACCCGGGCTCACGGACGGCCCAGTGTAGCTCGACAGTGGGGAGAGTCTTTGCTTCGAGGCAGAGAGTGTTCAGGTATGATAGGGCAACGACGACTCCTGACCCGCCTGCGATAAACAGGACTCTTTGATACTGATGTAATCGCTGCGTATGCCCATAAGGCCCATCTACTAGGACCCTAACCGACGTCGGAGCTAATTGCTCATCAGCCAACATGTCTCTGAGGCGTCCGGAGAAGCTATCGTATGGCCGAATGAGGAATGCCATGTGCTGCTTCTTTAGTTCGGCGCCTACGCCACCATCCACAGCTTCTGAAGAATTCGTCGTTGACGCCAGAAGCGGCACTCCTTCATTTTCATCTGTGAACTCTGCCTTGTGTGGCACATCGCCCGATAGGGAGGCAATAGTGAACGGATGGCTTTCCCAGAAACGCTTGTCGTCCAAAACTGTCAGATAGAAGTAATTGCCTGATCGAGGCTTGTAGAGTGCCTTGTCCACGGGAATGCTTAATCGGATGATGTTTGCAGAATGACTATAGCTTGCCAATGCAGTGGTTGACCACTGTCCAGGGTTATAGATGATGATTCGGAGTAATCGCATTGCTCGATCGAAGACCCATATGAACGCAGGGATCCAGAACAAAATGTCGTATTCTCCGTCGAATATGGAGACGTGACTATTGCGCGGTCGTGTTAGAGTCGCGGGTAGTATCACCTTCTGTTGAACAGGGTTCCGCCTTACCCGAGCATTGTGAGGAGGATCAGGATGGACAGTCCGATATGTATGAGGAGGAACGCCTCATAGAAACGACGACGTATCCAGTAGATAGAAAAGACCAGTAGAGCACACATGGAAACAGTCGCCTATTGGTGATTGTTAGCGAGTCGGCCCACAAGTGAGGAGATTGCTTCTCATACTATCTGGCCAGCGTTCCAAAACCACATTGTGAACCACCACGCGTAGTAATTCCAACCCCCGTCTGATACATATAGATGTTAACATCGAGGATGAAAGTAACTCGTCGTGTCACAGTTGGGAATGGTCATTCTGATAACTCACTCATGAAGATGAGGATCGTGTAGAAAATGGAATGAGCAACAGCTTCAAGGGTGGAGATCCGGGCACACCAGCGGTGAAAGTTGTTGTACGTTCCAAAGTCCCAGCCGGTAAGCCAAATGGCCACGTTATTTCGCATGCCAAACAGCCAAATGAAGGGGAAGTTGGCGAAGGAAATGATGCCCGTACGATCCGCCGCGTACCGCAAGACCTGTCTGATCGGCGTGCCAAAGCTGCATCAACGACTTAGCACAAGTAGGCAATGAGTTGCGACCCAGAAGAATGGCATACTAGATGTTGTCATCGATAATTCTATACCCGTGCACACAGAACACGACATTCATGAGAAGAAAGACTGCGATGGTGAGCGTTTGGATGCGTGACGGGATAGTCGCCCACCACACATTCTGGGCGCATCTGTACCCAAACGTTGCGGGAATCGTGACATTGCGCTTGAACCAGGATCCCGTTTCTGTCCAAATTCCGCTAATGTCGAAGCTCTGGTGGCTGCGGTGCATTTGTGAGGCGGCAAGATAGGCCTTATTCCCAAGGCCTACGAAGACTACAGCGACCCAAAACACCATGACCCCAATACTGGAAGGACGTCAGCAGCCATTCGCTGAATGTGAATGAACATGGGGGGATTTACCCGTAGAGGTGGTGTAGCCTATGAGCATATTCGACAGCATCCTGCCATTTGTCAATATTGGCATCAAATGGTCAGTGACAAGGATAGAACAGATCTATATACCAAGGTCTTGAACCAGGTATTGAACCGGTCGTATGACGGTATAACCACTTCAGCCAGTGGCTTATCTGAACCAAAGGCATCCCCCTTGCCGATCCTCTTTAGTCCGGCAATCTCCTCATCGGTGTAGTTGGTTCTGAAAGTCGGAATGGGACTTCCGAAAGAGTCATAGCATGTAGCATTGTGATGTTGTATCGCCGAGTCGCAGGTCCGTGTTCCGCAGTTAAGGCTCAAACATAGATACTTGGATGACAGAGCGAGGCGGCTTTGGCACGCCTGCCTGAGAGGCAATGCCGCAGCATCGGCGTCGACAAAGCGCAACGGCTTGAGAGAGGCTTCACAGCTCCTCACACACAAGTCGGGCGAATCTTTCGGAACAGCAGCGGCTTGTCGGGCGTGAGAGACTTGAGCAAGTAGCGGTAGACATAAAGGTGCCTGTGCGAACAATCTCATGGCGGTGGCTCTCGATGCAGCATGTCGGTGCCAAGTTGGCGAGGCTTTGATGGAGTCAGTCCGCGATGATGCGTGAATTTAGCTGGTAATCGGCAAAGGCGGTATTTGGCACACATCAGCTGATCTTGCGCTTCGTCTCCCCTACGGATTGCATTAATTTGGCCCGAGCCATGATCAACTGACGGCTTATCTGATTGATAAGATCCACCGACCACGGGTCGTGCGCTGGACCTATCACATGGCTGTTCCTGGTTTACCTAACCATCGATTACATACCTAGATGGCTTATTAGGTATATAAAGACGTACATACTAGGTATGTTTTTGTGTACCTTAGGTACAGTAAGGGCTTCATCAGCCGATGTCGGTTGTTGCAGGGGCCGGAGTTCGTCTGTGTTGCTCTCCCGACATTCTTCACGTCTACAGCATGAGGTCTTGTCAATAATAAAGTACTGATCTCGCTTCGAAATCCAGTCGATTCGTTGTCAAACTCGGAAGATTTCCCACGATTTATATGCCGCCACCGCGGTATATCTTATGCTAAGAATGCTCATGCAGCGTAAACACCTGTGAGTTATGCATTACTAGAACGGGCTTTCCCTCAACAAAACCGACGGAAATGCCATTGTTCTCTTGTCAAAAGGAGACTCGCGAAAACAAGAATTTTTATTAGAGCCACCACGAAGAGCCAATATATGATACAAGCGGCTATCCGTACCGTATCCGCACCGTATCCTGATTGTAAGTTAGGATTTGACTTGGAGCAACATAATGCTTGGTATGGTGCGGCTTGAGAATATCGACCTACTACTAGTAGTTGATTTCTACTCCGTCAGCTGCCGAATTTTCAGGAAGGGGACGTGCGATTAATTGGTCAGCAGCGCAAGTCATCTGTCCGGAAGAGGCAACTTGTGATTGACCTGCAGCAACTTCATCAACACATGGACGTCCCTCTAGATCAATTCTTACAGCATAGGTTCAGCTATTAGTCCCGGGGAAAGAGTGCTACGAGCTCTTCAGAAATGAAGCATGGGCCACTTTATTGAACTTGAAGCTCACCCATCTCGTGCTGTCTGTAACACGCAGACTCCATATTCATCTATACATAGCTATCTATCCAAACAATTTTACAACCTCCCATGAATGAATACATGACATGGCACAACTTGAACGGTTCATGTTCTATCAGCACTCCGAAGCTAGCACTGCTACTGTACCGTCGGCAGGTATTCTTCCCCACGATCAGCCCCTGTCTTTATGTACCCCAGGATCACTGGGATCTAGCCTGTGTCGTGTTCAATTAGCTTCAATTAGCAAATGCTTCGCGAGGCTTCGATTTCCGAAAATGCGATGCAGATGCCCTGAGTGGTAAGGGCTTTCGGTCTCACGTACCCGTCGGGTCCAGTACAGTATTTCCCTACGGGCCGGCTAATTTCGTCCACGATGCGGTGCAGCACGATGAAGATATCCCATCTTCTCCAATTTTGTGCTTCTCTCGGGCTACTATCCTGCGATAGGGATCGCTGGTATAGACGTTTTGCGGCAACCCCGCATTGTCTAGAAACCGTGGTGTATCACGATGGTTGATGATGGAGTAGCTCAATGACAGCTATTTAAAGGGCAAGATGACCCATGGATTGAATCATGGCTCAGCAGCTCTTTCACGGTCAGAGCCTTTGCACCGAGAGCCGCGATGGTCACAATGTTGCCAGCAAGGCTCGTTGTTGTCGCGACTTGCGCCCTGGGCGTAGGGGCAAGGAAACTATGGGCAACTGAACCAGCCGATGCAGGGAACATTATCATGACGGCATATCCGCTAGGAAATGGAAAACTTGGAGGTGAGTCTGTGAACAACGCTGCCCAATCTGAAGGCAAATATCTAATTTGGTATATATAGCAATGCCGCTTGGGGTGGTAGGGGAGGATATCGTGGTACTCAACGAACATAGTCTTTGGGCCGGAGGCCCTTTCCAGAGTCCGGTAAGCCCTCAACCCTAGTACTTTCAACTGACAGCAACATTTGCTCAAAGACCTGTTCTTGACTCTGCTAGGATTACATTGGCGGCAACCCACCGGCTCCGGTCTATACGGCCCTTCCCGGCATTAGAGAGACGATTTGGAAGACTCAAATCAACAATGGTTCGTTTCACCTGTCTTGAGTCACTTCATTCTGTTCTGACGCCCATTTGCCCTCGAGCAGACATCAGTGCTCTGTATGGGGATCCTGCATACTACTATTATGGCAACTACGAGACCCTAGGCAATCTCACCGTCAACATTGCGGGAGTCAGCAAATACACATCTTATAACCGCGCGCTGGATCTTGAAACTGGCATTCACACCACCGAGTTCAAGGCAAACGGGGCCAAGTTCACCATGTGAGTACCTTACGCTGAAAGAGCGCTTTGTACTCCCGCAGAAACCCGTCACGGAAGTTGACCCAAAACAGAACTACCTTTTGCACGTTCCCCGACCAAGTCTGCGCTTACAACATCCAGTCCAGCAAGCCGCTCCCTGCTGTGACAATTGGACTGCGGGACTCTTTACGAAGCAACCCAGCGTCCAACCTGACTTGCGACGCGAATGGAGTGCATTTGAGAGGCCAAACCCAGCAGGATATTGGCATGATCTTTGATGCCCGCGCCCAACTCATCAACCGACCTAAGCGAGCGACGTGCACGTCATCTCATGGTCTCTCCGTTCCGTCGGACGGCAGAACGACTTCTCTCACTGTCGTGTACGCTGCTGGGACCAACTATGATCAGAAGAAGGGAACCAAGGCGAGCAACTACTCTTTCAAGGGCGTCGACCCAGCGCCAGCTGTTCTCTCGACGATTAAGAAGGTCTCCCAAAAGAGCTTCAATAGCATGTATAATGCGCATATAAAGGACCACAATGGTTTGTTCAGCCAATTCAGCCTGGACCTCCCAGACCCCGAGAAGTCGGCTTCCGTGCCGACGGCGACGCTGATGGAAAATTACGACTACGACCTCGGCGACCCATTTGTTGAGAATCTCCTCTTCGACTATGGAAGGTACCTTTTCATCGGCTCCTGCAGAGATGGGTCGCTGCCTCCCAATCTGCAGGGTATTTGGACGGAATCGCTCACTCCGGCCTGGAGCGCAGACTATCACGTCGATGTGAACGTCCAGATGTACGTTTGACACTTTGCGCCCCAGATCCGACTCCATTTAACCATGATATAATCTTAGGAACCACTGGCACACTGAGCAAACTGGCCTTGGAGAGATTCAGGGCCCCCTGTGGGACTTCATCATCGATACATGGGTGCCTCGAGGAACAGAAACAGCTGCATTGCTGTATGACGCCCCAGGATTTGTTGGATTCAGCAACCTCAACACATTCGGTTTCACGGGGTAAGCTGGACATATTCCGGACGAGGTTGAGCAGATTTGCTGACGAGTTGAAGCCAAATGAACGCCGCTGTGTGGTCCAACTACCCAGCCTCTGCTGCTTGGCTGAGTGAGTGAATTTGTATAGACTCTCTCTCCAGCCTGTCCGTATATTGACATCATGATTCAACAGTGCAAAACGTCTGGAACCGATACGACTACAGCCGCGATACGCACTGGTGGAAGACGGTCGGATATCCTCTCATGAAATCCATTGCCGAGTACTGGATCCACGAGATGGTGCCCGATCTGTATTCCAACGACGGCACCCTCGTCGCGGCTCCTTGCAACTCACCGGAGCACGGCTGGACGGTAAGATACTCGGTTAAAGCTCATTTTTGAGGCATGATGCTGAATTCAGGCCAGACATTCGGCTGCACACACTACCAGCAGCTCGTGTGGGAAGTTTTTGACCATGTGATCGAGGGCTGGGAAGCCTCAGGCGATAAGAACACCACGTTCCTCGAGACCGTCAAGGAGACCCAGTCGAAGCTGTCTCCAGGAATCATCATTGGCTGGTTTGGTCAAATCCAAGGTACGCATACGGCCGCGACGGCCACATATGAGATCACCTTGCTAAGTCAGACACAGAATGGAAAATTGGTTGGGATCAACCCAACGACGAGCATCGCCACCTTTCCCACCTCGTCGGCTGGTATCCCGGCTACAGCATCGGCACACACATGTGGAATAAGACCGTCACAGACGCCGTCAATGTCAGTTTGACAGCCCGAGGCAACGGCACGGCAGACTCAAACACCGGCTGGGAGAAAGTCTGGCGAGTCGCCTGCTGGGCGCAGCTCAACAACACTGACATCGCGTACACATACCTCAAATATGCCATTGACATGAACTACGCAAACAACGGCTTCTCCGTCTACACCACAGGCAGCTGGCCATACGAGCTCGCAGCGCCCTTCCAGATCGACGCCAACTTTGGATACAGCGCTGCCGTGCTGGCGATGCTCATCACCGACCTGCCAGTTCCGTCTGCGTCCAAGGCTATCCACACCGTCATCTTGGGGCCGGCCATTCCGCCAGAGTGGAAGGGCGGCTCTGTTCGGGGCATGCGTATCAGAGGCGGAGGATCCGTCGACTTTTCGTGGGACGATAATGGCTTGGTAAATAAGGCGAAGCTGCACAACCATAAGGAGGCGATTAAGATCGTCGATGTGAACGGCAAGGTCTTGATTCATCAGTGAGGGAGAGTGGCTGTGTATTCTCGGCAAATCTCGCGCAATGAGTCGGTGTTAAGAGTCCTGTAACTCGAGAGATGCACATGGGTTGCCAATACAAATGCTGCGGTTAAATCTCCCCTAGCTGTTGAATAGTCATGATTTCTCTGTCTCGCTTTGGGAATAATGAATAATGCCTTGAACGCGATTTGAAGCGTCAGTATTAGGTCTTCTCGATGGCATTGAGTGATGGCTCTTCTCGCAGCATCAATACATATAGAGTTCGATGTCCATGAATATATTCGGTGCGTAGCTATTTGGGATTCATGGACAACATCGTAATCCGAAATGTTTTTTCTGTGGACGCTGTAGTGATAGTGTAGGTAGGTAGGGTAGCTTGATGCAGCGGGGAGCATCATGCGGCTGGTTGCTGTAAGCTCACAGACGCCACGAATTTGGCTGCCTGCTCTCATTCTGTCAGTGAGCATCTCAAAGAATACCAATTGGCAATTGAGCAAGATGGTCTCGCTTCCTGTTTCCAGTCTCAGCATCTCTGACTCCCACGATACTGAAGCTTTTCAATGCATCTCCTCGCGTCGAAAGATCAATGCTCATGATATCTGATGTGAGCCCCAGCTGTTGACAACCTGTTCTCTTCACTAAACCGAACCCCCTGTCGATTTACCCCCTAACAAGCGTTGATCCCGTCTTTTCAGCGCCGGCACCCACAGCCGAGAAAGCTTTGTGCAGCCAATGAATGCATCGACATGACAGGTTGATCTCTTGCAGCCCTACCCACCGGGACACATGTCAAAGCTCTCTTGCCAGCACTTGATCTTGAGATAGAAGCTTCTCTCTTCGTGATCGTGTTTGCTTGCACTTCCATCTCTTGTGCCCTTGCCTCCTCCGTCCGTCTGCACCTTTCCCTGGGCAGCAATCTATTACGTCGAACCTACCGCCTGTTCTCGCCAGTAGCCCGGTCTTATCCCAGCATCCCGGAGCTTCGGCCCCTCATCACCTTTGCGTCCTCGGGCAGATTGTCGGACATCGCCTCGGGTGTTTTCGTCGCCGCCTGACCTCCAGTAGCACAAGACGCGGCATCCGCTGGCGCCGACAGAGGTCGGGAAGCCCTCCATTTTGGGCGCAGTAGGGTCCTTTCAGCAGATGCTTGCACGACTCCGCTGAGATGCCTCTTCACCTGGAGGTACCGCCGGTCAGAGACCCGGACCTTCGCCGGTCGCCGTCACCACCTCCATCACCGTCGCGGGCTCTCCAGACATACAACGACAAATATGTTGTGGTGTATGACTTTAGCGAAATAGGTGCATTTTCATGCGAACCTGTCCACCGATCGAGCATTGTACCGATTTGGCTAACCGGGAGATCCAGACTACTATGAAGCTGCAAAGGAATTCACTGCCTTGATACACAGCCTCGAGGCTACTGGCCTCCACGTCGAAGTGAGGCCAGGGTATGAACAGACTATTCTGCTATTTGTCAAGGCACCGAGTGCGCTCCTGGGAAACAGAGTCTACAAGCTGAGGTATGCATTGCCCGAAACGTGCATCATGAGACCTCGAATTTTTCGTCGATTAATCGCAGTAACTGATACTCGAGACTAGAGTGAGGGATTGGCTCTATGGCATCACGCAAACACGGCCACCGGGAAACAAGCATACAATTGTCGCTGCGTGGTATGAAGCTGAAGATCTCTTATCCATGGACCACCTGGTACGCTGGCCACAATCCATGGGAGGAGCGGGCATCACTCCAGGTCTCGGCGAATGGAAGAACGTCAAGGCCATCTTCCCCATGCACAATGATAAAGTAAACCAGAAGTTGCTACGAAGCTTTAGCAAGAAGCTGCTGCTAGGGATTGATGATCTCGATCAGATACGAGATCTGTTTGGCTCAAAGGTATGACGGACCTTTCAGGTTGGATGCTTGTATCGTTCGCTAATGATCTGGGATTGACTCAGGTCGCCTTCTACTTTGCTTTCGGACAGTCCTACTCAGCCTTTCTCCTCTTTCCAGCCGTTACTGGTCTCGTTTCGTGGCTATGGCTACCAAAATACTCCATCGTATACACCATCTTGACCGTAATCTGGTGCACCGTCTTCCTCGAATATTGGAAGGTCCGTGAAGTCGACCTGAGCGTACGATGGCGGGTGAGAGGAGTCAACAAAACAAAGACAAATCGACCAGAGTACAGATACGAACGAGTCATTGTGGACCAATACGGCCGGACGCTTCACTACACTCCCAAGTGGAAGCAGATTTCGCGGCAGCTCCTGCAGGTGCCATTCATGGCTATTGCGACTGTGGCGCTTGGCCTCATGATCAGTGCAGTGTTTGCTATTGAGACTCTGATATCCGACTCATACGATGGGCCAAGCAATCTGTACCTGGTGAGTCGACAAGCGGGAAAAGAAAAGAAGATAGGCAGGTGAAGAACGCCAAGCTAACGCCGCCCAGGACTATCTGCCCACCGTGCTCCTGGCCGTCATCATCCCTTACATCAGTTCATACCTGGAAACAGTCGCCAAGTGGCTTACAGACTTTGAGAACCACCGAACAGCAGACAGTCACGAAATGTCGCTCACGCAAAAGATCTTTATCCTCAGCATCATCACGAACTACCTTCCCATCCTGCTGACAGCCTTTGTCTACGTTCCATTTGGCGACCGGATTTTCCCTTGGCTCGAAGACCACATCGTTCATTTTGCCCCCAACATCGGCAATCGCTTGACTGAGAAGCCCTTTAGGCTAGATTCCGACCGTTTGCGACACGAGGTCATCGCATTGACTGTGACCGGGCAGCTGTCTAGCTTCTTTGAGGAGAATATTCTGCCCCTGATCAAGTACAAAATGAGCAGTTGGTACCGGGAGTACCGCCGCAACTACACCAAAGATACGATCCTCATATCCATGGTCACCGACGATGAAGACGAGGCGCAGTTCCTGGAGCAACGCCGCAACGAGGCCACGCTGGAGCCGTACAATGTGCAGGATGACATTGCGGAGCTGGTGCTTCAGTTTGGATACCTGGCCCTGTTTTCGTCTGCTTGGCCGCTCATCCCCCTGGGCTTCCTCATCAACAACTGGGTCGAGCTTCGGTCCGACTTTGCCAAGATTTGCATCGAGCATCAAAGGCCGCCGCCATCTCGCGCAGAAGGCATTGGGCCCTGGATCGTCTCGTTGGAAATTCTCGTGTGGCTGGGCAGCATCTCCTCTGCAGCCATTGTTCATCTGTTTAGCACTGATGGAGTGCTGAGTGGCGGCTGGTCAACGCTTCCACTGACGATTTTTGTCAGCGAGCACATTCTCCTCGCTCTTACATGGATAACGCGCGTCATCTTCCAGCGCCTCGGCTCTGAGCAACTACGTAGGGAGAGAAGCGAGCAGTATGCAAGAAGACTGAGAATCCTGGAGGAGATTGAGGAGCACAAGCGCGATGGAGAGAACATTGGCGTGCGAGAGCGAGAGCGCAGAAAGTCGCTGCTGATTGCGGGCAACGAGAGCTTCTGGACGAAGCAGTTGGAAGAGGGAGCGAGTGCGGCGGCTGGAATGAAGCTGATTTCACTGGCAAGGAAGTCGGATGGAGAGGGCAAGAAGAAGCAATAGATTGGTTCACAACTCGTCAATGGCATAGGGGTCCGGTCCTTGATATTAGCATCATCATTCATATAGACTCTTAGGCAATTAGCAAGAGGTACTACTTTTCTCAGATCTAGAGAGGCTAGATAACTTGACATATAGAAACTACATTTCTGAAAAAGGATTCCCTTCAACCTTGACTCATCTATCCCATGATGTTGTTTCTGCATTTCTGAGATTCCACCAACAATTGTCAAACGTTCCCCCTCACAACCCCACACGACACATTTTCTTCTGGGCACCAATGACATTCTTCAATCAATTCGCATCTCATAATTGCAACCATTTTTGTCCCAAGACTCCGCAGTAATTTCAAGCATCGGCTCTCATCGGCGAATCCGGCGCCCGCCGTGCTCCGCATGGAGGAAAAATCTCGTCCGCTTCTAAGCTTGAAAATTGGCTTCAAGCCGCGGCTTACTTGGACCCTTGGCCGTTAAGATGTGAACCCTCTCTCTCACAAAAACTCGAGCTTGTTTCGATCCCAATCCATTTTCCAGTCAACAAAAAGTTGTGCCAAAAAGAGTAAACAGCAAAGAATCTCAAAATGCTGCGCTGGGGCATCCTCGGAACGAGCTTCATCTCGCACACCGTCGTCAAATCCATCCTCGCCAGCCCCAACTCACGCATCACCGCCGTCTTTGGCCGTAACCAGGCCCGTCTCGACGAGTTCGCCGCAAAGTACGACATCGCCACCAAGTACCAGGACCTGGACGCTCTCCTCGACGATGCCGAGGTCGACGTCGTTTATGTCGGCCTTCCCAGCCACATGCACTCTTCGGCGGTGATTGCCGCTGCGAAGAAGGGCAAGGCGATTCTCTCGGAGAAGTCGCTGGCAACGACGATGGAGGATTCACATGCCATGATTGCGGCTGTGAAGGAGGCCAACGTCTTCTTTCTCGAGGGCCTCATGTATCTCTGCCACCCGCTGATGGAGAAGGTCGCCTCCATTGTCAAGTCTGGCATACTCGGCAACATCAAGGGCATGTCCGGCTACTATGCTGCCAACATCTGGAAGAAGGCCAACCCACTAGGCATGGGCACCATTTACAACCTGGGTTGCTATCCAGTCTCTCTTGTTCACTTTATCATGGAGACCGCATACGGATCCGGAGCATTCGAGAAGCGACAAGTCACCGGTCTGGGCAATCTTTTCAATGAAGGCAGCCTGCATGCCCGTGATGCATCTCTCAACGTCCGCTTCGACAACGGCGTCCTGACCACGATCCAGTCGACCGACAGCTTCGGCAACGACTTTTCCTTTTCTATCCAGGGCGACAAGGGTGTGCTGCGATTCAAGACGAATCCCTGGCTGCCGCTGGCGGGTGACAACATCATGGAGCTCAAGATCTATGGTGGAGCCACGGAAGAGATTGTCGTTCCGGCCCTGATGGACGCTTTTGGACACCAGGTGAAGCGCGTCGAGGATTGCATCGCACAGGGCTTGAAGGAGGCTCCCAGGCCGTCACCGAGCTGGGCGAATTCTGTCGAGATTATGAGCCTACTGACTGAGTGGGAGGCTGACATTAAGAAGCGGGCTTAGGCTGGAGCAGACATCACCTATTGGCAATTACAGCGTTTCATATATGGCATGCCTTTCATTATATATACTGTAGATAGGTAGATAACCCCTTCATTCAAATGGCAAAGCCACCAGATGACACCTGTCTCGGCTCTCCGGCAGCCTCGAACGTCCCGTTCGGCAACAGTCTCAGAGCCTGCGCAGTACTTTGCCCCGGAGCAACCCAAGTGACATTATGTCCAAGCGACTTCATATATGCTACCGTCTCATTATCGTAGGCATACTCAAACGTCGTCTGGGCGGGTACGAGCTGGTCGTGCAAACGTGGCTGGGCAAGCGCTTCAGCAGTCGTCATGTTGCCATCAAGAACGTGAATCGTGTTCTGAATGTTCGCCGTAATGATCCTGCTACCGCCCGCAGATCCAAGCGCGAGATAGAGCTTTCCGTCCGGCGTCTCGGCGATAATGGGTGAGATGGACGACAGTGGGCGCTTTCCTGGACGGATGTAGTTTGCTGGGCTGGGAATGTAGCCGAAGCTGTTGCTGAGTCCGGGGATACTGAAGTCGTTCATTTCGTTGTTCATGATAACGCCAGTTTCCGGCACAATTAGCGTTGAGCCAAAGATCAGGTTGATTGTCGTGGTCATAGAAACAGCCATTCCACTGGCATCCGCGGCGACGATATGCGACGTACCCGGAGTCTCGAGCGACTCCAGCCCCTTGGGGTCGTAGTACGCCACCTGCTCTGTTTTGAAGTCTGATATCTTGGACCGAATCTCGGCTCCAGTTGCGGGTTCTATCATCTTCTTGGAATAGTCGTCGATTCCGTCGACAAAGGACGGATCTCCGAGTTCAGTTCGTTGACCGTAGGCAAACTTGATGGCTTCGTCCAAGAGATGCGTAGTCAAATTCACTTGAGAAGGATCGTTGAATCCCTCATATCCCCCGATGGTGTTGAGAACGCTGAGCGCGACAGCACCACTTGATGGAGCACTTGTGCTGGTGACCTTGTAGCCTCGATAATTGAGATGTAAGGGCTCGCGGATGGCCACTGTGTAGTTCTTCAGGTCCTCCAGCGTCATGATTCCTCCAGCTGCTTTCAATGCACGAACAGTAGCATTAGCAATCGGGCCAGTGTAGAACGCATCAGCGCCGTGGTTGGCAATCGCCTCGAGCGTATCAGCATATCGTTTGCGAGTCATTGTCTCGCCTAGCCGGACGAGGCGTCCCTTGGGGGCAAAGTCAATGGCCCACGCTGGATCTTCTGTGAGGAAGTTGTTGGGACTCAGCCCCTTGATGGCGCTGACCAAGTCCTCATTCACTTCGAAGCCGTGTCTGGCAAGCTTGATTGAGGGCTTGATGACATGAGCCCAGGGCAAAGCGCCGTACTTGTTGTGGACATACTCGAGACCGCGAAGCTCGCCAGGAACACCACTAGAAGATGTCAGTTTCATCATACACAATACTCACGGCGAAATAACTTGCTGCGGGCCTTACCTTGCGAGACCACCATGAATGCTCAGGTCTTCATCATCGTTATACATGTCCTGAGACGCAGCAGCTGGCGCCGTCTCGCGCATGTCGACGAACTCGTACGTGCCGTCACTCTGCCTCAACAGCAAGAAGCCACCGCCGCCAATACCGCTATGATACATGCCAATGACACCCACGCAAATGACTGTGCCCACGAGGGCGTCCACGGCATTTCCTTTATCCTTGAGCATCTGGATGCCAATTTCACTGCATACTGAGCTTTGCGAAGCGACGGCTCCCTGCTTGGGGATTTGAACGCCGGGTGGACTGCATGGCGGTGTCGGTGATGCTCTGCTGTAAGGTAACACGGATAGAAGAAGTGTAAGTGGTCTTACCACTGATCTTACACGGAGCTGGGTCATGCTGGAGTATGAGGTGGAAGTGACGCCCGGAGACTTACATTCCAAGAAGCGTAGCATCCCTAGAGGAGATGGAAGCCAGGCTTATATACTACCAGCCTTCTCCGTGCAACACACCACATCGTTCAGAGCGTTTCCGAGCTGTTGGCCCGGTATCAATATCCCGAACGAACAAACTTAGCTCAATGATTGACATAGTAACCAGTAGAAGAATACGGCTAGGTCGGCCATCAGTCTTTACAGGTCGCCGACAAACGGCCCTCGACGCCTGTCAATGCCTGCGGGGATATCGAAGACAGGGGGTCAACGAAGTCTACGGATACTACGCTGGTTCTTCGAACAGACAAGAGATAATGGCAACCGTAGGCTGGAACTCAGAGAGACGACGATTTAACGAAGAGCAACAGATTATGACGTCTAGATCATCCATATGCATCGTTATCTTGGCCTTCCTGTCTAAGCTAAGGCTATTCAGATCCCGGCTGGTCGGAGGTCACGACCGATTACAGCACCAACAGCAGTTTCTGATATACTGCCACAATCCAACCCGCAGTGCCCATCATAACACAGGTTATAAAGCCTTCACAGACTCTCTGTTCAATGAACTGATTGTCAGAATTAGCTTCTGTCTACGCGATATATAGTACCAGCAACTCTTAGACACTTTCTCCGAGAGTCTCCAGCTATCGCAAGCCACACCTCAACATTGATCCCTGTTCAACTCTTCCGCATTTCGAAGTTCGCAGAGGGCGCATGTAACGGGTCATTGACTCGCAATCCCCACTACCCCTCACATTCATCTCCAGGGAATGCAAATCCGCTATACCAAAACAGCTGGTTCTTTGTCACAACCCACTCTGCCATTATCTCTATTTCTTTCCAGATTGTTGTTCCAATCGAGGAGATGCAAAGGCTTCCAAGATGCTAAAGCGACAGCACGCTTACATACCTGGTAGACATCACCTTCGGAGTTGGCCGACCCTACCCACCGGCATGATAACCAGTCCAGAAAGTGATGCCCGACGCCGAGATCGGCTATTGGTATCCAGAGACGTATTCAATTCAAGGACGATCGTCTGTATACATAATAGTACTCACGTAGATGTACTTTTCTCGTTGCAAGTCGTTCACAGCTCGGCCAACGCCGTAAGCACTCTCTTCAAGCCCTCCTGCAGATAGTCTTCCGGATGTGAAAACACGATCCGGAACCAACCAGGCTCCTCCGAACCGAATGCAGTCCCTGACGCCAGAAAGACCTTGTGCTTGAGCAATGCCGTGGCTATCGTCTTGTTCAAATCACCCGTCTCGGTGTTGGGATGAAGCTTCCTAAAAACGCTTCCCAAGTCCACCCACAGAAAGAAAGCAGCATTCACACCCGGCCGATACGTGATGCCGTTCTCCTTTGCCCACGAAGTCACCACTCTGTACTGCTCTGCCAGTCTCCTCTGGTTCTCGGCAATGTATTCTTCCACCCAGGCGTCGTCCTCCAGAATGTTTGCTGTAGCATGGTCGGCGATGGATGAGGCTGAGCTGTACAGGTTGAGAGGAATGAGCGCAGCGTGCAGCGATGGGTTGGCCTGTGAAATGAGTGCGCCCACTCTAAGGCCATTGGCCCCGAAATCCTTGGACATGCCCCAGAGAACATGGACTCGGGCCGGATCAATGATACCGGTAGGGTCGATGCTGAGACTTGAGGTGAACGATTCGACCGGGACGCCGGCGTCAACTGTGTTCTCCCAAACGGAGAGGGCGTATATCTCATCGCTGATAAAGTGCAGCTGGTATTTCTCGCAGAGTCTCAGGAGCCCAACGATCGCCTCCCTCGAATAACACCTTCCAAGTGGGTTGTGAGGATTGCAGAGCACCAATCCTGCCACCTTTGTCCCTTCAGACTCGGCCTTCTTCAGGGCCTCTTCATACTTGACAACGGCGTCTCCGCTCACGGGGTCAATGCCGTGAAACGGAACGGGAATGACTTTCGCTCCCGTGCGAGCTGTTAGATCTTCAATGAATGTCCCATAGTAAGGCTGCCCCAGCAGGAATGCTTCTCCAGGGTTGGCACACGCCCATGCAAGATGCTCAATCGCCGCGCTGCATCCATTGGTGACGATGACATGAGCAGGAATGATTGGGGTCACAGGCTTGAGATGCTTGTTAAGGAAGCGAGCCATGGCTTTCCGCAGATGCTTTGACCCTGATGCACCGTCTCCATAAGTGAATGCGTGGTTGGACAGGGCCAATTTCTCGTGAATGTGTTTTGAGAGAATATCATGCATGAGCCTGTTCTCGGCGACACCCAAGCTGACGGTTCCGGAGGGGTTTGTGTCTGGATCCCACAAGTCTTGCAGAACCTTCCATATTGTGAGTTCTTGGGCAGCTTTTTCGGATTGTTTGGCTCGTTCTGAGAGAGACATGGTGGTTGTGGTGATGATGATGATGGTGCTTCTGCTTGATTGTAAGGGTGAAGGAGGGGGGGAACTAGCGTCTAAACTGAGCGGAGAAGGCCTTCGGAGAGGTGAACAAAACAAATGTACAATGACAAGAAGGAGAGGAGGAGGAGGGTTCTTCGTTTATATGCCTCTGACCTCTATCGTGAACGACTGTCTTCAGAGGGCGCATGAAAACCCGCGCCCTTTCTCACGGCTAGTGCTGAAGACGGCCATCTTTGGCGTCATCGGGCGCCAAACCAAACCATTTGAGAGCTGCCTTGGCGGCAACTCTAGACCCAATGAGTCAGACGAATGATATCGGCATCACGTGCCGTCTCATAGCATTCAACCTCCTTTTGTTCATTGTTGATGTCGGTTTTGTTGGTTTCTAATACGTTTCTAATGCGCTGGTTGGTCAATACTTTGCAGGATTATCACATTTTGATGAATGTCGAGGGACATCAAGCAAACGCCTTGGGTGATTATACATAAAGCTACCCTATCGCTCTGGCGATCAACGAGGATTCGTCAACTGGAGTCTCCAACAATGGAAGAGGACCGTTGAAACGTATAGCTTGCACGTCATCACCCAGATTCTGGAGATGATCAAGAATTAATTTGTCTTCATTTGTAGCCTATCGTAGAGCGTTCTTCTTCTCGCTGGATCGTGATCTGGCCGGCCTTGATAACTGCAGTGTTTTCAACTACCCGGCATTTAAGTTGACTCTCCATTAGATACGGCAATCGTCGTCAACGGAGCAGCTAGGCCAACAGCAGTATACATAATCTCCGGCTCCCCGTCTCTTTGTTCAGCGGCTCACGCTATAAGTTGGTGTATGCCACCGGAGATGTGCGGAATACCTGTTGCCGTATTGGGCAAGCTGAAGAACCTCCAACTCGGCCTCGAGAAGGTCGCGACCGTTGTCTCCGAAAGCTATCAGAGGTTGGCCGAGAGAGGCGTTCTGATGAGCGTCATCTAAAATGCAGATGTGGTGTTGAAAATTCATATATAAAAGTTGCCTTTCGTTCCGACCATCTGAGACGTTCTGTGCAATCTCATCAATATACATGCGCTACGAGCAATCCCTGGATTGGAAGCAGCACGGCGTCAAGATACTAGCACCTACCAACACCGACTTATCTACACATCCTTACCTCTCCATCAATCTCCCATAATGACCAAAGTCCTTCTCCTCGGTGCTACTGGTTATGTCGGCAAGAGGCTAGTTGACACCCTTGTTCGAAGCGGCCAATACAAGGTGTACGGCATCGCTCGCTCAGAGGCCAAGGCCAAGGCATTGGCTCTCGCAGAGGTCACGCCCATCATCTGCGCTGATCCGGTCAATGATCCCGTGTCCTATATGGAGGCAGTCCGCAATAAGCACATCGATGTCATCGTTGATATTGCTGGTGCAAACCAGGAGTCGGCCAAGTTCCTTAGTCAGGCAAAGAAAATCGGTCAAGAGCGATTGAACAGCTATGCAGCCGCTGGCATCACGGGCCCTAAGTTGGGCTTCGTCTACTGCTCAGGCACCTGGGTCCACGGATCCAGCAACCAGTCGGTGAACGATCTTCACATTGCCGGTCCCAATGCCGCAACCCCTCCAAGGGCCCTTGTTGCGTGGAGAGTTGGCCTCGAGAATGCCATTCTTGGCTCCGCGGACGTTTTGGATGTCGCTGTTGTACGGCCCGCTCTGATCTACGGCCGCGAGAACACTATATGGACTCCATTCGTCTTGCCACTTCTCCAGGCAGCCCGCAGCGGCTCGTCAGAGACTGTGAACATTCCTTTGCAAGCCGATGCCAGGCCGGCTCTCATCCACGTCGACGACGTGGCCACCGGGTTCCAAAAAGTAATTGAGAAGCTTCCCTTGATCAACGGTGGCTCCGTCTATCCGGTCTTTGATCTGCTCACCAGCCAGGAGAGCATGTCTGAGATCTTTTCAGCCATGGCCTCTGTTTGGGACTTTAAGGGAGACTGTAGGCTGATTGGGCCTGGTGATGATTTGTTTGCCGAGGCTATGAGCACGAGTATGAGGGGGTCTTCATCGCGTGCGAAGCAGCTGCTTGGATGGGAACCGACCCGAACCAACGGATATGTGGCGGATATGGACGTGTATGCGGCTGCCTTTGCCTCTCAGCACTGAAGATATGGCGTCACCACACCACCATATACACCACTTGTAGGTACGAATATTACTGTATATCAAGGTTAACGCAAGTCTGTGCGTAATAAAAGGCATCTTTTGACAGTAAATATTGTGTGGAGAGTCTGACAGTGCAAACAGACGTGAGTATTCTGCCCGTTTGTGTCTTTGTGAATGTTAGCACGGCGTCTCCAGGTTTAAGAGCTGTATAACCAATGAATGGACAGCAGCGGGCTTGCTGTTCCAGACAACCCAGATGATTGATGAAATTGAAGTCTTTTGCTCCCGATCAGGGATCCATTCATTAAAAGTAAAAGGAAGTTTTTCTCATACTTCGTGATGGAATAGTAGTAGAGGGAAGTCGACTAGGTAAGTGCACGAGGGAAGAATTTCAGTCGCCGTCAGCGCCTCAACTGCTGCAACTTGAGGCCTAGCGCTGGAACGGAACGATAGCGCCGAGGTTCCTTGGCGCACAATTTCCATGGAGAGGAACCGGTGGCCGTAACGCCCCACATCCAGTTGCTCTTATCGGACATTTTCTTATCGGCCAGAAAAACTTCTGGAGCCAAACATTTTCTTCTGGTAAGAACCAGTCCACCAAGCCATTCTTCTCCTTACACCCATACCTGCTCGCCGCTCTCTCACACATACGAACCAATCGCCATCATGCGCCCTCTCACCGAAGAAGAGACGCAAGCCGTCTTCAAGAAGCTCGCCGAATACACCGGCGCATCGCTCAAGAACATCATCGCCCCCCAGGAAGATGGCGATCGCAACGTCTTCCGCCTGTCGCAGAACCGAGTCTATCTGGTCCGGCTCTCCATGGCCAATCTGGCAACGTCCATTGCCCGCGACAACCTGCTCTCTCTAGGAACCTGCTTGGGTATGCTCTGCTTTTCTCCCCAAAGACTGCGCATGAGCCGCAACTAACGTGACCTCGACTTTACAGGCAAGTTCACCAAGTCTGGCAAGTTCCGCATTCACATTACTGCCCTCCCCATCCTCGCCGAGCACGCACGACACAAGCTCTGGATCCGCCCCAACGGAGTCATGCCCTTCCTCTACGGTGGAAACATTGTCAAGGCACACGTTGGCCGATACTCTGAAGACTGCCCCGAGCACCAGGGCCTGGTTGTCTATACCATGGACGATGTCCCTCTGGGCTTCGGTGTCAGCGCTCGCAGCACCGCGGAGAGCAGGAGACTTGACCCGACCGGTGTCATGTGCTTCCGACAAGCTGATTGCGGCGAATACCTGCGTGACGAAGATACCCTGTTCCAGTCTGGCTAAAGACAATCGGTGCGACTGGTTCGACGATACAATGGCCGTTCTTTTAGGCAGCAAGATATTTCACTTTGGAGTTCAAGGGCGTTGGTGGCAATATTACTTTACAATTGGCATGGCGTTTAAAGATGGAAAATGCTGAAGAAGGGAACTTCGCCGAAGGTGGATGTGAAGACGATATGAGGGGTGCAGGGGCGCGCGGAGAGTTGGATAGTGGGATGAATGTCTGGACTGGGGCGCGGTTCATCTCAAGGTGCGTCATGCCATACACAAACACAGGACAGCTCTGTTCCTGAAAATCTCGTGGTCTTGCTCTTGGACCACCCCGGAAGCAAATCAGCTGGCACCATGTGTCATGGAGCATCAAGGCATATCTCTTCAATAAATAGCATCGCAATTTCTCTCACTACCCCCTGACATAACTGCATCATCGTGATCGTCCACAATTCAGAATTTCGTGCGTACCAGTGACGGAAAAGTCACTCGGATTTGGTTGCATTCCTGTGCTTATCCATCCAAACCCTTGCATACTCAACTACCTCTCGCAGAGAAAACAGTCGACACTCAGCTGCCCCAATCTTTGCGCGTACGACTTGGCAGTCTCTCTCAAAATCAGCCCCGAGGTCCTCGAAGTCGTCGTCAGTAATAGGCACGAGGTCTTCCACAGTCATCCACTGCCGTTGGCCATCGACCTTTATGGCGAACGAGTTGTCTACGAGGGGAGCCGGGCTCTGGAGGCGATATTCTGCAAGATGCAGAGCGGTGCATCTATCCCACCCGACCCCAATCAGCAAGACCCAAGCATCTGCAGCTTCGAGCTTGGCCAGCGGGCTCGATTCGCCAAAGCGACAATCAGGCGCATGTCCCTCTGTGATGACCTTTGCTTGAGGGCCGACTGCCGCAAAGGACGTCTGCGGATGGGCGGATCTCAACGCTCCGGGCCATTTGCGCAGCGTCTCTGGGACTACGCCGACCCTTCTGCAGATTGTCATGGCTGGATCAAACGCTGGCGTAGAGTCTCGAATGGTCTGCCACCATGATTCGGGCACCGGAGGAGCTCTCCAAGCTGCAGGATCCGAGTTTTCCCCCGTAAATGTCGGAGCAACAAGAGTGCCAGACGGACCAAGCGCGGAGAGGAGTGACTGAATGAGAGAGGGGGCGAAGCCGGGAATGAAGCCGATAGACCCCAGGGAGGAGTGCACGATCAGAGTCGGGTCGGGTGAGGGGATGCTGGATAAGAGGTGCTTGAATGAAATGGTCAGCTCCGACGGGGTGACGATGGCGGTATATTTGGAGTTGCCCGACATGATGTAGAAGAGGCACTTGGACTTTGCACACAACCTGGGTGGGAACGGCCGAGATTGAAATGGTCACAGCTGAGCCTCGATTATATGGCATGGCAAATGAGGCCCAAGTTTCAATATGGGGATTGAGTTTCACCGAATGACTCACCGGCTCCAACTTTCTCCAATTCACAAAGTTGCACGAAGGAAGATTATCAGATCAACCCGCTGCTTATGAAAAATCCTATTGCCAGCGTTCTACTCGGTCATCTCCTCTCACTTCTGGAACCCAGCCTTCATCGCCACATTGTCCTGGTTGACGTTTCCAACAGTGCCCGCGAATCCTTTTTGCCGGACCTCGTCCAGCGCTCGCTCCCTAATCTGAACTCCAGCCTCGAGATTCCCCTTCAGTCCGACCGCGATTTCCAGGATGTCTCCCACATCACCCTCAAACTTGGTGTGATCCCGAGGCGATCTCCATGCGACGTGATCATCTGGCCTGATGAGAACTGCATCACGCTCCCAGAGATCCCGTACGTGCTTCTCTGTCGGCAAATGAACCTTTTCCAGTGGAACACACAGGCGCTCCGCAGCCTTGCCGAACTCATACGCCCATTTGCCATCCTTGGAAAAGTCGACAATGGTGTATTCCTGGCCAAACAAGTCAAAGATGCTCGTCTCGCCATCAGCAAGGAAGACATGTGGCGGCCTTGCTCCGGGCCACGTTGATGGGACGTAATGGCGGAAGTTCCACTCGGGCTCCGAAGCATCGGAATCACCTACGACAACGGGCGACGCATTATATCGGTAACCCATCTCGATGCCATGGTCCTGGTTCTCGCCGTCGTTGGTAAGAAAGGAATGCGCCAGCTCCGCTTTGAATGCCTTGCCCAGCTTGCTCTGCGAGAGGATGTCGGGCCTGACCTGAGCACAGCTACTCCAGATCCTCGCCCATCTCTGCCACAGCGTGCCCGAGTGATTGATATTCCGCACCGCGACTGGCAGACGTTCCAGCTCGTACGACTTCAGAAGCAGTTCGCCGCCGTATCCGTTCAACACGGCAGCGAGCTTCCACCCGAGATCAAAGCTGTCGCCAACGGCGGTGTTCATGCCGTAGCCTCCCGTGGGAATATTCTGATGTGCTGAGTCGCCTGCGAGGAAGACGCGTCCGCTTGGGGAGATGTACCTCTCCGCGATGCAAATGTTTGGCCGCCAGGTGCTCTTGACCAGGATCTCGTCAATCTTGATAGGCCACGGCCCTGACGGGCCTCCGAGCGCGTTGTACACTGTCTCCTGGGGGTCAATCTTCTCCCAGTCGGCGTCGATCGGAATTGGAGTGTGCAGTGTCCATGTGTTGACCTCGTCCTGCGCAATAAGAAAGGCTCTATGAGCGAACCTAATGTGCTAAAACTGTCCTTGCTTGTGCAGCCTAGTGACGTCCCGCGACTTGAAGTGAACCAGCATCATTGCACCAGGACTGAGTTGACGAAGGGACAAGATGTCAGTGGGATATGCTGGCGAAGAAGCTACGGGATGACTTACACAGGTCCTCCAAGGAGGTTAATGCCGAGTGATCTGCGGACATGACTTCCAGCTCCATCGCATCCCATGACATACTTGCTCTGAACAACATGTTGTTCGCCGGTCCTTACGTCCGTGAGCGTAGACTCGACTCCATTGTCGGTCTCGGTGAGAGACTTACACTTGAGACCGAAATGCGCATTGATGAGTTTTTGAGCTTGGATTCGAGGCTTGAGCCATGCCTTGAGGACAGCCTGAGAACAGCGCTGGTAAGGCTCTCGCGGAAGCGTGCCGTTGTTCTGCGACTTGATACGCTTCCGCCAAGCATTGACGGAGTCGAGCTTCTAGGATTGGGCATGAGTCTCAGTTTCACTCGGTCGAAGTAGCAAGTCTGCTCGTCAATAACTCACCCATCTAGCTATCTCCTCTCCACCTTCTGCCAACCCGGTACTGAAGATCACGTCGAATGAGTATTCTGGGGGGACACCTAAGGTCAACAGATGAGAAGCCGCCCATGAGAGCGTAGACTTAACGCTGGAGATGCTCACCAATCTCCCGTAGCCCTTCCGAGATCCTAAGTCGGCGGAAGAGTTCCATGCTGCGACAGTTGGTCAGATCCATCTTGGGCCACTTTGTTGTGTCTAGGTTTCGTTCAACCAGCATGTTGTTGATGCCATGGCGAGCGAGCTGTAGGGAGAGAATAAGGCCAGCGGGGCCTCCGCCAACTATCAGCACTCGCGTTTCGTGGTGAAGGACCTGCACACATTGATGTTAGAACGATTCTTGTCTTGTTCGACATCGAGGACTTGCTGTTTTGCTAATCATCCTGAAAGCTGCAGAGTTGTTCTGAAGGATTGTGATAGGAACGTTGCAACCCAGTTCGATGAACAAGTCTGTGAGTCGCAACCCATATCTAATGAAGAAATGGAGTCTCTATATACCCTTCTGCTTCACATGATACAGACTGAATACACATCTCCTGCTGTTTCTTCACTTCCCGTTTCGACATCCATCAGTGTCCCACAACACAGTCTCCTTACAGAGACTTTCTTGGCCAATCGCCAATGCTCCGTACTTCCGAAGCCTTACTCACGATCCCGATCCCTGCCGTTCGCCCACGAGGACCAAATGCCCGTGCCCGCAGTCTCATCACATCGTACAAATGACTATCAGTAATGATGTGTTAATCATCGCGTAAGAGCCGTCTCTGTGCCCCCAGGAAGTGAGAAACGACCATACAAGCCTATATCTGAGACGAGCTCGCGGTTGATACCAGCAATTGTCTACTAAAACATTTACAATGCGTACATCTAGCAAAATTTTATGTTTCTGCTCGGCATGTAAATTAATGGCACGTCGATGTGTCTACTAAAGTATGGGAGAGGGTAGACAAGTAACAAACAGGGCTGCTCTTGAATATTGAACAGCAACTCAAGTGAACCTCTTCAAATATCTTCATTCCGTACACTCACACGTGTGAAGGCCAGAGACCTTTGACGGAATCAGCAAGTTACTCAAAATTACCCAAATCACTAACTCAAGGAACGCAGTCAATGCTTCATGCGCGCCCTCGGATTTGGCATGGGAATATTGTCGTCGGAATTAGCCACTTACAACTCCTGCACGTACATTCCATCTGCTTCCCGATCTGAGCACATGGTCAAGCGAACAATCCCAAGATTGCCGGAGACCGAGCTGGCCCTTGAAAACGCCGATCAAGTCGCAGAGAAGATGCAGTCTGGCAGCTGAGCCGAGACCATTCCCTTGCCCATTCAAGCCAGCAAACCTGTTTGAGCCTGGGCCGTCCAGGCGCGCCGGGAATACGCCTTTATTCGCCCGTGTATATTGTATGATCTTTCAATTGATGTGAACTTCAATATGCCTCGTTACTGGACAAATCTCCTTCGAAATTCTTCCACCTTCGGCAAATCTACAATATGCGAGCAAGACAAGCTACTGTAATGCCTGGTTGCCGGAAAGCTTGACTTAGGGGAATGCAGACGCACGATGTCGAAGAATGATACCCTGTCTCGAGTTTCCATGTGTTGCCACCTCGAGCAAAGCTCCGCTTACCAATACCTACATAAGCCTACACCAATGTGACTGTCACAATCTCATGATTGCGGTCCGTGAATCCACAATCCGCCTGCCCGCTTGACATCTCATGCATGCTAGATTGACCCAGCTAATGAAACCCTGTAAAGGGAAAGATTTCCGACTCTAGGGAGGTCCCGGGCCTAGGTGGCAGATCATGAGGATTCTCTAAATAGTCGGGGTGCAAAACTTGTTGACCACTTGCTGTTTTCTCCTTTACACATCTCCGTAAATTCCGAGGGCCGCATACTGATATGAAGTGGTGAATATCACTGGAGGGTCCAACTGCCGACTTGGCCTCGTCTTGCCCATCTCTGTTCTACTTTGCTCTCACAAAGAGAACACTTGGCCGAGAGGACGGTTCTCCTCTATGGCTGAGATGCTTCCCGGACAGCAGCAGAGAGGCCCCATGATGTCGAACGATCATCAGGATGAGATCAAAGAAACAGTACGGCCCATCTAGACGAAGACATGAGCCCAGTGAAAGCGGAGAAGAAGAGCAAGGAGAGTGAAGATATACATGTACATTCAGGTAATAATAACATACCCCAGTGAGGATCATTCTCCGTATAGCCTTGCTTGATGTCGAATCTTGCTCCATGCTCATTCCAGAGCGCAGTAGTTACTCTGCATCTTCACTTGGATACCTCTTAACTCGGCATCTTCTCTGTCAAACGGAGCGTAAGCCCACAATACATCGATCTAGATCACTCCTTAGGTTAAGCCAAGGTTCCTACCTCACTTCATGACATGATTAGGCAAGAACTTCGAATGCTTGACCTACCTGCTCATGGCACGATCGCGGATAGTTCAACAGCTGAAGATAATGCTCATTCCTTTGTATAGTACTCGCATCAATGACCGCACCTGATATCCGAGGTGAATTGTATTGATCTAGGCTGACAAGATATCCTTGTAATTCAAGTCCAGACGCAGTTCGCTTATACATTGGCACATATATGAATGATCACAAACACAACCTCATACAGAAAGCTTGAGCTGATTTTGGATGAGAAACAGTAAAGTACCACGAGAACATCAATGGAGAACAAATTGAAGCAAGTGGACTGGAGCCGTACGTCGTACTCTGGAACGCTTTGTATTGTAGCCGAGGCTGATGCCAATGATAATCGCCTGACCCCAGGTCCTGACACACAGATAGAACGCCTCATGTTCATGAACCAAGCACTCAAAATTGGAACCGATAGCTTCATCTCACGACCGTCCTTAGATTGCCTTCAGGACTAGGGCTGCCCACGGAGAATTTCCAGCAGATGGCCTCGGCGAACTTTGCGGTGGTTGCGGGCTTCAATTGGAGCGCAAGGCAGCTTCTGCGGTCCTGGTTCATGGTGTGGGCGCCTCTCGGCTCTCTTCACATCCGGCTTGTTGCAGAGAAGGGTTTGTGTAGACATACCTTTCCTACCTAGAGCTAGCGAGTGATAGAATTGTCGAGTGAACCTGGATGAACTGCGAGATGGCAGAGTGCAACTAGCAGCCGCCGTCAAGAGGTCGCTTGCGATGGGTAGGATACCCGACTGAAGTAGCTTCTGTTTGCAAACACATAGAGCGTTAAACACATCAGACGGCAAACATAGGCTCATGCAATGAATGGTCAAGCAGTGATGTCGCTCTCTCGCTCTCTCGCTCTCTCGCTCTCGTCACTGCTGTTAGCTTTAGATTTTGTCGCGTTTGTTGATCGATGGACTATTCCATGAGACGCTGCCTTCTGCGAAAGGCGGATCAGAGAGCGGCTATCCGGATCTCAAGCCCTAAAAAATTGATACTGCAAGTAGTTTCCATATAGTCTGTCAATCTGTATAGAGCCCTTCGCATTACTACTACATGGACAAAGAGATACACTTTTCCACGTAGGTAGCTATTTATAGGTAGATGCTTTCATTGCTACTTCAGGGACTCGAGAACTCCGATGCTGGGAAAATGCTGACAGCCAGACGTAGATCTGAATTATAGCTGAGCATCTCGCATCCGCTACTGCAGGTCCTGTCCAGGGGCACTGAGCCTTAGCTTCTTCACTGAAGCTGTAACGCCGCATAGCTTCATAATATCTTGATAACCTTCAGAAAACAGTAGAAAGTTGTGCATGTCACTTGTACATTGACTGTACCTTATGCAGAACAACTTGGTCATGCAAAGGCCATCAAGCATCAAGCAATGTCCACTTGTTATATCAATTTTACAAAGCTTCCCTTTCAGAGAATCAGAGATTAATTCTTCCGACGGACCTCAAAATCCCGTCTGATGAGCTCCCCTGGCCTAAAAATGCCGATCAATTAGGCTATTTGGAAGCCCGCGAAAGCTTCAGCAACAGCAACACTTTTCTCAATCCGGCTTCAGAGGCCTTGGCCAAAGAACCACTATATCAATAAAGGAAGCTCACTCAAGCTTTCCAGCACGGGAAACGAACCAGAACAGCAATCCATCACAGTTGTCGTCATCCTTGATGAAGCCCACCCCGAAATACCCGCAAACCAGGATATCGTGACCATTGTTCGGGCCCCCAGGCTGTCAGCTATGGGGTTTCCTCCACACAGCCAAGGCACTGCCTGCGGAAGCTAGACTCAGATTCGCAAGGCGTCCTTCGGAAAAGGCTTACGAGGCGCAACTGCCGCCCCATAGTGAGAATAATGGCATCTCCATAAGAGGAAGAATGGCGTCGATCGGAGCGTCTCGATTGGGTCGGGAAGACTCTCGGGAGCTATCTGCGGGGAGAGAGTATTATTCCGTGTTGCGGCGGTGATGACCAAGGCTCGACACGGCTGTGGAAACAGCTGGAGGTGAGCGGTAAGAAGCACTTGGGAGACTCCAGTCTGTGAGATCTCGTGTAAACGTCGCGACAAGATGGAGCCCTAGGCAAAGTGAGATCGTATTATCCTTAGCCATGGGTACCTCAACAAGTGCAGCCATCGACAAGTATATATATACATACCTAGTCTTGCGACATTCGACCAACAAGGTGGTTTCCCCCAATCCTCCTCATACCGCTCCCCTTTCTTGAACATGCCTCGTCTTGAGCTCCTCTCACTGGGCCTCGCCATCACCGGCGCTGCGGCAGCTCCCGCTGCTTCTGCCGCAACACCGCTCAAAGTCATCAGCTATGCCCAGACTCCGGGTGGCTTCCGAACGCCAGCCCGAGGTTGGAACAGCTTTGCCCTGCAGGCCAACCCCAACGCAGGACCCAGCTTCAAGTTCGACCAGTCACATGTCCTGACTCAATGCAGCGTCCTGGCTTCAGACGGCTTCAAGGGCAATTATGACTACTGCAGTCTCGACTCTGGCTGGTCGGTGGGCGACCATGGCGATGACAACGGTCGGCTGATCTATGATTCAAGCCTGTTCGACATCCCCTCGCTAGCCAGCTCCCTTCATGATCAAGGGCTCAAGCTGGGCGTGTATGTTGTTCCCGGGGCCTTCATCAGTGACAGAAACAAGACAATACTGGGAACCGACACCACCATCGGAGAGGTCTGCACAGGTGACGAGGGCTTGATTCGCTGCATCTTCGATTACACGAGGCCGGAAACCCAGCAGTGGCACAACTCGGTCGTTGACCTATTTGCCTCTTGGTATGTGTACTGCTATAAGTCTTTATGACCAACATAAATGTTAACTGTGTCACAGGGGCGTCGACTTTGTCAAGCTTGACTTTGTCACTCCAGGTTCGCCCGACAATGGCCAGAACCTCCCTGCAGACCAGAGCGGCTCCGTCATCGCCTGGCACAACGCCATCAAGAACAACGGCCGCCAGATGCGCCTCGACATCTCCTGGAAGCTGGACCGCACCAAGAAGTACTTTGACATCTGGAGCGCCAACGCCGACTCCATGCGGACAGACCAGGATCTCAACAATTCCGGCTCAAACGTCCTCGTCGCCTGGGGCACCGTCCAGCGTGCTATCGAAAACTACCGCCAGTGGATCGTTGCCGGCCTGCAGTTTTACGACCAGCTCACCATCTACCCTGATCTCGATAACTTAGTGTCTGGCAACCCGGAGAGCATCTCGGGCCTTAGCAATGGCCAGCGTACCACTGTCACAACGCTTTGGATTGCGGCCGGAGCGAACCTCATCATTGGCAACGACATGACCACACTGGATGACTTTGGCAAGAACCTCCTCACCAACCCTCAAGCCTTGCAAGTCGCTGCCTTTACCGCCCAATATCCCATCCAGCCTCGCAACCCCGGCTCGGGCGGCCAGGCGGCCACCCAGTTCCAGGCCTGGATCGCGGGCCCTTCTCCCTCTGGCGAAGCCGTCGTCGTGCTGGTGAATCTCGGCCCAGACAACGGGCAGGGTGGTTTCGGAACGCAAACGCGCGGCGTCCAGACCGTGTCCGCAACGTGGCAGGACCTGGGCATTTCAGGCCAGTACAACGTGCAAGACATCTGGAACAACAAGAGCTTGGGGGTCGTCAGCGATCAGGTTTCTGCTCAGCTCAACGAGGGCGACAGTGTCCTGCTGCATCTGACGCGGGCATAGAAACGCTTCAAAGGGTGTCTCAAAGAAGGATGTCATGATTTGCACATAGATCACCAGAGGACTCTGCATTGACTATCATTGAAGAGCCTCAGTCGAGATAATTTTCTCAGTTTGATAATAGGTACTTTGTGAAAATGGAGAGTCTGTGCTAGAGCCCAGTTACCTTCCCATCTCCTGGATAACCCGTTGACTCCAGTCTCCTCTGGTGATGGAACGTTCTAATGCCTCAATCCCCTTCGCAAGCGGTCTCCAAAGTACTCGAATCCTCGGGACATCCACTCGTCTGTTTGATCCAGATGCTGCTGAGCAATGCGGCCATCTTCCGCAATTCGATACTCTTGAGTAATTCGACCCTCTTGGTGAGAGTCTGTAACTCCGCAGATAGCATCCTGATCAATCTGATGGTCTTCGTTAGAGTCTCTTCGTCTACCAGGCGCTCTTAGAGGCTCTCACTCTTCGTCGTCAATTTTGGCGGGGAATAAGAATTTGGGGGCCCTCATTCGAGTCGGGCGACTTTATAAATCCCATATCAAGGACAGCGGCCTCCACTCTGGCTCTGTATACTTCTTTTCCCTCAGGGGTGTCATTTGGTCCGGTATACTTCAGCTCTATGACGCCGCTGTTGTCTGATTGCATCGAATACCTTCCGATACTTGCTGCAAGGTTGCGGAAATGGAACAAGTTGGGATCATTTACAGTGCAGTAAATCAAGAAGTCGAAAGAAGACATCGCGATGGAATTCTATTGTGCCCGATCTTCAGTAAGTGATCACAATAAGGAGCTCAAGAAGGAGATGGACTTATGGATATTATGCTCTTTTACTCACCAACAGGGTTCTACTTTGTGTCTTTTGTGTGTGGAAGACTCGAGTGCATCTGAGAGGGTTGCAGTAATCTAACAGGCAATCCAGGGAGACGGAGAGGTTTAAATAATGATTATCTTCATGTTTGATGGTTGAAAGAGCGAGCAAACTTCATTCAATCAGTGCCACATCCAAAGCTCAAGGAGCATAAGTTCCAAGACTCACTGTTGTCGCCAGCCGAGATATTTGATTGCTTGCTATACCTGATAAATTTCGAGAGACCACATCATACTTGGTTACACGGCTGAAAACGTACCTTTCTCTATACATGCACAAACTCTTGTCCTTTTTACAATGTGTATTCAGAGCTTTATGCGACGTTGCCTAAGCATCACAGGTATTTCATACATCTGATTTCATTAAGGATGACGAGGATACGATTCGAGCACCACCTGATGATTCACACTGAGATGTATTTGTCAACACCTCATTGACACCCTCATCACAGCCCTTGCCTTTCTGACTACTGACGTTATGTTGGTTACACGGGTGGCATATTCACGTAGAGCTTCGACGACTTTTCCAATTGCTTGCTTAGGTAGCATTCTGCCGAGCGAATAATGAGCAAAGCAAGAGCTTGTTCACATCTATTAATAACTACAGCTGTATAGCAGCTCCACGTATTGTGTGCAGAGCAAACAATCATGGGCCTGTCTAGAAGCAGAGCATTGCCACGAAATCTGATGTTCCCTTTCGCTGTACTCGGCGCAGAGAGTATGATGCGTTGCTTTCAAGGCGTGTATGGATGGAGGAAATGACGACGCAGGGAGCGACTCGAGCGCTTGTGGAACAAACCAAAGACAAACACCAGACGTTTGGCAATCTAGGTACCCAGGGCACTTGGAGATGACAAATAGCCAAGGTCTCAAGAATGCTGGCTTGATGAGCCTGTTGGCAAGATACCTACTATAAATAAAGAACCAGGCTGTATTTGCCGTATCGGACAGCACTCCCCCTGAGGCACGGAGCTGAGATGCCATAAGGTAATTACCCAGCAACTTGAAGATCGCAAGGTGTAACGGTAATCAGTACTCTGACATAGTACCGGCAGGTACGATAAGGCATCTAGACTCTCCAGTGACTCAGTGAACGAGGGGATTCCACGTATGTAGTATCTGTGCAGAATATACTAGAGGGTGAAGCGGTTCCCTTTGTCGATCTGCTTAATGCTAATGAGGTTAGCGTTCCGGACCGCAGCGATCACTAGAACATTCCGAGATCCAAGGATTCCGTTTGTATGCACGACGGAGGCGTGATATGCGCAGCCAGCAAGTCATCCAGGAAGTAATTCGACATCCCTGCCCTTTTCTCATAGCAATAGGCTACCATATCCTCACGTTATGGTAAGGGAAAGGAGCGAACCTTGAGTACTCAAAGAGCACATGTAGACTGAGCCATGAGAATATCGATACCTCATATGTGCTTCTCTCCATCAGCATAGTGGCCCCTAGAATCTCGCACTATATATTCGTGGCTGATCCTTCAAATCTACCAGCGAAACCCGTCTTACATGCATTTATACAAGCCATTATATGCGCGTAATCAACTTCATGCACCCATCCACAGACTCCAGAGATCCAAGATGCTCCAGCCATCAAAATCCACGACCAACTCCGCTCTTTTCCGCATCATGACAACGACTGTAGCGAACCGAACATGTACACACAGTTATCGGCGCAACTGCCGGGGAATGTCCGGGCGGGGTTAACGAGAGAAAAAGCCCCTGGAAACACAAAAGTCGTTTAGATCATTCCGAGTCAAATGGGGTGGGAACTGCACTGCTCGAGGCTTCATTGGATAGCCTCAAGTTGGCGCGCTTCGGGGTTTAGCTCGCGTAGGAATTCCAGTAAAGTCCGGCATTCAAGTTCCGAGAGCGAAGGAGTTTGGAAGGGTTACTTGGAGAAGAATAGGAGAGGCGGACAAGATATATAAGAAGGGCCAAGTCCTACTTACAAGCTCGACCAAGCTCGACAAACAACTCACTTCGGTTTGTTACAAATCTCATAACAACTTCAACAACATCCATCACCATGGTTCAGTTCCTCGGCAAAGAAGTTGGCCCTATCGGCTTTGGCCTCATGGGTAACTGCTCCCTCAAAACCACCATCATCGAATCAGCACCATCATCGAATCAGCTAACACAACGCAGGCCTCACCTGGCGGGCCGACCCTCCCCCACTGGAGCAGGCCCTCGCCGTCATGAAGGCCGCCGTCGAAAACGGCCAGACGTTGTGGAACGGCGGCGAGTTCTACGGCACGCCCGAGTACAACTCCATGACCATCATCAAGGCCTACTTCGAGAAATACCCCGAGGACGCCGACAAGGTCGTCCTGCTCATGAAGGGCGGCGTCAACACCAAGATCCTCAAGCCCGACGGATCACCCGAGGGCATCCGCCGCTCGCTGGACAACATTCTGGCGCAGCTAGGCGGTGTCAAGAAGATTGATGGCTTCTGCTGTGCCAGACGCGATCCCGAGTATCCTCTTTCGGTTACCTTTGGCGTGATTCAAAAGGAGTACATCGACACTGGCAAGGTTGGCGCAATTTACTTGTCAGAGTGCGGAGTTCACACCATCCAAGAAGCTACCAAGGTGGCCGACATTGCTGCTGCTGAAGTCGAACTCAGCATGTTTACGCCTGACATACTAAGAAACGGAATCGCCGCTGCTCTGAAGGAGCGCAACATTCCCATCATTGCATACTCGCCTCTTGGCAGGGGTGTAAGTGTCTCTTATCTGAAGCCTAGAACTGCAGTGTAAAGACTGACAATTACATGAAGCTCCTCACCGGCCAGTACAAAACCCTGCAAGACGTCAAGAAGCTCGGCTTCGTCTCGACCTACCCCCGCTTCCAACCAGCCCAGCTCGAGCACAACCTTGAGCTCGTCGAGAAAGTCGAGCAGTTTGCCCGCGAAAAGGGCTGCACCCCCGGCCAGCTCGCCATCAACTGGGTGCGCAGCATGAGTTCGGATCCGAAGCTGCCTCTCGTTGTGCCGATCCCTGGCTCTGCTACTGTAGAGCGTGTTGAGGAGAATGCAAAGCTGGTGGAGTTGACCAAGGAGGAGCTGGATACGCTGAATGGCTTGGTGAACAGCTTCGAGACTGCGGGTGGTAGATACCCGCCGCAGGCGCCGATCAACACATAGAGATTAGAGAATGAAACCAGATAGAAGCTTGCTTGCAATTTCTTGTTTGTGGACGCGTGAAAGTTTTTCCTAAGCTGAGCAACGACAATAAAGCCTGGGTACCTGACTCTTTGTTGGATGCTGCCGAGGCAGCCACTTATACAGTAAGCATTTACAGGGCCTGCGTAGGAAATAGTTTACTTGAGGCAGACCTGTATCCACGCAATACACGTATTCAAGATGCTTCAATCTTCTAATTATGAGGTCATTTAGCCTTGGGATGCGTCTAGCAGCCACGGTTTGCTTAGCAATCCTAGATGAGCGGCGATTTATCCGCCCCAGTCCGGCTCCCTACTATGCTCACCCACGGTGTAGACATTAAGGCACACATTTCAGACCATTAGCTGTATCGAGAACGATTTAATCACTGCAACTTGACTGCATCTAGGTATTTAAATAATTTTGTTTAAAGAAAGTATATCTCCCGGCTCTTATGTACATCTTTTACATGTATTGCGAGCCAGACTTGTCCGGCTCCTCGAGGCAAGACAATCTTCACCTAGGCAGGCTCCTAACCACCACTTCCGCGAGACCAATACTCTTCACCATTAGAAGGCATATATATATAATCGAGACAATTTCTGACGCGCATTCGATAAGAGTTTGCGCCGAATTGTTGCTGATAAAGCACCGAACGATCCGCACCCCCGCATCTCGTCGATGTCGTGATTGTCGTCCGCTTACATGCATAGCACATCACATCATCTACAACCATCCACTTGTCCATCTTGTACTTGTCCTTTTCTATATATAGTTGAAATCTTCACACTGATAAAGAGAAGAATACACAGTCCCTTATAACACTAATAAGACCTCGTAGAAGAGCACAAGTCTCGAATAGCACAGTAGATCTCACAGACATCACCATGTCCAACACCAGACAACTGCATCTCACAGCCTTCATGCGCCCTGTGAGTCTACACACCGGCGCATGGCGATACCCCGGCTCCTACGCCGACGCAAACTTCAACCTCGCCCACCTCAAATCCTTCATCCAGAAGCTTGAGGCCGCCAAGTTCGACGCCTTCTTCATGGCCGACCACCTCGCCGTCCTCAACATGCCCATCGAGGCCCTCCGGCGCAGCCAGACAACCACATCCTTCGAGCCCTTCACTCTACTCTCTGCCCTATCCCAAGTCACAGAGAAGATTGGCCTCGCGGCTACCGCATCGACAACATACGACGAGCCCTACCACATTGCCCGTCGCTTCGCCTCGCTGGACCACCTCAGCAACGGCCGTGCGGCCTGGAACATCGTTACGACGGCCAACCCGGACAGCGCAAAGAACTTTGGCCGCGACGAGCACATGGACCATTCGGACCGGTACAAGCGCGCCAGGGAGTTCTACGACGTCGTCACCGGCCTCTGGGATTCGTTTGCAGACGACGCCTTCATCCGGGACCAGGAGTCGGGCATCTTCCTCGACCCGGCCAAGATGCACACGCTCAACCACGTTGGCGACGAGCTCAAGGTCAAAGGGCCCCTGAACATTGCTCGTCCTGTCCAGGGATGGCCCGTTATCGTGCAAGCCGGACAGTCCGATCCGGGACGGCAGCTAGCTGGTGAGACGGCCGAAGTCGTCTTCTGCTCGCCGGCAAACATCGACGCCGCAAAGGCTCTCTATGCTGATATCAAGGGCCGGGCCGAAGCCGCTGGCCGGAAGAGGGAGCACATCAACATCCTGCCTGCCGCACTAGTCATCATCGGGGACACAATCCAAGACGCCAAGGAGAAGCGCCTCAAGTTAGACAGCCTCGTCCACTACGAGAGCTCCATCGCCAGCCTATCCATTGCTCTCGGAACGGACGCATCCAGGTTTGACCCTGACGGACCTCTTCCCACGGACCTGCCCGAGACAAACGCCAGCAAGACGGGCCGCGAGGCCGTGCTCCGGCTAGCAAGGGAAGAAGGCCTGACAGTGAGACAACTAGCACAACGCTTCGGTGGATATGCCGGCAATGCGTTTGTCGGAACGGCGCAGAGCATTGCCGACGAGTGGGAGAAGTGGCTCAAGGAGGAGGCCAGTGATGGCTTCACCGTGTGCTTTCCCTACCTGCCGCAGGGGCTGGATGATGTCGTGGAGAAGCTAGTGCCGGAGCTGCAGCGTCGGGGAATCTTCCGCAAGGACTACGAGGGAACAACGCTGAGAGAACACTTTGGCCTGCCGAGGCCGGAGAATCAATTCTTTCCCAAGGGTGAGAGCACTTAGACAGCTCTGCCGCCGAACGAGCACCCTCACATGTTAGAAGACACATGTTATAAGACGTACATGCCCGTAAGCAAACACTGTTGTATGTTCATTCATCATATGTTGTCATTTGTGTCCATGTACGGGCCAAACTGGTAGCCAGATATATACAGTGCTGCTAAACCTCAACCCCCATACTCAACTTAAGCCTTGGGCAGGATCCAAGTCGTCACCGACGAACCAGGAACGCGAGCATTCCAAGTCTGGCTCTCCGACTCCGTGCCCACCTGCACCCAGATATCGTGGTTGTACCTGTTCTGGATGACCACCGTGCGGGTGCCATCCGGGTTAATCGTGCCGACGGCCTCCATGCCCGTGTTATCAGGGAACAAGTAGCTGCCCGTACCATCGACGACAACAGCTCCCTTGGGAATATACCGACTGAACTGTCCCATCATGTAGTAGTCAATCTCCTTCTTGTAGCTGCTTCCATCCGGAGAGACGGTAACAAGACCCGTGCACTGGTGGCAGTTACCGCCTCCAGACAACGCAGGGCCGCCGCCGGTGAAGGAGCCCAGCGTCCAGGCAATGACGCCGTTGGCCCAGTTCTGCAGCGGGAACATGTTGAAGCTGGAGCTGTGGACCCAGTCGGTGGTGCCCACGGCCGTCCAGCACTCGGTCATGTACTGGTCCTTGCCGGGGAACTCGTTGTGGAACTTGGTCAGGGGCGTCCAGTTGTCGGGGTTGTTGCCGGCGTAGCAGTGCCAAGCGGCGGCCTGGACGTACTGGCTGGCCATGTTCATGACGGTCTGGGGGTACGAGTAGACGTCTGCAAATGGGTGTTAGTGCTGCTGCTTCACGGGATACGTTGACAGCATCGTCTTCTTCTCACCTTGGTTGTGATCCCAGGCCCAGATCTGCGTGCTCAAGCCCGCATTCCTCAGAGCAGGCCCAACCTTGTCCCGGATCAAGGCTCCTGACTCGTCCTGCTGGATCAGCATCGTCGGCATGTCGTCCTTGTTGTTGAGAGGCTCGTTCTGCAGCGTAATGGCATCGATATGCGCACCACCGCTCTCGTACGCCTTCAGGTACTTGACAAAGTACTGCGCGTACGCATCCTCATACGCGTGGTTGAGCTTGTTGTTGGCCGTGCCGCCGCCAATCAGCTGGCCCTTGACCTTCATCCACCCAGGAGGCGACCACGGTGATCCCAGAATAGTCAGGTTGGACTGCAGCTTCCGCATGTTGGCCAGCATGCTGATCATGGCATTCCCACGATCTCCCAGCCCAAAGCTGTTCAATCCCGTATCGACCTTGCCGCCAGCATCGTCATACGTGTACGCCGGATCGGCAGAGAGATCCGAGCTGGCGACCGTATGCCGCAGCAGGTTGAAGTTGAGGCCCGCCGGCGTCATGATCTCGTTGAGCAGCTGCGAGCGCAGGTTGGCGTTGAGCTTGTTGAAGGCGGCGACGGTGGCGTCGGTGACGGCCGCGCCGAAGCCCTTGACCGTCTGCTTCCGGCCCGTCTTCTCCTTGATGGTGAACTTCCAGTTGTCGATGCCCGGGTTGGCGGCGTTGAGGACGGGCGCCTGGATGGGCGTGAACTGGTTCCGGCCGTCGGCCGTGGAGGCGAACGAGGAGGCGGCGTTGACGCCGCCAACCGCCGCAATGGTGGTGAGGACGGAGATAAAGAGCATCTTGATGTGGTATCAGCCCTGGTGACAAGTTGGATGAGGGGGAGGGGCAGTATCAGCCTGGTGAGAAGAGAGGAATCGTCATCCCCTTATATCCATTCGTGCGGATATACTTTTATGTTTTCCGCCACCAAGTTCCCCCTGGCAGCTTCGATGTAGGTATTACCCTGGGAATTGTTACCACCTCACTTGAGACATGTTCAATAAGCTTAGACGCAAGCCTCCGCTCAGCTGCACCGCTGCACATGCTCTCGCCACACAAACAGAGGAGTCTCGAACCACGTCCAGGCACAAATCATTCACGAGCTGCCAAATCGAGACCGGGGCAGCTCAATCGGCCCTATCCCCATTGCTCCGGCTCCCGCTGCCGCTTTGGAGACTGGTCGATCCATGCCGTAAGGGGGGTAGTTTGGAGGTGACGATCGGTGAGACGTCGACAACACGGCCGCCATTCAAGCTCTTCCACGTCAAGCTCTTGCTATTGCTTTGACATGTGGTCATCATCATGCTGCTTCAATCAAATCGACTCCAGTTGTGCAGGCATAACAGCAACTAAGCTCCGATGACAAGTGATTCAAATCAGTTCCCCATCTACCATCAGAAGCTCTTCAATGAGTTCTACCAGTTGTTAATCCTCAATTACTCTCACCTTGGGAGGCAGCTTTAATGCTCCTCCAAACAATCCAAGCGATCCCCCAATACTCCCCCACAAAGAAACGGAAAACCAACGCCAAGGCAGACTCCCGGGGCGCGGCCTTGCCAAGAGTCCATCGAATCGTGACCCAGCTGCCGGTTTCAACAACTTGCCTAATCGGGCCATGGAGAGAATGGGACTCACAATGGAGAAGGGGGGGGGGGCATCATAGTTGCGATCGTTAGAGAGTAGTCTAGACGGGGCTTACAAGCACTCGTATTGAGCCATTGGTCTCTTGTTCTCATCAAGTTGTCCTGGACTTGGCAAGGCAGGAGTCATGACTGACTGACTCTGTGGAAACATTCTATGCTCTGCACTTCGTTCCCTTACCCCCCTTCGGCCGTCTACAGCTAAACTAACTCTCCTCTAAACACCACGCCACATTTACTCTCTGGTCATCATTCAGGTACCTTCAAGAAGACGTCCCGGGCCTCGGTCAACGTCAACAACTCACTCTTCTAACGAACAAAGCGGACTCATCCGCCTCACTCCCATCTCCACCCCGCTCCCTTCTCCCCCACGCGGCATCAACACACGGGGCTCCAGTCACAATGACGCCCGAACCATGACAACAGACAAGGACAACGCCATGCTCAAAGCGGAACGGAACTCGTTTCCCTTCCGGATGTGATTTTTCCGTCCACCAATCCCCATGGGCAAAAGGTCCAGCTCTAGACACACAACAGCTCAACTACTAAACCTCAAGCTAGAAGTTGCTGAGCCCCCTCCTCCCCCTTGTCCGACTAGTGCAGATTTAAGCGTCCAAACAAGCATACAACAAGCATATTCCCACCCGACTTTCTACAGTGATAAAGAAGAAAACGCATAATATGTTATGTCTAATGCAACCGTGAAATCCTCCTCCTGTTATAACCAAAACAACAGCCTACTTGCAGTAATCAATGCTAGTATGATGCCTCCAGGGGTTGTTCAATGCTACTCCACCAATCAGTATCACCAGTCCATCTCCCATCAACTCATCACCTCATCAGCACACAAAAACCCATATATAACCCTTCTCCGAGTAATATCCTCCTGACCGAACAAGCCACCATTACAACAATCAACAGGACCTTCTCTTTTCGGCCTCCCCACAACTCGCCACAACTCCACCCGTCATCGTCAGGCGCCCTGTTTGTTGTCAACAACCGCGAAATGCCGAGACTCCCCTAGTTCAGACACTTGCTCTTACGAGTACTCTAGAGTGCATGCAAGAACCTCGTGTCGATTACCAAAGCTGGAGCAGCTCAAGCCAGGGCCATTACGAGGAGTTGTGCTACTTTCTCGTAAACCAGTTCCCAAATTCATTGAGCCGAACGTTCTTCAACAACCCGTCATCGCCGACCCCTTCTCGTTTTCACCATGTATTCTACAGTCAAGCGTACGACTAACAGCTAGACAAAGACAACATTCACTTCTCGATGCATCAAAAGCTTCAAGGCTGAAGACCGAGGTTCTATTATAGAGAGCCTTTCTATTACTGGCCATCTCTTTGTAAGCAAACATAACATCGTTTCTCCGTCAGGCGGTTAATCAGCGCCCCATCGGGTGTGCAGCATGGCATGTGCAAATTACCCGACGGCCGCTTCGTCCAAACTGCCCCTTGGCTACCTACTTGTCGTATGTTTTCAAGATCCTCTGAACTGGACAGCGGCTGCGAGAGTAGCCACGTCCTCCAATGCACGGCACGGCTGCAACACCATCATCTTTCCATGTGTAAGAGTACACATCTGCTACGTCTCCCTCCTCCTCATTGTTCAAATCTGGGTCAAGAGGCCGTGGCCATTGCAGACATTCACGGCCTGTAGACTTTGAGCTCAGTGTGTTTCGTGGATCTGGAGCTCGGGAAACGGCCCGAATCCCCAGGGCACCGCCCATGAGCATGATGCACCCCGAAGAAACCAGCACCAAGACATGCCATGGCAGACAGCCCTGCGATGCTGTGCCCGGATTCGACCGGCCTGCATCCGTGTTCCGCAGAGTTGGTCAGGGTGCGGATCTGACAACTTTGCTTGCCAGCTGCAGCGTCATGGTGTGTGTACTCGAGCTCGCTCCATGCCAACTATGAAGACGTGTGGCTCAGGAAACGATGCGCCCCAGGTGCCTCAACCCTCCAACCAAGTGGAACGTTGCGCCGTGACAAGGGGCAGCCATATGACAAATATCGCTCGAGATGCATCATCGAGCTCAAGAGTGCCGCACATGGTGCCAAGCGCGGCAGTTGTTCCGGGGGGCTTTCATTGGCCAGTTGCTCTCGTGCAGCTTATAGATCATCTTATGCAAGGCTTCCCTTAGCTACTCAAGCCATATATGTGAAGCCTCGCATATTGTCGGAATTGCGTCTCGTATAGTATTTCTCAGAGAGCCGGCCCAAACAGGTCGTTGGCAGCCTCCAACTTCCTCCGTTTCGGATCCCTTGGCTCTGCATCCCCAAAGACGGCCCCGTCGCTGGGGGGTGTCGGCTTCTTGACTTTTGTCGTGGCTTGCTCGCGTCGCGCTCGTTGGAGGGCTACCAAATCTGCTCTGTCCGTGTCTCTGCACTTTTGCAGCTTCTTTCGAAGGGGCTTCAGGGACTTGACCAACTCGGGCTGCTGCTGTTAGCTTGGTGACATCAAAGACAGTGTGGTTTATCAAACTTACCGTCTCCCAGTACTCCTTCATCCGCGTTGGAGGCTCCTTTTCCAGCATGTCGCGACAGCTCTCAATCGTCTTGATAATCTTGTCTCGCATCTCGGCATGCGACGTCACATGCTGGCTCTCCTCGTCCCCAGGCTGAGCCGCGGGGATCAGTATATCCACCAGCTCCTTGTCCACCATCAGCAGAGCGGCCATCATGATCTGACTCGGGGTGTAGTGGAAGTAGGCGTCCGTCAGCAGCGGGCTGAACTTGAGAATGTCTCGAGCCATCGCGTGGGCCTTGGCCACCCTGCCCTCCTGCTCCGGCAGCTGCCTCCTGAGCTCCAGGATAGCTCCCTCCAGCGCCCTAAACGGATGCCGCACGTCGAAGGCGAACCGGATGCCCTGGCAGAGCAGGAACTCGCCGGCCAGGATCTGCTCGCTCGTCGTGTTGGGGAACATCTCGGCCAGCTTGGCCAGCCGGATGTAGTAGCCCTCCGCCTTGCATCCGAAGAAGAGCGACGTCTTGAGCAGCTCGGTCGGGGGGTATGTCATGACGGAGTTGGTGATGTAGAATCGGCGGAAGAAGACGGCGGCCGTGGATCGGATCTCGGTCGGAAGCTCGCAGAACTGCGCGGCGCGGATCAGCTCCGTGGTGAAGAACTGCACCAGCAGCGCCTCCTCGGCGGGCGTCAAGAATTCGGGCTGCGCATCGGGTGCGAACCGCGGGGAGATTTGCTGCTTGGCGAGGTCGTTGGTCTTGACGCGAAGCTCCCGCAGGCTGGTTGGCGAAAAGGACCAGAGCCGGAATTGGCTAGATTGCCGGTATCTGTCGTCCTCCGTCGTCATTGTGGCGTGCGATGACAATGAGTGCGCGAGAGGAGAGGCGAAGGAGGAATGTCTGGTACAAGGGGAAGAAGGAAGAAGAAGAGGAAGCAGCATGAAGCCAAAGATTCGAGATGTCGGCACGTGCAGTACAGTGTCAAATATACAATTCATACCGTGTGCTAGGGAGCTTTTGCTCTTGCTGAGCTCACGATGACAGGCCAAGTAAATTAAGGGCAGCTTTCGACTTCGCTATTCATGTTGACTTCAGCTCAAAAGTCCAGCCTGCAAATGCACCACTCCAGCTCTATACGCATATCAAACACAATGCTGATGACCTCCTTCCAGAGGATTCCACTCCATAACAGTCTGACCATGTCAAACAATGACGCTACCAATATGACCCATCTTTATCCAGTCAAGGAGTTGCAAAGCCAACTCCCCGTCACATCACTTCGTTGAGAGATGTTTTAAGTCCAATAAAGACAGCAACTTCCCTCGTCTCAATCCGAATCTTTTCTTTTTTCCTTTTTCATAGCTTCACAAGGTCTCGCCCATGTCCTCCGCCCGGCTCAGTATCCCGGGGTCGACATCTTCCTGGGAATAGGAGGAGGCGGAGGCTTCTTGGCCCGGTTCACGGGGGGCGGCGGTGGCTTCTTGGTCTCTGTCGCAACCTGGTTCACGTGGAAGCTGCCGTAGCTGGTGGCCGGGCTGACACTACGCTCGCCCCAGCTAGGGGTGTTATCCCCGCTGTAGATGGAGTTGTCGTCAAAGATGTCTTCGCTTCGGCTTTCGGCAACGCTGGGCGGCGGCATTCTGGAAAACGAGTTGGACGCCGCTCTCGCGCGGATCACGGGCGGGTTCCTGGTATCAAAGGTTGCTGACCTCATGATTGGCGGCCTGGTTGACGCCGGCGGAGGCGGAGGTGGAGGAGGCTCTCGGGTTGACATTGTGCGGGCGAGTCTGGCGACGGGCGGTGAGGGTGCGCCCTCGTATTCCTTATTGATGACGGTGTTTCGAACGGCCTGTCCGGCGGGCTGCGACCGGATGGACATGTTGGAGTAGATGCGCTCCAGGTCCGGCCCCTGTGAAGACGCATAGCAGGACTCTGCGCCTGCCGCCCACGACTTGCGGATGCGGCGCAGCTCGTTGGCGGCTCGTTCGTGGAATTCCAGCTCGGCATCGAGGAACGAGGTCAGGGCAGCGGTTGTGTCCTGCTCCGCCTCTCGGATGTCCTGCATGCGCTGGAAGACATCTTCGGTGCTATCATCGAACTTGGTCTTGTTGACGCGCATCTCTTCCTCGAGGCGGATGTCGTCCTTTTTCGCCTTTTGAATCTTGCCCATGGTGGCATCGTAGGCGAGTCGGCGGTTTTCGAGCTTCTTGCGAGCGGCCTTGTGGGGTGTGTAAGCAATTGACCGGAACAGTGCTACGAAAGTCGGTTCATACCTGGTATTCCTTCATCATGCCAAGGTTCTGCTCAATGTGCTGCTGCCAGGTGGCATTGGCACAGTCTAGGTAGGTGGTCTGGAGCTCGGCGAGCTGCTCGTTGGCATTGCCCATGGCAGCAAGGCGGCGACTGTACTCGGTATCGGGCAGCTCTGCCGCGTGGGCGGACATGGTGCGGCCAAGGTGAGCGAGAGGCAGGCTGCGGCTTCGGTCTTCGAGAGCGTCGCAGTGGCGGTTGAGCCATCTGGTGTAGATGCTCATTGATTTCTGAAGGCGTTCCATGCCTGTAAAGTCGGTCAGTGGAAGCCAATTGGCTGCATAGCGACAAAAACGACGTGCCTTCGTGTCGGATATCCATCTCTGCCTCGAGGACTCTGAACTCATCGGTGTGAGTCGCCTTGGCCTCGGCGCCCATCTTCTCGCCAGCCCACTGCATGGCGCGGTCGATTTTGCGTGTAAAGTTCATGATGTCGTTTGTCGATTCTGGTCCAGCTATGAGGAGATTCGCAACGACAAATGGTCAAAAAAGAGGCAAGAGTGCCACAAGCGAGGGTGAAAGAAAGAATTGGCAAGATGGAAGAAGCAAGAAAAGACGACGAGCAAGAGAAGAGAACAAGCACGTGTGCTCGAAACGGCTGATTATGGTCCTCGCCCACACGTTGTCTGTACGCAGTATGTACCAACAGCAGCGGGATCGATTGGGCGGGCCCCTGGCTAAATGCTGGCACCTATTCCAAAGACAGACAAGCCAGCGTATGGTCCAGATCCCGGTCCCAGTCCGGCGTGTCTAGTGCTTGTGCGAGAACGGAGTGTGTGGAGAGAGTCGATGGGCTCGATGGGATCGATGTTGGTGTTGGAGAAGCGAGAGGGCCAGCCCGAGTTGGGAGAGCAAACGACGGATGAAGCGAGCGAGGGGATGAAGCTGTCGGTCGAGTGCCTAACGAGAGACGGCCGGCTCGTCATAAAAAAGGCTGGAAGGCCGCAAAAGAGGTAGGCAATAGGAAAAGCAAAAGGTGAACGAACGGAATAGATAAGGTAGTCTTTGTTGAGGTGGCGGGAAAAGCACTTTTGTGTCTGGCCGCGAGGTGAGAGTGACATGACCTTCCACCTTCCTTTCTTCGTCCATCCATGGATGCTCCCCAATCGAAGGCGTCATGCCCATCTGGCCTGCGACACTCGCCCAGGGGGGTCGCCTAGCGCCGGCTTGCCCCTGTAACGGGCTCTGCGCGGGCTGCCCATTGGCCGGCGCCAGTGGTGTGGCTGCCCCGGAGCGTCGCCTCTCTCAGGGGCTTCAGTTGCATCCGTCCATCTCTTGGGGGGTCTGGTCTGGTGTCTGGGCCGCTCTGGGGCTGCCCTACAGAAGGTAGTGATCCGTACCCGCTACAAGATTGGACGAGGGTGGGCTGGGTTGGTGCGTGGGCTGGGGTCTTTGCTGGAGAACCTGAAGAGGCCCCAACCACCACGAGGGTCGAGTGGCGAGGATCGGAGAGTGTTGCGCGTCCGGTTTGTGTCGTGGGTGCTGGATACGAGTCGTGGACAAGAATACGAGCTGCTCCGTCCAAAGTATGTTGCTTGGATCCAATTCTTTGGAGTCTGTACCTAGCGGCGGATGGTCGATATTGAGACACTTTGGTCAATGTTCATCTTCAAAATCACAGAAAAACTACTCATCACAGATACATGCTCCAGATTGGATTCCTGGAAGCATCATCCGGTACGAAAATAGAACCTCGTATCTGAGATCTTCAGCGATCATCCCTCAAGTCCTCTCCACCTCGACTCCAGTCACAATGACATGCACTGACTAACTTGATTGCTTGATCGAGTTCTCTCCTTTTCTTGCTCCTCATCGGCGACACTGCCTCGACGATCTTGGCCTGGCCTGATCTACAGACGAAATGTGCTCTCTGATTGCAGTACCAGATTTGCTGCTCTGCTGACGAGCACGTTCAGGTCACCTTTCGGCGCAATCTCGCTGCCCGGCTGAAAGGACAGAGAGCAAAGTGCTTCAGGTATTACAGCAGCGACCGATGGCAACGCCGAAGTCTCATGTTGACATCCATCCAATTCCATTTGCGCAGCTGCCGCAGAGCCATGCCGTTGCCGGTACCCTTTCCGTCGCTGAGATTGACGTGGAGGCTGGACTTTTTGGACCAGGACCTCTGAAGCTCAAGACGGATACGTGCACCGGTTTGTGCGTCTGCTGCACGTCCATACTATCATGCACGTTTCCAGCTGTCGAGGTGCATCGCATCGCATCGCATCGCATCGCTGCAGGAACGGCACGATTTGACATGCACCCATCCAAATTCACATGCATACAGCTAGACTCTCCGTCACAAGCCAACTACTAGTAGTAGATGTCATCTAAACATTCTCCCATGATAATGAACCCTTTTCTAGAAGCCATTCCTTGACCCCAGTCCAGTTCCCTGCTGCAGCAGTGCCCCAAACAGGCGGGTACACCCAGAAAGGAGCATGTTTCAAGTCTCGTCCGAAACAGCCCCAAAACGTGCGACCGGGAAGCGGCATCAGGGCTTGACACTGGCTCATGGTCCATACATGTACCTTACCTCAATAAGGTACCCGCCACGACAAGTATTGGAGGTCGAACATGACTCTGGACCGTTGCGCGACGAGTCTAATATTAGCAAGCTTGACTCTTCTCTCTTCATCTTTCTGTGCAAGTCCACACCATGAAAGACATATTAGGCAAGCATGTCGATTAACAGTGTCAAAGTATGTGCTGTAGGAGCAGGTACATGTACGCGGCTCATCCGCAGCCGGTCGTACATGAGGTATGTACCTTGTTCGTGGAAGTCACCAACTGCAACCGAGTGATGCGACCAGATAAACTCAAGTGCTCTCAGTGGCGCTCATAGCCGTCGCCCACGACATCTTCACGTCGGCTTGCATTCCATCACTTCAGTTCTCCCACTGTCAAACACGCAATCAACAAGTCCTCCAGCTCCAAATTTGGCCCGCGAGGCCGCCAACTCCCTCTTCTTCTCTGCCTACCTTACCTACTACCTGCAAGTTCCCCGCATCTCTCATCCTTCGCTCCTCCATCTCGCAACTCACCACTCAGAACAGAAGCACCCTCATCACACCGGTCTGCCACACACCGCGGCAAGGCAAACATATTTCTCCCCATATTCGGACACGACCCGATATCTTTCCACACCAAACAAAGCCAGACAAACAGCATTTGTGTAGCGTTAGATTGCATGTACTCCAATCACCCCGAGCCTCGCTTCTTAGCGCAGAGACGGTCCTTTGACGCTTGTCGAGGCTTTCTTGTCCTATACCAAACTATGTGATATTTTAGGTTGCACGGAGGCATCAAGGCAGACTCGACCGCCAGCATTACAAACCTTCCAATGCTCTTACATAGATCAGTACGCATCTTGGTAGTTATATAGACCAATGGCGACGTGAAAGGCTACCTTATGTGATGTGAGGCTGTCGTTCAACTCTCTTAAAAAATCAAGCTCCTCAGCACATCTCCCTCGAGTTCCCGTTCTTTATCATCAACTCCATCAGCAACACCACCAAAATGAGCTCCCAGCACCCTCAATACCCCCCGCAGCCGCCGTACGGAAACCAGGTCCCGCAAGGCTTCCCGGGCCCGAACCCGAACCCGCCCTGGTACGGCTATGGCTCGCCGCCTCCGCTGCAGCATCAGGGCCAGCGATATCCCGGCGGTCCTCCTCCTTCCTCTCAATCTCCTCAGCCTCCGGCTGGACAATACCAGTACCCCCAAGCAGCTGGTCCGCAATACCAAGGCCATCCCGCTCCCCCGCCCGGTCAGCAGCCTCCGTATGGCCAGCAGTATCCGCAGCCGTACAGCCAGCCGCCCGGATATCCTCAGCCGGGCTACCCTCAACAGCAATACGGTGGCCCATCGCAGGTAAGATAACCCGGGTTTCATCATCATAGTCGATCACCAACTCACACGTTATCCGCAGCAGCCACCTCAGCAATGGCAACAACAACAGCAACAGCAGCAGCAGCAACAACACCAACCAAGCTACCCCCAAGCTCAACCCCCAGCCCAGCAGCCCTATTACAACGCCCCCATACACGTATACTCAACACCAGCCTCCCCCGGCTACGACCTCTCTCAGCGCAGTTCCCTTGCACGCATCGACACCTCCACAGACATTGAAGTCCTCCGCAAGGCAATGAAGGGCATGGGCTGCGATGAGCGCGCCCTCATCCGCGTCTTCGCCAGCCCGAAATACCAGCACCCCTTCGCCCTACAACAGCTCCGAAACGACTATGACGCCCGCTTTGTGCGCGACCTCAATGGCGACATCAAGGGCGAGACAAAGGGCGAGTTTGAAGACGTCCTGCTGGCGCTCCTCAGGGGCCCCCTCGCCCACGACGTCTTTACTCTCGTCAAGGCTCTCGACCGGGCGGGCACCGATGAGGAAGCCCTCATGGATGTCCTCCTGTGCCGCTCCAACGCCGACGTCAGCGCCATTGTTGCCGAGTTCAGGCACGTCACTGGCAGGAACCTGATTGACGTGATCAAGGACGACGTCGACGCCAACCTCTTCCGCCTCTACAGCATGGTCCTGTCCGCGACCCGCGCCGAAGACGCCGCACCGGTCGTCCCCGTGGACATCGAGGCCAAGGTCACCGAGCTGCAGCGGGCAACGGAGGGCACCGTCGGCGCAAACACCATTGCCGTGGCCCAGATCCTTACGAGCGCGAACGCCGCCCAGCTGCGCGCCATGAGCGACGCCTACCAGCACAAGTACCATCGCAGTCTGCAGGATGTCATTGAGCGCGAATTCAGGGGGGACATGGAAGATGCGCTGTTGCGGATCCTGACGTCTGCTGCGGGAGATGGCGGGAAGGCTGATGTGGATTGGCTGAGGGCGCCGCTGATGAAGACGATGAAGAAGCATGGCCTCTTCATCTACCGGGCTCTGCGACTGTATTGGGGGGACAAGGCGAGACTGCAAGCTGCTCAGATGGCGCATCAGCGGTATTACCACAAGATGCTGGGGACGCAGTTGAAGGAGTCGCTGAGCGGAGACTATGAGGAACTCATGATTGCGTTGATTGGGGAAAAGTAGCCATGTCACACATGTAATGATTCTATGGTGTAGGTAATGATTTGCGCGAAGTGATGGAGAATGACTTGATGCTGTGTTGACTCGAGATGCTCACATCTTTCCATGTGTGCTTAGACATCGACCTTGTTGATCTTGCCCGTCTTGACATCGTAGATGTATCCCGAAATCGGCACATCCAGAACTGCCGGATTCTTCCTCAGCAGCTCAACATCCGTCCTAACACTCTCCTGGAGATCCTTGATCGTCAGAAACGGAATGTGGCTGACGTCCTCCCCAGTGTTCTTCTTGACGGTGTCACGGAATTCCTCCTCCTTGATTATCAGCATGCCACAGTCCGTCTGTTGGTTTGCAGTTAGTTCCGGTTGCGTACGCACAAGAGTTGGGCTGCGGAAAGGGAGTTAAAAGAGGAGAAGAAAAACAAAGAAAAGAGAGATCAGGGGGGCGGGTGAAGTGGTGGGAAGGAAAAGGCATGGTTCCCATACATGATGAATCACGACGACTTCTCGCGTGCCCAGCGCCTGCTGCGAGATAATCAGGGAGCGCAAGGCCTCGGCCGCGCGGCCGCCGGCGTTGCGGTAGACGTGTGCGTGGCCCTCTTCCAGGCCGAGGAACTTGGCCGGGTCGAGACGGGCGTCCATACAAGTCAAGACGAATACCTTTCTGCAATGCCACCACAATAGTTTAGCTATCAGCACATGATGATGGAATATTAAAGATTCGGCTTTGAGGTAAAAGACTGAGTGGTGGACGAGACGCACCGGCCGGGAGGCATAGGCAAGTCAGCCTTGTCGAAGCCAGCAGCATATTGCTGGTTGGCGACTTCAAATTCGCTGGCGACAGTCATTTTCTATGGCTGTGATTGTCAAAGAGAAGGAGAACAAGAAGATGATCAAGAAGAGGAAGTAGAAGGATTGATAGAGTGCAATGCGTTGAGAAAGACCTTGATTGCTGTTAAATCTCAGATGAGAGATCGCATTTTTATATCTTCAGTCTCGACATCAAATATACCGTATCCGGGACAAGCGCATCATCTCCCAGTTGCGAACCGCACCCCCCACCGTCAATTGTTTCTCGCAGCTATCGCAACTTTAGCAAGCAAGAGCTCCTACATCATCATCGATCAAGACTGAAAAGTCGCCATCCATCCCGAATCTGTCGCCATGCGGCTTGGCTGCGGGGAAAACTCTCTTGCGCTCTATCCCGAAGCCAGTCAGACTAACACGGTCAGGGACGGCACAAGGTCGAAAAGGGGCAGTAGTCGGCGATCGAGCGGCACAATCATCAGTTCAAAGCTACAGGAGACGTTTCCTGCCAGCAAACCAGAAATTGCGACGGCCCGGAGGAGGATATGGAATTTGTCTGGCGTTGACGGCCGAGAGCCCGTGGACTGGGGCCGGCAGCATGGGGGCAGACGGGCGATATGCATGTAGACAAGGGGGCCGGATGGGGGAAAAGCAGAGAAGCGTCCAATGGCGGCGGTACGGAAGGATGAATAGCGTCAAGAGATCCATGAAGAGCTCCAGTTGCTTCCTAAGCAACTGTTTGTTCAGTCAACATGCCTGGGCTTGATGTGGATGCATATCGTGTCATGGCTATGGTTCATGTTGGCAATGTTCGCAAAGTACTGCTGTGAGGAGAATCAGTTGGCATGAAGCTGTATCGGGCCAAGACGGAACCCCTAATAGGCAAGACAATGCTGCTTCAGAATGAGTGAAAAAGGTTGGCGCAGAGGGTTTGTAAGCCGTGATCCGTGATTCTGCCTCTCGCAGAGTCTTTCCGTGGGCGCGAAGCTCGGTGTTGAACAACTCGGGGCAAATCATTGCGACGATGCAGAGAGTGACAGGGTCAATAGCCCATATATGCTGCTGCTTTCTGTCGAGTATGATCCATCTGAAGGCAATTCAGAATATCTTGTATTGTGTCGAAATTGGCCAGCAGATGCAGACCACATGATGTAAAAGATGACTGTCAGCTCTCTGGTTTTAATCCAGAAATTCGGCTCATCCCGCACCATTCTCGGCAAGTTGAGTACGAGAGGATAAGGTAGTTGGGTTGTGATGAGCTAAGCAGAGGGCTACTAATAGATGTGGCTGTGCAGTCCATTCATGCTGTTTGCCGCTCGTCACCAGCCACAGCACGAGCCGCATGACGACATCAGCGAGCATTTGGAATACAGAGCATCAGCTCACACGTCTTGTTGCTTCCAGCGGCTTCGGGGGAGTTCCCAGTGATTACAGGCAGAATTACAGTGGTTGCAGCTTAGCATGCCCCATCCATGGATCTCAGTGGACGGAGATGCCGATTTCGCTGATCAAATTCGAGCTGGATATTCCACACGTCGCTGCAGGCAATTGTCATGTCGCATATGCTTAGCAATAATATTACCCTGTGACCTTGATGGTTTTCCATCCTCGTGTATATATTTGCATCGAGTCTCTTTACTCTTGCCTATCATCTCCTTTCAACGACACAGACAAACAACACAAACAACTCAACAGCTCAACAAGACAAACTGCCTGCGGCATTCTGCGGATAATTGCGGCCCGCACTCGGAACCCCGCCACTTCCATACCAGTCCGTGCATTAGACAGCAATTGCACCATCGCCAACAGCTTCAGCTTACGAACCAATCTCTCCATCCTACATTTCCTGATCCTCCACATCTGTCTCGCCTCAACTCCCCTTGCTCAAAGACAACTCGATACTCTTTCGAAACTCCTTGAATAGAACGCAAACAAACAACTCAACAACCCTCAACCAGCAACTCTCAACTCTCAACTCTCAACCCTCCACCAAATAAACGCATCACCACCACCAAAAATGACTGGCACCATCCACCACATCGAATCCGTGGAGCAGCTCGACGCCCTCCTCGCCTCCACCACCTACGTCGCCGTCGACTTCTACGCCGACTGGTGCCCGCCCTGCAAGGCCATTGCCCCCATCTACCAGACCCTCGCCGACAAGCACTCCGTCGACAAGCACCTCGCCTTTGCAAAGGTCAACGTCGACCACGTCCAGGACGTCGCCGCCCGCTACGGCATCACCGCCATGCCCACCTTCCTCTTCTTTAAGGAGGGCCAGCAGGTCGCCGTCAACGGCAAGCCCATGATCCAGGGCGCCGATCCCAAGAGCCTGGGTGCTGCCGTCGAGAAGCTGAGCGGACTGGCGCAGAAGAGGGTCGAGGAGGCCAACGCTGCGTCTGCTTAAGCGACAACAGTTTCTGGGTGGACGATAAGCCATCTCAAACGACGATGAAGAACAAAATGTGATAGGGTTATGGAACATAGAGGGGGGATATTTATGCAAATATAGGCGCATGGGACTATGTCATGGCAATAGGCAGAGCGGCTTTCTTGCAATTTCGAATTACGGTATATAATCTTTATTCACAGGATTAACTGAGCTTGTTTTGTGAAGTCCTGAATCCCCCCGCGATACCTTGCTTAGACGTGCGTGAAATCCACAATGCCAGGCAACAGCTGTGAATCAGAATCGTAGTATATCGTCGGACGGGATGCCATACCCTATATTATCTTTTAGCTCTTTGGTAATTCCAGCTGTCATCTTCGGCACGAGTCCCTTGCCATCATGTTAAGGCTTATTGCCAGATTAGCAACAACTATTCCAACAGTGAACCAAATCAAGAGGATTTCGCTTTGGTCGATGTTTCTCGGTGTCTACGTCCCCATTCGTCTAAGTTGGGTAATGTAGTCTTCGAAGTTGTCTCATGCCCTTCATTGTATTACCCCATGTACATCCCTGGAGTAAAATGTCCGCTGTGATACTTACGGTAACAGATGGAGTATATTAGAACAGCCATTTCAACTATTCAAGTTCCAGTTTGATACTCCATCTAGATACACATTGGAACCCTAGAATGGTACATGTGGCCAAGGGAAATCGCAGAGGACTCTCTCTCCGAAATTGACCGTGAACACACAGGCTGTTGCTTAACTTCGCTCTTGATTGAGGCTGCTAGATGATGCAGTCAATGATCTCTTGAAGCCATGAAAGCGAAACGGCCATATCAAAACTTGCGTGGAGAGAATACGATGCCGCCAAGGATCCTTTCTCTGTCCTCCGACCACTTACATCTCAACCCACTCCTCTATCGTCACACGCCAAGCCCAATCACTTGCTCTCGCGCCTCTAAAAACAAAGATCATATGCCTTTCAGCAGATTCCCCCGTCAACTTCACAAGTACTACGCTCAAAGCCTCGTACGAGCAATAAGTGATCCCCTCAGCCCTGCATATATCAGCCCACAGGAATCAGCCCCCTTGCCTCACAAGCCCCAAGCCAGCCGCAGCCACGATGCTCGTTTCTTCTCGCATACCTCCAATGGCAATACACGAAGCCATGCAAGCGTTAGCCCAGGGAAATAAGCTTATCCCTTCAACAGACAAATTACGTAGTCTGTGTAACCCATGCGCATCCGCGATTCGTGACGCAATATGGCAACACATGAGCCCTGCGTCAGAGCAGCAAGGGAGCAATCCCGAGCACTCGTACGAAGTAATCCAGCCAGAGACACTTGGCATCGGCTTTACAAAAGGACTTGACCGAACACTCTGTTTCACCATTGGGATTGTATACTAATACGAGCTTCTCCCTGTTCACGTGGGGGGAGAGCTGAACGACACGTCTCCCTGCCTTGTAAAGGTCGTCGAGTAAGACGGAACATGTATCTTTCCAGTCGCATTCAGAGCACATGTAAGAGCTTTCAGCTCTGAAGTTGGGGAATCTGTGTGACACCCTCGAGGCAGTGTCGTGGAATGCTGCCTGTCTCGGATGGTCGCCGTGCGACTTGATATGCCAAATGGGCGATTCTTTCCGGCCGTTGGAAGCGGACGACCGGACTTTTATATCCTACATACAATCCTCCCATTTGATAAAGGGCGTCAACAGAAGACGTATAAGACCCTTAGTCTGCCTTTAATCTACCTCCTCCTCAATCATCCCTCCATCTTTACAAGAACAACTCTTCAAACAACCAGCCACCACTCTACACTTCAAATACCACCATCAAAATGCTCTTCCAAACCATGCTCCTCGCCCTCATCACCTCCCTGGCCCTCGCCCAATCCGAAGTCGGCCGTCCCTGCGGCTTCAAGATGGCCCCCTGCCCCTTCGACATGAAGTGCGTCCCCGACAACGCCTACTGCCCTCACCCCAGCCGCTGCCCGGGCCACTGCGAGTTCAAGAACAAGTACGACCAGTGCGGCGGCTTCACGCCCCGGCCGCACGTTTGCCGCCGGGGGTCCCGGTGCCAGGACGATCCCCGGCTGCCGCCCAACTGCGGCATGGCGTGCGATGCCCCGGGGATCTGCATTCCCGAGAATGCTCCCTTCTGTGGAGGGTTCATGGGGTTGGCTTGTCCGAAGGGATTGTACTGTTATGATGCGTTGGATGACTGTGATCCGAACAATGGAGGTGCAGACTGTGGAGGAATCTGTCTGTAGAGGAACGACTGAGTATCGGAGTACAGGGCTCCGTACTCCACACATAGGAAATCAGAACGGCTATTCATCGAAAGCGTCGAATGTAAAGAGCTGGACACAGCCCCGTCAATGTTTCTCGCCTCGCCTTGCACTGTAACTTTGGCTTTGGTCGTAGCCTCTCGGGGAAATGTAGTCTTTCTCGAAAATCACTCTCCCATGTTTTCATCCAGTGAGCTTGCATCTCGAAGCACCGCAGAGTCCAACATCTGCCGCTCTTGGTCTGGCAAAACCTCATGCGAGACGGGCCTTACTAATGGCACCCAAATTTGATATTCTTCAGTTGTCATCGGCTCTCTTATGACTTCCCGCAACAACCCATAAGAATAACCACCTCTCCCTCCATCAAACACTGTGCTTCTGTCGAGTGTAGTATTGACAAAGATGTGCGCTGCTCTTCTCCCGCTTCTATTTGACCTACAAACACTCCACGTTGTTCTCAGTGCGCCTCAAGTCCTTTGTCAGATAAGTAACCCTAGGCATGATATTGGCGTGTACTCGTCCTTTGTAACGGCAGGGACGGCTTCACCGCCATGATGTCGAAGGAAGTCTATGGTCGGTTGCTGAGTACTGTAAGGGGCAAAGGTGACAAATTGTATTTTTTGCGGATAGAGGTTCATGAACAGCTACATGTAGATTCTCGAGCAGCAGTTACAGTAACTCCGCGCCGCTGGTAGAACAGGCTGCGACTCGAATCATACATGGATATCTTTGGTAACTGTAATCTCAGACGGACAGTGATCGAGGAGAACGTCGAGATACTCCCGACCACTAAACACATCCTCTATGGGCAGTTATGATGGCCCACTCGGGTGCAATCAAATAAGCCGGATGGTTTCGGAAGAGTCTGTCAAATGACACATGGGATATTCCTTGGAGTTCATAAGAATTGCTTGCCAAGGTAGTAGGTACATGTAGGTATACGTGAGTGATGTTACTGCCGTATCTGGCGCACCAGATCCCGAATCTTCTGTCTCATATCATTCGATCGATTGTGGCACACCGCGTTCAAGACTGCCATTATGCTGGATTCTGTGGCCGACAGGGTGAAAAGAAATTCAACTGCCTCCAAGCCACATTGCGAGTTTTTTGCAGCTTCAGCAAACACTTTGTTGGTGATGACGAGACTCTCGTATTGAAGACAGCAATCCAAGACCTCTGCGGCGGCGTAGGGATTCTTTGCAGCATATGACAAAGCCTCGCCGATGCTGACTTCCTCTCGGCGGCGGCGCAGCAGCACCTCGACTGTCTTGCCATTTCTGTCGGTTTCTGCTACAGCGTTGAAGATCTCCTGGCTGACTGTGAGTTCGGGCCTCGTCAGAAGTGCCTCCATCTCGTTGCACTCGAGTGAACTTTGCGCTAGCCTTAAGAACCACTGGTCATCGATGTGCTTGTGCAAGGCGGTTGTTAAGTGTCGTATCGACTGCGGTCGCAGTGAAGGTTCCAAATGGTCCGGTTTACAGGAATAGATATACCTGAAGAGCTCATGAACAATATCGCTTTCCGGTCTCTTGTAATCAGGCACCAGGATGGCCGTGTCCCTCACATCGGAAGATATGCCCCGTAGGGCGTAAATGAGGTCTCGCGATTCGGTTGCTTCGCTACATCCAAAAGCGCCCAAGAGCGTGTAGAGACTTCGATTTGCACTCAACCACGAAGCATTTCTCCATTGAGATGGCATGATGTCAATCACAGATTGACAATGAGCATCTGGAGTAATGTCCAGGAGCAGAGGAGCAAGAGTAAACAGGCGGGCCGACATAGACTTCGTGCCGCAAGAGATGATACCGGCCTGGGCAAAAGCCGCCTCCTGCAGAATCCACACCCGGCGAAACCATGGACGGCCAAGGAGTTCCTCCAGACCTCTCTTCTCCAAGTCCTGGAAATCGGGATATAACAGCTTCAAGCATGACCGGGAAGAATCCCAAAGATGCTCCCAGCGGCCGTCGTAACGCGACCAAGTCCTACAAGCATGCTTCGTGCTTGCTTGTTGCAGCAACCGCAGAGATTCCATGAAGATATCCGTCGCGTGTGACCCCATGCCAAGACGGAAAATCACACGATCGGCTTCTTTGTAAATATCTCCCATCTGTGCGACTTGATGTCCTCTTTCCTTCAAGTTGGCTTGATTGATGCAGACTGCATCAATCCACAAGATACGGTCTTCATCCTCTTTGCGAAGATGTAGCAGCGCTTCATGGAGATTTTGAGTGATTTTCATCATATGTCCGTTGACACGAATACTCTTCGAGAGATCAGAAGAGCCCCATGTGTATGAAAGGGCTTCGTATGAGACACTGTCTTGTCGTTGGTGTAGCTCCGCTTGGAATAGCTCGCAAGATATGTCGCTGGCGACTCCATGATGCAGGCGGAGTAGCCGGATTGCAGGACTCTCCAGGTCGAGAGGCTCGTACTTGTACTCCTCCATGAGCCCATGCAACGAACGGCAGTGGTTGGACAGATGAAAGCAGGATGATCGACTCGTTATTGAGCAGTCTTGGCTGAGGAGAAAGGCAAAGTTGCGAGGGCTGAGGAGCTGAATGAAGATGCGAACAGGCGAATCACTTCAAGACCCAGAAGAGAAGTTTTGCCTTTACAAGCATGCGAGGCCTTGGGCAATATATATGTGAGCCTGGGTCATTCAGCCTTGGGGCGGCATGAGGAACACAACGGCGGCTACGCCAAGTCTCGTGAACCCAGCCGCGACGGGCTGTATTCTGGCTGACTTCGGTTGGACTAATCATGACAGAACACAACAGACCTTCATGCGAGGCGCGAGGTCGATGGCGGAGCGAGATTGATACCATTGGGTCAGGTAGAGAGAGGTGAAACCGCCGGGCGGGCTCCGGCATCGAAGGTCACACATGGGGCGAGAAACCCCGAGACCCAGGCTGGTACACAGTAAAAGCCAAGACGATAAAAAGCTATCTTGGAGGTAGCAAGAGATGACCTTTTCCATTTCAGCGAGAGCACTATTACATGGGCATACAGTGACCAATGAGGGGACCCATTACAATTGTTGGACCATTTAGTGAGAAACAAGGAATTATCGAACGTTGGTGATTCAGTTGGTCATTATGTACATGTAGGTATCTTGCACTCTATGATTGGCTCTCTATACGTTGCCGCCTTGCACAGCCTCATCCGTCCACGTACAATTCCTCCAGATCCTCCTCAGGCTGAATTAGTAGGCAGTTCCATAAGGCTTCAACTCAAAACCCTCAATTGAAGGCGGACCCTGCGGACCCTTTGTCTTGCTAAGCTCCATCCACTTGCCCAAAGCCGCGGTAAAGACCTTTTCATGATCCGGCCGGCTGAAGTCGAGAGGCTCATAGCCCTGGCCAATCAGTTTCATTCTGCATCACAGCCCAGTCAGTACGTGTACATGATATCCAAAACATCGAAACAAGTGCCCTGCGGGGGGGGGAGACTCACTGTGCAGTAGCAGCCATGTTGGTCAACATAAAGTTGCTCTCGCCAAACACCGGCTTGATGGCCCCCTCAACAACCCCATCGAGGATCTTCTGCGGCAGCTCAGGCTCGTGAGCAGCCGGTCGTCCCAAACCGATTCCGTGAACCGACTCCAGCGCCTTGACCATACCAGCCGCCGTCCGCAGGCCGCCAGTGACGTACGCCTTGGTCTTCTTCAGCTGGGGAACAATCATCTCGGCAAACTCGATGAAGAAGGCCTCCCGCTTGACGGTAGTCTCCCGCTTGTGCTCAAAGGCAAGGGCCTCGTAGGTGCCGCCGGACAGCTCGACCCAGTCGAAGCCGCTCTTCTCGAGCTCGGCGCAGAGCTCTCTGCACTCCTCGGGCGAGAAGCCGCCCTTTTGGAACTCGGCGCTGTTGAGCTTGATGGCGAGACTAAAGGACTTGTCCGGCACGCGGGCGCGGATGGCCTTTGTGATGTCAAAGATGAGCCTGGAGCGGTTCTGCAGAGGGCCGCCGTACTCGTCGTCTCTCCGGTTGGTCGACGGCGCCAGGAACTGAGCCAGGAGGTAGCCACTGCCGAGCTGTTAGTATCATATCTGTGTTGTATATAATATCTCGTCAAGTAGAATGGATACTCACTGTGCGGCGTGAAGCTGTACACCATCAAAGCCAGCCTTGTAGCAGTACTCGGCCGCGTGGGCAAAGCCATTGATGACATTCTCAAAGTCCTCCTTCTCCATCGGCCTCGGCTTGGCAAACGATCCAAAGGCCGAGCCCACAAGCTGAACGTCACTGGCAGAAATGGGGTTCGGCTGGATGTACTCCTGAACCTGTCGCCCCGGGTGGCTCAGCTGCGGGTACACAAGGGAGCCGTGGGCCTTGGCCGCGGCGGCAATCTCCTTGAACCGCTCGAACCGCTCGCCGGAGAAGGGGGCGTCCCGGGGGATGATGTGGTTGCCGGCGTTCTCGAGCTGGTCGTACTCGATCATGGTGTTGCCGAGCAGGATGACTCCGAAGCCGCCCTCGCCCCATCGCCGGTACAGCTCGACGAGCTCCTTGGGCGGGATGCCGCGCTTGGTGAGGTCCTTGGCGTCCCAGCTGGCCTGCAGCTCGGACATGGCGGCCTTGAGGAAGCGGTTCTTGGCGACCTTGCCGCTGAACTCGAACTCGAGGGGCTGGCCGAGAGGCGCAGGGTCGACCTTTTCAGACGGTTGGCTTCTGACTGACATGGTGACTGATTGTGACCGAAGGGTTGTGCTTTATGGGTATGTATATAGATAAGGTATATAGGTAAGGGACGATGCAAAAGGGGTATCGATGTTGCTGGTCTTGCTTCTTGCGGAGAGCTTCTGGACGAGGGAAACGCTGTCCTTTTATGACACTCGAGTGGTCCCAGTAAAGACTGGATACCTGTTCTCTGGACACCGAGTCAGTGGAGACGACCGATCACCAAAGAGCCACCCCCGGCCCATGTGGCCCCTGGGCACGGGCACGATCAATGCAAAATGCCGACGCCATGCTCATGCTGATGATCACACATCTCTTGATAAGCCGCAAAAAAACATGCTTCTCTGCGTTTCATGGCCGTCGAAATGTGGGTGGAGCATGAGAATGGGCTGAGAATCGGGACAAGAGCCGGGCCTAGCAAAGCGGCAGGGCTGTTGGTCCGGCTTGGAAATGGAGAAGATTCCATCTACGTCCGGCTGGAGAGCCTCGACTGCTAAGCAGCTAAAGTGACAGATAGAGTGTGGCTTGTGGATGGGAGAAGCCGTTTGGGGTTTGCAACTCCCACCGGCAGGCTCTCAATAGAGGCTTTCAAACACACTCTTGTCCAAGTCGATTTACTGTAAGCAACAGACAACTCGTCAGAGTGCGCAATGACGACTGTGTGTGTTTACGAACTTCCAGAAGCTGCATACTGTACTAGTTGGTACCCGGTTAGCCTCTGTGTGCTGCTGGGCTACCCATAGATCTATGATCAGTACTCACACACTCATACTATCTCAATGACAAGCCGCGGTGGCGATTCTTGCCCGCTGTGGGTCATAGTCTTGACGTTTGGATGGAGAGTAGTGAGAGTATCGTACTGTATGAGACCAAGAGATGCGTTTGTTGAACCTGCCTCAATCCTCTTTGCTCTGCGAGACAGAGCTACGAAGCATCATGCCATATCAAAGCACTCCAAAGCCGCTCTACCCTCAATTGCCGTCCCCCTCACACATCACCCTCCTGGTTACAGCCGAAGCAACCGGAGTTCGGAACCATCAATACGCAATATGCCGATAGGCCGGACGGAGCTGATCCGGCAGCCCGCTCTTACGGCTTCGATGCCTGTGAGGCGCAGATACGACCCTGCAGCCCGGAGGAGTGAAAGAAGTGAAGAGACCGTACTTTGACAGGCGGCAGTTGTCTTGGAAGCATTAGCATCCCACAGAGTACCACTACTAGTTAGTAGACTAGGCATGTAATGCTGAGTCTGTACTCTGCAAGCCTGACTTTAGTGATGCTAAATTTCTCGTGAAACTTCAGTTTCGGCAGGGTCACCCTGTCGTTTGTGTATTGGCCACCTATGTCTCTATCGTATTACCTGGCGGACCTACAAGCGTATCGATTGTTTCTAGTATCTCTTTTCCTCAATCGACTGACGAAACCAGCACAATTACGATCCATCCCACCCAAGCCACCGTCACCATCGAACCGCCCACTAACAGCCGTCTGTGGCTCAACTAAGCTACCCTCCACTACGGAATGACACACGATAGGTAGGGCTCATACATAGAAGCACCGCAGAACACCTCAGAAGGGGTTCGTCTGGATTATAAATCCGCCCTATCCATACCACCGGAGCGTCTCCATCCAGCCACGGAGCAAGTTTCCCGCCGGGGCAAGGCCTCGATTATCACGGCCCCCCTCCCACCTCTAAGAACAAAGTGGGTTTCCTGCTTTCAAATCGAAACCGAGCGAAGAAAAGCAGGAGAAAACCGTCCATGGACTTTTGGTTCTTGGCTCCGAGGCATTGGTGGGACTGCGTGGTGTAAGCCGTGGGTTCGGGTAGTTGTGCGTGTTTGTGGAGGATCCCTGTATAAATGGCAAGTTTCTGCGATGGTCATTGATAATGATTGTGAGATTTGTTGCACTTTGTCCAATCTATCCATTCTGCTTCATTCTGGGATTCCACCTCGTTCCCTATCACGGCTCATCAGACTCGAAATCCCTGCGACAAAAGTCATCTGAACTGCTTCAGACACACTTCTGATCAGCCAACATCTTGATCCATACACACACACACACACAAACCGACAAGGATCATCCGTCACTCTCACCATCAGCTATCAACCATCAACTCACCTCAGCCATGACGCACTTCCGCATCGACGTCGTCTCAGACATCGTCTGCCCCTGGTGCTACGTCGGCCGCAAGCAAGTCCAGCGCGCCCAGCAACTCTGGCTCCAGCGCCACCCTTCAAACTCGTCCGACACCTTCTCCGTCCGCTACGCGCCCTTCCAGCTCAACCCCGACAGCCCCCGCGGGCCCGGCCACAGCATCGACAAGCAGGGCTACTACGTCCAGCGCTTCGGCGCCGAGCGCACCGCCATGATCCAGGAGCGGCTGCGCGCCGTCGGCGAGCCCCTGGGCATCCACTTCAAGTTTGGCGGCAGGGTGGGAAACTCGCGGGACGGGCACCGGCTGATTCATCTCGGGGGCAAGCATGGCGAGGAGACGCAGCTCAAGGTCGTCGACGGACTGTTTGCGGCGTACTTTGAGAACGAAAAGGACATTACTGACTACGACGTCCTCCGGGATGTGGCCAAGGGAGCTGGGATCCCCGAGGAGGAGTTCAACAAGGCCATTGTTGAGAGCGATGAGGGAGGCGAAGAGGTTGATGCCGCTGCGGGCACGGCGCGGCTCAGGGGCATCAGCGGCGTGCCGGACTACACGATCCAGGGCAAGTATAGGCTGAGCGGTGCGCAGGATGCCACTGAGTTTGTCAAGGTCTTTGAGAGGGTCAAGGCTGAAGAACAAGCGTGAGCTAGATATTGAAGCAAAGATAGTACTATAGCTATCGTGTATAGATCGATGTAGATGAGGCTCCCATCCTAACATGCAAAACCAGGGTATTCTTCCGGAGACGCTGCTCTTAACATGCAGCCAAAACTCCAAAAATTAGGCCACAACTCAGGCTTCCCCCTTGCTGCGAAACACCACCTCGGCTCTCTTCTCCAGCACATCCTCCCACACTCGCCTCTCCGTAAAGCCAGGCATGTAAAACAGCACGCCAATCTCCTGACTCGTCCACCAACTGGCTCTATCCATGTTGCCCGAGCCCAGCACCAGATACTCGCCGTCCACCATTGTCATCTTGAAGTGGCTAAAGACGGGCTCGTCTTCAAGGCTTGCTCTAGCTTCAAGCTGTTTGTAGTATAGAATCTCTAGCTGCCCAGGAGACGTTGATTGTGCTTCTATGTCATTCCGTCGTGATCGCTTACACAACGCTTGGTACTTTTTCACAAACTTTCGGATACACCACGACGTTGTTGTCCCGGCCGTGACAAGCTGCTCAATAACCATCATGTTCCGGGCCGTGCGTACATGAACGTTGACTCCGCGAGACAGTGCGTCCAGAAGAGCGTCCATGACCGGCCATGACGTTAGGTTCGGCGTGACGATATTGATATCATGACGAGCATTGGCAAATAAGGTAAGCAGCGCAGCATTGAGCGGCGTCATGGGCGGGTTGGACTGAGAAAAGAAGGGAAAGAAGCTGAATCTCGGGTTTCTGTGATGTGGCGACGGGAGAAAGATGGTCGGAGACGGTGAAATACCGGAAAAGCAAATGCATTGAGTGGCCGAGCCATCGTCGTCGGCCTGTTTGTTGTTCATCGGCGATGAGCTTGATGTCTCGTCCACTGCGTCCATCTCTTCATCAACATCCCTTCTCCGGCCTTCATTCGTCATCTCCTGCCTCCTGACCAGCTCTACATCGTCGGTGCTCAGCGGCTTCGATGCTCCCCAGACTCTGGCATGAAAAGACAGCAGTCTATCGACAACCTCGCCCTCCAGCTCCACGCATCCCTCGAACCATCTCTCCCAACTCACGTTGCAGCTCGGAACCCACGCTTTGGACTCATCGACGATGACATACTTCGGGTGCATGACACTGATTGGCGTAAAGAAGAGGCTCTTGACCGTCATTTCGATGCCGCCCTTTCTCAGCGTCTCCTCGTCCGGCAAACCCAGGTGTGCCCATTTTGAAGGCGGATAGACGTAACCCTCTGGCGACGCCGTGTGAAATAGTTTCTGAAACAGTCCCCAAGACGAGAATCCAATGCTTATTCGCAGCGTAGGCAAAGCCTCTGATGATGTTGATCGCGCCTCAGCCAGCTTGACGAGCGTTTGGCGCAGGCCGTCGAGAGACGGGGAGGCAGCCCAGTAGCACGTCACGAAATGGACCGAGTATTTGGCTGAGGCAATAGCAGGCAGAATTGCGCGTGTAAAGATGGTGTGACCCGTGCCGACGTAGAGCAGCTTGGGCGTGCTGGTTGTCATGAGAGAGTCGATGGCTTCAGGAGTGTTGTAGCTGGGGGAGTCTCCGGAGCGCTGCTCCTGGTTGGAGAGGAGCAGATCGCGCCATGGCTTTACGAAGGACTCGGGGAATGCCAATGGTTGTGACATGAGGAGAGAGTGTGATGAGACGGACTGAGATGGATTGACAAATGTAAGAAGGATTGAGATGAGTTGAGCTGGGTTAAGGTGGGAATAGAGACAAGATGAGAGATAGAGAGTTGACTGATCCAGCAGTGGTATCGAGGATGAATGACGACTGCACAGCCACAACGTGTAACAGCGTCGCTGAAGCAAACAGCAGGTATCTGCACGTGTTGTTTCACTGCCACGTGGAAATACTACAGAGAACGTGAGGTCCAGATTGGGGGACAAAAAGGAGATGCACTCGACATTCACTGACACCAACCGACTGCACGAAAGATGACGAGAATATGTGTCAATGATTGATTGAATGAGAAAAAGGCAAAAAATAACTGTCCTCGGTGAGGCTCGAACTCACGACCTTCAGATGGCCCAAACTGATGTTTGGATCATATTGTCTAATATGAGACTGACGCGCTAGCCAACTGCGCCACGAAGACTTGTTATTGATAGGCAAGGATGGTATGACGCTTATCAAACGCTTCTCCCATCCTCGTCCCGACCTAAGCTCCAATCCTCAATGCTTGAAGCCCAAGATGGGAGTATGCTGTTTATAGCTATATACAATTTGTTCCGCCTCCAGCTGTTGAATGCCACCGCCCAAGGTTCTTAATTGAGCCCGCCCACAAGCCGGAGTTGCCATGAGCTAATGCAGGTTTGAGGCTTGACGCATGTAAGGCAACTGGATGCTCTCAGAGGCTGGTACCTAGATGTACCTAGGTAGCTTAAGCTGGGCTGCCAATACCAGAAGCGTCGAGCTGCCCGCTTAGGTGAACGATCTGATCTTTGAAGGATCCAATATCTTTGCTGAAATTATTGCAATTTTCTTCGCTTTCTGATTTCATGCCTGATACCTACTTACTACCTAGTAGTAGACGTGCAAATGTAGAGTCATTGAAGGAAGTCGCATCAGCGTGCACCCGCAGTACCACTCTCTGTCAATTACCAGACCTCTACCTACAGGTACCTGTCAGGTCCGGTCGGGTCCACGGGTGTCATCGTTCAGGGGACTCCAGCAGCCAACCTCCCTGTAGCAGCTCCGTCTAGCGCCATCGTCACGCGCCTCAGCGGGGCTCCAGCACCTGCACCCTGAATCCCGTCCACCTCCAATCAATCGCGAACCACTAATCGCAGCCTCACCTTTCCAACAACCTTTGACCCCAGCAGCTTCGACGACTCTCTGCGCCAGTTCGCAGCTTCTCTCCCATTCCCTTCCCTTTCTCCCCCTTTCCTTTATTCTCCCCCTCCTCATCAGCGCCCAAAATGCTGTCCGGCGTGCTCATCTTCAACCAAAAGGGCGAGAACCTCATCTTCCGCGCCTTTCGCAACGACTGCCGCCCTCGCCTTGCCGACGTCTTCCGCATCCAGGTCATCTCCAACGCCCAGGTGCGGTCGCCCATCCTGACGCTGGGCAGCACCACCTTCAGCCATGTCAAGCACGAGAACATCTACCTGGTGGCCATCACCAAGAGCAACGCCAATGCCGCGCTGGTCTTTGAGTTCCTCTACCGGCTGATCCAGCTGGGAAAGGGGTACTTTGGCAAGTTTGACGAGGAGGCCGTCAAGAACAACTTTGTGCTGGTCTACGAGCTGCTAGACGGTAATTGAGCGCACGCTTTTTCTTTCTCCAGTCCTTCTCTGACGCTTGTATGCACAGAAATCATCGACTTTGGATACCCGCAAAACACCGAGACCGACACGCTCAAGATGTACATCACCACCGAGGGCGTCAAGTCCGAGTCGCGCCCCGAAGACACGTCCAAGATCACAATGCAGGCCACCGGCGCGCTGTCGTGGCGCAAAGCAGACGTCAAGTACCGCAAGAACGAGGCATTTGTCGATGTCATCGAGGACGTCAACCTGCTCATGTCGGCCACCGGCGCCGTGCTGCGAGCCGACGTTACGGGCCAAATCATCATGCGCGCCTACCTCTCCGGCACACCCGAGTGCAAATTTGGCCTTAACGACCGGCTTCTGCTCGACAACGACGGGCTGCTGAGCCTCCCCAGCGGCAACAAGATGGGCACCAAGGCCACCAAGGCCGCGGCCGGCAGCGTCACGCTCGAGGACTGCCAATTCCACCAGTGCGTCAAGCTCGGCAAGTTCGACTCGGACCGCATCATCAGCTTCGTGCCGCCCGACGGCGAGTTCGAGCTGATGCGCTACCGCGCCACGGAAAACGTCAACCTGCCCTTCAAGGTGCACGCCATCGTCAACGAGGTCAGCCGCACAAAGGTCGAGTACAGCATCGGCGTCAAGGCCAACTTTGGCTCCAAGCTCTTCGCGACCAACGTCGTCATCAAGATCCCAACGCCCCTCAACACCGCCAAGATCACCGAGCGCTGCACCCAGGGCAAGGCCAAGTACGAGCCCAGCGAGAACGTCATTGTCTGGAAGATTGGCCGGTTCACCGGCCAGAGCGAATACGTCCTGACGGCCGAGGCGCTGCTGACCAGCATGACAAACCAGCGGGCGTGGAGCCGGCCGCCCTTGAGTATGAACTTTAGCCTGCTCATGTTCACCAGCTCAGGCCTGCTGGTGCGCTATCTAAAGGTGTTTGAGAAGAGCAACTACTCGAGCGTCAAATGGGTGCGGTATATGACGAGGGCAGGTTCATATGAAATAAGGTACGTCCCCCCCCCCCGGACCTCGGCCTCCCTACTATGCTAACCTTAGTTCCTCTAGATTTTGAAGCATCTGGACTGTATCACGATGGATTTTCTGGCATGTATGGCGTTGAAGGGTTACTCGGGCAAAAGCTTATAATATCATTGCATTCTAATTTCACCATCAGTATAATCACCCTCACTCTCAGCAGGGCTTCAGCATCTTCTCTCCCGCAGCCGAGGCTGTATACAAGCTCGCACATGTGCAATCTCCATGGCGGCGGCGCGACTACGGCTGGTGCAGTCTTGGCTGGCTCAACTCTGTGTGATGCCTCTACAAAGTCGGCCACTGGATCACGATGCTCTCGAGACTCTTACGCGCCGAGGTACGAGCTCATGCTGGTCTCAGCGCAGAAGGTCTGTGACACGTTGACTTTGACAGGCCCCCTTCTGTGCTGCATGCGCCTCGGATCCCTCCGCGGCTGGCTGCAGAAAATATGTCAGATCCCCCTCTTACCCGTCTACGTTGCCCAATCCGGGTTCGGCAAGTCTGCTCCTCACATCTTCTCTGCTTGACATCATCACGGACCCGGGCATCACTCAATAGCCATCGGCTAGTTGCCGTTTATTCTGACAGAGTCTGAGCATGATTCAGTCATCCTCTATTCGGTCCGAAACAGTGCTCCGTCAAGGCTCAACATCCTTTTCTTTCATTGTCCCTACCCCTGGCAGTAAATGCTCAATCCCAGCTGAATCCAGTCCGCCGAGGGACAGTTCTTTGCCACGGCAACCACGGGTCGGCCAACTCGCACGTGGTTTGGACTATACTCAGGCACTAGAAGGATGGAAGGAAGAGATAAGTTGGCAAAGCAACACGACCTTTCACCCTCCGAATCTCTTCATAAGCAGATTCGAGCCCCGCGTGTACCATCAGACGACGCCACGAATGATTCTTTCCTGTGGGTGTGACGGTGCGCCTTGGATCGGCAACCCGCGTGCTTTCCTTTCTACAACGTTACTGTGTGACTGTCACTTGGCCTCTATGTTGACCTCGAAGTCGATGTGATAGTTTCCAAGCCGGTCAAAGAACCCCTATGGCGGCATCAACCAACTCGGCTGGTATCATCTCGAAGTACCAGACAGGGGGCATCGTATGGGAGTGGCAAAGATAACCGAGAAGACAGAGCAAGGGCCAGCTCCATCTCCTCGACACAGCTCAAGCGGCGTCTGGGCACAGTCCTCCCTGCGTTACACCAGCTCATGTCCAGAGCATGTGCATTCTCCGAGACTGAGCGTGGAAGTGTCGGACCCCGGATTCACCAACGTGGAGAGCACGATATCCTACGAGCTCATGGCTGGACTGTACGCCTTATGGAGGCTTGACTTCCACCTGCCCATTCAATCCTGTCAATCTCTTGTCGTGGCGCTGAGGTTTCCAGATGTAGCCATATATCCGGACAAATCGATACACCTGAATGTCTCATACTTTCTACGCAAACTTCACACCAGCGGCGCGTTTACCCACCGCACATGGAACCTTATCTCCCCCGACAGTATCACGACGAGTCGCAGTTCTCTTCTCGTATGTGGTCCGACGGCGTCGAATTTTCCCCCTTCAAGAGCACACAGCACTGGTAGCACCTGCGATTTCCCACGAGACAGGCGTCACCGTATTTTGGTAACCCGACGACAACTACAGCTATCAGCAAGCTTCTAGAAGGATTTTCATCGTCTCCTTCTCGGACAGATATTCGTCTCCTACGAAGCCTCCGTGAATCCAACCCCCAGCCAGGACATATCCAACATTGCCTGATATGCAGCGAGCAAGCCACACGGCTCCCCGCCGCTCACTCAATGCAGCCGCGATACCTTATGCGGGCTGTGGGCTCTGAGATTATCCTCAAGCCACTCTTCTCCCCTCTGACTATCCGCCCGCTGTCTGAATATCAGGAGATCAGAAATGTCTTATTCTCTGTGCTTCCCCTCTTTCGGCGCCGAGGCAAAGTGGTCTTATTCTTGCGTCAGGCTCTGCGTCCATCGCCAGCATCCTCGGAGACATGGCTCCATGAGGACGGTGGTAAGCACATGGCAAACTCCCGCCGTCCCCGGGGGGGCCAGTCCTACAATGGCTTCGACCTCAGGCTTATGGAATGGACAAAGTGTCCCAGCTCGTAGGCGAAAGCCGGGGACAAGATGCTGACAGTTGATCGTGCAGCAGGATAAGATGAAATCGAGACATCGGCGAGAATATAAACTAGATCCTGCTCCTCGTTCGAGATGGACTGTTAGCACGAAGCATCCACAGGGACAATCATTACAGCCTTCAGCCCAACACCTGCCTGACAAGGTCAAGTTCTAGTCCTCGCTGCACGTCTCTCATCTTCTGGTGCATTCTTTGCACAGTGGACGGATCATATCGCCGCCCCTCTTCAACAACGACACGGAGCTTCGGGAGTGTATGAGATCTGAGAGGCTTTGACCTGCTGCGATAGCCCACAGTACGCTCTGCTGCCCTTTTGTCAAGCTCCGTACTGTCGACTATCAGGACAGACACTGTTTCTGGTCCTGGTCCTGGCCCTTTGCCGTAGGGTCCAACAGATCCGGTCTGGAGTGTTCAGGGTCCCAAAGGTGTACCCTTCGCCGTGCGAAGGCACAAGACGCATCTGTAAGAGGAAGACGCTGAAGACGGAGGACAAGCCCAGTCCTCGAGACAGCCGTGGTTGAACAGGACAAGACAGGACGGCAACCACCACCTTCAAGCATCTCCTCCTGGCCTCAGGGACTTTGCCCGCTCTGCTGCCTCCATATCCCCGCGGAGGCATTCCGCGAACACTCCAGCGTGCTCCTCATCAACAAGCCGCCCCTAACCGGCCTTCAGGAGACACAAAGCAGAATCAATAAAGCCACTTGTCTGTGCTGCGAGCCGTCAGGCATCTCAGCCGCGTCAACACGTCGTCGCCTGCCCAAAGCCATCCGGGCTGCGGAGCAGAAACAGGACATTGTGCCGAGACGGGTCCGTATTCGCTGTGCAACGCCGATCCCGAGCCCTCCTCGGACTCAGCTGTCTCAGCAGGTCTCGGCTCCCCTCCTTTTCCGACCTGAGATCTTGTGCCAGACCCAGATACGAAGGACGCACAACGAAAAAGGAAGAAAGGAGGGCAAGCATGTGCCAGTACTCGTTCGTCCACTACCACCACCAGCTCCCCTGCACGCACCCGGCCAGCCTGGTGCCCCGATACTCGTACTGCGCCGCGGCGGCCATCAACCCGGCGACGAACCAATACTCACCCTGTGCGGCCACCACCGTCTTCGCGTCGCCAGAAGACACGGGCGAGGATCCCTGCGCGCGGGGCAACTGCCTCATCTCGCCGGCCTGCAGGTCGGGGACGTGTCGCCTGCAGGATCTCAATGGGCGATGGGTCTGCTGCAAGTGCAAGCGCGGGGGGAACGTGTACCGGTCGTGCCATCACCGGAAGAAGGGGTGTCCGGATACCTTTTGCTATCACGACATTTGCGACAAGTGCACTCCTGATGTGTAGTCCTTTGCATCTTTCAACTTTGAGGATTTGTGGTATGTATGACTTTATGGGAAAGAGGTGGGAATTGGGGTTCTGCGCAAGCCAGGGGGGGGCTTTGTGCAAGCAGCAGGCTAGCGGCCATGAAAAGGGCCCAGACTTGGGGGCGGAAAGGGGACAAAGTCGAGCAATGTCTCAGTTGAGGACGCCACACGGATTGCCAAGAACAAGCACCAGCTACCTAGCCAGGGGACCCAAATCTGTGACGTGATGAGGGATGCCTGGTCCGTTGTCGTTCAGATCTTGTCTGCTTGCTTGTCCCTGGAATCCGCTTGGAGGTCAACTTGTATGAGTAGGTGTTGGTTTATGGTGAGGTTCTCTCTGTTTGGCGGATAATTTATTTGTTCATTATTTTTGCCTAGTGTTTGCACAATTATTGAATTGTCTTCATCTATTCTCTATTCCCTCTGACTCGATCCCGAACGTGGTCTCAATTTTTCAAGATCTACATCTGCATCAAGGCGACAGCCAGCGGCATTACTTGGACAGACTGCTCGTGACGCATCCCATGACAGAGGACTCCCATCAACTCAAACCATACCAATCCAGCCATCTACATCCCAGCCCCTCCTCCCCTCTTCTTCGAGGCGGAAGAAGCAAATCACCACACCTGAGCAAACATCCACCCACCCTTCTCCATCATCCCTGTCCATCCCAACCATCCACTCGAAGCCACTCCAGCCCCCCCCCCCCCCCCCCCCTTTACTTATCCCCCAGTCACCAAACTTTCTCATAACAATACCATATTACATACATTCATGGACATGGAGTACTATTGTACATCAAGTGGCAGAAGAGAAGAAAAACAGGGCGTACGCCCCCCCGCCCCATCCATGAACCCACGAACCGGGTTTCCAGACGCCCCCCTTTATTCGAGTTGACAGCTCAGCCAAACGCCACAAGTTTTGCATTTTTTTCAGCCCTTTTCCTTTCTAGCTACAGATGGCCGGCGAGGAAGGAAGATACTAGATGTCGTCCAGGTATGTAGCTTGTCAAAGCAGGGAGATGGCGGGACACGCACATGCCGCCGCATGAGCAGAGCAGACACAAGGCAGGATTTGTATAGAGAGGACTTGGTAAGGAGACAGGCATTTTCGCTCTCACAAAGAAGAATGGGACGCCAATGCAGCAAGTCAATTGAAAGAGAGATAAACAGACGGTGAGAAGCAACTTCTTTCCCCGTCGAAGCACTTCCATACAAATACAGGCCTATCAAACTTTATCAATACCATCGCCAGGAACCCAAGGTGTCTTATCACTTCTCATTATCACATGCTTCCTCATCTTCATACCAAGTTTGCTACCTCATGTATTCTCGGTGACTCTCCTCCACCTCATTGGCCGCCACCTATCTACCTTCTTTGTATCCTCCACGTCTTCCTTCTCTCACGTTATACTAACATGCGTATTGATAAAGTATATTCCTTCCTTGCTTCCCTCTCTTATATCATTCCCTGGTCACCGGACATCGTATCTCGACCTCTGTGATAGCCACTGCATGCACGAATCAAGCATATCCTAAGCGAACATCTCATCATCTATATTGACGTCCTTCTTCACAAATCTGCACATGACAAACCCCATTCGCCCCCAAAAAAGCTACTCTTACCGTGAAAGCACACGAATGATCCCATCCCATCCCATCCCAAAAATAGGCCCCCCCTGAAACAGAGCAAACAATTCCTACTTCTATACAACCTAGGTACCCAAGCCATAATTAAAATCCTTATCCTGAACACACGCCCCCAATAGGTCTCCATTGACGTTCACAAAATCTCATTCAACATCCAATCAGTCAAAAACAACAACCGAGCAAACCACGTTTTTCCAGCTCCCCTCTCCTCAATCTCCCCCCTCTCCATCTCGGCCAAACCCCACGTTTCTTGTTCATCTCAGTCCCTCTCTTCTCACTCCATGCAATGGCTCAACAATCCACCATCCATTCAAGAATAGAGACTGAAAACCAATATTTCCAGGGGAGTAATTCATTTGCCAGTGCAAGCGAAGCGGGTCGATGTCATGTTTCTATTATAAGCAAAGCAAAAAACAAGCTCAACAAAGCAGAGAGCTATAACCACACAGGGCAATGGAAAAAAAATCACGTCAAATGTCATTCTTGACGACTTTGTCCGGGGTTTGCTACGCGAGGAGGCGGCGTTCGGTGACATACGTGCATCATGCGCGTGGGAAAGCAAAGAAGTGTCATCCGTCATCGTCACAGTCAGATCCCCAAGTCCAGAAAAGTCACAGTAGATGGAGCAGTGAGTGAATGTCTATAAATGCCATGAGATAGAATCCCAAATAAACACGGCCCTTCTCCGTGACAAGCAGACCAAAAGCTCAACAGCTACTCACTGTCAACGAGGGCTCCAACTTTCCTCTTCCTCTCGTTTCTTCTCCAGCAGCTCCTCGCCACGATCATCAAACCATCCACACCCATCCTTCATTCTCCCATCTTCCATCCCTATACAGCAAACACTTCCCAGCAACCTCACCCTCAATCCCCCCTCCCCCCTCCTCTTCAACCAGCGTCTCCTATCCAAACCAGCCAACATGTGCCAGCTCCTGATATACGACCTCATCTGCTGCCACTCCTCCCAAAAGTGGTCGTACTGCGCAGACTCCCAGGCCAGCGGCCGCATCCCCTGCAAGCGCCAGACGTCCCGCGTCGTCTCCTACCCGACCCCGGCCGCCTTCGAGCCCGCCCCCCTCTGCCACCGGCCCGAGTGCCACTTCAACAGGCTCGACGGTGTCTGGAACTGCTGCTGGTGCGGCAAGACGCACAACACCACCGGCCGGTGCAGCGGCGCCATGATGTACTATGAGTACACGACCTGCGATCACATATGTTGTCCTTTTTGCAAGAGGGGGGATCAGGGGTTATAAGAGGGGTTGATGATGGATGGGTTGGGATATTGCACAAGTATAGCAGATGGGCAGAGATCGAATCAATCTTTGTGATAAAAATAATACTATATTGCATAAGCCGGCATCACTTTTGCCTCGAGCCATCCGTCCCTCGACTCGTGAATAACCATGGCGATTCTTGTCAAGCTGTCGACATCAGCACATCCTCAGTATCGTTACAAGCCAAGTGACGTCGATGCAAGTCCGAGTCCTGTGTCAGCCATGACATACTTCGCACGCATAATGACTCGTCACAGGATACTCGTTGACATCCTCGTCAGAAGATACACCCCAATACATCACTCCTTGTCCATTGCTGCTTCTCAGGGGGCACATTCGCAGACCACATAAGCCCCCGGCTGCCTAGATCAATCTTACATGCAGTGAGACATTACGATCTCGAGATCGAAGCACGGCAGCCCACCTGTCAAATCTGTCATGCAAAGCATCGTGAGCCCCAATAATCTCGGAGATGCGCATCATAGTTTGTGGATGTCGTGGGCCAACCAGAGGAGAGAGGGCCGCGGTCGAGAGGCAATAGTCGCAAATCTCCTCGGTGGTCTGTATCCATATCACGCATCGTACTGACTCGGACAGCACTTTTTGTCCATTATTGTGAGATGATAGAGATGGTGGCGTCCCGAGATCCAGAGATTCGGGACGGGAATCTCCCCGTTTGCGACACATGACCGGGGAAATCTCTCCTGAGGCTGGGCAGAGTCGTACAGGCGTAACATGGCTTGACCCGGAACAAGCAAATCCGGTTCCTGGTATGAGGTAGCCTTGGTCTTTCACTCCATAATCAGCTCTGCCCGCTCCGGCTAAAAGAGAGCAGGAAGCAGATCCCCATCCCTATTTGCGGTTATCGAAAACTTGTGAGAACACCAACAGGCTTTTGACTGACGAACCGCTCTCTTCACCACACAGCCTGAGCGCCCTTGGAGCAGCTTCGCACAAAGGGTTCGCCACTAGGTCGATCGTCAAGAGTCAATCTTGTCATTGTCACACACAGCATGAGTTGAAACCCCACAGCAGTCCGAAACATTGGGTCGAGGCAATCTCGAAGCACATCCCCAGGCCCGTCCGGAACCCGGGATCCCGAAGCTTGGAGCCAGATCTCGCCGCCATGAATCTTGCATATGCCTGCGAGCAGAGGTGTCACAAATGCAGATTGGTTTCACCGATGGCGCAGTCTACCAATGCTGCAACACTCGTCCAGATTGAGGCTCGTATCCGCAAACAGGCAATACCCTTGGTGGTGAGATGATCGTGGCCTCGATTTCGTCCGAAAGGATGAAATACAGCAGATGAGTGGGAGGACAGACATGACATCCAGGGCCGTCACGATGGCAATGTGATGCCTGCACTGCCTTACACTGCAGTATATCGATCCCGAGGTGTTGATCCCGGTGCGGAGATCGTATGATGGGCACAAGCCGTCGAGAGCGCCTCAGATGCTCTATAAGAGAGGCTTCTTCTGCCCCGTCAGGAGACCGAACGCCAAACTTGCCTCGCTCTCTCCTCGTCAGTTCGTCTCGCTTGCTGATGTGCCCGAGACAGACTCCTTCTCTTACAAATTTACCTGCTCTTCCTTGAGAGTCCCTCAACATGTGTCACGGACATCCTCGATATCACTCGTGCGCGCACACGTCGCTCGTCTGGTACTACTGCCCCTCAGCACACATCGACTTGGAGACGGGCTTCGAGACGCCCTGCCGCAACGTCTCTTTTGCACCAGCCCAGTCCAGCGCGCTGTCGTGCCCGCTTAAGAATTGCCAATTTGTCGACAAGGGCGGCAGCTGGATATGCTGCAAATGCAATCAGGGCCCCAACACGCAGGGCTGGTGTTCCGCTCCCATAGCAAACGTCCCGGACGACTTGGACTCGCTGCGGCTGGACGATGAACAGAGAACATGCGACCACGGATGCTGTGACGACTGCAGGAGATTCGGTACGTGGCCACTTGTTCCCGTTTCAATGCATCAGAGCTTGACTGACATTTCCTTACACCACAGGGCCGAGTCGCAGTCCCTCTCCCGAGAAGCGGGTTGTGGAGTCTCGCAAGGGGCGTTCACGCAAGTTTGGGTATGGAACGTCGTCCAGATCCCATCGGTGCGAGTCGCCATATGCCCTGATGAAAGGCCTGTCGCTTGATAAAGGTTCCGAATCTGGCGGCACGGCAGCCTCTTCGTCGTCGAGCAGTTCATACGACTACCGGTCGAAAAAGTCCAAGCCGTCCAAGAAGAGCCACAAGTCAAAGACTCGAGGCTGACAGCATCAGAGGCATAGATTTTGCCCTTTACATGACCGTGTTGGTGGCCAAGATTCTTTTGGACTTTGTATATGTATCAGTCAACAACCAGGGAGGCTCATGTGTCAAGATTGTCTGTTTATCATGGGTTGGTATACGTCGTTATTGTGTGTCTGGTCGGAATTCGCCATTGCACTCTGTATGTAAACGTTTGTATCTAGTGCATTGAAGTGGCTTTGCACCAATCATGGCCGTACTTGGTGATCAATATCTTGACGAAGGTTGACGCTTGGCAGATGTGCATCCGGGCGCAGCCTGTACGGAACTGCAAAGATACGTCAGCGGTGACCACAAGAGGTGGACGATAAGCATGAGCCCTGTCGTTGCCGATTGTTGCCCAAGCGGTTGCCTATCGGGTGTGCGTCTGAATAGGTTTCAGCATTATCCGCCAAGAAGACCCCAACTGCTAAGGTAGGAAGCTATCCCGAGGACTTGCAATGAAGCGAGTCGCGATGCCTGGGCTGTGGTTAGACGAGCCGTAGCAGACTCCGACCCTCTGCAGATCCGACGCAAGCAGCCACAGCAACAAACCGGTCCCACACGTGGAGGAACAGCCTTTGGAGGGGGAGGTGGGAGGAGCCGTCTCGAGATGTCGCGGTGACATGGAGCTAGGTGAAGACCAAACGAACCAGGACGAGAGGCTAGGTGATGGCGCCAGTGTGTTTATGCGTGCTAGCAGTAGCGCTGGGCCGATCTCAATGGGAGCTTGGGAGCTCCGTCGCCAGCCGCAGAATGGTGGTGAGCTGTAAATCTCTTGTGCTTCTCATCAGAGACAGAGATGCCCACGCGACAAAAGATCCCGTCCAGCAGTGGCTCGTCATCCCACGTCCAAACGGCCAACTGCGGTCGAGCAACAAGCAGAAAAGAGAGCATCGGCCAAGCTCAAGCCTCCCCTGGCCGAGCCACGTGCGATGGCGCAGGGATCGCTTCCCTCTTGGCCGCTGGTGCGGAATGCAAAAATGCCCTGCGCGAGTGAAGGGGTCTCGTCGTGCCGTGTCGGTCACAGATGGTGTGGCGCGCTGATTGGCTCGGCGATGGCGCTTGGGCTGAAGAGTGAGGCCTGACACAGGGCAGGGAGGCAGGGAAAACGTGGCATGGGCATGGATTGTTGATGGGCCAGATGCTTGCGTGTGTCTGCAGTGTTTGCTGCCGTGTTCGTGTTGAGTTGATTTGCGTTGAGGTTGCGGACAAGGGAGCGGCTGGGCGAGTCTCGGTGGTGCGACGGCGATGAATTAGACATGGTAGAATCATGCGCGCGGCGACGGATTGAGGCTGCTGTCATTGGTAAGTATCATCATCAATATTTGTCTGGTAGAAGTCGGTTCGAAAAGCAGTCAGGCTCACAATGGTGAAGCAAACCTGAAGATGAAGATGGCTGAGTCAAAGCAGTAAGAAATCAAAGTGGTGGTCGGACCATGCGGCTGGCACATGGCAGCTCCTTCCTTTCAGACCTAGGCCGTCATTCCAGGCCTTGGGAGGTGTTCGTTTAGGGGACATGACTGGCAGGTACCCGCTAACAGGGGCCTGTGAGAGGCACGACGGCAGACGCAAGAGGCGGAAGCGCAGCAGTGCGACAGGCGATACGATGCAGATCCAGCGGCTGTATGTAAGATGGTGAAATGGGCGACGTGTTCGCTGACCTGAAATTTTCAGGCATTCGTGATGTGATGTAGCGGATGGGCCGTTACAACAGCCATGACTCGCGGTTCGTGTTGATGGTTATCAGACCTTGGAACTCCAAGTTGATGATTGCTGATGGCAGTAACTGAGGCAGAGAGGCAGACAACTGCGTGGTCTCTGAGTACAGTAAAGACATCATTAAGATGGCTACCCATATTAAGCATCCATCCACAGGCAGACGATCCCTGCGTCTTCACTTCATCCTTCGTATGTATGCCGCTTCCCGGCCCAAGCAACAGAAAGCAACATACATGTTCTCGGTGACACGCCAGCCTGCCATATCACAAGCATTGAATGACGAACACAGAAGGACAGGGCTGTCATACCCATTCGAGCACATGTGTCTTTTACTGTACAGTGTCATCCAGTAGTACCTTGGTGATATCACGGCTAGAAGCATCCAAGCAGTCCACCACCTGTTCTAGAGTGCTTCCAGCTGCAGCCACCACATGTCAGCCATGCTCGAGGGATGAAGGCCGTCAAGGTCCCCGGTTTGCGCGGTACCTGTGCCTCGTGTACCCCGCCGTCACCCACTGCAGCTCCAGCACCCTCCCAGCACTCTCCAGCGCCTGCAGCAGCCATCAGCGTCCGCGTCCAGGGCCCCCCCAGGCCACTAACCACCCCCCCACGAGCCCCCTAGCCGCCTTAGCACCGCCGGTGCCTTTCCCACTCCGTCCCACTAACGAACCTGGTGCTACTGCATCTCCATCCGGCTCCACCATCGTCGCGCCCATCATCTCCCATCCCCATCCCTCGCCTCTTTTCCCTCTCGCTCTTCCGCCCTACCCTCGTGTTAGTATTGCGATCTTGACGTTGTTATTACTGCATTCATACGCGCTGCGATAGACGGAGTCTTCTTGCTTCTTTCCAGCCTCTCTTCAGCCATCAATTCCAGCATCCGTCGCGACGCAATCTGCCATCCTCCACTCCGAACTTCTTCCCCCCCCTTCCCTGGCCCCGACATCAAATCAAATCTCACATCCTGGGTTTGACTCGCCGCCCTCGACCATCGCCAACAGGACAGACACACAGTTGATTGTTTCTCCTCCATCTCCTCCACACCCACAGCCAATCCGAACCCGGTTCAACCTGACACCAGGCTTGCGACAACCACCAGCCGCCAGCACAGCAACAGCAGCAGCATTAGCATTGATTCCGGCTTCGCTGGCCCCCCTTGCCAATCACGCTCGACTTACTCGCTCCCTTTCTTGCTTCTCGCGCTCTGGCCTCTTCCCACTCCCTTACCCTCACCCTCACCCTCACCCTCACCCTCTGCTCGCCTTTGTCGTCTGCCTTGCAACTGGAGACAAAAACGGAGCCTTGATCTCGTGCTAGTCGCCGTTTTTTCATACCCAAGCTTCATACTATTCGCCTAGGCCAGAAACCCCTGCCTCGACGGGTTTCACATTCCCACCTGCTCTCGGCTCTTTTCCTCTCTTAAAAGCCATCAGCCCTCCGGCAAACACACACATCACCACTATGCCCGTTTCTATGGAATCTTCTCGCCCAATCATGGCTCCTTCAGTAAGTTCTGCTCTCCCCATGCTTGCGCCTGGATCCCCCATTCACGGCACGTTATCCTGCGCGATAATACCTTACGGAGAGGTGTCAGATTAGCTGCTCGCCCCCGTTCTGTCCCACGCGCAAACTTGGCTTTGCCGACTACAGCAGCTATTCACACACTCACACACACTCACACACCCTTTACTCTTCTTTTCTTCTTCCTCATCTACCACCCGCAACCTCCCAGCTAACCATGGCCCTCCAGGCTCGCACCTCATACCGCTTCAGCACCTACAGCATGGCCGCGCCGTCGGTCGCCATGTCTGTCCAAACCAACGACTCGCAGCACGCCGAAATCCGCGAGATCGCCACCGGCCTGGACCGCATGGAGAACAAGGCCCTGACCTCGCAGCGCGTCACCCTGTCCGAGGAGAAGTACGAGAAGATGAGCAAGCTGGCCCTCGGCGCCAAGCTGGAGCGCGCCCTCGACCGGCGCATGAGCGGCCAGGACGCCGTCATGCGACCCCGGAGGAAGACGACGTCCGCGGTTGAGAAGAGCTTCAGCGAGAAGGCGCAGTAGACACGGCGGCTTTGATTCGTTTGAACCTTGAGCTGCTCGATGCGTCTCGGTCCGACGCCGCGATTCTACCCTCTGCCTCGGTGCCTTGGAAAAGCAATTCTTCTCCGATCCAACCTTGCGGACGAAACAAATCTGGCGATTTTCACCACAACCCACCTTCCACCTTGGCATTTGGAAAGCAACAGGCATTCATTGCCCGAACATCTTTCTTGCGCCAAGGAGAAGGCCAGATCACCGCGACAGCCATTTCACCCCGATACGCTCATACGCTCAGATGCACATGAAAGATTCGACTTTATGTCACATATACCCCTTGCGTCAATACGATAAACCTCATCTCTCTGCCATCCACCATCTTGGTCTCATCTCATAGCTCCTTTTGTGTCTCTGTTGTCTCATTATGCGGAAAATTTCTCAGTCTTGTCGGATAGGGTCAGAGCGGTTGGGGGGGCAGTAGCTGAAAGAGGGCATGTCGCGCGTGCAGACAGTATACCACATATACAAGGTAGTCATTGGGGAGTTATCTAGTGCTGGGAAGCTACGTTTAGTTGTGTTTTGTGGCCTCTGCTGGCAAGACACGTCATGTGTAATGGAATCCATTGTTTCTGTTTTATTTCCTTTATTCCTTGTTTATACATAGCGCTAGAAAGAAACTGCATTGTCTTTGTCTCTGTCTCTGCCTTCATGATCTATTACACTGAAAGTATTTATCTAGAATGGAACTGGTTTCTACCTTATTTTTCAGTCCTTAGCTCTACCACGGCTGCCCTTGTCATATTTCATTTCCAGCTAATCATCTCCCCGGCGTTAGAAAAAAAAAAAGATCGTGGCTTGCCCACCTGTATGCAAGGGAGGATAGTCATACTATCGATCGAGAGCGTTCCCGTCGGTCGATGAGTGGGTTACGACATCTTCATCTCATCTCATTTCCCACCATTTGACAAACCAACGTCAAATTTTAGGTGTCACAGCAGCTCCGCACAACGTTTTGCATCCGTCGTGGTGGTCCGTGAGGCCATGTCTCAATTCAAGATGATGTTTGTTTCTTGCTTCCAGTGTACAATTCCTCCTCCACATAAGGAAGAAGTGAAAACATGGCACATCAGTGTGCCATTCCCACGATTAAGCCAACAAGAACAATGCGTGACACCAGTCTCCAGGATACCAATGCCCATTCACCATCTAGTGGTTTTCACTAAAGTGCCAAATCAGAATGAAAAGATACAAACTCGAATAGTACTCCCAACGCCATCCAATCAACCCATCCCTTGCTCGCGAAGCACCGTCCAACAAATCGTACATCGCACATCATCTCACTCACTCAGTGTTCGCCCTCAGGGTTCTCTTCCGAAGACCTCTGCGCCTTTGCCTTGCGCGCCCTCCCCTTACTCCTCTTCTTCTTCTTCTTCGTGATGCCCTCCGAGGCCTTGACGTCAGCGCAGCCGCTCTACGCCCGCGCCTTGTCAATCCGCTCCTCGATATCCTTCAGCAACGACACCAGGTCCGCCTCCTCGCCCTCCATCTCCAGCGCCCTCTTGACCCACTCCCGCGCCTCGTCCAGCCTGCCCATCTCCGTCAAGCACCTGCCCCTCCGCCACCACCCCTTTGCATTGCCGACCCTCCTCGCCTCCACGCTCGCCTCGGCGTCGACCGCGCCCTCGGGCCAGTTGCCCATGGCCATGTGCGACTGCGCCCGGTTGGCATACAGCATCGAGACCTCCTCCCTCACCAGCGCCGCGGGCTCCCACAGCGGCCGCTGCAGCGCCATCTCGATCCCTTGCGTGTACAGCTTGACCGCCTCCTCGTACTTTTGGCGGCGGTACTCCGTGTTGCCGCTGTCGCGCAGCTTCGACACGTTGGCCGTGCGCTTCGGGTTCACGGGGATCGGAGGCGGCGGCACCAGCGGGATCGCGCCGGGGGGCACCTCGATGTTGAGGATGGCGCGGTGCAGCGCGTTGAGCTTCTCCAGCTCGGCGGCGAGGGCGCGCGACGGCCGGCTGCCCGAGGGGAGGATGGCCTTGGACTGGGGGTCCATGTGGATGGGGAGCATGGAGAAGTGGTCGAGGTCCGACATGGTGGATGTTGTTTGTGATGGTGTCTTGTCGCGATGGTGTTTGAGGGTTTGGTGTGGGTTGTTGGGTTGTGATTTGTAACGATGGACGGTATCTCTAAAAGCAAGAGCCCAAATATGATGTCTATGATTTGCGCTGGCGAAATGAAACTGCTCGACAGTACCTAAGATGGTGCTTAGTGACGAGAGAAGTAGTAGGTTGAGAGACACCAAATGTCGAGTTAGCTGTCATGTCAGTGAGGACACCTCTCACTGCGCCAAAAGTCGATGCTTATCTTATCGACACCTGACTGTGGGGTCGCTCTCCACGGGCGCTAGACTAACGCTTGGCCTGTGTTAGACTTTTGGATCTACAGCTGCTCACCTTACCCTGGATAGAATTTCGATGACAGTAATTCGCCAGTAGCGAAGCTTGATGGGCTTGATGACGTGTTGTCGAGTGTGGAATGCCAATTTGGAGACGGTTAGGACTCGAAGCAACCGCTGTGACGTGAATCTGCAGGAGCAGCTTGTGTTGGGACCTGCGTTGAAGAGTTGACAGTCAAGCTGCCTTGGTTGATGAGAAGCAGCAAAACAACAGACACGTGATAATAGTCCACAGTCATAGCAGCCATAGGTAGGAGATGATTTTCCAATGTAGTGACAACAGCATTTCCTTACGCTCCAAGCACATCACAACTCAGCCAGCATGAAATAGACCAGTCATGAATTGTTCAAAGCATTTATCATTCCGTCTACTCCTAGTGTTGTGCAATGCTAGACACCTCTTTTGCTCAGAGAAAGGGTATGATCATCACTGCCCATCCTCTCCCACGTCCCCCAATTCCTGTCGCCGACTCACTTTTTTTGCCCCCAAATAAGCCGCGAATAGCGTCCTTGAGCGGTGTCAAGCCATCGCGAGGCCAGACGGAAAGAAGAAGCAAAAACTTTTCCCCTCCAGCTCAGTTCCAATCTTCCATTTCCCCCCACCGCGGCAGAACAAGCGCAAAGAACCACATTATAACATCGCGTCCAGTCCAACCACTGTCACCCTCACGAAACGTCCGATATCGAGGAGATCGCCTTTTTTGTCCGTGCTGATTGTTGGGGTTTCCTGTGTTGCTTTATTTTTTTCTGTGGGATGGGCCATCAAGTTCCGACTGACAAGGAGAATATTGGATCAAGGAAATGAAATGGAGAAGAAAGTTTTCCGTCCGCGCCCCAAAGAAGCCGCCGCCCTCGCCATCACTCAGCAGATCAAGTGTAATTCCTTTGTGAACCGCCGCGCCAATCTAATGAAACGCACGAGAAAAAGACAATGCGAAGTACCAGGGCGTCCCCCGCGCGGGGAGCCGAGGAATGGCCAGCTTAGTAGCCATAAGCCGCGAGGGCCTTCGCCGTCTCCTCCTTGACAGAGGCGTTCTTCTTCGCGTCGGTCAGTTGTCGCGCAGCAACCTTCTTGCGCTCGTAGTAGGCAGCGCCCTTGGCCTTCCGCCTCTCCTCCAGACTGTTGAGATTGCGTTAGACTCCATGTTTCCATCGTCGAGATCACATCAAGGTGGAATAAGACATACCGGGCAACAACGTCCTGGTACTTCCAGCCAACCTCGTGGCTGAGACGGCCAACGGTGCAGTACTTGCGGCCGGGCTGCAGTCTCAGGACACGGAGAGCCTGGGGAACGACCATCTTCTTCTTCTTGTCGTAGGGGGGAGGGACACCCTCGAAGACCTTGAGGCGCTCCAGAGCGGCGGCACCACGGGCGGTCTTGTGAGGAATCATACCACGGACGGCCTTGTAGAAGATTCTGGAGGGAGCGCGGAAGTGGAAGGGACCTGGCAATGCCGGTTAATATCTCGAGAGAGCCTCATCGGAAGCTGGAGTTGCGCAAACTCACCACCGCGGGTAGGGTTGTAACGGGTCATCTTGCGCAGGTAGGCGTGGTACTTGACTGTTGGCAGATTGTCAGTATCCTCTTCTGATGCGGAATCGAGTCGTCGTTCTGGCGATTGCTTGTCTTGGGCGGCCGCTGGGGGCTCAAGCTCGAGGGATGGCACAGGAATCGGACTCGGAGGCTGGATAGAGGGATCGACGTACGCTTAGCGCGGAAGAACTCGCCAGAGATGTTGAGAGCCTCGCAGCGGACGACAACGATCTTCTGACCGCTGAGGAGCTGCTTGGCGACAATGCTGGCAAGACGGCCAAGGAGGTGACCCTTGCCGTCAATGACAACCTGGAGAAGCAAGACCGTTAGCATCATCATCCACAAGAGGGTTGCCAGCTCCGCATGTCTTCCTCCCGTCACCGATGTCTGTGTCGTGCATCTGCCTGGGGGAAGGGAAGCGAAGAGGGCTCGCGAGAAGTAATAGCAGCATCGATTGCCGCCAGCGCAAACAGAGAAACGCAAAGTCGTGTCGATATTTCCAGTGTTCATTCCCAAGCTCTTCCTGCTGCATTGCCATCTGCGCTGGCGCCCGTCTTGCTCTCTCTGTGCGTGTGCATCCTCCTCACTCTCTTCCACTCCCCTGCCAGGGCACTCCACAGACATTCGGATCCAGGGCGAAAGGACATGTGCGGTAACGGTGCATCCAAACTGGTGAATACTCACAACCGACTCGAAGGACGACATCGTTTCGGATTCTTTTCGGGGGGTATGGAAAAGAAATAGAAAGAAGGAACGATGAAAGAAAAGAAAACACACAAATTTCCTCCGACCTCGAAGCGGCGAAAGAAATCTGGCTGGCTGTGTGTTTGCTTTGGTTTGGCTGGGTTAGTCGTTCCCTGGGAGGGTTGTGGAGGGAAGTGGTCGCGATACCAAGGAGCGGAAGAAAATCGCTGTGCCCGCTTGCCCGATTGGGCATGGGCTGGTTCCGGGGCAGGCGAGGAAGGGCTCACTGGTCGGTGGTGCTTAGGGCTGCGAGACCTAGAGGCTTTGCCGAGAATCTGCCGAGCTTATCTTTGTGGCGCGCAGTTGGATGCACGTGATGACAAAGCAAGTGCCGTTGGTGTGAATGATGCAGTGGCGAAGATAAGCAGGTACACCTGCCTAAGGTACGTACCATTGCATCATTGGGTCTTGTCGGTGCATTGTCGAGCGATGCTGGTGTAAGGTATTGCATGCGAAGGACAGAGATGGGTCATGTAGAACAAGGATCACAGAGGATTCTTAAAACAGTACCTAGATCGGCTCAAGGGTACCAGGACTTACCCGGATGATTCTCATGATATTGAAAGGACTCGCAACGGCAACTCGTCTTGAACCTCGTATTGTACCGCAGACAGCAACTCGAAGTTGTACGCCATGCATCCATCGTCAATCTATCAAAACATGCCCTTCTACTCGTATATGTCTACAGGGCATCTCCATCCCCCCGTAATATGCGACAGGAGTGGACGCATCTTGTCTAGTAGTATCATGTAGGTAAGAAACATGCAAATGCGTGCAGAAAACGGTCTATATCGCCCATGGACCCAGCTGCGCTTCGAAATCGCCGTCCCAGCTCACAATCTGCCCTTCGTCGCTTTTGTAAACCGTGCCTCCCAGTAGAAAGTCCCTGCCCAGTCTTTTCTTATGATATAGATGTTTCAACGAAGATAGAACGAGAGAAGTGATGTGCAGTGTAGTAATTGAACACGGCCCAAGTAAGATGCATAGGTTGAAGCCCCAGACCAAAAGGATCACAGTGAAAGAGGAAAAAAAAAGAAAAAAGAAAATGGGTTATGTGCCAAAGCTCATGAGGCTTTAGCAGTATCCAGACGCTTGAGAACTTCTTGAACGCGACGAACGAGGTCTTTTCGCCTCTGTCGAATCTCATCAACGCCCTCGGTCTCGACACCATCCAGTTTCAGAATGATTTGCTGCATGACAGATTCAGACAGCTTTCGGTGCTCCTCGTCTCGCTTCTTTGCATCCTTCGGGGGCGCCTCGATGTAGTCCAGGCACAGCGGCAGCCAATTGGTATGGAACTCGTCAGAGATGTCGTCCAGCTTCTTCATCGCCGCGTTGACAACGGTGGGCGAAGGCGCATTGGCAGCATCGGCGTTTGAGCCACTGTCGACGGGACTGGTGGGGGAAGCGGGCTCGTTCTTGTCCGACTTTTTCTTGCTGCTCCTCTTCTTCTTGCGGGATCGCGAGGACTTTGTGTCATTTCGAGGCTCGTCCACGATGATCATGTCGTCCTCGGATCGACCGCTGTTGTCGTCCTCAACGTCGGGAATGACGGCCATCAGCTCGCTCTTGTTCTTGACTCCGTAGTCTCGAACGGGGGCTGACGACTCCTTGAGCTGCTTGCCCTTATAAAGCAGCTTGATGCGGCGCGTCGTACGTGACGGCAGATCCATCAGGAGCCCAATGCGCTCCCGCACATCCTTGACGTATAGCTTGCCATCACCGATCGAATACGCAGGGAAGTGAGCCGGATACGTGACGCCCTTGCTCTTGATGAGGAGGATGTCGTCCTCGGGCTCTGAAGGTCCCCTGGAGCGTGGTCGGGGGTAGTAGCGGGTGTCGGTATATTCGACGCGGGGATCGTCTAGATCCTGGGCCGTGATGTAGCTAAAGTCTTCGTTTGTGACGTCGGGAACGCCGCCGGACGAGGCGCCGAAGCTCTGCTCACGGTTGAGCGACCAGCCGTACCGCGACATGGTAATGGGAAGGGCCACGAGGGCGGCAAGGCCACTGTAGACAACGGTGGGCGGGACGCCCAGGGTCCCGGAGATGAATTCGCTCGACTCCTGGAGGGCGGCGGAGAGGTTGGTGATGGTGCCGTTGAGGTAGTTGGCGATGATGTGTTGCAAGGCACCGGACGATGCCACGATGGGCTGGGAGGAATCCACCTTGGCGTCTTGGGTATCAAGGTGGCCCTGGCTGAGGACACCTTACCGGCCGGAGAAAGGGAAGAAGCGAAGGGACGACGAAGAAGAAGAAAAAGAAGTAGGAGAAGGCTGCCTGCCTGTTCTTAAGAGCAACCCTCCCTCTATCACTGGCGCTGGCGCGTGTGGTTTTTTCCTCGCAGCAGAGTGAAGAAATGATCGCGGGGTCGTGGGGGGGTGGCCAGCAAGGCTGAGCGAAACGGCTTCTGCCCCGGGGCCGGCTGGCGAATGATCTCGAGCGAGGCTTAGCTTCACGCTGGGTCGACTCGGACCAGGCGATGGAGAAGGCAGGCGAATTGCCCACAGAAAGCGGCGATCCACGGCGCCGGCCGGAGGAACGAGCGTCTGGCAGTGGTTCTCTGGGTGTCTCTGACGTGGAATCGACGTGATTGAGGCGCAGCTGGGGGTGGCCGAGGGCAGCAGCTTGTTCGTCGTTTGTCGCGGCCTGAGCCCGTTCAATGCGTCCAGACGGCGGTCGAATCACGGAGTTGGCGACTGTGGCTGGTGACGCGCAGAGGCTGGCTGAATCCGGGCAAGGCCAGGCTGTTGACTCGAGCCAGCGATGCCGACGCGGACGAGGAGGATTCGAGGGACGGATGGATGCAGAGAAACGTGTTTGGACGAGAATTATGGAGATCCGAGCGTGAGGTTGCTGGCGACTGTCTGACAGCTGGGTTTCTTCTCTCTAGCGCGGCTGGATGGCGGGTGATGGGGGAACAGGCGGGGCCGCAGGGGCCTGAAGGAGCGGGTTAGCGGGCTCAGAGCGCTGAAGCATCTCAACTGGATAAGGTACAAACATCAAATGGAACTAGACCTGTGGCTGGACCTCGGTCTTACATAGAGATGAGACCATGCAAAGCGGCGTCATTGTCCTTGTTTGTGCAATTTGACACTATAGATGAATTCAATCTTTCAGGGACAATGAAAGCATCTTTGCCCTGCAGAGCTACAAAGAGGCACATGAGACAGCCCATCGCCCTGGATACCCAACTTGTATCGACAGTTCGCAGCAGCCGAAACTGCTATCCGAATCGTCCATCTGAATCAAGGCCCGCCCCCCTTGTCTTGCCTGCCACCAACTCAATCGCAACCAAAGACACACAATTGACCCTGAACCCCATGTCCATCTAGACTCAAAGGGGTCAAAGAGGCATAGCCCTCCCCAGCTTCCCCGCGAAACAACCTCGCGATTGTGGTACTACTAGTAGTTGTAATAGCTTGTGGGCAAATAAAGCCCCTGTCACGAACTTGGTGATTCCAGTCCGCGGGCAATTACATGTAGACGCACCTCGATCTGCCGTTCATTGATTCCGTGGCACCTCGAGATAGACTGCACCAGTGACAACCAACCGGTTCTGCACATACATACCTAGTACTCAATCCAAACAGTTACTAGTGGCAGCAATGAGCCTGAAATGTGATCACTGTGTCGATCCTATAGCCTCTGCTTGGAACGGGGCTCAGACTATCGCCAAGTCTCCGGTTGCATACGGAGGTGCCACCCTCGATACAACTCCCCGTTGGTGCTCCTCCTCCGTAGTATCCAACATCTCAAGTCACCCAAATCAGGTGTGTAGGTATGAGAGGCCACGGGGCATTCAAGGGTATTTCAAAGCGTGAAGGGGTTTCCGCACCAGCACCCTTCGGGGCCCGAGATACTATTCAACGAGGCTCTGCTCAACGAGGGCTTCATCCGGACTGCTTCAGTAACTGCTATGTGCTGTGTAGCTGGCACAACTACTAGGTAGGCATCTGGTTGGCTGAACAGGCGTGCATTAGCACACATTGGTAGCAGGGACAAAGACCCCTCGTGTGCTATTGTTGCCGATTGCAGGCAAGGACCCTGGCATAGGGTTGCGATGGGATGCGCGGGAGCGGGCCGCGATTGGCAAAGGGGTCCTTTTGAAGCCTGCGTCTCCGATGGGACTGCCAGGAGACGGGAATGGCTATATAAAGAGCTCTCTGTAGCAGCTGTTGAACGAGATGTCCATCGACAAGATCTTGCAACTTACCGCTTCCGTTCAACTTGACAACCTCCAAGATGGCAGTCATCTCGAAGCCAGTAATTGACATTACGGTCTGTACCGCACAACGTCAACTTACACCAGGGGATCAAGTGACACTGACATCTTCTCCAGTCATATAAAGGCAACATCATCAACGGCCAATTCGTCCCAACAGCCAAAACCCGACACTCCATAGACCCAGCCACGGAAGAGCCTCTCCCCCCCGCCCCCCTCGCCACAAAACAAGACCTCGATGCGGCTGTCAAGCACGCCCACGAGGCCTTCAAGACATGGTCTCAAACGACATTCGACCACCGAGCCCAGCTGATGCTCCAGTACGCAGACGCCATCGAGGCCAACCGCGCGGACCTCGAAAAGCTCAACACAATGGAGTCCGGCAAGCCCCTGCTCGTGTCAAAGACGGAGTTTGACTTCACCATCCGCTGGCTCCGCACCTTCGCCACGATGCAGCTCAAGGACGAGGTGATCGAGGACGACGACGAGCGCACCGTCTACGGCACGTACCGCCCGCTGGGCGTCTGCGGCGCCATCGTGCCCTGGAACTGGCCCGTCCTGCTCGGCCTGGGCAAGATCGGGCCGGCGCTCATGACGGGCAACGCCGTCATCATGAAGCCGTCGCCGTACACGCCGTACACGGACCTCAAGCTGTGCGAGCTGAGCATGGCCATCTTCCCGCCGGGCGTCTTCCAGGCGCTGAGCGGCGACGACGCGCTGGGTCCGTGGATGACGGAGCATCCGGACATCAACCTCATTACCTTTACGGGGTCCGTCCGCACGGGCAAGCTGGTTGCTGCGAGCTGTGCCAAGACGCTGAAGAGGTGCATTCTCGAGCTGGGGGGCAACGATGCGCTCATCGTGTGCGAGGATGTCGATATCGCCAAGTGCCTGCCCAAGATTGCGACCATGACGTTTATCAACTCGGGGCAGATTTGCATGCTGGCGAAGCGCATCTATGTGCACGAAGCCATATACGACGAGTTCAGGGCGGCCCTGGTTGAGTTTACCAAGGAGCACGTCAAGACGGGAGGTGGATTCGAGCCTGGCGTGCTGGTTGGGCCGATCCAGAACAAGATGCAGTGAGTTTGAGCACCATCTCGTCTCATGGGCTCTCGAGCAGTCTCTGACCGTCTCTTTAGATTCGACCTGGTCAAGGACATGTACCGAGACGTCAAGGACTCGGGCTACCAGCTCGCCCTCGACGGCCGCATCCTCGACTCGGGCAAGGGCTACTTTGCCGAGCCCACCATCGTCGACAACCCGCCCGACGACTCCCGCATCGTCGTCGAAGAGCCCTTTGGCCCGATTGTCCCGCTGCTCAAGTGGTCCTCGGACGACGAAGTGGTCGATCGCGCCAACTCGCTCAACCACGGGCTGGGCGCGTCGGTGTGGTGCAGGGACCTGGTGCGGGCGGAGAGGCTGGCGCGGAGGCTCAGCGCGGGAAGCGTCTGGGTGAACTCGCACTTTGACGTTGCGCCGAATGTGCCGTTTGGGGGAACCAAGGAGAGCGGGATTGGGAGGGAATGGGGGTTGGAGGGGTTCAAGCAGTTTACGGACCACGTGAGCCTGTGGGTGTGGAAGAAGATTTTTGATTAAAAGGATGCCATGAGTGAGCATGAGGCTATCCATCCTTGTTGGCTTGAGCTGACAAATTACTACAGTACATCGAAATGTGCCTTGGTAAAGATTGTTGGTAACATCGCATCTCGACCGAGTTCGACCGCCAATAGCCACAGCAGCGGTAGGTATCCCAGACACAATGCCGAATTATCTGCGCACGAGCCTCGACTTGCTGGTTCTTTGATTGTATCATCTGTACTCCATACCTATTCCAGATTGAACACGACGCAGATATTCGATACTTTCTACCTATCTACAATCAAGTACCTGTAAATCCGTAAAGTGCCCAATCTGCAAGATACCTTAGGTACCTTGTTGCATCCTGTCTCCTACATGCACGAGCACACATCAAGCATCTATGACTTCTTTCGCCTTGAAATATCAAGTATAAAAGACAGGAATCAACCGTCAACCCTCCCATCCAATCACAAGCCCGCCCTGGCACCACCATCGCCCTTTGGAATCACTTCTTCTCTCTCCCATTCTGCCTAGTCCGCTTCCCGATTAGCACCCTTGATTCCATCTTGACAAATCCCTGGGCTTTGATACAAGCTCAAGCCTCCACACGCCGCCTACCTAAGCATCCATGCCATCATCTTCGTCGCCCCTCCCGTAGTTGCTGACTGATGCCAGTGGCTTGAGTTTTTCCGCAGGGCAACTTCGTCATTTTGCCCACCTGTCGCATTATCGTACCCCGACATCATACTGCCGATTACAAAAAGTTGCATCTCACTACTGTACTTGGTACATAGCGCATCAATTGGAGATATATATTACTCGCACTCCCTTTTTTCTTTTCTAGCCACTTTCGATCCATTCATTCAAACTTTCACATCCATGAACTTTATTCGATCCTTCTTCACATCTGCAGTCAGACTCAGCCCCGAAGCAAGAATGGCCAACGTTAAGGAAGTCCAGCGCATCATTGACAACAACAATGTTGGTGCGTATTGCCTCTGTCTCTCTCTCTCTCTACAATCACAACCACCCAACAACTCGACAAATCATACTAACCATCCAATGCATAGTCGTCTTCTCCAAAACCTGGTGCCCTTACTGCAAAGCCACCAAGCAGACCCTCAACGACCTCAAGGCCCAGTACGAAGTCGTCGAGCTAGACAACCGAAGTTCGTCTCCTCTCTTTTTCCTCTGCTCCCCCCTTCATATATCTCTTTGCCGGCATGCTAACTTTGGGTCAACAGACGACGGCGACGAGCTCCAAGACGCCCTCCTCGAAATCAGCGGCCAGCGCTCCGTCCCCAACATCTTCTTCGGCAAGAAGCACATTGGCGGAAACTCGGACCTGCAGGCCCTCGCCAAGAGCGGCCAGCTCAAGGCGCGGCTGGAGGAGGTTGGTGCATTTGCGTAAGCGCTCGACTGAACAATAGAACGAAGAAGAAAATATAGAAACGAGGAGTGAAGAACCATGTGGCTGATGGTCGCCATGTCTGTCCTTGCCAGAAGAGAGGGACAATCAAAGATTTAGATGGAAGAGAGGGATAAACGAGGACAAAGATAGGACTTTTGCGTGACATGAAAGAGGCGCTTGATTGTGGTTTGGCGATGCCGTCCGGTCGAATAGAGATTGTGCTTGATGGGATTTCTGAATAGATGAAGAACAAATGTTGCACCACGAGTTCTTGGACTGTGCTGAGTTGACTTATTTGATCAGCATGCGGCCACCTTTCTTCCGCTACTGGCAAGGTAGTGTACAAGATATACTGTTACATGATGGCATGCCCCTCCATATACAGGGACAACAACCGTCTATACAACCTGCGATGCAACTGTTCCCACCGGCCTCTCCACAAACTCCATGACGCCCTCAATGATGCTCTCGCGCGCCGGTTCCGAAGCCACCTTGCTGCCAGCCAGATAGTTGAGCCACAGCAGCCGCGACAGCCTCTCATCCTCCACCTTGCCCAGCAACTCCATCTTGGACTCCTTGCCCCGGCTCGAGTTGAACATGACCGTCAGCGCGCCCTTTCCGTCCCGACACAGCAGCAGCTCCTGCTTCTTCGGCACCGAGCCGCGGTTGAAGAGTGCCTTGAACTCCTTCATGGCGGCGCCAAAGGACTCGTCATTGTACGCCTGGTTGCGCTGCGACCGCGCGGCAATGGACCGGACGAAGCCGTCGCGCAGGTGGTGGAAGTCGGTGTCTCGCACGGGCACGATGCGCAGCACGCTGCGGCAGTCGGAGTCCCTCAGCAGAGCATCCCACGTCTCCTCGCCTTCTGTCGCATCCCTCAGAGCCTTGCGCAATGCGTCCTTTTCAGACGGGATCAGCGTCGTGGCGGTCGGGTTGATCTTCTTGACCAGATACTGCTGCAGCTTCGCAATGTCCTGCGTCGCCACGTAGAAGCCCACCATGTACACCTGGATGCCGATAAACGTCACCGTCCGCACGCCCAAGCCCACAAGCGTGTACTCATTGCCCTGCTTGTCCGAAATGGTCGCCGCGATCGAGTCGTCTCCCTCCGCGGAAGACAGCTTGACTTCGATATTCCTCGGGAACGCGGGCACCACGCTATTTCCCGTCGGAACAATGACCCGTCCCTCCTCGTCGTGTACCACAATCTTCCTCTTCTCCCCCGCTTCGGTCTTGAACGTCTCTTTGGGAATTGGCGGGGCGTCGCATTTCACGGCTGCCTTTTCCTTTTGCTTCTCGGCCTGTTGCGCCAAAGCCTTTTTCAGCTTCCACGCCGTGTAGATGAACGAGATAATGCCGGCCGTGGCGCCCGCGGCGAGGAAAATGGTGCGATGGCGCTCGTAGTCGCGGCGCTGCGAGTTGAGCTTGTTGAGGTCCAAGTCCTGGGAGACGCGCGAGGTGCCTTTGCCGGAGAAGAGGCTTCGGCGGAGGCACTGCTGGCAGCGGGGGGAGGACCGGAGCACCGGCCGGAGGTGCGTTGGACGGAGCATGGCGGATGTATTTGATGAGTTTAAGAGGAATTGAGAATCAATCACCGCATTGGGCTGTGGGATGGGCAGAGCGAGGCCGTACAGCTGGTTGGAGAAGCTGTAAGTGGCATGATGCTGATGCTGGTTGACAATGGGAAGACTGGATGGAATAAGTGCCCCACGTGATGTGACATCATGCAGCACATACCCAAAAACATCCGAGGCTACCCTGGAGGGCAGCCAGCTGAGTAGATTTGCTGATGAATGGAGCTTGAATCGCGCGTTGCTTGTACCTACCTAGGTACATAGTTACAGCATATTATTGATGCATGATATTGGTAGCTACCAAGAAAGCAGGCGATCTCGCAAGGTGGAAGTGAAAAATGAGGTTGTCGTGGTGGGTGGTTGTTCAAAGAGTGCCCCTCTCATACAACTAAACAACATCATGATTCTTTGTCAATGAGCTTGCCAGTTGCATACCCATAAGCCAAAGTCAATATAGAAGAAAAATAAGAACACTCATCTGAGTTTTGCACGTCTAGTAATTCTGCCTTCTCAACTGCTTGGTAATACACACCAATCGCCCAACAGGCTTTTGCCTAGGTCAACGGGGTAGCTTATCAGAAACCCTGGCCTTATGATCAGAACGCATCTATGAAAACGACACCTGTAGCCATGAAGTGCTACACATCGAAAGAAAAACCAATACTTCCCGTCTCTACGATATGATCAAAAGGGGAATGTCCCGTTCAATGTCATCCCCCAATCACCACCTTGCGTGTGTAGCAGTTCGAGCCACTCCAACAGACCCGCCAATGAGCGAGATGCACACTGCATGAACCATATCGCGCCTGCATCACGCCCGGAATCCAACAGTCATCTGCTCAATCACCACAAAGAATCTTTGAATTTGTTTCAATATCACAGGTTTCATAATCTACACCATATCCAATAGTACAAGACCCTCCATCACATATACCACCAACATTGCCCAGTTTTCGCTGGTTCTCACGGCCCGGGCCGCATCTCTTATCGATAACACGACCGCTTTACCGGGCTAGGTCATCTCAGCACGCTGATTGGCCGCCTTCTCTACCGCCAATTGCCTCCACCAAAATTATTTCCCCCCCAGCAATGCACGACATGGCTTTTACACGATTTCCAATGCGCTCACCTTCTCGCTCCTTGCCATCTTTCCTTCTCGCCTGCAAGTTCAGGCGCGATCTCTGAGCTGGTATCTTCACTCCTACTAATCAGAGATATTTCCATCTTTGTTCTTCTTCTCCTGGGCGCGAGAACGGTCGCGGGGATATCCACTCCTTTTCTGTTTGTTTGTTTGTTTGCTTCTCCGCATCGTCAGTCGTTCAGTTTGCAATGTCCACTTCGCTTCCCGGGCTTCACATCAGCAGAAAGATACCCTGGAATGAGCCAGTAGAGACATTTGTGAGTCTCTATCTCTCCTATCAATCATCACAGCAAATATCCGACTCATCTACTAACGCGCAAGACTCGTCCTGATAGCAATTTCGATTCCGTTCCCGTCACATCACAGCCATCGGCCAGGCAGCCGACAACTACCATCCCAATGTCCGCCGCTTAAAAATCCAGCCGACGCTCCTCGATCAAGTCATCAAAGCCATTCTTTGCCTTTTCCCCAAGTTTGCGCAAGCCTACTTGCGGCGATGGTTCCCTGAGTGGTACCTCCCGTCGGCCATCGTCCTCAAGTCCCAGAAGCCCGACTGGGAAGAGGAATTTGATAACGAGCTGGCAAACTACCGGAGCCTGCAGTCGCTCCAGGGAACCGTCATCCCGCGGCACTTTGGCGTTGTGCAATTTGACGGCGTGCGGAGCCACCTCATGGCCGACGTCGGCGGGGTGTGCATTCCGTACACGACGGAGACGGCCGAGGAGGCGTATGCCTATATCCGCAAGCGACTGCACGAGTCTCTTACGGCGCTTGCCTCAAGGGGCTTTGTGCAGGACGACGTGAAGCTCGACAACTTTCACGTCGTGGGCAACAGAGTCGTCGTGGTGGATTTGGAGCGCGTGGAGAGAGGCAGGAGCCTCGACGAGATGTCCAAATTTGTCGAGTCGAGCATACAGATTCTGATGCAGCAGTACCGGAATTACTTGGAGAACCTGAGAGCGAGATACCCTTGATGCCTGTTATACGACGAAAATGCTGGTTATACGACGAAAAGAATGCATATATAGAGTGGCGTTTGTTCTTCACAACGCAAGATGATGAGATATGATGACATATTGGCGATTACTACATACATATACACATATATTTCCGCTGGGTACCTACGACTCTTGCGGCCACATCTAGTTCAGCAACGTCTCTATTGGCTTGAACTGTGAGACTGTTCTCTCTCCAGAAAGTTGTGATGTAGCATGTGTAGGTAGGTATAGGTAAGGCACTGCTAGATTGACGTATACCAGGTAGTACCTAAGGTAGGTCACGCACTGCAATAGGTAGTGAGCCCAGGCCACACAAGGCAATCCCTGCCACCCCACAATCCAACTTGACACCTTCAACAGACAGCTGTTGGTTCTGCATCTCCAACTCCGTCGAAGAATATCTGCAGCAATCAACCGATCTTCACAGACACCTTCCCGACGGGTAAATACTCGGATTCGCCCAGATCAACGGCCCCAGCATCAGCACTTGCAAACCTTGGCGAATGTCGATCAACGCCCAAGGTACTTCAGATGAAGGTCACATCGGCCTCTGATTTATGGAGAAAAACCAGCATGCAGTCTCGCAGGCTTCGTTCCAACGGCGCTCCCCCGCATCTGTCCCGCTTGCTCCAATGACCTCATGCAAGGGCTGGGGCCTGGCGAGTCTCGGAGGAGCTGGAGACGATGGCATTGGTGCGCAAAAGGAGAGACAATGGAGTCGATGCTGTTGGCTGGAGCGGATGTGGAGGAAAGAAGCACAAAAGTAGGCATTTGAAGAAGCTTGAAGAAGGCTGGGGATAGACATGGCTGGTTCCGTGGTGGAACATTCTTTCCCGGCAATCCGCTGACTGGCTGGAGATGCCTGCCTATGTGATAGTCCCAATCAAAGTGTGACAAGCACGAACACGAGAGGACCCGTGTGGGAGGAGCCCGAGCAGAGATCCATCGTGCCATTGACCGACTCGAAGGGAAGGAGAGCCGCGGATCAGTAACCGGGGGACTGGGACGCATCTCAGGGCGGGTGTGACGAGGGACGAGTATAAGATGGCCGTGCCTGACGCTCACCCTCTGCTGTGAAGCTCCCAAGGCGGTGACCCTCGCAGCACAGTTGGCCCCGGACTCTGTGGTGGCCAATCTTCACGATGCTCGGCGCTCCCTCTCCTAGAAGGCTGGCGGACGTCCTCGCCGTGACCGCGGGACTGGTGGCCTCTGTTAGGGCAGCAAGTCGTGAGTCCACCATCTACAATTGCTCTCCAGCTTCTCCAGCTCCCACACTGACACCCATGGACAGCCATCTCCGTGTCTGGCAAGTCGTTTGCCCTCAACGGCGACAACGTCTCGTACCGCTTCCACGTCGACGACGACTCTAAGGACCTCATCGGCGACCACTTTGGCGGCCCTGCCACGGAAGATGGCGTCTTCCCCCCCATCATCGGCCCCATCCAGGGCTGGGTCGACCTCATCGGCCGGCAGCGGCGCGAGTTCCCCGACCTGGGCCGCGGCGACTTTCGCACGCCCGCGGTGCACATCCGGCAGGCGGCGGGCTACACGGTCAGCGACTTCCAGTACAAGTCGCACCGCGTCGTCGAGGGCAAGCCGGCGCTGCGCGGCCTGCCGTCGACGTTTGGCGACGCCGGCGATGTGTCGACTCTGGTCGTGCACATGTATGATAACTACAGCTCCGTGGCCGCCGACCTGACCTACTCCATCTTCCCCAAATACGACGCCATTGTGCGCAGCGTCAACATCACCAACATGGGCAAGGGTAACATCACCATTGAGAAGCTCGCCAGCTTGAGCGTCGATCTGCCGTATGAGGACTTTGACATGCTGGAGCTCAAGGGTGACTGGGCTCGCGAGGGAAAGCGGCTGCGTCGCAAGGTTGACTACGGCTCTCAGGGGTAAGACGTGGCTGCACGAAGGTCCTGGAGGAGCCATCTAATACTAACTTGTCATCTGTCCTCATGTAGTTTCGGGAGCACGACTGGCTATTCTTCCCATCTCCACAACCCCTTCTTCTCGCTCATCACGCCTACGACGACCGAGTCCCAAGGAGAGGCATGGGGCTTCTCCCTTGTGTACACTGGCTCCTTCTCCGTCGAGGTCGAAAAGGGTTCGCAGGGTCTCACGCGAGCCGCCATTGGCGTCAACCCCTATCAACTGTCGTGGCCGTTGGGCCCTGGCGAGACCTTCAGCAGCCCCGAGGCGGTTGCCGTCTTCTCTACCACTGGCGTTGGCGGAATGTCGCGAAAGTTCCACAACCTGTACCGCAAGCATCTGATCAAGAGCAAATTCGCGACGCAGATGCACCCCGTCTTGCTCAACAGCTGGGAGGGCCTCGGCTTCGACTACAACGACACCACCATTCTGCATCTGGCGCAGGAGTCTGCCGATCTCGGCATCAAGCTGTTTGTGCTGGATGATGGCTGGTTTGGCGTCAAGCATCCTCGAGTTAGTGACAATGCTGGCCTGGGCGACTGGGAGGCGAACCCCAAGAGGTTCCCGCAGGGCCTGCCAGACTTCATTAGCGACGTGACAAAGCTCAAGGTGGCCAACTCCTCTGATCATCTGCAGTTTGGCCTCTGGTTCGAGCCTGAAATGGTCAACCCCAACTCAACCCTATACATGGAACACCCGGACTGGGCGATTCACGCCGGGTCGTACCCTCGTACCTTGACGAGGAACCAGCTGGTGCTCAACGTCGCTCTCCCAGAGGTGCAGGATTTCATCATTGAGTCGCTGTCCAACATTCTGAGCAACGCCAGCATTTCGTACGTCAAGTGGGACAACAACCGCGGCATCCACGAGGCCCCTTACCCCGGGCTCGACTACGCCTACATGCTGGGCCTGTACCGCGTCTTTGACACGCTGTCGTCAAAGTTCCCCAATGTTCGCTGGGAGGGTTGCGCGTCTGGCGGCGGCCGCTTCGATCCCGGCGTGCTGCAGTACTTTCCTCACATCTGGACGTCTGACGACACGGATGCCGTGGAGCGCATTGCGATCCAGTTTGGCACGTCGCTCGTGTATCCGCCGTCGGCCATGGGAGCCCACGTCTCTGCCGTACCGAACGGCCAGACGCAGCGCACGACGTCGATTGCCTTCCGCGCCCACGTTGCCATGATGGGAGGTTCGTTTGGCTTCGAGCTCAACCCTGCGGAGATGCCGGAGGACGACAAGGCGCAGATCCCGGGCATCATTGCGCTGGCGGAAAAGGTGAACCCCATTGTTGTCAAGGGCGACATGTGGCGGCTGAGCCTGCCGGAGGAGTCCAACTGGCCGGCGGCGCTCTTCATCTCGCAGGACGGCAGCCAGGCGGTGCTGTTCTACTTCCAGATCCGGGCCAACATCAACAACGCGTGGCCGGTGCTGCGGCTGCAGGGCCTGGATGCGTCGGCCAAGTACAAGATTGACGGCAACCAGACGTTCTCGGGGGCGACGCTGATGAACATCGGGCTGCAGTATCAGTTCAATGGGGACTATGACAGCAAGGTGGTGTTTTTGGAGAAGCAGACATGAGCTGATTTTGTGAACCCATCACCATGACCTAGATGACCTACAGGCTTTGTTTGATGCATCGTTTCTTCAGTAGCACTTATGTATGGTAGCTTAGCATTCAGTAGTTAATACACAGCAGGCGTTTTCTGACTGCATAGTGAGCTCATGCCCGAGTTGATGCTATGTTGTGTTGAGTTGAGAAGAGTCATCATGCGGTAAGGCAAGGCACTGATGTAAGGGCCGTGAGCTTGGGCAGCGATTGAAGCATGTGATGGCGGGTACAAGGGTCCATGTACCTTACTTTGGAGACCAACAAGATCAGGCTCTGTTACCTTCCAAGGTTATGGTTGGGATTTGGCATTATCCCAAAATCATCTGCCTAATGACTTTACGAAGTTTGATAAGTGTAGCAAGAGTTAAAGACAAATTCGGTGAAAATATGGCGAAGACGCTGTAGTGGAAGAGATCATGCGCCCCAAGTGAGTGAGTGCACGTTGATTCGCTTTTGGGCTGTAGTAGGAGGTCAGGTACTTGTAGGTACTTGCACATGCGCAGGTTTGCAAGTGTGATTGGGATCAGCTGCATGCAGTGGCTTCATTTTCTTTGTGACAGATGCGGGCGTCACGTGCGGTGATATAATGAGTTGCTGAGAGTCTAGAGGTTCGGTTGATTCGCTGTGATTTTGTGGCTTAAGGGGGGAGATGAGGAGGTAGTCTGCACTCTTGTTGAGTGTAAGGTACCTAGGTCGTAGTTGAAGTTGTACCGGGTTCTGCAGATGGAGTACCAGGTAGTAGGTAGGTACGAGACTGATGTTGAATCTGGACTGATTCGAGGTAGGACATTGCTTGCGGGATGACACAGGATGGTGGAAGAGGCCTGTATCTTGACTTGGGGCATTAAAGACGCTGCTGCTCGTGATCTAGGCCGGCAACCCGCGGTGAAGCACGGTTGAGGCAGAAATTGGATGAGCCTTGGACAAAACAAGAGGAAAAGAAAGCGATGATGAGCTGCCGGCAAACTGCCTTGGTGCAATGACCTGGCGGCAGTTGTGCTACCTATAAACACTTGGAGTCATCCTTGCCTCCTTCTGGTCTTTGATCCCTGTTTGCATGATGTGGCTTTCGATATGGTTCAGCAGAGAAAGGTAGAAAAGGAGGGGAAACTCAGAGACAGGACGGGTTGAAGTGAGGGGGAAGGCTGTGATGCTATCCCATCCAGGCCGTAGTCTGTTGCCATTTGGTCCTAGTACTGCCACCTTATCTGGTAGAGGTACTTGTGGCTTTGAGGTGACCACTCGGACGATGCGTTTCGACATTTGTTTGCGACGGAATCGCCAGTCCAAGCCTTTGGTTGCGATGTTCAGCTGCTTGCAAGCCTCTCGACGCATGGAGTTCAGGTTGAGCTTATGCCGTGTTCTTAGTAAGGCGCATCAATACAGCCGATTCCAGCGTGCTTCAGGGCCCATCCAGGTTCCAGCGCTGCTCCAGCGGCTAGTGGCGCCCGCTAGCGCCCAGTTCCAGCGCCCTCCAGCGCCTGCAGGACGCCAGCGGTGGTGCTAGCCTTGGGCTCCCGCCTGCTCCGCTTTCTGCTGCTGCGCTGACCACTGCCAGGCCATCGCCAGCCTCAACAAACATCCAATGCCCTCAACTCCGTAACCCTACAACCCATCATCTGCCGCCTCTGGTCCAGACCTGCAGCCTCCCCCTTCCAGCATCCAGGCCTATTGTTTTCTCACCCCCGGTCCGGCCTCAGTCCAGCCCCAGCCTGCCAGTTTGTCTGCGCCTCTGCTGAGTCCTTCTCCTGCTTCTGTCCCGCGCCAGCTTCGGCCTCTGCCTGTGTCTGCCGCCACCACCACCTGCGCTGTGCATACTCCGTACATACATACCTGCAGCTGGCATCCGGCATCTCTTCTGTACGCAACAAGCACCCGCCCGCACAGACACAAGAGACACAGGCACGGACGGACCAGACGGCCTCCAAGTCGTCCTGCGACGGAAACACGGCCCTCGAGCGGGAATCCCAGACCGACGTCATCCAGCCTCTTCCCCCGATCCGATCACAAACCAGCTGGCTGGCCTCGCCCTGCTGATTATCCGCCCGCTGAGACATCCAGACGCAAGCCTCCCAGTCGGTGTGCCCTGCCGCCCGTCTCTCGTGCCCAAGGAAGAGCCGACAGCCCGCCTGAGGAAGAAAAAAGGCCTTTGACGAACGGGACAGGACAAGACAACCAGCCCTTTCTCCCCTCGCAAGCCCCCTTTCGAAGGGTTTCCTCATTTCCACCGTCTGCTTGCTCCGTCCCCCAAGATTCATTCCTAAAAGAACCCTCGGCACGGCAGTCCCTGTGTGTTGCACCGTTATTTTGTTTTCTTCGTCGTTTCGTTTCTGTTTCGGCCTGTTTTGTCCTTGATAAAACACGAAAACGAGAACCGCCCGGATCGATCCCTGCCGCCCCCCCGATCGACCAGCCCCAAGGTGCTGCCTCTCAACAACCCGACGAGCCAATCTAACGAGCGCCATCTGCCGGAACACTCGAGGCTCTTTGCCCCTTGCCGCCAGTCCCTCGTTCGCACGGCTTCACACTTGAGCCCAACAAGCAGCCGCCCTCTGCCCGCTCCAGCACGCACAAACACCATGGCCGCAATGCCATCTGGCGCTGGCAGCTCAGCCCGGGAGGACTCTCGGTCCTCCTCATCGACAAACTCCCCTGCGCCGGCCGACAATGAAGAGTCCGACTTCTTCCTGGGTGCCAACGACTCCCAGTCCTCGCTCGGCGTCCCCAACTTCTCAGACATGCAGGTCGTCGACGACGCCTGCTGGCCGCCCGTCAACCGGCTGCCCAACGAGATCCTCATCGGCGTCTTCTCCAAGCTGAGCTCGACGGCCGACCTATACCACTGCATGCTCGTGTCCAAGCGCTGGGCTAGGAACGCTGTCGACTTGCTGTGGCACCGGCCTGCCTGCTCCAACTGGAAGAACCACCACAGCATCTGCCAGACGCTCGGCCTCGAGCACCCCTACTTCCAGTACCGCGACTTCATCAAGCGCCTCAACCTCGCCGCCCTCGCCGACAAGGTCAACGATGGAAGCGTCATGCCCCTCGCCGTCTGCTCCAGGGTCGAGCGCCTGACGCTGACCAACTGCCGCGGCCTGACCGACACGGGCCTCATTGCCCTCGTCGAGAACAGCTCGTCTCTGCTGGCCCTGGACATTTCCAACGACAAGCACATCACCGAGCGCTCCATCAACGCCATCGCCAAGCACTGCAAGCGCCTGCAGGGCCTTAACATCTCGGGCTGCGAGAACATTTCTAACGAGAGCATGCTCACCCTAGCCCAGAACTGTAGATATATCAAGAGGGTGAGTGTTTTTCTCGATGAACTAAGCCTTTCTCCTGGAGCCCAATGCTTTGATCTATTCTCGGGCCGTCTCAAGCTAACATTTGTCCTCGCAGCTCAAACTCAACGAGTGCATTCAACTGCGCGACAACGCCGTCCTTGCCTTTGCCGAGCACTGCCCCAACATTCTCGAAATCGACCTCCATCAGTGCGTCCAGATCGGAAACGGCCCCATCACGTCTCTGCTGGCCAAGGGTAACAGCCTTCGCGAGCTCAGGCTGGCCAACTGCGAGCTGATCGACGACGACGCCTTCCTCTCCCTGCCGCCGACCCAAGTCTACGAGCACCTGCGGATACTCGACCTGACGTCCTGCAGCCGGCTGACGGACGCTGCCGTGGCCAAGATTATCGATGCCGCTCCCCGTCTGCGAAATCTGCTCCTGTCCAAGTGCCGCAACATCACGGATGCCGCCATCCACTCCATTGCCAAGCTTGGCAAGAACCTGCACTATGTCCATCTCGGCCACTGCGGCCAGATCACCGACGAGGGCGTCATCCGCCTGGTGCGGAGCTGCAACCGCATCCGCTACATTGACCTGGGATGCTGCACGCTCCTCACGGATGTGTCCGTCCGATGCCTCGCTACTCTGCCCAAGCTGAAGCGCATAGGCTTGGTCAAGTGCAGTAACATTACCGACGAGTCCGTCTTTGCGCTTGCCGAGGCAGCTTATCGTCCGCGGGTGAGGAGAGATGCCAACGGAATGTTCTTGGGCGGCGAGTACTTTGCTCCCAGCCTGGAGCGTGTTCATCTCAGCTACTGCATTAACCTGACGCTCAAGGTATGGACGATCCAGATACACTCATATATCCAATTGTAAGGGACGAGCTAACGATAGCGGCAGAGCATCATGAGGCTCCTCAACTCGTGCCCTCGTCTCACGCATCTCAGCTTGACTGGCGTGGCGGCGTTCCAACGGGACGAGTTCCAGCCCTTTTGCAGGCAAGCGCCAGCTGGTGAGTTTTTGCTACACATGCACCGCTTCTTCCTCTAGCCGACGTACTGACAGAAGCAGAGTTTACGCAGCATCAGCGGGACGTCTTCTGCGTCTTCTCTGGAAACATGGTGTCCAAGTTCCGCGACTACCTGAACACGGCGCCACAGTTCGAAAGCATCAGAGACAGCTTCTTCTCACGGCACGCTTCCCGCTTGAGGGCCACGGTGATTCGTCGATCCGGCGGACTGCCTCCCATCCAGACGACCGAGGGCGAGGCTTTCGACGACGACATGGCCTTTGACGATAACGACTTTGAGGGCCTGGACGCCAGCGAAATGGTGGTCGATGCCCAGCCCCAGAACCTGCCCTTCCATGTGCAGGTCCCGCCAGCTCCCACACAGCCCAGCAACCAGGGGCCGCCGGTGCCGCCTCCGCTGGAGCCGCCGACCATCAACTCGTCGACCAACTTTTTGTCCAGCATGCTCAACCAGCCGTTTCCGCCAGCGCCAAACGCTTCAGGAAACTTCTTTGACGAATCTGCCATAGTCGTCAGGTCATTCCCGCAGTACGCTGTCCCCTTGAGCACGGACACGATTGCCGACACTTACGCCCATGGTTTCCAACATGCCAGCATCGCCGGCTTGTCACAACCCTCCGTCTCTGGACAGGGCAATTCGGGAGCCGCCGGTCCTTCGACAGGTGCCAGCACGGTGACGATTCATCAGCCGCCAAGCACGACGCCGGACCAGCAGCAAAGCGAAACTCACTAAAGCGTTTGAAGCATTCTCTGTACACGGGCTTGCAATAGGCAGCGTCCTTGATTTGATTGATGACAGGCATATCGGATAGATGGGAGGCGGATGGTGCGGAAGAGGCCTCTTAATGGAAGCGAGGCCTCGCCCTCCGGCCCCCCTCGGTCAAATGCATATCTATTCGCGGCAACTTTGTTTTACGATGCATGGGAAATAGTGTTATATATTTATCGCAGCGCAGCCAAGGAGTTTGCATCGGCGTGCATGGTATAGGTTCACTGGGACAAAATTGGGCATGAATCGGCATTTCATCCAAGCCACCACATGCCCCAAGATGGAAGCATCGAGATCCGAGGCGATTGCGATGCTTGTTTCGAGGTATGCAGCCGCTTTTCGAAGTTGGCGGTCCGTATGGCTCTGAGACGACCACAACGATGGCTCGATGCGGGAAGACGACTGGGCGGGATTCTGTTTTTTTAAACTCGTTTCATTGTGTTTTGGTATGATTGTTGACACTGGCACTGACTTGGCCTGCCTGCACGAGAAGATTACACCAATGCTGTGATCTGTTCGCATCAGAAGCTCTGGAAGTGTCGAGTGTTTGGTATGAGAAAAGAAGGATGTTATAACATACCTACGTTATGTGACCTACTGTCTCTGGTGTAGCATCAGGTTTAGGAGGCAATTACAGAGTTGCTGCTTTTCGAAGTACTCTCTTCTCTTTTCTTTTCCAATCAGATGGGAGGCACATTAGGTATACGCATAGAGGTAGAGAAGAGATGTCTGCATTGTACTCTGCGTGGCATGTCCATACGTTCGTACGTGAACTTATAAGAGGTCCGAGTGATGTTGCAGGAATATTTTTGGTAAGGGGATGGATAGCATGGAGTGGCGATTTGGTGGGGGCAGGGTTGGGAGAGATGCTAGGATGGTAGCGTGGGCTGGAAAAGCAAAGGGATGATTGAATTATTCTTCTTGAGACTGATGTATGAGGTGTTGTTGAGGTGTTGTTGAGGTGTTGTGAGGTGTTGTGAGGTGTTGTGAGGTGTTGTGAGGTGTTGTGAGGTGTTGTGAGGTGTTGTGAGGTGTTGTGAGGTGTTGTGAGGTGTTGTGAGGTGTTGTGAGGTGTTGTGAGGTGTTGTGAGGTGTTGTGAGGTGTTGTGAGGTGTCGTGAGGTGTCGTGAGGTGTCGTGAGGTGTCGTGAGGTGTCGTGAGTTCATAAATCAGGAGACAGCGAGGTGTAGATCTTTATGGCTTATAAGATGTGAGATGGCCTTGTGAGAGAAGAGCACAGGGAGGAAAGGAGGTTATAAGAGAGCATCTGGTACTATTATTAATATTCGACAATCGTTGGTCTCTACAGGTTCAAGCCAGTAAGTGGTTTAGCATAGATATATGTAACATGGCATTGTATTATATAGACTTAATCTAGCAATTGGTATCAATAAACGGGACCCTCCCTCCAAACCGAATACACCAGTACTAAAAAACCACAATTATATACTTCCAAGCAGCTCTCCCCCTTCTCTCCTTCTCCAACACCCAAAGCAAGAAAAAGGCAAAAGACTACATCCGAAAAAGAGACTCCATCTAAACAGGCATCTTCTCGGCAGAATGCTTCTCCGCCGTCGAACTGCTACTGCTCAGCACGGCCGGCGTCGACGCAAGCGGCACGCCGTCGGTAACGTGCCTCGTCAGCTCGACGTAGTCGTACGCGAACTCGCCCAGCTGGCAGTCGTCCACACCGACCTCTTCGTCCTCGGCGCTGACGCGCAGGGACAGGCCCGGAATGAGGTTCATGAGGAAGAGGATGATGCAGGAGAGGGTAAAGGACCAGCCGAAGGCGGCGCAGATGCCGGCGATTTGGTTGCCGAGCTGGACCCAGTGGTGCTGGATCCAGCCGATGTGGGGGACGGTGCTGCCGTCGAGGGAGGCGATGGTGGAGCTGGCATTCGAACATCATGTTAGCTTGAGTGATCTTTATTTTGTGTTTGAAAAGGTTGAGAGAGAGAGAGAGAGAGAGAGTGTGTGTGTGTGTGTTTAGAAGGGATGGGGGAATGAGGGGATGGATTGGACTTACGTTCCAAAGATGCCCGTCATGATGTTGCCCGCCATACCGCCGATGCCGTGAACCGCAAAGATATCCAGCGCGTCGTCGACGCCAATGAGGAACTTGAGCTTGGTGGCAAAGTTGCAGCAGATGGAGCCCACGATGCCAATGATGAGGCCTCCCCAGGGCGTGACATAACCAGAGGCGGGCGTGATGGCGACCAGGCCGGCGATGGCGCCGGAGCAGAAGCCAATGGTGCTCCATTTCCTCTCGAGCCGGTAATCCAGCAGGACCCAAGTGACGCCGCCCACGGACGCAGCAAGGTTCGTCACGAAGCAGGCCATGACGGCGCGGATGTTCATGCCCAGCGCGGACCCGCCGTTGAAGCCGAACCAGCCGACCCAGAGGAAGACGGTGCCGACGACGACGTTTGTGACGCTGTGCGGGCGGTACGGCAGCCCGTTGTTCTTGCTGTAGCCGGTGCGCTTGCCGAGCATGATGCTGTAGGCGAGGGCGCAGGTGCCCGAGGCGATGTGAACGGGGCCGCCGCCGGCGAAGTCGTACGACGGCAGCTTGAAGAGCCAGCCGTTGCTGTTCCAGGTCCAGTAGGCGATGGGGTCGTAGACGACGGTCGACCAGATGAACATGAAGACGATGGCGGGGAGCATGCGGCCGCGGTCGGCGACGGCGCCAATGGCCAGGGCGGGACTGTTTGGGGTGTTGTGTAAGTAAGTAAGTAAAGTCTTTGTGTTCTCAGAGGAGAAAGGGGGTCAAGACGAGATGATGGAGTAGTATGCTGATGTTAGAGGAAGGACTCACGTTATGGCGGCAAACATGCCCTGGTACAGGCAAAACAGAATGTCGGGAATGTTGGACGAGCCGTTGGGCTGGGCCAGCGTCTTCATCAGGCCAAACTGCGTCAGGTCGCCCAGGAAGGCGTTGCCGGTGCGCGAAAAGGTCAGCGAGTAGCCCCAGAAGAACCACTGGAAGCTGATGACGCCGACCGAGACCATGGACAGCAGGATGAGCGACAGGGCCGACTTGCGGCGCGCGAGACCGCTGTAGAAGAAGCCCACGCCGGGGATCATGAGCAGGACGAGGGCGGCGCTGACGGTGATCCAGGCCATGTTGCCAGTCTGAGTGGTGACATGTTAGCAGGCAGTCAGTCAGGTCTTTGTCGTGAACGAGTTCAGGGGGGAACGTACGTCGTAGAAGATGTTGAGGTCGCTGACTCCGGATGAGCGGCCAGAGTCGGCCTTGCCCGTGGTGCCATTGTAGGCAACGACGCCTGGTGGTGTCGACATGATGTTGCTCTTGTTCCTCCTTTCCTGCAGTCCCAGGATCGTTCTGCTATCGATCGGCCCTTGGTGTCTTGATCGTGTAACTCTGCTCTTCGAGTCGACGGCAAACTGAGGAGGAACCCCAAGTGAGATCACAAGGCCAGTGAGGGATGGACGAGAATCCAACGCCAGGGGGGGAGGAGGTGGCTGAGATGGGAGCTGGCTTGATATATGTAGATAGTAATACCACCATGCCTTAGGCTATAGATAAAGCTGGCATGGCCATGCGCTCCGATCCTCAGCTTCATCAACCCCCCCGACTTATCCCGCATGCCTTTCAGCTCGCTTGCTGTTTAGAGTTGTGTGACTGGATCACTGCCAACCCAAATCATCCATCGGCCAGGAGACAAGCAGCCTCATCCCACGCCCAGACGTTAGTATACAAGAGCTGCCAGCCAATATCCAGCTGCATGAAGCCCAATGGGCAGTCGTCTGCCTCACTGGACAGGTACGATGCGAAGTCGGGGCAACGGGTGCGCCTCTCAGATGAGCTTATCGCCCTCGAGATGGATGGCAAGTTCATTGGTGCGGGCTGCGGTTAGTAGTGCCCAGGATTGAAGCCACAGAGATAAGTGATGCGACTCCCACAGGTTGTCCGGGGATTCGGTGCCATGTTGGGTCGATGCTTATCTGGGAGGCTTATCTCGTGCATATCAGGCCAGTATAGGACAGATGAGAGAATTGGCATGGCTGAAGCAGTTTCGTATAGATGACAGCCAGTCTTTCATTTGGCTTTCTGTAATCCACCTTGTTTGTAGAGCGCAAGATGAGGCGGTGACATGCCGTGAAGGGAGCTTTCCGTCTCTCAGCTGGCGTGGGGTTTTCCCGTTTGAAGAGTCGCCGTTGGTGAGCTTTCAAAGTGCTGTTGCGTGTCATCGTTGGCTGTCCACCTCTCTCAGATGGGGCCCCTCCCTTTCGGTTCGTCGCACCGACCCCGAGATGAGACCTGGAGACGATTTGATCGTCGACAGACTGCTCCGTAGCATTGGAGATGAGGCGTCTGCAGTGCGATGTTGCATCCCTGCACAGCTTGAGCCCCGTCTACTCCCCTGACTCCGTCATATTCGAGAACTGAGTCCGTCAAACAAGACGGAACAGCACCCTCTCTGCCGGATCGTATAGCCCAGTCTCCGTAAGGCATCAAACCGCATACCAGCCCTGCCCGATAGGCACTGCACACATCGCCCTCAGTATCAAGGTCTGCTTGGCCTTACGCAAAGCCATTTGTGCTTATCCGCCGTTGTCTGACACACCCACCCATGGCTCTTATCAGTGGCATCTGTCTTTGCACGCCACGCCTCTCGCGGAACCGATGCCCAGTCTGGCGTAGACGCTCGATGTTGGCCGCATGGCACCCCGGCCCTCTCCAGGCGATGCTGATTGGGCGACAGTCCTTATCTCTCTTGTCTCTCGAGGCCGCGCTTGTGGGGGGTCGCAACCGGGCTGGCTGTCTAGCAGTAGCGTCGTGAAGCCGTGCCTGATGCCTTTGTTCAACTTGCAGTACCATCACATGAAGGCCTGCCTGCTTCAGCTCTTCCCCGGGATATCCCCAGGTCTCCCCGTGCTTCCGGGTAAGGCGAAAACGTGGTGGCGTCTGTGGCGTCTGGCACTGACTGTTATTGGAAAAGTAGACGCACGTCGTGTCAGCCATGGGTTGGAAGATAGACAATGGAGGTGATGGTAAAGATAAACTGAGAGCTCACTTTCACATGCGCATCACACAAATCACACTATTGGCGGCTCCAGGGTTTTGACCGACCGTGCAACGTCCTCCAGATATTCATCCGGGGCCGATCTGACGGCATTCACAGGTACAATAACAGGTCAACCAGCGGGGGGCAGCAGAGGTGGTGAGAATGTCGAGGAAGACGAAAAGTATATATGCCTTCAGTTGGTGTAATCATACGCCGCAATTGCCGCACCTCCTAGCTGACGCAAAATCATGCCATCATCCTATGACACGGAACTTGTCACATCCTGAGGTTCATGTACTCCGGACTTTGTAGATTGCATCGCTTGGGTTATCATCTCCCCTGCTGCGGCAGCAGAGGTCAAGACGGAAATCCATGAGAGGGCAACTGGACGTTCTCCAACAACTTACTGGAGTGACGCCGGTGATACCAATCGAAGCGCGGAGCGTCGATCGTCTTTTGTGAGTAGAGTCCTGCAATAGGTTAAGCGGGCTGGCCTATCCTGATGCTTGAACCTTCACGGCTGAGGTGCTTCAACCTCTAGTCGGCATCAAGTGGCGGTCCAGTCCTTTGACGCCTAGACGTTCTGGTGGCACAATCCTCCGTCTATGCTGTATCTCATCATGCTATCGCTGGGAAATGCAAGTTGCTCGTCCATAGGCACGGGCGTACCCGGGAGAGGACACTGCTCATGGCCCGGTGTTGCCTCCTGAACTGCCCTGGACGTCCTCCCTCCACTGCTTCTCCAGATCCATCAGACATTTGGCGACTTCCCAGGGAGCCTCTTCTTCCAGAGCCGTCCGGTGCTCACGAGAGATCTTGTGGAGCACGTAGCGGCTCACGGTGGCCGCATCCCGTGCCTCGGGTCGCCCAATGCCGACGGCAATCCGAGCAAATGGCGATTCCGGATACTTTTTTGGTGACACCGATGCCCTCACGCTCTTGACTCCGTTGTGGCCCCGAGGACTGCGGTCCCAGGGAAGCAGCTTGACCACCCCAAAATCCTTCTCCAGCTCGTCGTGAACAATCACCAGGCTGAGTGACTCAGCGCCGTATTTCCGAACAAGCTCCTGCCATGCACTGGCCACGAAGCCTCCAGAGACGTTCATATACGTCGGAGACTGCACGAGTGTGTATTTCGGGCCCTGGGACACCATGCAGTACTGCTTGCCCAGCGTCACCTCGCGAAAGTCCGGCTGGTGGAGTACTTTTGTGAGGCCATTGAGGACGAAATGGCCGGCTGAGTGTAGGCTCTCGTACTTTGGCAGTGGATTCCCCAGGCTGATGATGAGAAATCGAGGGTTGAACATGCTTTCCGCAGGTAAGACTGCCGTGGGGGTGCTGATCCTATGCGAATTCATGGAATATCTCAAGCAAAAGAACAGAAAATCCATCGCTCACGTGAGATGCACCCGCGTGAATCAACGGAGTCGCGGAACATGATTTGCCCGGTGTGGCTGAGCTGCCACCGCTGACGTCGACGAGCCGATTGGGCGGAGCATCGTGGCTGGGCATCTGGCAGTTCGTCACTTTCCCAGCTCTCACGCCTCAGCCTCTCTGTCGCAAACTCCTGAGTCCGTCATCTGCCGCAACCCGATCCAACGAGCACCAACCAGCTGAGCAAACAGTCGACACTCCGATACTAGAAATACAAAAACAGAGGAATACAAGCCATAGTCACCAGAGACCAAAGACAGGACAGGCAACATGTCGTGGGCGGGTACGGAGCTTGCGGATGCCCCGCTGACGGACAGCAGAGAAGAGGGCGAGGGGCTGACGATGTCGCAGGATTCAAGAAGAATGTGAACCGCGCGACGACGCAGGTGATGATGAAGACGGGTATTTACGACTCTACAGTTGGGTCATACGAGAGATCCGAACCGTTGCTGACCGTGCGATGCAGGGCATGTGGAAAAGACAAACGATCGCGACTACGAGGTCGAGGAACGGTAGGAAGGGCGACAAACAAGCTGTCGGCGAGGGAGACTCTCGTGCTGACCCAACCACAGGCGGTTCAGGACGATGGAGACAGCTGCGCTACGGCTGCAAAAGGAATCAAAGGGCTATCTTGACTCTCTGAGAGGTACGCAGACGCCATGTCGCCGGGGCCGAACAATCCGAGCGCAGGACTAACATGCCGACCTCACACGAACAGCCATGACAGCTTCACAGATGAGAATCGCCGAGACGATAGATGCGTTCTACGGCGACTCGGGTGCGAAGGATGGCGTCAGCAGGAGCTACAAGCAGGCCGTGGAGGATCTCGACGCCGAAACCATCAAGGCCCTCGACGGCCCGTACCGAATGACGGTGCTCGAGCCCATTGCCCGCTTCTGCGCCTACTTCCCCGACGTCAACGAGTGCATCAAGAAGCGCTCCCACAAGCTGCTCGACTACGACGCCCTGCGCGCCAAGGTGAAGAAGCTGGTCGAGAAGCCGGACAAGGACGCCACGAAGCTGCCGCGGACGGAGAAGGAGCTGGAGATGTCCAAGGCCGTGTACGAGCAGCTGAACGAGCAGCTGACGACGGAGCTGCCGCAGTTGATTGACCTGCGCGTGCCATACTTGGATCCCAGCTTTGAGGCGCTGGTCAAGATTCAGTTGCGCTTCTGCGCGGAGGCGTATTCGCGCATGGCGCAGGTGCAGCAATATCTGGATGCGGACACGCGAGACTTGTACGCGGAGGGACATTTGGATGCAAGGGTGGAGCAGGTGCTGCAGGAGATTCGGGAGTTGAGTATCAGCGGAACGGTGTAAATTGGACGCGTCGAGGGAGGCGTGAGGAGGTGATAGCAAGCGAGGAGATGCAAATTGCGAAGCTACTGGCGTATGGATTGGTTGCTTGTTCAATTATTGTTATTTAGATATTGGTTTGCTCGGGACGGTCTATGGATAGACTAGCACTTGCTCGCTGGAAGGTCACCTTTGGTTGTTGGTAGTACCTATGTAATGAAATTCTCTTCCCTTGCGACAAGGACTACAGCACTGGAGAGCATGACTTGACTCTATCCTTCAGTGTTGTGGTTTGGAGTTGATGAGAGTTTGTCGTTGGAAATCTTGAGTCATGGAGATCCGGCATCTTCCCTCCTGGTATTTTGTTTATGGCTTGTGCCGAGTATAAGGCGTTTTCGTGGTTTGCTAATGGGCGTTTCAACTTCCCGTAGCCTCTGCTTGCCTCCCAAAGAGCTCATTGAGCGTCAACGGTCGCCCAATGGCCTGCATTGCCGGCCCTGCCTCTGGTCCCTCATTCTCCACGGTCCCAGCAGCACGCGCAATCTTCCAGCTCTCTTCGATAATGGCCCCGTTCGTTGCCCTCGTCTCCGCCTCGTCGTTGTGAATCCACAGCCCCAGCACCTTTTCCTCGGCCTCATGATCGCTCTCCACCTTGAGAATTACCAGCTCGCCCATGATCTCGACATGTCCCACCCTTGCCAGATCAACAATCACATTATCCAGGCCCCGTCGACTCAGAACAAACACACACGCTCGCGGCCGATTATGCATGTCCTCGGGCAGCGGCGTCTGGGCGCAGACAAACATGGTGCCCTCGATGCCCGACTTCTCCCAGCTCTGGGCGGCGGCGTCAAAGGTGTAGACGACGGCGTTGGCGGCGATGCTGAGGATCCTGCTGATGGAGGGCAGGTAGCGCTGCAGGACAGAGAGGTTGAGCTCCGTGTTGGTTCGGGGGGGAGGCGGTGCGTAGGTCGGGGCCATGGCGGCGACGTCGGACTCGTAGTCGGAGATGGCGGGGATGCGGTTGGACGGGTGGCGGTGGTGCCGCGATTTTCGAGGGGCCGAACGGCTCATTTTTGTGGAGGAGAGTAGAACGGAGGGGGAGAGAGTAGGTTCAGTATCTGCTGTGGTGGACGGCAGAGGGTGTGATGTGTCTGGGTGAGGATGAAGCGAGAATCAGAGGATGTGTTGGATGGTCAAGCTGAGGCCGTGATGGCGGGGATGATTGGCATAGAGCGAGGGAGGAGCAGTGGTTGATGGCAGCTATATTGAGACAGAGAATCAATTATTGCGTAGATGATGAAGACACGTAGAAATGGTGATGATGCGTAGAGAGTCGTTCCCAGAGTGTGGACGAGAACATACAAGAGGTCGGTTGACGATGTCGCTTGGTCGCAGTCAGGTTGGGGTTCCAGGTTGGCTTGACAGCTGCGAGCACTGAGAGACGGCGCCTGAAGCAGCTGTCAGCCCAGTGATTGAGCAGCGCCAACAGCGCTGGAGCTTATCGATAACGCCCCGATGCGGCAGCTGCTCTCGGCAGGGCATCCATGACGCGAAGCTCTGGATCGCCGCAGAATATGGGGAAGCTGCTCTATAATCCATCGCTTGACCGTATCTTGATTTCCTCTTCCTCGTGCTGCTCATTTGCTCTTCGCTGTCTGTTCTACAGTTACGCAGCCAGATTGCTGTCTATCTCGCAGTCTTTTCTATCAGCATTGAACAATTTGTCACAGCCTTACACCGTACGACAAATACACAGCAACTTCCTACAGTATATATGCGGCCCAACGCCCGTCTGCGTCGCATTCGACAACATCACCATTACTCGCAGCGCCACATCATGATCTAGCAGCCAAGCTGTGGTAACAAGACCAGCGATTGCGACAGCCGGCGACGCCGAAACCAACGACCTTCCACCCACTCGCTCGCGACCTTTGCAATGGAGGAGCCGGCAAAGGACCAGACGAACCAGTCCATCGGCTCGGATCCCGTCGAGGTCGGCGTCCCCCAGTCGCTGGCCCGGGCTGTCCTGTCTCGGCGCTCCGAATACCTTCGCCCGTGCGAGATTCGAGTCAAGGTGGGCACTTGGAACGTGGCGGCATGCCCTGGGACGGATAAGGACCTCGCCAGCTGGTTCGCTGAGGATGTACCGGTCGACAAGGCGCTGGCAGGGCTTGACATCTCTGGCGATGATCGTCCGCGACGCTCGACTGAGTCAGGCAATGGCGAAGGTCTCGAACCAAGGCCAACGAGCCAAGAGAGAGACAAAGGGTTTGACCTCTACGTGCTGGGACTGCAGGAAGTGGTAGACCTCAACCGGACAGGCGAGTACATGAGCCGGTTATACGTCGACAACGGGCCCATGGACAAGTGGAAGGCGGCGCTGGAGGCAGCAATTCCCCAGGGGTACCAGCTTGTTGTGGCCGAGCAGATGACGGGACTCCTGCTTCTGATCTACGCCTCCCCCACGATTGCCCCGACAATAAGCAACGTCTCTACGCAACAGGTTGGGACTGGTCTTCTCGGCTACTTTGGGAACAAGGGCGCCATAGCCACTCGCCTTGTGCTGGGAGAGACTACGAAGCTCCTGTTTGTCAACTGCCACCTCGCTAGCGGCGTAGGTCAGGCGGCTCTTGACCGGCGTTGCTGGGACGTAGGCCAGATTTTGTCCAAGGCTCAGTTCGACCCCGTGGTGATTGGAGGCGTGTCTGATGACGAAGGGGACAGAATCGGAGACGAAGACTTTGCCTTCTGGTTCGGAGACATGAACTTTCGCCTCGAAGGCTTACCAGGAGACGACATCAGACGGCTGCTGACATTGCATGCTCGCGGAGAGTACGACTTGAGCAACGACAAACCGGCGCCCATTGAAGGAGACGACGGCATCATCATCTCCCGGTCATCCGAGAGCGACGACGACACAACCACCATGTCGTCGATGCACTCCAGAGACCACAGCTTCGATCAGAGTTTCGACTCGGCGAGCTCCCTACCAGATCCCGACGACTTCCCGGAAGACCCAAGCCAAGATCCAGCCTCTCTACAAGCGACCATCGACTCGCTTCTACCACACGATCAGCTGAGACGAGTGATTGCAAAGCAGAAGCTGTTCCATGACGGCTGGAGGGAGGGACCCATAACATTTTTGCCAACATTCAAGTACGACATCGGTACGTTTGGCTTATTCGATACGAGCGAGAAGCAGAGGGCGCCTAGCTGGTGCGATCGGGTCCTCTACAGAACGCGCAAGGACAAGGAGGCGCACGACAAGAAGCTGGAGGAGCTGAGGGAGGCCAAGCTCAAGGACGAGGAGATGAGGGCGCGCGGGCTTGAGGAGGACGAGGATGTGCTCTTTAGCTACGACCCCGACACCGACGGAGAGGAGCAGCCGCCGAAACCAGCATACACCGAGGCGTATGACGAGTATGACGAATACGACGATAACGACGCTGGGCCAGCGGACGATGCTCCGGAGCAAGCCACTCTTGAATTCTACAGCTCTCAGCAGCGCATCACATCGTCAGACCACAAACCCGTCCTCTCCACGTTCACTCTGCGTTACGACGCCGTCGACCCGGAAAAGAAGGCTCGCATTCACTCAGAAATCGCATTCGAGCTGGATCGAGCCGAGAACGAGGGCCGGCCCGGCGTCACGCTGATCATCGAGGGCGGCCACGGCGCGACGGATGGAGTGGTTGACTTTGGTGAAGTGGGCTTCTACGAGACACACTCGTGCTCCATCACCATTGCCAACACCAGCAGCGCTGCTGCCAGCTTCGAGTTTCTCCACGAGACCCAGACCAGCGAGGACGACCAAGGCGCAGCAAAGTGGCTCAAGACGTCGTTCCACCGGCCTGACGAAGACGGCACGAAGAGCAAGCTCGGCTCATCGGTGACGCTGGAGCCTGGCGAGACCATTCTGGCCATTGTCGAGGCGCGAGTGTCAGAAATTTCGCATGTCCGCGCGCTGAATGACGCCAGTTCCAAGCTGGACGACGTGCTGGTGCTGCGTGTTGAAGGCGGCAAGGACCATTTTGTTCCCGTCCGCGGCACCTGGCTCCCTAGCTGCTTTGGCCGGTCGATTGACGAGCTCATCCGAGTGCCGGAGTGCGGAATTCGCAAGTTTATCAAAGCCAAGAATATTCAGGGGGCCATCACGTACGACTGGGACGTGCACTGTTCTGCGCCGCGAGAGCTCTTCAAGCTCACCGAGGTCGTTCAGACCATGGCCGAACGATGCGTAGCCGACGAGGCAATGCTCGAAGACATGACTCTGCCGCGAGACCCCGGCTGGCCGCTGGACGCCGCGACGTGGACCGTGGAAGCGGGCAGGCGGGACGAGCTCAAGGCAGCGCTCATAACAGCGCTGGACACAAACGCGCCACTGGCGGATGCCCTGCCCGTGGAGCTCTTGTCTACGCACAAGCTGGAGATGTACTCTTCCGTCTTACTCCTCTTCCTCTCGTCTCTCATTGACGGACTCGTTCCGCCGCATCTCTGGGCTAAGCTCTCCATCGAGTTACCGAATCTCAACACGTTACCGGTGACGTCGTGGCCCGACGTGAAGAATCACATACTCGACCTGCTTGCAATGTCTCCGAGCCACAACATTGCCTTTGTGTTTTTGACGGCCACCCTCTCGCGCGTGGCTGCCGAGTTGAGCCCTGCAACTGCGCCGGGGCCGACACCAGGCGCGTTGACCCGACGGCTCAGCTTCCGCCCCGGCGAGACTGAACCGGTTAGGAAGAGGAGGGCCAGAGAGAGGCGGTATGCCGAGATTGTGAGCCCGCTGCTGTTCCGATCTAGCGACGATAAGGACAAGGCGAAGAAGGACCGGCAGCGGATCGTGCTGGAGATGTTTCTCAGGAAGGACGATCGAAGCTAGACGCTCGGCAGGGAGAGGGGCGGCAGGCCATGGAGGAGGATGAAATGGCGATGATTAAAACCAGCGGTGTTTATTAGGCATAGATGAGCTGGGATGACATGCTAGCGAGTGTTTGGTGTTGTGATATGATTCGATGGATACCTCATATATAGTATAGTAGACCGGCTATTAGTATGTAGCAGTTTGTCTTATGAGCACATGATGCCCCATTGTCCTTTACTGTCAATCATTATTCGTTCGTGCGGACAATCACACTCTACACAGCCAGCATGGAGGATCATTGTAGAAAAGTCACTGGAGATTGTTGACTTCAGGGGCTGTTGTGTGACGTGGACATGTACAGCAAAGTGAATGCAACATCTCAACCACAGAGAGTCCATCATTCAGTCCATCGCATGCCCCGAGATACCGCACTGGCACAATCGATTGAAGTCGAGATACATCATGAGTGCCCTCCCGTGAGAGAGGAGGCACGTGCTCCTGCTTCCTCCTTCTCTCGCCATCTGCCGGACAGGCAACAGAGAATCAACACTCCCCAAGCACGGACACTTTTACTGTATTCAGCCATTCTATTCTTCTCCTTCTTTCTCTTCTCTTTCTCTTCTCTTTCTTCTCTTCTTCTCAGACCCCCCCTCTCCATCCTTCTCCTGGTTTGTCCTCAGCACATGATCATCTCGAGATCAACAGAACAACATCTGGATATGCCACCGCTTCGGGGCGGTCAGGCAGCCTCAACTGGCAGGCACTGCTTTCACGAGGCTGCCTCTCGGACCTTCTCCTCCACTGTAAAATAAATTTTCCTTTTCAATTTTTTTCTTTCCGAGGTTTTCTTCTCCGAGTCAGCTCCTGTTTATCCGGCGCAAATCAGCTTCTTCCTATGGTTAAACTCCTTGTCAACAATTCAAGAGTCTATCCCTTGCTTGTCAACGCCATCTCGACGCAGCCCAACACTCTACAGCGCCTCGAAAGCTATTTCCACGTGCCCCAGCAACCTAGGACAACAGAAAGACGAGGCTTGCGCACCGAAGTTTATGTCTCGAGACATCGTGGTGGCTACCTTGGCCCCGAAATAACTTGGAGTTTAACGTGCCTCAAGGCCCAACGAGCTGCTAGGTTTCTTGATGGCTGATGAATATCGGGCTTTCCCGCTGGATCGTTCAACAAGGAGCAGGCAATGGTTGCCATGAACCCCAAGGGACAAACGCCTCCGCGACAAGCCACTCATATTTCCATTGACAGACGTCCGTTTTGCTGGCCGCCCGGCAGGGCATAAATAGAGACCTCCTGCCCGTCTTCGTCTCGAGATCTCATCCTCCATACAGCTCACACACCTGGCGTCTCACCTTGCCTACACTCAGGCACTCAACACAATACCGTGAACAAGATGACGCCTCGCCGGGTTCGCGACACAGACCCCAACTCCCACCTCCGTCGGCGCATAGCGTTTGAGAAACTCTACACGCAGCTCGAGGAGTACAGACCCCATCGTGAAGAGATGTTGGAGCTTTCCCCTCCGGAGTGTCAGACATATCTGACCGGCGAGCCTCAAGAAGTCGGAAGGCCACCGGTTCAGGCCGAGATGATGTTTGAGACTGATAGGGCCGCCATGGACATCCCCCAGGCCACTATGCCGTGCCACAACCCTACAGTAAGCTTTGCCACAGCGAAGACGGCGCTCAACTCAAGGATGGCGTGCTAATGATTTGGAATAGAAGCCCAGCTCGGAAGACTGCATGGCTTTGTACGTGCCGGAGGACGAGCTTCAGATGGTCAAGTACCACAAAGCTGTCGAGCAGAGAGCGGAGTTCAAGACCCTCACGGACGAGGATCGATTCATGGTGTCGTGCCCCTCGCCACTGGAGACGTGGAAGATGGAGAAGGAGTATGCCGACTACACTACGGCCGCGTTGCTGCTCAAGGGCGACTTGAAGAACGACAAGGCCTTCCACTCCAGGCGCAACGGGCTCAGGCAGTACTTGGCCTCGCAGAACCTCACCCCAGAGCAGAGAAGGCAGGGCCTGCTCAGGTCTGGAGGCCGCGCGAGCAAACTGAGCGAGGTCATCTCCATTGACGAAGACTGGCCCCAGTAGGGCTGGGCAGATGCCGGACTTCAACGGTTGGAGGAGGCGTGGGACTTGGAGGGCAAGATGCAGACAAGGCAGCTTCTTGTTGGGGATAGGACGAGCAAGATACGATGGTGATGGAACAAGGATTGCCAGGAGTCGAATGGTGTTTTCTTGGTCACAGTTGGCTTGCACGCGGCTTAGACTCGGCTTGTGGGTGAAGGTTTGGAGCTTGGTGGCTTAGACTTGGGGCTTGGAATATCTGCTTTTGATCTGTCTTTACACGATACCCTTGTCGCTTCAACGAGATGCTTTAGGCTTTGCGGTGCTTTTACAATGGTCTTCAATAAACACATGGTTGGCTGTGAAGTTGTGTCGAGTTGCTTGGAATGTCCAGCGTGTGATGTTGATGAGAAGCAGGATCTTGGTTGCGATGCTGATATAGATGCTGATCTGTGTGATGGCAGACAGAATTGACTTGTTGTGAAATTGTGACATACTCTGTTCAGCAGGTCTTTGGAGCTGTGCTGTTTGTTTGTATTCTGTTCATTTCTCCTCGACTTGCCGTTCTATGTATAGCTTACGAATGTAGAGTCGAGGTAGGGAGTTGAATGCATAGGACTTGTAGCGTCAATGCTATGGTCTACCCAACAACACGGTTCATTACGAATTTTCATTTTCCTTCTTTGTTCTACTTTTACCTAGCTAGTCATTGATTGGAGACTCAGTGTCTAATTGTGTGAATGCCTACTTGTTTACTCCTGTGCGGTGCGCAAGACTATCGTCACGACGGCCTTGCGGGATGTTGGGGGATTTACTCGGCGATATAGCAGCCGAATAGATACATTAGAGAGGAGAAATTAAGGTGGAAGATGACTCCGCTGACGGACCATAAAGTCGAACTCCAGGAAGTCTGTTACTATTGTCTATTATCCGGATAGTAACACGTGAAGCCGGAAAGCGCATCGACACAAATTTTGTTCAGGAAGCCGCTTACAGCTCATTTGAGAGGGTTGGAGGGAGGCTATACCACTCCTTTGGAGGCGTATTACCCTGCACTTCTGCCAAACAAACAAACACCATGGCTCACCTACCTTCCTGACGGGTATTCGCTGCTACTGACTTGCCTGTATGAACATGCCGAATTTCTATTCATCTGCCTGCTTCTTAATGTACGAGAATATACCTGGGAAATGGGCATCCAGAGAGGTATCACTTGAATGTCTTTTTACAAACCAAACTGTTAGTGAGTCTAACCAATCCCAGCACCAAAACCACTGACCATGGACACAGACACACGGCACCTTTGTCCCTTTGACGTGATGGGGTCTCAACTAATGCACGATCTCAACGTGCCTTCGCAACGGGACGACCCGTATCTTGCCGTGTCTCTGTACCATCATCCCATATACTACTACTACTGCTACCAACAAGAAAACCAAGGATACTAACCCATGTCTGTACAAGTATGGAATGTGCGGCGATGGAAAACCGGCACTAAAAGGAGGAACTAACGCTTGAAGCAGGATAAAGCGCATGTCTTCAGCGGGATAAAAAAAGGGGGTTAAAAGAGGAGAAAAGAAGCGTTGGTTAGGCCATTACTAGTAGGGGGGGAGGCGTGAAAGCGGGAAGAAGCGGGAAAAGTTGCTGTTAGGGCCAACAACAGGAACGCGACACGACAATGACGACCGAAGACGGATGGATTTGACAGGATGAACAGAATGAAGAGATTTCTAAAGCAACATGTATGATTGGAGGCTGTTACAGAACCAACGCTGACACGATCTCTTATGCACATGTCACCCCAAATGGATGACGTTTGCTTCTTTGCTCCCTGCATTGCCATACATATATATATCTCACTCTATACTAATCAACCTCACATACCGTACACACATACATCACGCAATACTACATGCCCGCGACATGTTCCAAGATACTCTCCTTCAAGAAAAGCCTGGTATCTCACTCGTACCGGCTGACATGCATACGACACCCCCCCAAAGGACACAATATCACGCACTCACTCAAATCAGGTTGCCAGACAATATAAAGGCTAAAGAAGAAGAAGGCAAGGCAATCGCAAACGCAATAACAAGGCAAAAGGCAAAAGGCAAAAATACGACAGCCCTCGCATCGGAAGGAATCCTCCTGCGGGCGTCGCAAGCGCAGTCCAAACCAGATTTTGCTCCTTACCATCACCGAATCCTTACCCCCTACTTCACTCTTTGCGTCGTATCGAGGCAAGGGGTTGGCTCGGAAATGGCAATGGCATGATATGTGACGCCGTCGACTCATTGCCTGCTTTGAGAAAGTGCTTGTATCGGTACTTTGTTGAGCCTTGGCCATCTGAGTTGCTGCGACTGGTGTGCATATTTCGCCTGAACATATCAATAGTCTGATTAAGATTTGAGATTCATCGGCATTAACAATTCGGACTCGGATGCATCTTTTTTATCAAGCTTGATAGTCGCAATCTTTTCGTAAGTCGTAGAGGCAAAGGAAACATCATCAATTTAGAAAGCAATAGCCAAATCGTGTACCCAATTTATACAACCCTTCGACCCCGTAAAAGCCCCATCACCGCGTCTATATGCGATGCAAACCAATCGCTGTCCGTGCATTTCCTGCACCTGTCGTGCTCCGTTGCCTTACTCAATGTACTCCCGCTGGTACGTCGCATGCGGATGCCACTCCTCCTCAAACAGCTGCGAAACCCAGTAAAACGGATGATCCCAGTCGTAAAAGACTTGGCGTCCCTCGTACGGCCTTCCCCCGACGTCGTTGGGAGCGGGCTTGGTCACTGCGACGAGGGTCAGCACACTATCCAGCCTGTTTGTTGCTCGGAACGCCGACACTTACCATGTCCATTGTCTGCCTTGTAGCGTCTCCAGACGTCCAGTTGCCCCTGCACGGCACGATCTGTGCGAGCCTGCATCAGGAGATCAAATTCAGTCGACGACATACCAGCCAGGGGGCCTTTGTATCTCTCATCCTTCTCACTCGGATGTGGCCAGGCCTTGCAGTTGAAGTAGTGCCAGTGCTGGAGGAGGTTGTTGCAGCTTTCATGCAGGCTCTCTACAAATGCCGGGATGGAATAGCGGAGCTGGAAAATCAGAACCATTAGCCCACAGGACCGACTGAAGCAGGGCCCCAACGCTGCAATCCAGCGACCAGGAATGGAGCACATGGCGAGACTTACACTCTGGCCGAGATTGTTTCGTGCGTGACGATACCGGTCCTCGCTGATCCAGCTCGCTTCCCGGAGCAGCATGAACATGCAGGCATAGACGAGGAAGAAGTGCTGTGGCTGGTTCCGCGACATGATGGACTCCAGCTCGTTTAGCACCAGCTTACCGTACTTGCTGAGGAGCCGCGTGTGGTTGATGCTGTCGAACTGCGCCAGAATCATGCGAGGCACCGACACTTTGCCAAACAGGGGATAGGTGTCGTCTCTCGTCTCGGGCTTCATCCCCAGTAGTTCTTGGCCAAGAAGCCACGAGGATCCGGTCGAGTGGCCTATCTATGTCAGAGCTAGACCCAGCGGCACATCTGGCAATTGCCAACTTGACTTACGCATGGCAAACCAGAGGATAATCATGTGGCCCAAGAATTTGAACTCTTTCTCTTCATTTCCGGTGAGTTCGAATCTGGCCTGGACGGCTCGTTAGCATGACCCCAAACTGTAGAGCATGACTTCATCTCGCAGACGGAACGGGCCGGGCAAGTAGTATCCATCCATACCGAAAGATCTTGATAGCGCTTGATAATGTAGTCATATGTGCGCTCAAGAATGTCTCGAGGGTCCCCCTTACCACCCGCTCGCTCCAACTTCATCACGTTAACCGCGTGCTTCTTGATGTATTCCTCGAAATAGTCCGCCGTCTTTTGGATGCTGAACAAGCAATAGTGGGCTAGATCCTTCTTCTTGCGCACTCCGAGCTCGCCGTCAGGCACCATCCAGTATCTCGCAGTCACGTCTCCAGATTGCGGCTGAAATGCGACGACCTCCACCGTGATGGGCTCCTCGCATATACCCAGAGTGAATTTGATCGTACGGATGTCCTTGGGGTTGATTCGATCCGTCACGTCCCTCATCTCCGTGCCCTTCCAGCGTTTGGTGAGCTCGAGCCCTCCGCTGCGGAACAAGACGGCATCTGTAACCTTTCCGCGGTAGCACGGCATTCGATGGATCGTCTTCTTCGACGTTCTGGAAAACGTCTGGCATCCGATACAGGCTCCCATCGGGTCGTCAGGATCAGGGTCACACTACTGGAGTCAGCCAACGTGCGAGAACAGCATCCAATCCTGCACTTACCCGCATCTTTTGCATCCGACATCGTGTACAAGCCTTGATCTTTCTCGTCTCTGCCGCCTGCTTCCGTTGATCGGGGTTGAGCGGGCTTCGCCTTGGCTTGTTTGATGCCGCAGAGGATGCCGCGTCCTCCTCCGCCGTAGCTGAAGATGACTCCTGTTGTACCGCGCCTGCGGGTGAGGCATCGTGGACGTCAGGATCAGCATCGGCATCAGCATCGGCCTCAGCATCGGCATCAACATCGGCGTCGGCATCGGCGTCAGCATTGGAATCGGCATCCATAGCGTCGGCCGTGTTCTCATAGTCTGGCAGGCCGAAATCACACACGATACAGTCTTCCTGAGGCTCTTCATCGATGTCGCCTTCGTCATTTCCACTCAAGTCCGGGGGCTGCCCGTACGAGGAGCTGCCCTGGCCTTGAGCATCCAATTCGCCAATTGCTGTCCCAGAGCCGGTATGACTGGGTGAGACAGCGCTTCCCGGAGTCATAGGAACAGAAGGAACCGGAGCCGTAGGCGTTTGTGCTGGATAGCCATCTGCGGGGGCCTGTTGGTGGCTCATGGGAAACTGAGGTCCTCCACCCATGGTCGGCTGCTCGGAAGGTGGTTGGGGATATCCGGGTTGTGGTCTGTTATCTGTATAGCCTTGAGGCCTCAATCGCGGGTCATTATAAGGCAGGTACAGTAAAGGAGTCGGCACCTGAAAGGGTGACTGTCTCTCTGCGAGCTGCTCGGAACCACCTTGAACCTGGAGAACTGAACTGTAATCACCAGGGTGATAGGGATGAGAGAGAGGTGGTGGTGGTGGTGGTGGTGGTGGTGGATGAGGATGAGGATGATGATGAGGAGGGGAATGAGGATGGATATAAGGCTGAGAATGAGGATGAGGGGGAGGTTGAGGGTGAGACAGATGATGCTGATGATGGGGATGAAGAGGGATACCTGCTTCACCCGAGACCATATGTTGACTCAGGCCAAAGGCGTGTGGCTGAAATGCTTGAACGGATGGATAAGGCGTCCCGAGGTTGGCATCAGCTAGTAAGACGTTCTCCTGTCCCGGAAGACTCAATTGATGCGGTGAGACTGTGTTGAAGGGCGGCGGAAAGACGGGGCCACCCATATGAATCGACTGTAGTGGCACAGCCTGGGGAGGCGAGTTCGACAGGACAGGCGGGAAGGGAGACTGGGCGACGGCATCGCCAGGCGGGCCCAGGACAAGCCACCGGGTTTGCTGATATTGTTGGTTGTAAGTCGAGGCCGGCGGCACGGCGGTGGAGCGAGGGCTGTACGCTGTCGGAGCTTCAGCGCCAGCGATCGGCATGGCAGCGTTGCCGTGGCCAAAGACAGGCTCAGCACAGCGATCTTGGTCGCGAAAATGGCCTGATGGACCGCTGCCTGTGCTCTGCAGCTGATATTCTTGATAGGCCTGGGGTTGTGTTTGCAGACCGGCTACGGGCACATGTACCGGTACGTGGCCGGGGCCTGGTAGGACCGCCACCGCCGCCGGTGGTATTTCTCTGGTGGCAGCCAAAGCAGAACCTGGGGGCGAAGACAGTGTGCTCGCATGAGCGTGTGTATGTGTATAAGCCGCATCGGCGTGACTTGGACTGGCGAGCTGAAAAGAGCTCATGTAGTCGTCACAGCCCCGGGGCCGAGAAGCTGAGGTGTCATTATTGGAGACAGCATCGCTGTCACTGGTCCTCTTGCGCTTTGGCGGGCCGCGAGAGGACTTGTTGGAAGGGGCCTATGATGAAACCGGTCAACCGTCAACTCCCTCGCTTTCTCGTGTCTGGTCAGGCTCTCTCTAGCCTTGCCCGGTTGAGGACTCAACCCCGGCGAAACAGGAAGAGGGGGCCGGGCAGCTGCAACGGTAATGATATGAGACAGATGCCGTCCAATCCATTCGCCGTATACAGACAGCACAGAGGCAGACTGATGCTACATGCAAACGGGGGTGCTGGTGGGGGGAGCGTCTGCGAGAGAGGCACGGAAATGGGGATGAGATGTAGGGGGAAGGGTGATAAATAAGACACGAAAAAGACACACAACGCAGCATTCCAGAGCAGGACGTGAAGGAGAGAAAAAAAAACAGAGAAAGCCACGTTGACCGCGCCTCGAAAGGGCTCATCAGCAAGTCAGAAACCCCCAAACCCACACTCCAATAGCCACTACTACCCCATAGTATCACACACTCCACACGAGCATGTCCATGTTTCGTCCCCGCGACGTGCGCCGTCCGTGGCCGCAGAAGAGAGATCGAGGGGCAACGAAAGACTAAGGAAAGACATTACTTACGGAAACTCCAGGAGAGCGCACAAGTGAGCTCGCGGCGGGCGTCTCCATGGCTGCGGCAACGGACCTGCAACGCTGTGACGCTGTTCACGGGAGGGTGTGGTTGCACACGCCGAGGCCTCGAGACCGGTGAAGACAGAGACCCAGCACAGCGCAGAACCAAGACGAGACAAGGTGTGCCCTGGCTGGCGATTGTAGTGGCGACGACGAGTTTCCACCGGGAGGAGCCCCAGGAGCGCTTCCGAGGGGACGCAGAAGCGAAAGAGCGGGCACTGGGCCGGCTCGCTGCGTCGGTTTCGGGTTGTTGCCAACGGGGGTGAGAATGACGAAGGAGCTGCAAATCAGAGCGCATGAGGCGCAAGGAAGACGAGGACCAGTCTGAGATGGAGAGCCAAAAGGAGGAGCGCAGCAGATGGGTGGGAAACCGGGATGACCAGGAGGCAGTGAGCCGCAGGGGGCCCGCCGTACTTGTACAAGTGAGTACGACGGCGATGGGCCTTGCGATGGCCGCGCGAGCTGGCAAACCAGTCTATCGGGACGCAGGCGGCACCATCACACACATCTTGGCTCCAGATCCAGACCCGACCAAGCTGGCAGACGCCCGAGGCGAGGCCAGGCCATGCCGTGATGTCGCCTTGTCTCCCTTGCAGCGAGATAACGCATTGTCTTCTCTTCGCCCGCGTCGCTAGCCGGCCGAGCTGAGGTCTGCCGTTGCCTTTCCTGCCCTTTTCCTGACCCCCATCCTCGACATCCAGCCGTCGAGCCCACGGGCGTTGGAGGATTCGCTAGGATTTGCTGCGGCTGGGATGCCGCCCACCAGCTGCCGGTCTGCTGCGGATCCCAAAGCGCCTCAGGCGCAAGGAGGGCCGACCAAGGCTGGCTGACTCTGTCTGCCTGATGAGATAATACGGGTGATGCTCGAGGCTCTGGTGAAGTAGAGACAAGGCCTTGGAGTCGTGATCTGGGCAGGCGGCATATCGGAAGCAATGCCGGCCCGACCCAGTAGCATCGAGGGAAGGAGCGGCAGGTCCATCTCAGAATAGCCTCACTTCTTTGTCTCTCATTCCTACAGTTTCCCTGCTTTCTGACTGCCTACATACATACTAATCAAAGACCCGTTGTTCCAACTTGTGGTCGTGCTGCCTCGTCCGTGCCGTCACGATCCGGGCCAGGGAAGCATCGCGATTCACGGCCTGCTGTAGCCAAGACAGCCACGGCTGACTGCATGCCGCAAATCAAGCTTCCGTGACACGCTCTTCTCCGGACAAAAACGACTCTGACGATCCTCCTCTGCTCCGCTACTGCGTCTCCGAGTACGATGACTCGTACACGCATGTCTAGCGGCCGTCCAGCAGCGCTCAGACATGCAGCAAACACTCGGCTCGATACAAGTCAGCGTTACGATATCCCAAGGAGACATGTCTGGAAAGGCACAAGAAAGATCACGAGCAGCATCGCAGGTACGACCCAGAAGCACACCAGCATTATCAGCATCATCAGCACCCACCACCACCACCACCACTACCACCACTACCGCAGGCGTTGCTTCAGGCCCTTGTACGTAGTACTCACCTGTGTGCATCTGGTGCTAGGGTCTGTCATTACCTTACCGAGGGCAAAGACAGCTGTCAGTCCTCAAATGTGATAGAGTTGCACCCCGTCTTCGGACCCCATGGCTGTTCTAGACAGTCCTGACGGGGCTACCATGCAGAAAACATCTTGGCCCCCGGCCACACGGCCTCCAATGGTGGCTGCAACCTCAACCTCTGTTACCCACTCGCCCATCTCGTCACGTACAAGGACCCAATCACAGGCGGCAGCGCTTCTGCACGAGACCAAAGCCTTGCTGATGCTCGATTTGACAGGCTTCACCGGTTGACCTCCAGAGCCCCGTCCCTGCTACCAGAGCAGCCCTGAGTGGCTGCGCTCAACAGGGGGACGGGAACAAGATACATGTGCGTACAAATGTGTGTACTCGTGCTTCTGGTACATGATCGTACTCCGCGCTCCGCCAGCCATACTGGATCTGCTGGATCCCGTCGGGGTATCAGGGAGCTGAGGGGTGCCAGTAGAGCGACAGGTCGGACATGGTCTTCCAGCGTCTATCGGCTTCAGCTCTCTCCCCACCGATACCCTACCGCTTCGAGTACAATGTCAAGCGCTGTCCATGCGAGATGCGTCTGTCGTCTATGACATCTCGATCAAGCATGACAGATTACCAGTGCTTCCAAGAGAGATGGGTACAACAACCGGTTACTCTACGGACATGCCTCGTTGCGCCCGCTACAACTGCCGCCCTGCGTGGCTGTCGTTGCTTCCGACGACGCGGTCAGGAGAAGAGGAAGCAGATTGAGGACGGGATCAAGTCTTAAATATGTTGGCTGTTTTCTATATGCTGGAGAAGTCTGCTTTTTCTTTTTCAAACAAGTGAACTTGAAACGCATCAGACACGACTCCATAGAGAGTTTCTGGGCCCTTACCAGCCGAGCCCTCCGACTCGAGTGGAAGGCCCCCTACACACTCAGCTTCTTGATCGAAGTTCTTTTCTAGCACCCAGATACGTGTACCATATAATCCACATCAACGAGACATCTACTTTACACAGTGAGTCTCTCACTCGGCGTGTGCGAATACCGGCGGATGGGGCGATATATGTGTACTTTTGTGGGCTATGGATGGATGTCTCCCGTGTGTACAAGGATCCTAGCAGCAAACGGCTCATCAACAGGCAGGGTCATGGCACTACCAGCTCAAAAACAAGAGCCAAGCAAGTCTAGATTTGCGCCGGTTTGACCGGGCTAGGCCGGCCAGCAAACTCCCAGCATGCTCGACTCGACGGCCGGGATACGAAGAGGGCAGGTCGCCGCAGGAGGGAGAAAAGGCTCGTTGTGCCTAGCAGAAACCGCCGCCGCGCCGTTCTCTTGACTTTGAATCGAACGAGTATGAAGTGGCTGCAGGGACTTAGCTCATAAGATTCTGGCAAGTGTGGTTGCGGCCTCCTACGTGATCGTCTAGCTCCGCACAGCCGTGACGATGCTGGTACAAGTATGATCTCCCCATTCCCCTTCCATCTCCGTCAGTCCCCGAGTCCCTGTACTGTATGTACCGTGAACTGATCTCACCAGTGCTAGCTCGACAGCGCGCGTGGATAGTCCGGGATGTGACGAAGCACTCCCTCACTTCACTTCCCAGTCACTGGCTAAGCGCAGACGGAGTTGATCGGGCAGCTCCACCGCTCGAACTGATCCGGCATGACTCGATTTGTCACTTACCCTGCCTACTGCCTACAGATTAATAGCCCAGTTGTTGAGGGCGAGGGAAATGGTGAGTGGGAGGGCGAGCGAGGGTGAGGGCTGAGGCTAAGCGAGTCACGCCGCTGAAAGGCAGTTCCCTCACACATGCTTTGCAGCTTCACAGCTCGTCGTCCTAGTACAGAAGCTTACGTCTTATATTAGTGTCGAAAACCTGGTGTTTCATCGCAGTCGGGGAAATGCCACTCGCTTCTGGTACGGGGAGGGGCTGATGGCGATAGCTGTCTGATCACTGTCTCCCAGTCTCTGCTCTCCGCCAATGGAGGACCCCGTTTAACAGCGGCCCAACAAAAGGCAAAAGCAAAAACCTCCTCTGCTGGCAACCAAAAGAACTCAGAGTTACAATTGGGCTTATCCAATCAGCGCTTGCCCTCTTATTTCATCCATCCTCTCAACTGCTGCCGGGAGCAGCCTTGGCCTGTCACTATGCCCAAGCAAAGGAACCGCTCCCATATCATGTGCTGTATAGTGCCCTTGGAGCTCTCGTTACCCACTCTGGGCTGGTCACCCGTCCGGAGGCGTGTCGTAATTGGGTTGCTGTTGCAGAAGCTTGGTATGGTTTGAGGTTTTCTTTTCTTCCACCTCAAACGCTGAGCGGCCACACAGCGACTCCTCTTTTTGCCTCTCGCAAACGATCAGCCAGTGGTCTCCTCTGAACCATGCTCCTGCTGCCTGTCTCCGTCCCTGGACCACTGCAGATGTGCTCCCAAGGGCATTCTTGCAGTTGACAAAGTGCCCCCCCTTTTGGCCGAACAGTGCGGCTAGGAAACGGGGCCCGTTGCAACATTTTCACCACCAACTCAGCAAACAGATTGCATTTGCTTCGTGCAGCTCTTTGGGCACTCTGCGTCTACGTCGGGGATTCTCATACGTCCTCTTCCGAGTCTGATAAGCGATGTGCGTCGTGTCGTGTGCGGACAGATCATCCCTCATGGCGCGCAAACGACGAGAGATACGTTACGAAGTTGGTGGCCCACAACCCACCTCCACTTTCTCGGAAACATCGACGCATCGCGTTGTCCCTGTCGCCGTATCCGTCTTCCACCGCGTCTCTGCACCTGGTGGCAAGCTCGAGCTCGCTGGCTGGCTTGCGTTGAGCCCGAACCGCTGCCTGCTGCTTCTCCTCTCCGTCCTCGTTCGCATATAAAAGAGCCTCCGGGCCACGCGCTCATGGTTGGGGGCCCTCCAAGGACTGCAACAGCTCATCCAGCAAGAGCAATGATAATTTCAGAGACGCCAAGAGCCATGTTGTTTGACACATCTAATGCCATATCCAAAAACATGATGTCAGAGCTTCAGGTTGCCATCAAGGGCCCGCTAGCCTGGTCAGGGGCTGATTTCGAGGATGGAGAGGCGTACACCTTGCAGCTTCATGACGAGGATATTGAGGAAATCAATGCGGCACTTCAAAGCTTTAAGGGTAAGACTATCCGGAACAGACCTCACCGAGCTGAAGAATAGGCGCAACTGACATGGCTGGCAGCTCTTAGCCTCGATGGAGACGAAGTTGACCAGGACAACTTCTCCCTTCCAAAGCTTAAAGCTCGGCTTGCGCAATGTGCCGAAGCAATTCATGACCAGCGCGGCTTCTTCGTCCTCAGGGGCCTCGGAGGCTCCAAATATTCGGTCGAAGATAGCATCACAATCTACCTGGGCATCGCGAGCTACGTTGCCGATAAGCGAGGATTGCAAGATCGAAAGGGCAATGTGCTCTGTAAGCTATCCAATCACCGACGATGCGGATGTTGCCGATTCTGATATCAAAGACAGCCCACATCACCAGTTCGAAGCTCTGGAAAGTCCCGGCTGAGGAACGCCACGGCATTCACTCCAGCCAAGCCCTGGTAAGCAAGTATACAGCTTTCTTCTCTGCTGCTATTGCACCCCTATACAGAATCCATGTGACGTGGACTAATTCAAACAGCCCTACCACAATGACATGGGCTGCGATATCCTAGCTCTTCAAGTCCGTCACATGGCAGAAAAGGGGGGCTACACCTACCTGAGTTCGGTCAGCACCGCATTCAACGAGCTTCTTTCTGAAGCTCCCTGGGCGGCAAAGGCTCTGTTGGCGCCTGACTGGCCAGTGCAAATGTAAGGATTCTCTTCTCCTCGACTCTCGAATGTTGATATCGAAGCATTGGCTGAGATAAGCGCTGTCATTGATAGCTCGGGGCGTGGAGCAAAGCACTACTTAGCGCCCGCACTCGCCATCCACGACGGCAGATTGATGGCCAGCATGGATCCGAATCGATTTGGACCTCACCCTTCCAGCGGGCCAACCGATGTCCCGCCTCTGACGGCCACGCAACTGTCCGCTCTTGAAAGAATATCAAAGGCCGCCTACCGCTCGGAGCTGCGGCTCCATCTCAAGACGGGCGACTTGCTCTTTTTCAACAACTGGGCTCTACTCCACCGACGTGACTCGTACACGGACAGCGACGAGACATCCCGCCACATGGTAAGGCTGTGGCTACGCAACTCGAAGCTAGGCTGGTCGGTCCCCAACTCCATGCTTCCACCTTGGTATGCGGCTTACGGAGATAATGTGGTCCGGAACCGGCTCTATCCTTTGATTCCCATGCCCGACTACAAGGTGCCCAAATACTCGGCTGGCTCCGCTGCATTCGTCATCGAGGACAGTGATGCCTCTGAGGATGAGGATATCCTCCCTTGAAGAATCTGGAGGGATGCGAAACGCCAAAAGGGGGGATGTGATTGGGAAGCACGACGGAATGCTAGCATCCCTCTTGTTCTACGTCGAGGTCTTGGTTTCGAATCTCTTGTTTCACTCGCTCTATCTACATACAGCTGCTTTTGTCTCAGTGCCCAAAATTGAATCTTGTCTGCTTCTGGCTCGAATTTGTCCGCCATCTGTTCGCCTAATTGGCGCTGCCTCTACTGCTCGTGCCCCAGACCGTGATCGCCGCTATAGCTTCAGCGAAGCGTCACGAACTGAGCCTGCCAGGTGTGTAGAGGGGGCTAAGGGGCCCACAAAGCGGCTCTTTGTTTTCCTTCGCGTCGTTGCTCGCATCTCGTTCCTATCCACAACTGCCGCCAACAAGGTTCTTAGGCTGGAAATGCGGCGGTTAAGACGAGAGCATTCGTTGGGAGGAGGTGACTGCCAGACACGTTGCGTTGGTGAGTGAGGAACCAACACCTTCGGTGAATCCGCAGCCCCTCCCCCCCCTGGGAGTTCTTTAATGCTGCATCTCGCGCATCTTTGGACCGCAACCCGACGTCCAAGAAGCTATGTAGCTTCCCTAAACAGAATTCTTTGCAGGACTTGATTTGCGTATCTCGATGAAAGTGGTACGCCTCTCGTCAACTGTCACATTGCTGTATGTTACCATTGTCTGATCTCGAGACTGACGACTGGCACCTTTGAAAGATGTGACGTGTAGTATTATTCAGGCCCTGGCCAGGGATAAAACTAGATCTCGCCTGGTAGCGTGATGTGTGCCTACGCAGTCGCAACTCGTGGAAATTGTTGATGCCGCAAGAATGCATAGGACCACTTGGATCTTATTGGGCTTGATGAGGGATGGCTTTGACGCGTAGGTATATGACTGGTGAATGTGCGGGAGCGGCAGTCAGCCGACTGCTGCCACGTTGTTGGCCATGTCACGGCATTTGTTGGCGACTAATGCTGCCTGCTCGACATCCCTGGACGTCTTGATTGTTTCTTGTTTTCTCCTCTCGGGAGAGGAGTGGGAGTGGGAGTGGGAGTGGGAGTGGGATGGATGGATGGATGGATGGATAAAGGGAGAGGGAGGGGAGAAGAGGGGGGAGAGGGAGTGAAAGAGGAGGGTATACCCGAGACATTGTATGTATCTCCAAGGGAGGGAAATTATTACATGGGTCATCATCTTGCTCCTTGTTAGTCCGCCCACTTGGATCTTGGAGAGGATTTAAGATATCGGCATGTGGGACTATTGCCTGCATGCAAAGTCTCCATAGCCTGCATCTGTACTAGCAATCGGTGGAGGCTGTCTCGGGCCTTTTTGCAGGATTTTGGTGAGCCGACAACCTGCATCGTGGAGGAGAGACGGTAGATCTCCTTCTCCGCCGTTAGTGGACGACTCGTGCTAGGATTTCAAGGGTGTATATGCCACCTGGCATGCCTCAGAATCCTTGACGAATCGAGTTTGTGATGATACATTCACAATCATGTCGAATACTACATAGGAGAAGGGGGTGGTTCTGGCCTCCCGCGATATTGCTCCTGACGTGATGTATGCGATGCTACCCGTGGATGGTAGATTGGGTACTCATGACTCACGCAAAGAATGCAGTTTTTCATTGCTTCACTTTGTGTCCTATGCTTTTCCCAACAAAGACGGTGGTTAATATAGCCGACATGAGCTTTGGGGGGGTGTCAAGGAGAGGGGGGTTCGACTATGTGGGCTCTATCTCTTTGCCCTTCACTTGGCGGTCTCGGATGAGGAAAACGTCAATATAGGATGCAAGAACGCGGTGGTTAGGTGGGGGAACATGATGTGATGAGACCTTGACACGACGCCTCCTCTGTCTCTGATGGGCTGCCTCCTGCGAAGCCGTTGAGGACCGGAACTCGAAAGTAAGGATGATCCAAGACTGCTTCCGCGGAAGTGATGAGATTTTGGCGCCTTCAAAGAACTACTAGGAAAATGAGGGGCCACCGGAGAGAGAGAATGGAGTGGCGCCGGCTTGGAATCCAAAGTTCCCCGACTCTAGGCAGATTTTACTTGGGGCATGTCTAGCTCGTTTCTGGGCCAGTAAGTGTTTTCCCATGATCCTCTCGGCCCTGGCCGCAAATCAATGGATGTCATTGTTTGATGGGGGCCGAGGAGATGCGTGTTTATTGGACGGTATCTCTAATGGGGAGCTGGTTAGGAAGAGAATGGCTTCAGGGTTGCGGTTGGGGTGACGGATAGATTAGTGTAGCTTCTGGGAGGGTTGCTGATTGGAGCTGATGGGCTGATGATGGATGGACTGGCATACAGATACTTGCAAGAGTCATGCAATGCTTGACGATGTCGGGTTCCAATGCGGACACCAAAGCGATATGGCAGACTCTTGGGGGCCATGAACATGGAGTGGGCTGAATTGCTTGCCCAGGCATCACTCCCCGCTGCATGTAAATCAGCTAGATACTTGGAAGACGCTGCTTGGCATTCAAAGTGGGCTTTGTTCTAGTGAGAAGTGCTCTTCCGGAGGTCTAGACGCGTTGCCAACTTGTCCTGCATTTCCTCGTTGCCATTCGGTCAACTGGGGGCTCTGTGTACGAGTATCCGTGCCCAAGCCGGGAGTGGATATGCGTCGTGCATGCACTGGCATAGCTACTATGCCCAGGTAGAGCGCACAGACGGATGCCCCCGTACCCGTTAGCTTGTGGGGAGAGATGGGCATCGGAACGTGTGCATACATACTTCAGGCAGACGAGATAGGGGTCCATGTGCCCCTCGTCTATCTCATGGCCACGGCCCCCCGGACGGTAAAGACACGTTGATGGACTCCGCAGAATGGATAGAGATGCAAGCAGCTGGCGTTTAATACCGGTCAGCCGAGAGTCAATGACATGGCTATGGCGTACGATAGTGGATGTCAAAGACCCTAGGGGGTTGCTTTATACCATACCACACAGTATGCGCGAATTCACAAAACAATGTGCATGTTTGAGCTCACTTTTGAGGGGAATTACACATTAGTCGGTTTCTAAACAAGCAGCAAGTGGTTAAATCAATGTGGTATCAGAAATGAAAGGACAGACGGCGTCTTCCCTTGAACGGGACCGAGTGATACTGTGGTATCCGGATGCAGTCACCCAATGGCTCTCATGTCATCCGATCCCCCTTCTCCTCTTTCCAACAGCAATGATAGCGGCCTAGAAGGACACCCCCCTTTGACAGCACCCGCAACACGCCCCTCTTCTCGAGACAAGCCCGTAAGAAACAAAGAAAGCATGGGAGAAAACAGGCAGAGTGGATATTGCACATCCATCCACTAGCAATGACACACGCGCGTACATATGCAGAAAACGACAGGATACTATGGAGGGAGAGAACAAAAGAGACCTACATCTCGCGATCCGATTTGCCCCTAGAAGGGCAGTGCCGGAGAATATTTTCTTACTTCCCTGGCATTTAATATCTGAACCTTCTTCTCGCCAAAGCGGAGCCTTGTTTTCCCCCTGCTGACGGACGGTGGTTGGACGAGAGCGAGACCTGCCGAGACGGAAGCGAGCCGAAGAGACACGCGGCTGGACCGTTGTGGAGGCTGCTGCTGTTGTCCTGGGAGGGGGGTTGACGTTGCGATGCGTTACCCTGAGGGGCACGCTTGATTGGGGAGATCGAAGGGGATGTTTTGTCCGACGGGAGAAGAGAGATTGACGAGGTTGTCTGCCTATTACCTCTCTTCTCTCTATCTTGCGTTATTTTCGTTGGAAAAGACGAAACAAGGAAACGGAACACGGCCTTCCGAACGTTTGATTGGGCTCTTGGGTGTCAAAGCAGGTAGGTGGTTTTGGTTGAGGGAGGGGGGAGGAGGAGCAGACTGATGCACCTGTTACGCCAGGACGGCGAGTAGCGCGGCTGCGGCTGCGAGAACGCGAGTGTTTGTGTTGTGGAGGGGGGCTGCTGCTCCTGTCACGACGGGCGGGCTCTCGTTTGCTGTTGATGTTGCCGTGGGGGACTGGGTGTTTGTCTCTGTTGCCGTGGTTGTGGACGTTGACGTTGCCGTGGTCGTTGAGGGTGCTGCTGATGAAGTTGTCGATGTCGAGGCTGGTGCGCGTCCTTCGTCTTCGGACGAGGGCGGGAGGGAATACGCAGTTAGAGCAGGCGTCCACGTTATCGTCGTCACAGGTCCTCCCGACACCGAGCATTCACTTGCATACTTCGAAGGACTGCCCGACGCTGCGGCCGCACACGGATCCGAACCCGATGGAGCAGACTCCGACTCTGTCTCTGTCACCGACGTCGTCACCGTCACCGTCCCGCTGCCGCCCTCGGCCGAGCCGCCATAGTCCGTCAGAGTCGAGTAGTACGTTTCGAGGATTACACTGGTGATTGTCGTCGAGCGGGAGATTACCCACGTCGTGGTGCGAACAGATACAATGGCTGAATAGGAGGGACGGGGTGTTGCTGAGGGCTCGGCGGCGGTGGGGAGGGGATAGGGAGACCATGTCTCGTCGGAGTATGGGTCTGGCTTCGGGGTAGAGTATTCATCGTCGTCGTCGTCGTCCCAAGAGGGCGTTGCCGTGGGTGTGTCGTAGATGACGCTGGGGGGGAGGACGGCCGAGCCTCGCCATGGGGGGGCTGGGAGGATGAGGCTTGATCTGCGTTGTGTAAGAAGATTGTTAGTGTTGATGGAAGTTGATCGAGGTAGGCCTTTCGCTTCTCTCTGCTTGGCATCTTGACGAGCTGGCAGGGAACCCTTTTGTCGTTGCTGCCTTGGACACGCTCCCATAGATAGAAGATCATACCTCTTTTCGATGTCGCTTGGAACAGCATTGCCAAAGCCTGCAAGGACAAGCCCAGCAAAGAATGATTGCCAGACCATTTCTATCCTCTGTTTCTGAGTCGAGGTATCTTGAGAAGATATTTCTCAGACGAACAAGGAACAACAAGAGTGTAGTGGTATGGAGAGGTTTTTGCACATCAAGATGATATATGCTTGTATGTCTGAATGAAACGGGCCAAGCCCATCTTCAAGTAGTCCAGCGACCAAGTCATAGCATCACAGAATCACTGCCGCAAACACACAATGGTTTCCTTCTTTTTGGGTCTGCTTGCGTGTCTGGTGCGTCATGCCACGGAGTGGTGCAGTTTGTGTGATGTAGGGTCCATACAGGTCTTCCCATGTAGACTAGTATTTCAAGAGTGACTGGCTGTCTACTGCTGTGGCATTTTGTGAACATGAGAGTCACTTTGAGGGATTCATGCTGCGCATGTTTGTGTGATTAGGTGTGATATGTGAGTTGTTTTGGCCGTGTGAGGTGTGCTTTGCGACGAGACGATGCTGTGGTTGCTGGTTTGGAAGGACTATGATGTACTTCGATTCAGAAGAAGACATTGCACGATGGGAGTCAATGAATATTCGAGTTTATGCTCTCAAGATGGCTTGACTAGGTCTTCAACCCTTTGCTACAACATGGGCGACATTACTGCTCGATTCCTCTCCTGGTTCAATGTACGTTTTTCGGGCTTCCTGATAATGCATATTTGAGTTCCTACCAATTTAGAGGAGTGAAGTCTTCAAGTATGAGCAGAGAGGTCCTTGTCATCCTTGCGTAGAGCTCAAAATGGCCAGCTGCGGTCAGATCTAACTGGCATTTACAGGTCGATTGTGCGAGTATCGGACACAGGGTGCCCCATCGAGGGTCATGGGACTCCCACAGGTTTCGATATGCTTATACGTCTTTATTCTTGAGCTTCCTATCTGTGTTGCTTAGCATGTCTGACAAGCTTGATTCATGTTTCTATCCTCGGGTATTTGCTGATGAGCTCTCTTGACGCCGAGATAAATTTAGTGGAAAGGTTACACAAAACTCGCTTAGGACAGAAGCAAGCAGATCCTGTTCTCTGTGGTAAACCATCGTCTTGAAGAGGATCAAGTGCGAGCTGCATCTGTGAGCATATGCGTTGCAGTCTCACATGCAGAGCAATTCCGCCAATCACCCATTGTTGTGCTTGATGGTCTGGAGTCTTTCGTGAAGTACAAACTTCAGATGAATCTTGGGTTTGTCTTGGAACTATCCTTCATCAGGGTCTTCAGGGCGAAATCACAATGAGCTCCAAGACACGAACGTACGATCATCGCCACCACCCGCAACACTCTACCTATAATTGGCGAGAACAGAATGACTTCATCACTATGTCTCTGAAATCCTGACAAAAGGTCACTTCCTGCTCGTAAGGCTTACTCTGACGAGACGAGGCTTGGTTTGTGTCACCCACGAGCTGGAACTGATTGTCATCCCCAGTGGTGTCGACGTTCGGCGACATCCGGACTTTGTCTTTGCTGCCGTGCTGCCCAGAGCTGTGAAACGGCATGCTTGCAGGCTGGGGAGTAAACTAGTTGCCACGCAAAACATTTCGGCTGTTTACTCCAATGAGCGTTGGTTTTGGGTTGGACAGCTGGAGGGGCCTTGTGGAACAATTATGTGAAATCTGTGATTCGCGCTGGCGGCACAGGAAACACCCATGAGGGACTCGAGGGTTTATTGCTTTCGCATTTCTACAAGCCTCCTCGTCATGCTTCCGTTCTCCTCAGTTCTCCAGCAGCAAAGCCAGGTGGGAATTGACTCGATTTAGCACCATGATCCTCTCAAGGAATGTCGACCTCCTCACCCTTGATCCTGCGTTACTTGATCTTGTGAAAGCCGTAAATTTGCATGACTCTCTTTTCACCCTTAAATTGTCAGCTTCAACGGACATTATCGTTCTGACTGACACGAAGTGTATTGAGCTTCGGGTCATGTGCTAGTCATATGAGAAGGACTTGGTATAACTATTGGCATATAGTCACCATCGCCTATGGTTTATGACGAATTGAACCGCCTGTTATCTGCTACCATATATCTTGCAAATGAGAGTCTGGAAAGACGAAAGCTTACGATGAATAGAGACTGAACCACCTGATTGACAAGTAATGGATAAACTCAAACAGACATCCTACCCTGAAAAGTTGAAAGGTATTAGTCTGGTAATGAACAGGGACATGTGCCTTCCAAGCTTAGCTACAAGTTCAAGTATAATACGAGACCATCAAATGCCTCTTGGGAAAACGTGTCACTATATGAAAGCGTTGAGGCACTTGCAATACAGAGGAAGGTAGTTGGAGCAGAACTTGACATCCCTCGGACGGCCCCACTTGCCCCGGACGTGGTCCGCAGTCATCGGAGACGATCCGTCCCCTGGGGGAAAGCGGACTGCTCGAGCTAAGAGAACAGCGTATTGGCAAGAATGTGGAACGAGATTGGATCGTAGGATGGCCTTACAAGGCGCAGAGGAAACAATGCCTCCTATCTCTGTTATAGGTCCTCGTTGAAGACATATGAGGCCACTGTACGAACTCATACAAACTTTCTGAACTCTTGATTCTACAGACTCTGCTACTTCATGGCTCACAGTATCAACATCCCACAGAGCCAATCCTACCAGATCCAGCAGAGCAGAACCTCCATCACGGCAAGAAGGGACAAGAGCAATCAGAGCGAATACGACAGACAGCAGCATCATTCCCTCAGCGTCTGATCCGAAACCAACTACCAAGCGGGCAATGAACAAGGGGGCCGTGATGCCAACCCCCCCTTGCCCAATCTCGTGATTTGCAAGATCAGCTCAGGGGTGGCTTTTGTCGACGGGTCCGGCGCAAATCAGCACTTGTCCATCAACTGGAAATACGTTTGCCCCAACGGCGCTCGAGGTTCTCCTGGTTGAAAGCCAACCAACCGAGAACAGAAATTGAGCGCAGATGCGGTGAATGTTAATTATCTACCGGACGAACTGAGCAACGGCGATTGGGAATAGTAGTAGAAATGCCCCTTAGCGTTGTTCGTTGGGCATGTCTGGGCGGTTATCTTGTTGGTTTGCTGTGCGGATGCCGACTTGCGGAAGCCGTGTGGTGGGTTCAGGCTTGAGATATTGTATGTGTTGGAGTGGAATTGGTAGTGGGCATCTTTTGTCACCAGACTCAACATAATAGACTTGCTTAGATCGGAGAGTGGCACTGAGTCTCTGAGTCTTTAAGACTATAAGCGACATCTGTAGCAAGATGTCGAACCTGGCTTACCTAGGCACTCCGTAGAAACACACGTCTACTCGTATCAGAATCACTGTTCACATTAAAAGACGACAAGATGCTGCCTCGATCCATCGAAAGGCAAACATTCATCCAACATGTCCTCACTCGTAACTCGTCCTGCCAGGACAAGAGGCGGATGTTGCCGGGCCAGTGAAGCCCCAGATCTCGTCTCTCCCCCTGAGAGGAGGACTAGTAGTAATACCACGCTGCCATGTGCCAACACATCCCCCAGACCCACGAACAGCAAAGCAGAAGAAGCATAGTTGGGACATGCACTAACTTCGATTGTGGTCCATCATTCGTCACCAGTGGCATGGTCCGAGGGCCTCTTCTAGTGTCGGTCTGCTACTAGTAGTAGTGCTTTTTGTGCGACACAGTCGGTGAGGACATGACGCAGTTTGGGGGGGGCGGCACAGACCAGGAGGCGGAATTGCATGTGGTTGCTTTTGGGTGATGCTGTGCGGACGTGGGGAGGGGGACATGGGATCGGGAGAGATGTTTGATGCCGGGGCGTTGTTGGTGTTGTTGGATTCGAAATCCGGGGCAGAGGTGATGGATGGCTCACGTGAGGATGCAAGGACGCAGTTTGAAGCATCAATAGCTACTGATACATGGAGCAGTAGGTCTGAATGCTGCAAATCGGTTGCGTAGAGATGCAATACATGTGCTGCTACTACGCATCAATGTCGAGCCCCTTGCAGCCTGACCCATGCTTGAAGAGAAACAAACGGAAAGCTGCATTACACGATAGATCGTCATGCATTTCTTGGTTTCCAAACATGTTACGGAGTCCTTTTTGGTAAGCCGCGAAACAAGACAAGGCCGTGGTTGGCGCAAATCAGGTGCTTGCCGGCGACCCCCCCTTTTCTGTCTGCTGCCGTCCTCTGTAGCGGGTCCCCCTATATGCTATGCAACGTTGTCTCTGGGCCTCAGCCTTGCAGAACAAAGGCAGCCTTTTCGGTCCGACTCGAAGGAAGCCCGCAGTTTGCAGTCCTGCGGTTTAGGACGGAATACTCCAAGACACCGGCACTTGAGGCAGTAGTAGCAGAGCAGCAGAACCAGTCTTTGGAGAGAGGAGGGACGAGATGAGACAACTCACCTGAGAAAAGGGCTGGAGCTGAACTGAATCCTGCTCAGCCACGGCGCAGCCGTTAAAGGTAAGAAATGATGGACTTGGTGTAGGTTTGAGTTTGACAAGGTGTGGCGCATGTGCTGCGTCTCTGTCTGCCATTTGAACGCCTCTTTTCTCCTCTTTGGGATCTAGATCGACGAACAATGAAATTCAGCCAATGCGATCTCCTGAGGCTGAAATTCTTCCCTACGGAATGGAAGCATATTCGAAGCCATGCTAACGCTGTGAGTCTGGACCGGACTCGTCAAGCCAGCCAAGTTGCCGAGGTTAGTGTCAGGACGAGAGAGAAAAGAAATTTGATACTTTTTTGAATGTCATCAGCAGATGGTGGCACACTGTGGGCTCGAGCCTTGTCCGGAAGGGGACACAGTGGCCGGGCTGATGAGGGTTGGAGGCGTTGGTCACGCTCGAGGGAAAAGGTACGAGGACGAGTACATCCAGCCGGTGCCCGAGATTAAACGGATCGCGGCTGTCTGATCGTGAATCGTCGCAAAGAGACTGATGGACGTGACGAGTTTTGTTTGTTCCGTGGCTGCCGAGGCTGAGACATTTAGTTGTAGATGAACATTCACTTGTCCTTCACAGCCCTCTTGAAGCGGCTGCTATTTCTGTCGAGACCTGCAGCAGGGTGAGATGCCTCTGTCGATAGGACAGGCAGCTGCTGTGCCGTTTCTGCAGCCGGGAGAATGGCCTGAGTGGCTTTTCCTTTTTCTCTCACATTGTGCCGTGGTCTGCTCGTGTCTCTGGGGATGCCGTCAGCTGGCTGTGATTGGTGGACGGCGCAGACGAATCACCAGAAGGAGGGCTAGAAGGATGAGGGAGATGAGCGAAGAATTCATGGCCAAGATTACTGCCGCCGGTGATTGGTGGAGGGCTCACGAGTTTCCACCCGTCCAGGAGCAGGGAGGGACACACAAGAAGAAGAATTGGCGTCTGCGGCTTTGCTCAAATCCGGGGTACGAAATGAAGCAGCGCATTGTCGCAAGTTGGTTGGAGCTTCTCATGATGATTGACAAACGGCGTCATGCGTTGGGCCTCTCTCTGGGTAATAAGAGGTCAGCCATCATGTATGTAGTACTCGTATCTTCTCGACGCGTGCCCGCCCTGAGTCGCGTCTGTCTCGTCCTACTACCTAGAAGTAGTGTCTGTATTTTGCCTGCAAGAATACCGACAAGTCTTTGGCTGGCATGCTGCTCCAGACGGGTAAAAGGGCGCTGACTGCAGGCGCATTCCCCCCCCAGTCCCCGTCGCTCTGCTCGAGTCCCAGTCTGGTAGGTGACATGCCGTGCCCATCTCGACAACTGACAAGCCAGGAATAGCATCGGCTGTCGGACTGCCTCTCCTTGGCTTGCGCAAGGTCTGGCGATGGTCGTACCAGCCCATGCGACCGGCGTGAATCGATGGCTGCCAGTTCATCTCGAGTCGAGTCGAGCATCAGATTCGACGAGGGACCGCTGTTGGAAACCTGAATGGGCACAGAGTCAATCAGTCTGTCAGTCAGGTAAGTTGGCAAGGTATTGACCTCGACTGGCAAAGAGTACTTGTCACTGTAATTCTACCGGAAACTCGGGAAATCATGGTTGTTGCTTGGCATGATTCGCCACAGAAGTGTCGTATGAAACGAGGCGCACTAACGGAGACGAGGCGCCTCCTCCTCTTTGTTGGCGAAGCAGCCCAATTGAATCCAGGCACGTCCGGCACGGTACATAATAGAAGCCACCTTGAGAACGGAGGACTTGCACAGTGAGTAGGTACTGTATTATGTGAAGAACTCGGCTGGTACCAGTTGTCTCGTGATGCCGTCGCCATGTTGGCTCTGCTGCGACGTCTGATGGAGAGCAGCGTCTCTACTGTACATAGACACCTGCTCGACACCCCGCGGCATTGAATGGCCTCCTCCCTGCCTCCGTCGCAGCACAGGTGCCTGGTCAAAGATCAACCCGCGCAAATGCTTCGATTCGATGCGACCCTGCGGCCTGCCAGCCTGGAACCTTACGATATGCACATGTACCGGTACGCGCAGTCCCTGCTGGGCATCATGACAGGCAGCTCGTCAGACACGCAATGCCCAAAAAAGCGGCAGCCCACGGTTGAGTGCTGATTGGGTGAGACGGACGTCAGAACTGCGTACAGTACCGGTACCTGCTCCTCTCGTCACCTCACCCAAGCCTCTTTGAATGTACTCCGTGCCGCGCAATGCCATTGATGGGATTCTGGCTTCTGGCTTCAGGCTCTGGCTTCTGGCTCCTGGAGCGGCATGACCGAGAAGCGCTGTTTGCATAGCCTGGCGGTGTCGCTGCGAATTTAGCCTCGACGCTGGCAGCAGGCGTGTGAGCGAGCTTAAGTTCACACTGTCGATGGCAATTGGACGCATCAGTCATCACACAGTGCGACTATGCCCCGCTAGCCTGCTGAGCTAGACCATACGCAGTCAAGTGCCAGCCCCGGCTTCCGCCAGTTTTGTGCCACTGCTCCCCGATGCCTGCAGGCGCGCTGAAGAAAAAAAGGCAGCCAGGCAGTCGTAGCCGAGGAGCCCCAAGCAACACAGTGCAAGTCTTACGTTGCTGCGCCCACAAAAAACCCGCGCTCCTGAGAGGCACATCAGCAACATGGCAGCACAGGCGGTGATGCTGCGGTGGACGGGCCAGGCAGTTGCGCGACAGTTCCAGCGCGTCTTCCAGCAGTCTTGCAGCGCTCAGCTCGCTGCTCCGGGCCGTCGCACAGTACAGGCAGCCAGCAGCACGCACGGCTCATCTCGTCGGCGCCAGCCCGTCTCCGCCCCCGCCTAAACCCCAAGGAGCAGCACCGTCACCTCACCAGGTCTCTCCTCTCGTCTCCTCTCCAGCTGCCTCAGCCCTGGCCCCAGCCCAATTTCTGCGGTCCCGCCCCCGGGGGCTGTAGTACGTAGGTACCTACCTAGGTACCTGGTAGGTTGTGTGGTTGTGTGCAAGGTGCAAGGTTCCCATTGTCATCCATGCTCCCTCTCTTGTCTCTGGCCCTGTCCCCTGTCCCCTTCATTCCAAGCCCACTGTGCGTGTTCCGGGTTGTTTTTACGTACTGGCGCCCCCCCAAAAACTGCCTGAATCCCCATACTGGAGCCCGTCGAGTCCTTTCCCCTTCCCTTCCCTCTCCATTCTCCTCTCCCGCTGCTGACTGACCCATTTCTTTTCCTCCTCCAAACTCGTCTCTGTTCCGTCGCCAGCGAGACAATCGCGCAAAACCGCCAGCAAACGCTCCTCGATCGCCGCGTCCACGGCCTCACTCTCGCGGCGCTCGTCCAGCGTCTCTGCAACCCTCGTGAGCCCTCCCGCCCGACTCCCTGGCTCTTCGACCCCAGACTCCGCCTAATAAGCGACTCTCCCCGCGTTTTTTTTTCCTGGCCCGCATTCGAAAGGGCCGAATATCGTACATAGACATACATGCCCTCAACCAAGACCTGACCTCGAATCTTGCCGTCCGCACCCAGGCCAAGCCAGACCAAAGGCCGCCCTAAATCACCTGGCACTGCACCAGTCGCTGCACGGCGGCCGTAGAATCGACGCTTTGCTCTGCTTCCCCGCAGATCGAGAGGAAGCGATCTCGCTCGACCAACTCGTCCTGGAGGCCGGACCAATTCCCTGCTTGCCTTTGCCATAAGGACGACGTCTCCCCAGGCATCGCGCCGCTTCAGCATCTCGAATACCTCCCCCTTCCACACGCGGCTTGTCTCTCGTCTCCCGCCATCATGACATCGGCCGTCAAGCGGGCGTGCGACGCCTGTCACCGGCGCAAGGTCAAGTGCGATGGCATCAACCCGTGCCGCAACTGCTCGACCGCCCAGCTCTCATGCACCTACAATGCCATCCCCCAGAAAAAGGGCCCCAAGGGCTCGCGCGCCAAGATCATCAGCGAGCTGCGCGAGAACCAGCGCCAGACGAGCCTCGCCGCAAAGGTCCACAACCGCATCAACAGCGCCGCCGGCACGCCCCCCGACCCGAGCTCTGCGCCCACGCTCGGCATGCTGACCAGCGACATGGTCAAGGAATGCCTCAACTTCTTCTTCGACAACATGAACGCCCAGGCGCCCATCCTCGACCGCGGGCTCGTCGAGCAGCAGGTCCTCTACATGGAGCAGAACCGCGACGCCTACTGCCTGATGGCTTCCATGTGTGCCTTTGTCCTGCTGCAGCCCGGCATGGCCATGCCCTCCGGAGAGCCCTACAACCTGGAGCTGGTCCCCGGCGCCAACATTGTCGCTTCCCAGCTCCTGGCCGAAGAGGCGCTGCGAGTCCGCAAGGGATACGACTACCTGGACCAGATCACTGCCAACGCCTTGGCGACCAACTACTTCCTCTTTGGCTGCTGCTACGCCCAGGAGATGCACGAAAAGGCGTGGTTCTATCTGCGCGAGGCCACCACCATGATCCAGATGGCCGGCATGAACATGGATAGCTACTACCAGGGCTTCGATGCCGCCGAGGCAGCTCGTCTGCGCCGAATGTACTGGCTGTTCTTTGTCATTGAGAGGTTTGTAGTAGTCCTAATTGCTTCATCCTTGAGACGGTCAGCTAACCCGCCTGGAAACACAGGGCATATGCCATCCAGCGACAACGTCCCCTTAGTCTGCAGGCCACCATCGCTCTCCCCAGTCCCGCAGATGACCCCCATGACCCCTTTGCCCACCAGCTCAGCGGCTTCATTCTCCTGGTGAACCTCTTCCAGCCATTTGATGACGCCTTCACCAATGCCTGGAACAAGACCCGCAGCCACCTGTCACCCCAGTACATCAGCAAGCTCCAAAAGGAGCACAACGAGTTGATCCAGGGCTACATGTGCCGCGACCCATCGTGGGACAATGTTGCCTCCAACCAGGAGTGGCTCAAGAACACGGTGTGGCAGCTGACCAACAGGGTCGTGGGCAACAATGCCGAGCAGTCCTTTGGCTTCCAGCATCCCGTCAACATGTCGAGGGAAATGCTTATGAACATGGCCTCGCATTTCCCCGGCCAAGGCATGGAGCTCCTCAAGTCGGGGCTCATTGAGAAGCTCATCGAGTGTGCCTACTCCATGACGGAGTACCTCGGCATGCAGGCGCCTTCCCGCGACCCCTTTGCCGTGGGACCCCAGCAGTACCTGGCTCAGATCATTGCCATTGTGGCCGCCGCGAGGGGAGACGACTACCGCTTCCTGCCCCTTCTCATGAGCAAGGTCAGCGAGATCCTCCCTCGCCTGGTGGATCCCATGCTCCGCGACGCTCCCGAGGCGGTCACCATGGCCAACCTCGACATCTTTGACGGTTTCGGCAATGCCGGCATGGCCCAGCCGCCGCAGATGCCACTGATGGATGCCGACTTTGACCGCAAGTACTCCATCGAGGAGTACGACAAGAAGTTTGCCATGGACATAAATGGAGGCTTGGATCCCCACGGCAACCCGAGCTCGACGCCCGTGGCCCGCCAGCCTTCGGAGATGACCGCGTCCTTTGTCAGCTCCCCGCCGATGATGTCTCCCACGTTGGAGTATCCTCACGGCATGAACGGCTATGCCTGCACGCCCATGCCGGGCATGGTTATGAGTCCCATGGGCAACCAGTCGCATCAGCACATGGGCCAACCGTCGCCCAACCATTGTCCCGACCCCATGGGCCAACAGCACATGAACATGGTGACGCCGCCCAACATTGCATCTCCGCAGAGCATGGTATCGCCCAACCTGGCGTCGCCGCAGCACATGGGCGCCGGGCAGAATATGCGGCCAGGCATGCAATCGAACATCCACATGGGCAACATGGTCAATATGCGGCAACCGCCGCAGCGGCAGGGAAGCTTTGCGATGCCGAGCCAGCCGCAGCAGCAGCACTTTCACAACATGAATGCAATGACGGGCGAGCTCAACTTCAACACACTGCGGTAGCCTCCATGGCGCCAAGGCTCTTTGCTCGATTGTTGTATCAATACTCTACTCTCTTTTGTGTGGCCTTTTTTCTGTTCCACTTGCAAGCTTGCTTTGCTTCGATTCTCTGTCCTTAACTTCTTTTGCTTTTGGAACTTTTTTTTTCCTTTCCTACATTCCCTTTGTTCAAAGATTTTGACTCGTTTAAACCGAGATCAAACGTATGATGACGACTACTGAACAAAATGCAAAGGGGCTTTGCTAATGTTGGGGTTTGGCTTTAATGGACGGCGTTTTGGGAGGGTTAATGCAGGCATTGGGCACACGGGATTTGGACAGGATGGGGCGTTGAACCTCTTTGCTTTCCGCTTCGATTCGTTCTCTGGAGTCTTTCTTTTAATTGGGACATGTACAGCTTGGATACATGTGGTTGTGGTAGATTAAGACATTGAATGGCTTATACCTGACTCGTTTCCTGCCATGTGATGTGGTGTATTCTTCTGACGCGTCTGTCTGCACGCCCCTTGAGGCTCATGTGCAAGTTCACGATGACTTTGTATCTCGAAAAAGGACATTCGATGTGACAGTAGACATGAAGCTCTGCCAGAAGAGGAGCCGCGTCCTATTTGGTGTAGTGGACGACACCAAGTCGATGATGCCTGCCCGTGAAGCTGAACAATGTCTGGGATCCGTCCCTCTTTGCCTCGACCCTACTCTTTCTTGAACCGACCCTTGCCTTGTACATACACAATCTTCATCTCCGAGTGAGTATCAATCAATCAACCACATCATCAATGGGGGATGCCCAACGCTCATGGCAAAAGCCGCCTAAAAGGATGTGCCTCGGTGTTGAACACCCACTCATCCAGACTGACGTCGTCCCACGCCGCAAACACGAGATAAAAGTACTTGAGAGTCTCGCCCATCCAAAACGACTCCATCGAGTCCGCCATGCCGGGATCCTCGCCCATCGGGCGGGTGACGTCCCAGACGGCCGAGTTGGCCAGCCGGGTGCTCGTCGTGGCGTTGATGGCCGTGAACATGTCCCACGCGGACTCCATGAGGGACGGCTCGGCCGTGGCGCGGTAGGAGACGAAGACGCTTTCGATGGCTTCGGGGCGCAGGATGTAGCGTCTGTCGGGGATGGAGGTGAAGCCCTTGGGGAGGCGGTCGCGTGAGATGATGGCGTCTGCGTCGTCGTCGTCGGATGCCTTGTCCGCCGCGTCCTTTGCGGCGCGGGCGAGGACGCCCCTCTTCCAGGAGGCTTCGTCCCAGGCGCAGGTTGACGAGGGACAGGGCAGCATGAAGAAGGTCTCGGGCATGATGCCGCGCGGGAGGGCCTTGTAGGTCCATACGCAGCCGTCGACGAGCCTGCGCGCGGCATCGAGGTCTTGCTGTCTGCCGAAGAGCTTCCCGCCGAGGGTGAGCAGGCCGCCGAGGAAGCAGACGAGGTGCTGGCCCTGGGGCTCGAGCGTGGTCTTGACGCCCCCGTCGGCCTTGACGGTGCCGGCGACGAGGATGTCCTGGTTGGAGGGCGTCATGGGGCGGAAGAGGTTGTGCTTGAGGGCGGTGGCCATGGCGGCCTCGTACATCTCGCGGTAGACGGGCAGCTGGCCGCCTGTGAGGGCGGACATCTTGGGGAGGTACTCGTATACGCTGTCGGCCATGGCGCCGAGGGTGAAGGTGTCGCCGACGCTGTAGATTTCGTCCTGGGCGCTGACGACGAGGGGCCAGAGGCCCGGGAGGGCGGTGGCGTTTTGCTGCGCGGCCATGCCCTCGGTGATGCGCTGCACGGCGTCGAACCACTTGGGGTCGCGCGTCAGCATGGACAGGCGGGTGAACTCCATGGACAGGCTGCCAATCTCCGCGACGAGGAGGCCTGCCGGGGCGACCTGCTTCTTGCCGGCCATGGCGGCGTGGATGGCCCAGCGGGTGATGGGCATGCGGTTGGGCGTGTCGAAGGCGTGGTAGAGCATCTCGCCGACCTCGACGGCTTTGGAGAGCAGCCGTGCGTCGGCGCTGAGGTCGTACGCGGAGAGGAAGCCGCCGAGGTAGCGGATCGTCGTCTCGAAGACGTTGACCTCGTCCAGGTCCGTCTTGGTGAAGTCGATGGAGGCTGCGGCGGCGACGGCCTCGTCAAACTCGGGCTTCATGTCCATGAGGTAGAGCGTGTCGAGGGAGTCGACGAGGGTGGCGGCCCAGCCGCCAAAGGGGTTCTTCTGCCCGCCTGAGACGGGGGCGAGTTCGTCTGCTTTCCATGCGTGGCGTTTATACGAGGCCCAGCACTTGGAGAAGACGTCTTTGACGGCCGTTTGACGCTGGAGGCGCGTCTTGAGGGCTTCTGGTAATTCGGACGGCGAGGCGGCTTGGATTTTGGGGAACTTGAGGGGGGAGGTTGTGGGTAGAGGGCGGATTTGCTTGGGCGGGTAGTTTGTGGGGAGGGTGGTCCAGAAGTAGGATTCGTACTGGGGAGTGCGCCAGACGGGTGGTGGTGATGATGATGACGGAGTGGTTGATAGGGTTGATGAAGTTGAGGATGTCCAGAGGTAGAGGAGGAGGAGGGTGGTGATGAGGGCGATGCCGGCGGTGCTTCGGGGGCGGATGAGGGGCATTGTTGCGATTTTTTACGGCATGGATGCTTCTATGAGAGGTGCGGAGATGATGAGAATGATGGCGGTGATGAGATATTGAGGAATGAATTGAGTGAGTGAGTGATTGTATGAAATGAGGTGGATGAAGTCGGAAGTGTGGGGGTTGACGATGCTGATGCCCCCCCTGATGGAGGCTGCGATAGGTAAGGTATGCAGAGGTTGGAGGATTGACGTCAGTGTACATCAAACGATGGCGTTGCACAAATGGGCGCTCAAGGGGGGAAAGGCTGGCGAGGCTGATGGCTGCTGAAGATGTTACAGGCCTCTACGGTAATAGAGCAAGGCTCGCGTGAAGGAGCATGAATTGATTGGAAATTGAGGGATTTGGTGGTGCTGCTGTTGTTGTTGTTGGTTCGGGTCTCCGTACATGTACTAAAACGGCGGTGTTGAGATTGGAGGCGTTGTTCTTTGCTGTTGGGCGCCGCATTGGGAGATGAGATTGGACACATCGATAGAGCAAACCGCTTCAGGAAACGACTGCGGCTCTTGCCCTGCTCTGTTTCACGGGTAGTGCATGTATTTACTTGTCAGGGGCCGGTTCATTCGCTGCGGCTTCATGTCGTTCGGCGCCTATTTTCAGCCCCCATTTGCAGCTTCAACTTGTCCTTGCACATAGCCGCCTTGTATATCCGGATTCTATATGCGGCTGGTCTTGTATGCATCGCAATTGTAACATCTAGGGCTTTTTACTTTTCATTGTATGTAAAGTACGAGCCCAGAAGCAATCGCTTCGGTAACGTACATCTCAGAAACAAAGAGCAGCGCATGTTTGCTTCATACGATCAACATGGATTTGTTTCCCACCTGCATTCCGCCCAGACATATAGCGCAACTAACAACAACCCGCTCGACCCATGACAGCCTAAAAAAGCAACGAAACCTCCCCCCCCCCCCCCCCCCCCCCCCAGTCCCTGTCAACTGATCGTACCTAAAGACCCCTACCAATACGCTTTGCCAGGTATCAATTGGTCTGTTCCTCGTTGCTTTGTTGTTCCGCTCTTGTGGCATGGTTCCCACTTATAGTAAGACGAACCCTTGCTTTTGCGTGTGGCTCATGGAGACTGTGAGGCTCTGTTGTCAGAGGAGCAGTGTAAATGTATGGAGACTATGTCATTTCGTAGGGGATACTCCGTAGACGAGATGGAGTCGAATCCTTCTGTTATGCCTGTACAGCTGTTAGTATGACTGGAAAGCTTTGCAAAGCGGGAGCGGCTTGTGTCTACACCGATTCCCTGGGTCGAGCCTCGCGAGTGGGAGTGGCCGTGTTGGGCCATTGATCAGTTTCACCTCCTGTTCTTCTGGAACTCTTCTTCCTTCTCCTCTGATCTTTTCCCTTTCTTTTCCTTTTGTTCCTGCGTCGTTTGAATTTGATCCTGCTCGTTTGCCTGCTTGTTCCCACTCTTTGCAGTATCTGAGCTGGGCTCAGTATGCCATTACAGTCACAATCGCACACGTGGAGGACTATCATTTCATGACACGCAGAGATCGACTCGCATCTACAACCCCCAACATGGCCATCATTAGCAAATTCTTCTCTCGCCCTCTCCTCGCTCTCCTCGTCACCCAGTCCAGCGCCCTCTGCTTCTATCCCGATGGCACGCCCGCCCCCGGCGACGTCCCCTGCACCGACAGCACCGCCAACTCCGTCTGCTGCGGCACGGGATACGCATGCCTCTCCAACGGCATCTGCCAGGCCACGGGCGACGAGCTCAAGAAGCCCGGCGCGACCGAGTTTGTGCGCGGCAGCTGCACCGACAAGACGTTTCGGAGCTCCTCGTGCCCGTCTTTCTGCGGGACGCCGGGCCAGGACAATGTCGGCGGCGGAGAGGGCATGGCCAAGTGTGACAACACGAAGCAGGATCTGTATTGGTGTATCAACGCGGCGAACATTGCGCTGCAGGAGAAGGAGGATCCGTGTAGTGATCAGGATGCTGTGGTGTTCTTTCCAGGTATGTAGGGAAGGGGGATGGCATTGCTGAGGAGATGATTGTCTGGGCTGATGAGAGGGAACTCGGAATGACTGACTTTGTGATAGGAACGCCTACTGTGCTTACAACCATCAATGTTGCTCCAAAGCCTACCAGCACGAGCACGAGCACGAGCACAACCTCAACTCCAACAACCATGGCGACATCAACGTCTTCATCATCAGCATCACCCACAAGGACTGGCAGCCCAGACACGGCAACAAGCACGTCAACACCAACCTCACAAGCCGAAACCTCACCGACAACGGAGCAAAAGAAGTCATCCAACGCGGGCGTCATAGGCGGCGCAGTAGGCGGCTCCCTAGGCGGTATTGCCGTCATCGGCATTCTTGCATTCATTTTTCTGCGCAGACGGAGAGGAGGAAGCTCAAAAGCGACGGTTCACGAGATGGATTACACGCCCGTGGAGCCGAAGCCTTCGCCCTCGGTAGTTGTGGATCCGATGCAGGCGTATGGCGGAGGAGTTGTTCACGAGGTGCCTGGGTCCTATTATGCGCCTCCGAAGGAGCAGAGACAGGAGCCGCCTATGGAGTTGCCGGCTTGAGTTGCAATGGCTGGGAAGAGATGGATGGGGAGAGACGGGTGGGAGTTGTGTGTGTCACTATGATTTTACGACTTTGAAGTGTTGCTGGCTGTATATCTTGGATTATTACTTGTTCCTTAATATCGTATGAAGCTATATACCCTGCGAGCAATTCTTTTACCTTCTTTGATATCACAGATTCCTGGTGCATCTCGTGCGAGGGTGCATATTGCAACAGTAGGCCTGAACCACGCAACCTGATGCTAGTACTGGAGTTCGAAAGGGCTCCCAGCAAGTCCATGAGCCGAAGCCAAGCAGCTCCACCTTGTGATGGCTTGGAGCGGCACGCGATACCCTGGCTTGCTCGCTTAGAACGCGGTCACTGAGCAGGCTCCCCCTGCATAAGGTAGATAAGTCATTAACCGAGGTCTTCTGAAGACTTTTGGTTGAAGATTGAGCTGGCTGGGACTGGGATAAGGCTCCTGTTGCAGGGTGTATATTCAGAGGCTGGTATGACTAGGACAAATTAGTTTGGGGAAGCATGAGTGAAAAGGTCGGGGTTTTGGATCCTTTTGGTGGTCAAGTTGTCGTTGATGGCGCTTAGGACAACTCGCCAAGGGAGCCAAGAGTCTTCGTCGAGCGAGCTGCTCCACCACATGGATAATTATGGCAGCCAAGCTGGATCCTATCAGCTCACGTGGGATGCAGACGAGTTGCTCTGTTTTCTTTTGGTCTTGTATCTAGCCCTGTGCCTCCTGGGGGAAATCATACTCACGGCGAGAGAAGCTGATATTCTTGTCAGGTGATTCATGGCTGAGCGTGGGATCATACTTGAGAGGTGGTGATGGTTGAAGTGGTCTTATAGAGTGATACAGCAAACCATTGTTCATTTCCTATTCTACTTGAAACTGGGATGCGCCTGACAGGCTTGACGGCGCAACTGCAAGTGGCTCAATCATTGAAGGGGCGCGTCGTTTTGCGGACTGCAGGGTTCTCCGGCAACTGGAAGAACGTCGTGTTCCTCCATATGCCAGCACTCTACACTGTTGGTGTCGCTTTATGTCTTTATACAAGCGCAGCCACAACACGTATATTGGAAGATGGGTATGCCTTGTGTTGTAAGTGATGCTACACCAAGGCCCTTGGTATAATTGGATTCATCCTGCGATAGTTGGAGGTAAATGTGGCTGAATTTGGCTTGCAACGACTGTTTGAGTTTACTAAAGCCTTGGAGCATTAACTGAGGTCAACAGCCAACACTCCTCCATCGCCACAGACATACCCTATATATGGCTTCAGACGAGGTACTTGAGCACCCATCCATCTTCGAGTACTGTTGTATTCCTTATGCAGAGTTCGGCCTACGCAGTGAACGAACGGCTTCCTGATGTCTAGTTACTCCATTCCTCTGATCAGGTAGTAGATCAGCCACGCTGCTAATTCTTTAGCCCTGCCACTGGATCGGTTCGCCGGCGTAACGGACGAAAAGAGGCTTTGGACGGCGCTCTTCTTCGTCCATCAAGTTGCTCTTTTAGGTAGGTTCTGGAAGCATGGCGGCGGGCAAATGTGGGAATGGCGTTTTTTGTCTGAGTCGTGGTGAACTACTTACCTACACAGCGACCTCCTTTTTCTCTACTCTTTGACGTTATAGAAACACGGAAACTGAAGACCGTCACGATGCTTCGTATAGACAATTTGTAACGTTCAAGGTACTTGACAGAGCCTATGCTGAAGAACGTCTGATCCTTTGACACACATGTCAATGTCGCCCCCTCTTGCCAAAGACTTCAGCAGCTTGGGCACTAAATGCTCCTTATTGATCTTCTCAGTCAATCACATGGATATCACATCAGACAAGAGGCTATTGATGGAGATGGACTATATTGAATGACAAAGCTTCTGCTCTATGCAATTACCCGTGACCCATCCTACAACAACAACACCCAACCATTCCGTCTTAAGCAGCAACAAGAGACTATCCAGCGCACCGCAATGAAGCTAGACGATCCAGCGTCTTCACACCTCATTCGATGTCAGTTCGATGATAGACTTCGGCTTGTCGTTGTTCATCCGAACTAGGAGCGCTGCAGCAGATATACTCAACCTCGAACCTGGACAAGTACTCCTACTCCTTCGACATGCGGGAGCTGGAGAAAGCGTTCGCTTCGACAGGTGCGAAACCAGTCTTCGAGGTATTGGAAGCAATGGAAGAGGTCATGTCAGGCGAGCCGTTGGACTTGGAGTCCTTCGCATCGGCAACCCCATTAGACGTAGCGTCGGAGCTCTGCTTCTGGGCAATGCGCTCCTTGCGAGCTACAAGAGGATGAGGACTGTTTAAGTCAGCAATAGGGCTATCGCTCTTCTGGTCAGGGGACTCAAGATCGGGAGAGGTATCGCGAGAGCCAAAGGAGCTGGGCGCCCCAGAAGATGAACTGCATCCGTAAAAGGGGTCGTATTCGGACGAATGTTCAAGCGAGCTGTCATAGCCAGGGGCGCTCTCGTAGCCAGAGCAGGTGTCGTACTCGGAAGAGTCGTTGGATTCGGACGCGGACTCTTGGTTGGAGGTTTGGATGAAGTGGCGCGAGTTGATGTAGCTGTTGTCGTTTCGGCTTTGGACACGACGGCGGTGGTGGTTTTGCTTGGGGAGGCGGTTTGCTTTGGTCATTGTGGACGGTGTGGTTGGGTGTTCTGGACTGGGGCTTGATGGGGATGCTTTGGTAGGTAGTGAGTTTGTGATGTATTGGATGATTTGGTGATGGTTGATGATGGCTTCCTAGGGGAGGGCTATCGTCGGGATTTATCTACATGGAAGAGCGTGAAGCTCGCCAACGCCGGTGATGTTCGTTCAATGGTGGTTGAACACACCGAGGCATAGAGGATCATGTTCACTACTGTGTTGTCTACGGAGCAGCTCACGGGTATGTCTGAATGCAACTTGCGTTCAGGATACATGATATTCCGCATACTTTCGGGTTGAACTCACGATGCATGGTTCAAATGTCTAGGGATGGTTCAAAGAAGAGCTATACCTAATGGTGCAGTCAAAGAGTCTGGATAGCGAACAGGAAATGATAGAGTAGAGTGTGTGTACACATACGCTTCCTTTGTTCAGAATTACCTGCAGGGACTTGGTGAGATTGCAGTTACACCGACCATCCTCCTGTCCTGGAAAAGTCCAATGTAATGGTGAGCGATTTCGACGTTGGTTCAAAGAAACAACCTCAAAGAACACGGCGGCACATGATCCTGCAACTTGCCGCACATAAATTGAACAGCTCTCAGCCCCAAAATAGTAGAAGCACTGCTGCCCAATGCACCTGAATTAGACACGGATAGCTGCTTGCCTTTGCCTTTTCTGCCTTTTCTGCCTTGGCCCAGAAGAAAGGCCATGGCGCAGCTCAATGATGCGTTCAATCTGCTGCCTGTTAGGCGCCAAGTGAACTGCATGTGTGTATGTATGTAGCCGCCCAGTCTGCCTAATGTAGACAAACAATTGATCATATGCCCATCATGGAGAATGGCCCTTTCCCTACGCGTTTCCCTTCCACGCCATCTGTGTGACACCGTCAGGCTTCTCTTGTGTGACTCGGGGCTCAACGGACGATGGCAAGGCTCCCACCAGCGTCGTTGCTCCCTCGATACCCAAAGGCGTAGAGGAAGCAAGTGGAGGAGTAGCAATATTGGTTCACGCTCAGCAGCGACGGGCAAGAACAACAATAGCATGGCATTAAACTCGAAGAGTAAATACAAAGAGCAAACTGTAGGAAAGAATGACAAAAAATCAGGCAATAACGTCGTCGGCCGTAAACAGAGAAATCATGAACAAAAACCCATATGCTCCCTTCCATATCGTCGGGGATCCAGCTTCTCAAGCTATCCTGTGACTACGCCGCTGCACCCAGCCCTGCCAGGATAACGACCATGTCAAAGGATCTAGCCATGCCGTGAGCAACTGCATTGTCTGGCTACGCCGCTGCCTCCGACCCTGTCAGATTGACGACCATGCCAGAGACAATGAGATGCATCACAAACGACTACCAGTTGGCAATACTCAAAGGCTGTCCGCTGCCCCCGGCCCTGCCAGGTTAACGGATATGCCCTTGAGTCAACTGAGACTCGGAACCTGGATCCTCATCAGTAGTAGTTTACTTCTTGTTGACACTGCGCGTTGCAATGCCATCATGACCAAGATACCACAGTTCACACTTGCCACCTCGTCTAGAAGACCGTGTAGAGAGTAGAAAGCCTTCCAAGTGTTTGGCTTGAGGGCCGGAGTCTTGCTCTTTGCGGTGCCTGTGGCCGTGGTTCTTCTTCTTCTTCTTTCTCTTGTCAAGGGGTGGCATTTGCTTCTCGGAAGACTGCGGTGCGTGGCGTGCCTCGATGCCCGGGCGAGTGGCTGGAGCTTTGCCCTTGTTCAGTCGCGGGCGGGAGGAAGATGCTCCCATCCACCGAGGAGGCGGCGAAGCTGATGACGACCTTGAAGAAGGACTGTATCTTTGTGTGATGCCACTCACGCTTGCCTGTCTGGCCATAGGCTCGCGAGTGTTGGGCTTGCTGGGGCCGGCGGCCTCCTCTGGTTGAGGTGCAGGTCGAGGTGCAGGTCGAGGAATGGATATGAGATAGTGTGCTCCAGGTGCAGGTGCAGGTGCGGCGGCAGGTTGCTGGACAGCGTCTCCATTGACGGAAGAGCCTGGGCTCGGCAGGCCGTTTCTCTCCCGCTCGTCTTCCGAGTCCGTTTGAGGCCATGCAGCAAAGATAGCACGGACTTCGTTGGGAGCATTGCGAAACGCCTGCTGAAACGGAGTCGGCGGCGGTCGCGGTTTGTAGACGTGCTTTTTCCACTCGAAGTTGAGCTTGGGCGGACTCTTTCCTCGGCCCAGGGCCTCAAAGGCTTCCAAGTCGAAGTTTTCCCAGTCTATCTGGATTCGTTTCTTTTCTGGCCCGTGAGCCTGGCTCCAGTCGGCATAGTCCGCCGCCTTGCGCTTGTTGCGACGCTCGGGGCCTGGGGCACCATGAGCGCCATGAGCTTCCAAGGTTGCAGCGTTGGCAGAGGCAGGGGCAGGATCAGAAGAAGAAGAAGCAGAGGCCGAGGCCGAGGCCGAGGCAGAGGCTTTGGGAGCCGCCGAGGACAAGAGGGCTGAAGATGCGGTGCCAGCGTCGAGTGCTTGAGTATCAGGAGCATCATCGAGCGGCTCCAGCTTGGGCTTCTTGCAGGACTGGGCTTGCTCGCCATCAACAACAGACTTTCTCTTGTTCATGATGACGGTGGTATGAGGATGTGTGTTGAAAAGATAAAGACTGTTTGGCACTGGCGCTCTCTTGATCTCGTAGTGCTTTTGGCTTGGAGTAGAACTCACTGGAGGATGGAGGAAGGGAGAGTTGGGAGAGGAGCTCCCGAGGTGATTTGGCTCCCTTTTTCTTTGCTCAGATGCTGCCATCGCCGGTCGTTGCACAAAGAGCCGCCACGTGATGCTTGTCGCTGCACTTATGCAATGCTCAGCCAACAACATAGAATAACAGCCAACGAGTTCACCAACAGCTTCAACTTTCGCAACTTGTACGACGGACAAACAACATCCTGGGGCTGAATCCCAACTACCTGATAGTCTGAATAGGGGCATTGGGCGTCGCCCGTATCACCTCACGCCCCTCTGCCTAGAAGTGTTTGCACTTGTATCACTTCGTATCTCAATATAGCATATACAAGATGTCCTTTCATGACTTCATATTTCGTTCTATTTGCTTGAGGTGGCTTTGGAAGCCAAATGGCATTCGTCTACATAAGTCTTCAAGCATCTCGATGAATTCTTCGATACTTCAGCTCCTATTCTACAGTCTTCAATTACTCCAAAGACCATCGACATCATCTGTGGAAACAAGAGACAGAGACTGAAAGGTTGAAAATTTCCAACAATGACTGACGAAAACGTGTCTGATCCCGCCTCGAGCATCGTTCGTACCGGCAGCTCGATGCCCTTTGTCGTCTTCGCTGGTGCCAATGCCGCAGCGAACCACCTCCTGGAACTCGTCCGGGTGACGACATCCCCTTCGGCCCTTCAAGCGCCTGGCGATCCGGCCCTTGAAGCCCCTGGCGACCAAGCCCGCTATGTCTTACCAGTGCCCGTGTGGACCATGGAGAAAGACAGCAGCATCACTAAATGGATGATTGGCAGCGGAGCGCCTCCATCGTCCGCAGAGGATGGCCTGACTGCCGCCCAGCCGGATATTCTCCTCTGTCCGCCTGGAGCATCAGCCAGCGCTTCATCCGCTCGCCAGGACATTCACCCTCTGCACGCTGTCCTCTACTTTCATCCTCGGTCAGGTGGGCTGGTCTTTGAGAACCGATCTGGGAACTTGATCGTTTACGAGGGAGGTGGCAAGGACGGACAGGACTTGGTGCTTACCAAGTACACGACTATGCAGACGCTTCTTTGGAAGCGAGAGAACTATCTTCAGTTCGGGGAGCATCGCTTCCTCATCTCCTTCGTCTCCCAAAGCACCGATGACCAGGTTTATATCGGCCAGCAATTTGACAACATCATCGGCTGCCTCTATGGTTCCCTTGCCCCATCGACCTTGTTCAACTTCACCCCGGGGCCTGATGCCCACCTCAACTGGCACATAGCAGTACACAAGCTGTTTCCAAAGAAACGACTGGCCGCCGGAATTGATGTTCGCACGGGGCAGCCCCTTGTCGTGGAGAAGGTGTCGAAAAAGGACTCCATGGCCCGACAATATATCGTCACTCGGCTTCAAGCTATATACAGGACCGACATCGGGCCGCAAGAGGGCATCATGAAGGCCCTTGACGTCTGGTGCAACGTCGGCAGGCTATGTCACAACCTTCGCCACGAGAGAGGCGGGCCATGCCACTGTGAATATATCGAATATTCCATGCCCGTCGCTGAGCACAGCTTTCAGGACATGCCCTGGGACGAAGTGACGGCCAACGACCGCATTCATTACTTCAGGCAGACCCTGGTTGGGCTTGCCAAGTTACATGATATGGGCATCAGACACGGCAATATCTCGCCTACATCATTGCTGCTTCTCACCGAGGAAGGGTGTGAGATGCCTGATTCCGACAGGTATTCGGTCAAGAAGCTGAAGGCTGTCCTATCGGTATGCATGCAGCCGACTAAGACGGCGAAGCAGAGCTTGTGCATTGCGCCCGAGCTCCTAGCTGGGCTTTTCTTTCGATACTGGGATCTGATCACGCCTGATGAGTCTGGAGCACAGGGCACGGGCGAGAATGAGGCTGTTGCTGCCGCGGTTCCCAACGATGCTAATAGCCTGTCTCTTGGAGAGTCTGACGACCAGGCAATGGAATCATTCTGTGCATCCCTCAACGACGCGACCGCCTCGATCCCTGAACTCCCCAGCAACGACACAGCCGAGCTAGCTCAAAGGATCCTCAACGACGCCGACGCAATGCTCGGTGACGTTTCTGGTGGCAATGGATGGCAGCTAGTTGATGACATGCAATACCTCGACGGGAAAGAGGCCGATGTCTGGGCCCTGGCCATGTCGTGGCTCTCGACCCTCATCGCCCTTCCATCTGAGACCATAATCACCAGAGACATTCACAGTCGCCTCCTGGACGACCTGGACGCTCAGATCAACAGCAGTGGCACCACGAATGAGAAGATCATGGCTCTGATTATCCGCGACATGCTCTGTTGGGATCCGCAGGCTCGGCCAAGGGCAGAGGATGCCCTTCAGCATCCCGCCTGGTCCGTCATCATGATGAGGCTGGCCAACGAGGAAGACAAAAAGCGGAAGCGAGGTGGTATCAGTCGGCAGGGCAGTCAGAGTGAGTTGCGAGAAGACAAGAGGGCCAGGGTGATCTCGCTGGATGAGTGATAGGGGGGGTTGATCTGGCGATGAGCTTGGTACACGATAGGGGTGGTGGGTTTTGACGTAGTGATCTGTTGTAGAGTTGTTTTCGAGTCATGATTATTTTTGTACTTTTTTTTTTTTTTTACATGAAATACGATGCAATGTTTTGTCTTTCATAACTTGTGTTTCTTTCTCTACCTATTCGATGTGATGATGAATTCGTTAAAGTTGTGTGCGCCTAAGAACACACCATAGCCTCACTTGTCTCATAAACGGCATCCCCAATAACTGCAACACATCCCGATGCAAGTTGATGAACGGTTATGGTTCACTACAAGTAGCTCTTTACTGTTACCGCTACCGCACAAAGCACAATCACCCATCATGGCGTCGTCAAATCCCACAGACTCTCCACCGTCACTCCCTCAACCCACTTCCCCCCGGTCGTATCCTCCTGCAAAGTAAACCCAATTTCCTTCTTCTCACCCGGCCTCAACACAAACGCGTTATCGTCAAAGAAGCCCAAGACGCCCGCTGGATGGGTCAACCACGTATACAGCGACACGCCAGCCGTAGCCTCGACCGTAAATTTCTTTGTCGACTTGTTGTAAGACAACTTCAGCCTGGGGTCAGTTACTTTGGCCTGGTTGGGCCAGACGGGGAGGAAGTGATTATGATGCGTAAAAGTCGTGAGCTGCTTGTTGGACGCATTGGGGAGTTTGCCTTCGGCGGTGAGTTGGATGATGAGGACTGCGTCTCTGGGGTCTGGGATTTTGAGATTGGATGATATGTTGGTGGAGATGATCCGGGTGGTGTTGATGGCGCCGACGTGGAAATCGACAGACTTGGGCATGCCGGCGTTGTTCTCTATGGGTTTGCCCTTGAGATCGACCCAGGTGAGAGACACTTGACCAGACGCAGCCTCCCAGAGATCAGAAGTAACCCAGATCTCTAGATCGTTTGAAGTGTAGTTCCAAAACGCAGACGCAATAACGTGCTCATACGTCCTGCGAGAAACATACGGCAAGACTTTCCAGCGTCCGTCGTACTCAAGGCCGGCCCAGGTGGGAGCCTGCCATATGTCGTTGAGCTGCCAGTACAGAGATCCGAGCTGTCTCTCCGGCAAGCCGCTGCCCCGTCTGTAAAACTGAATCTCAGATTTGTACATGTCTGCCTGGAAAAGCTGCGTAGCGTGGCACCAGGAGGAAAAGTTGGCTACTGGATCGGTCTTGTCTGGAGTTGGGTAGTATCGCTCTACAGCCAGCGTCATCTCGACTTGTCCCAGAGTGCTGTTGCGAATGTTTCTCGTCAAGCCACCGGCGGGATAGTGGTGATTTCGTAGAATAACTGTTGTGGAGTTGAATGACAGATCTTCCGGATCAACAGCCTGTTTCCATGTCTGGATGCTGGGCATGCTGATGAAGCCAAACTCGTTGGCGAACCGCCCGACTGGGTACACAGAGGTGTCAAAGGACACGGCAGTATCGTAGTTGTAAAAGTCGGTGTCGCCGTAGATATGTCCGGGGGTGGTGTTGTAGTACCGCTCGACGATGGGAACAGGGAGGTCAAGATCAATCTCGAGCCAGCCATTGTTTGCACTGCAGGGGCTGTACGAGATGGAATGGCTGTTGGCGGCAATGATGTTGAACATTGTCTTGATGAAGAGATCCTCGTACTGGCCCAGGACGTACGGGTAAGTCTCTGGATCCGCGCCCTGAGCAATCGGCAGCATCAGGTTCTCAAACTCGTTGCCGCCCATCCAGCACGCCAGCGAAGCGTGGTGGTTCAGGCGACGGACATTGTACGTGATTTCTCCAGCAACGTTCTCCTTGAAGTCCGGACTGTCTGGATATAGTGTGTCGCTGAACTGGAACTCGCTCCAGAGCAACACACCGCGTTCGTCAGCGATATCGTAGATCCAGTCTGGCAGATATGTGCCTGAAGACCACACTCGAAGCATGTTGAAGTTTTGCGCCTCGACAGAGTCAAACAGCCGGTTCATCCTGTCGGACGTGACTCGCGGCCAGAATGCATCCGGGGGGATCAGATTAGCCCCTTTAGCGTAGAACTCGTGGCCGTTAATCTCAAAATGCCAGTTGTTTCCTGGGGTAATGCCGCTGGCAATTTGCGCATCCGTGATATTTCCAGAGCTGAACAAGATGGTACGAAAGCCAACGCGGCGTGAGGAGACCAGGAGAGGCGTCTTAGACCCTGGGCTGCTAACGGAGACTGTAATGTTGTACAGCTGCTGGTCGCCCATGTCTCGAGGCCACCACAGCTTGGGCTTGTGGGCATCAATGGTTACGGACCCAGTGACCGTCATGTCAGACTGCGCGATGTCCTCCAGTTTCCCGGAATACAGCACAGAGCGACCGTCCTTGGCATCGGTAATGACCACTGACATGGAAGCGTGTTCAGGCAGTGTTCCCACGAAATCGAGACTCGCGTTGACAACCCAGGGAGCAATCTGGTCAGGCGCAAAGTTGTTGAACTGGCCCTTTCGGAAGATGTCAATGGCAGTGTTGAGGGTATACAGTTCGCCTCCCTTGCTGAGCTGGACGATGCGTCCGGGCTGCCAGGGCCCTACGGGGGAGAACGCTGGGCCCCAGTCCCAGCCAAAGTCGTTTTGTTCCTTGCGAACCCATTGGCGGTTTGGGTACTCGAAGGGATAGACAACCGAGGCCGGCCAGTCTGGATGACAAAAGTGTTAAGTCACAAAGCCTCGGGGTAAATGTAGTGTATAAGGCTACTTACGCTGAACGTCGTCGCTTGCGTTGATGGCGTTGATAATACGAGGGACGCTCCCAAAGTTGATGCTGAGAACGGGATCGTCCTTACAGCTTGCGAGTAGGGAAGAGACGTCGTAGAACCATTGTCGAAACTGGTTGTCTGGCGTTCCAACGATATGGTCGCAGAACTTGACGGTTGCGTACGTATCGAGGCCATCAAACACGAGCCACGTTTCCGTGTCTGAGTGTTTGTTTCTGTTTGTTTGTTAATGTCAATTCAACTGAGCTGTTCATGCGCGCGCTTACAGTCCGCTGATGGGCTTGCTGGTATAAGTCCAGTTCTGGGCCGCGATCCATCGCAGATCAAAGTCGTTGAGACCGTGATATCTGTTTATCGCGTCAGTTCAAACAATGCTTCACGTCAAATGTCAGGAAAGGCCATCTCACGGATCATCTGTGAGTCTTTGGTTAGCAGACTTTTACTCTGATCACTCTGATTTTGTCATTGACTCACTGATCACACCAGCCGCATGAAGATCAAGATGTGCCTGTGACGGAAACTTGCCCGGCACGGTAATGTTGCCGTATTCGTTTGTCACTGTCCATTTCTGCAGGCCGAGGTCGTGAATCGATGCTTTGCCGGCATGCTCGGTAGTTGATACCGCCACGCTCGCACAAATGCCGAGTGCGGCGAGAAAAGGCCTGATGCAGCCCATGTCCGAGGTCCGATTGTTCCTCTCCTCGACGAGGGTTATCTATACTTGGAGATAGAGGTAGGATTCAGACCAAGAGGAATGGCTAGAGGGTCATAGGTCATGTATGGACTGATGTCCAGCGGCCACGGACGTGACTTGTAGGCACAGTCTCACAGTCATCCCTTCCCAATTGCGTCCCTTGCAGCTTTTATACCTACCTATCCGATATCCTCACTCATGACTGCAACCCCTCGTAAGACATCAATGAGGGGTCCGGAATAAAGCTCGGCCATAGTTGCACAGCTCGTGTCCTGTAGAGCATCGAATGGAGGCACCCTCATGCCGATCACCCAACATGCATGCAGTTGCTACGCAATGCTCGTTGTGGGCAGACAGGCCATGTAACTTTGCCTCTATTGCACAGTGAAAGATGCGAATGACTTCATCGGCGCGGAAAAGCAAGGCCTTAACCCCGGATTTCGGTGGCCATTGCCGATTCAGCCGGTACTTGGTTTGCGGCAGATGTCGTTTCCCCACGATTTCGTTGTGTCACCAATGGCGATCGTGTGTGTGTTGGGTGAGGGATAGTGGGAGGTTGTGCATGAGGCCCTTTGGGGGAAGAGACAGTTCCCCGGTCGAGCTAGGCTGGCAAGTGAAGCGCTCCAACTGGATGCGATGTTCGGAATATTGATGCCTTTGATTCATTAGGGCGTATGAGGGCAATGCAAATGATTTTCTAATGGCGTTGCATTGGATGAACGCGGACAGAGGATGGGTGAAGAGCAGGGGAGATGTGCGACTCGAGAGGGGTCACTTACCCGGTTGTTTATAATTCAAGAGTGCAACACACTAGATGGAACGACACACTGATTGCTACTCTGCGCGCAAGGAGAGGTATGAAGAAACATGATCAGCAGAGGGATGTTTGAGTGTGTTGCATCTGTTCTGTTCTCAGTACGCATGGATGCAGGCACGGGAACAAGATCAAGCTCACCTGTAAGCTTAAATCAACAAAGGTCAGCAGTCCCGGTAAGCGGACGAGCACTCTATGTGGTTGTGCAGGTTATGGCATGCTTGATGTGTTAACTAAACAGAAGGCAGCATTTCTGGACTATACAATTTCTATGCAGTGAGGTATTATATATTGGAGTCGACTACCCTAAGCCTATGAAGGAGACGTCGTAACAATGGTTCAACTATATGGGACACAACTTGCATCATCCTCCTCGATTCATATATCTAAAGCCACAATCTTGCCGCCCTCACTAAAGGTGCCATTGACAGGACTCAGCGAGCCACCCACAGTAACGACATAAAGAACATGCTTATCCTTCTTTGTGCGTCCGAAAGCCACCGAGGTATCTCCAGCAACAAGGCTTGAGTTGAGGTTTCCAGCAATAACCTCACCTTTGCCGGTTGACAAGTTCACTTTGGTGACCACGTTGGTCGGGTTCCCTGCGATATAAGCCGCGTGTGGCGTGACGGCGAAATCATCGCCGACAACGTCTGTCGCGATAGCCTCATAGCTTCCGGTGGCGTATCCCGCTTTGTTGACACGGACGCGGCCAAAGAAAGGCTTGAAGGAATTCGTATAATAGACGTAGTGGTCGAAATAGCGAATACCGTTGATGCCAATGGGAATCTCTGCGTCAGCCGCGGGCTTGAACGTCTCGTCGTCCAGAACCACCTTGTAGCTGCCGGTCCGCGTGTTTACGCTATAAATGACGCCTGCGGTTGAGTCGGCAGCGAGGATGGTGTTGGGAGTAGACGCAAGAGTGGTCATGCCGTTGAGGGACAAGGCCCCAGGGATGTCGACGACTTTGAACACCTTCGGCTGGTCCTTGTGGAAAGCAACCTGCCAGACTGCCCACGAGCCTGCAGCTGGGCCGGTCGTGATGGAGAAGTTGCCGGCGTTGAGGGTGAATACGTCTGGTGAGACTTCTGTGATGCCCAGGAGGCCGAGGTAACCCGGGAAGCGGTGGACGAGCTTTGCCGTCTTGGGGATGAATGGGTTGACTTCGTAGAGCTCTGGCCTGTCGGTGAGGGTGACGAGAAGGTTGCCATTGGACCGGATGGCAATGTTTTCAAGCATTGTTCCGTTGGCGAACTGGTAGACGAGACGAGGATCCCCATGATGCGGACCTGGATATCCGTTTCGGGGGTCGAGAACGGCACCGGTGACTGAAGCTACGAGAGCGGAAATTGCGAGGAAGATGTTTGGAAACATGATGATGTGTATACAATAGACATCAACCAGTTCATCTATTAGGTAGCCTGCAGAGTAGCCTGGAGAGAAGTATTACGAACATGAATCAAGACAAAGAGACAGTAAGTCGGCCATTGTAATATATACCAGGAATGCAGACTGAAGGAAGCGAGCTGAATGTCGAACTAGAGGAGGCAGATCCTCTCAAATCCTTACAGCTCCTACAGCAGGAATCACTCCAGCCAAGGCACCCCCCAATCCTCCTGGTGACGACATTTCACATACGTGTTCGTGTCTTGCCTGACCTTGACGGGCGAGACATGATAATCCAGACTCGAAAGCTGACGGGTATGACGAACCTGAAATGGAGTGTCGCCAATTAACACGAGGGTGCATCGCTGCGCTGGATCGTCGTTGCAGTAGTGCCCTGCAGGCTGCAACAAGTCCACCGCGAGCTTTAGACTCTGGATATTCCGGCGTTATGTTCGTTATGCTCGACGATGACATCCTATGGAAGACGCTCTTCGCACAATATAAGCCAGCGATTATATATTGCCTTACTCTTACGCTTCGCTGTATCGGTTGTACTGAGGAATGCTGCGTGGCAGTTACACACAACTTCACAATGCTTCAGCCTTGCCAGCCTCTTCGCATAGGATTGCAGTGATCGGCATGGGTGAGACGGCTCAATGAGCCGTTACTATGTTTATACATCTTACGGTCGTCTAATCCTTTCATCCTTCCTCCCTGCATAAGGAGCACAGCCTCAAGCCCAGCCGAGGGATGCTGCATCAACATGCGTCGATTCCATCAAGATATGCCTTGACAGGTATTACTGTATGTAAATGAGCGTATACCGGACATCAGCTCACATCTACCTGGGCCAGCTTATCATACATATCCCTCTTCAATGCCTCATCTGCCCAGCTCATGTCGACCGCATTCCTCGCCAGCTGCACCATCTCCTTCTTCGACAGTCCCCCATAATGATATGCCTTTTCCATGTTGCCATCAATCCAGACATTGTGCATATACACCGGATCATCGCTGTTGATACAGAATTTGACGCCCCTATCGAGCAGCTGTCGGAACTTTGGAAACAGAACCTCTGTCGCCGTTCGTCGATGATACGCGTGCGGACAGAGAGTCAGGCCAATATTTCGCTCGATCAGACCTTGTATCAGCTCCTCCCGATCGAGTGCATCAAGACCATGATCGATCCTTTCAGTCTGCACTTCATAGATGGCCTGACGGATGTGTTCGTGCGTGTCCTTTTGTCCAAAGTCACAGTGCATCGTGATGTGATGGCCATCTGCCCTGGCCCGCTCAAACGCCCTCTTGAACAACGATGGAGGCCGTTCATAGGCGTTGCTAGCAAGACCAACAGCATGAAAGAGGCCGTGTCCAGATTTGCCCCATGGCAGAGCTTTCAAATACGCAGCTTCACCATCTTCGACTGGCTCGTCACGGATGAAGCAGAAGATCCAGTTGGACCGCACGCCGTATTTGGCTGCGCCATCACGCTGAGCCCTGAGGTAGCCGTTGAGCACAGATTCAGCAGGAACACCACGGCGTGTATGTGCCTGGATGTCAAAGAATGGCTCCGCATAGCAGACCTTCATCTGCTGACACCGCGCCAGATAGTCCATGCCGAGCTCGTAAAAGTCGTCTTCCTGGAGCAGGACTTCGCAGCCCGCGAAATAGGCCTCTAGAAATGTCGGCACATCTTTAGGGCCGCCGAGTTCGGGGCGGTGGTTGTAGGTGACTTTGTACGAGTCGAGGAGTTGTTCGTATGTGTGGTACTCTTGGGACTTGAAGCGTAGCGGGATGTTGTTGCGTTGGGCGAGTTTCCAGCGGAGAGATGGTTGGAGGGTGCCTTCGATGTGGACGTGGAGTTCGGCCTTGGGGAGGGAGGCGATGAAGGGGGAGATTGTTAGTCCGTCCATGGTGAAGCAGATGCTAATATTGAGCTCACTCCATGTCCTTTGTTCTTGTTTTGACAGGCAGAGAGGAGCAGATGTATGCGGGCGTCAGATGACGGATTGTTGGCCGCTTCTGTTGAACGATGCTTATCGCCTTGATCGGGCAACTCTGCGATAGTACAGCACTGTGCGATCCCCGGAGCAGTCAAGCTCAACAACGACGATCAGGATCCAGATAACGGGTAATAGCATCTGAGGACGGGGTCCTGCGAGGAGAAGGATACACCAGCACTGATCCACAGACTTATCAGCGGTTAGAGCTGCTACTCCGCACTTGTAAGTAGGGCATGTAAGTGGCGGCGATCCGACAGTGAGCTGTGAAGATGAGGAGCTTCGCTCAAGATCCGGTGAACTTCATGCTTATATGCTTCCTATCTTCATCTATTCTGTACTATAATGACCATGTTATTGAGTCTAAAAGCCAAAGCTAGTACAGTAGTGATACCTTGTAAGAACAGAACATCGTCGCTATCTATTCTTAATTGTTTAGTTACTCTCTCCAGGATAAGGTGCTACCTTAGATAACCTATGCACCCTGGTCTAATATAACCTATACTCTACTTTTTTAAATTTTTTACTATATTAAAAAACCTTATATAACCTATACTTTCTGTAATTTAATTAGCTAAAATTTTTAAAAAGTAAAGCATAAGTTATATTAGCTTTTATACTAAAGTTAAATACCTCTTTAATATAATACTAAAGCTAAAATAAATATATCCTTTATAAAATCTTATAAGTTTATTATAAATATATTATAAATATATTTATAATAAATTTATTTTAAGCTTTTACTAGTTTTTTTTTTAATAATAATAAGTTTAAAATTCTACTTAATATTTAGCTTTTAAGGCTTTTTATTATAATAATAGTAAAAAGAAGCTATTATATAAGTAAAATATATTTACTATTTATTAATAATAAATTACTAATATATTATATAAAAATCCTAATAACTTAATAGCTTTTTAAAGCTACTTAATAAAATAAAAGCGCTAAACTATATTTTATTATTATTTAATTTAGTCTAGTTTAGTTATTATAGTTAATAAATTAATATTATTATAATAAATAAAATTATATACTTAATATATATACTTAAGTAGCTAATTATATTAAAATTAAGTATAGCTTATTTAATATTCTTAAATTAGCTTACTAAAGCTTAATAATAATAGCCTTAAAATAATATAAATATAATATATTAATAATATATTTATAATAAATTATTAATATATTATAAATTTAATACTATTTTAATATAAAAAAACCTAGTTATAAAAGTATATTATAGCTTTTAAACTTAATTTTAATAATATATTATAAATTTTATTATATAGGCATAAAGGTTTATTAATATTTTAACCCTTTATTATATAACTTTTATTATTTAATATTAAGAGACTGGCCTTATAGCTACTATAAGTAAGCATTTATATATAAATATATATACTTAAGGGAAGGAAAGGTATATTCTTTATATACCTTTTATTTATTATATACCCTAGCTAAGTATACTCTAGCTTTAAAGCAGACCTAGGCTAAATTAACTATTAGGCTATAATAGCCTAACCTATTAATAAGCTTAAGTAAAGCCTAAGCTTATAATATACCTTTCTTCTTTAGCTTAGCTTTAAATATTTCCTAGTATAAACTACTATATTTAAAAAAAATTTTACTTAATACCTTTTTATTATCCTCCTTTTTCTTTCTTAACTATTTATTATATAAGCTAGGCCTTATTTATTTTTATTCTTATACTATTCTTAAATATATTATTTATTTTTATATTTCTTATATATATATATAATTTAATAAATAATCTAGGTCTTATTATATAGTCTAGACTTATTATTAATAAATAAATTTATTTTAAATAACTATTTAATTATATTCTTTTTATAATAAATAGTGTATTTATTACTATAGTATTTTTAAGTTATATATAATTTATTTATTAAACTGCCTTTAAATTTACTTATAATAAGCCTATAGCTTATATATATATTATTTTTCTTATATTTATAAATTATATATACTATTCCTTTTTTATATTTTAATCTTTTAACTTACCTTTTTTTAATACTACTATATTATTTTTATTTAATTATTATTATACCTTTTATATTCTTAATAGTAAGTATAACCTTAGTTTTTATTAAGTATAGCTAATATTTTTATAATATTTAATAACCTTTTACTTTTTAATAATACTAATCCTTTTAGTTTTAATAAAGCTGCTAAGAATAAGTATAACTTATTTACTTTTTTTTCTTCCTTTTTTTATTATACTACTAGCTTATATATTATTAATAAAAATTTTAAAAATAAGGCAGCTGCTTTTTTTAAGTAAGTTAAGTATTTTTATTATAATTATATTAACTATATAATTTATAAGAAAAAGCTAAACTACTATTATAATTATAATTATATTTATTTTAAATATAAAAAGGCTAAGTATAAATACTAATATATTAATATTATATTTACTACTAGTATCTAGCTTTATAAAGTATAGCGCTTTATTAAAGTAGCTATATAAAATCCTTTATATATTATAAAACTAGTATAAAAAAAAAAAGTAATAAAAAAGGCTAGCAGGCTATTTTATTTAATATATTTATATTTATTATAAAAATATAATAAAGTATATATAATACTATATTATAATAGCTAATTTAAGCTTACTTTACTTTTATAAATTTTAACTTTACTAATACTAATACTAATATAAGTACTATATTAAGCCTTATACTTACTTTTCCTTTTTTTAATTATAGCAGTGCTAATAATTATATATATAATATACTTAACTAGGCTTTTTATATATATTTCCTTTTTACTCCCTTTTTATAACTTATATTAACCCTGCTTATAAATATAAGTAATATTTAATAAATATATTATTATTATATTAAAGTAGTAAAATAAATATAATTACTTTTAAAATAAGTAAAAGCGCTATTATAAAAAAAAGTAATATACTTAAGGCAGGTATATACTTTACTTATATAGTATTTATAAGCAGCTATTTAATTACTTACTTATATACCTGCCTATATACTTATTATATTCTAGTCCTTTACTTACTACGTGGTCCCCGTCACATAANNCCCC